AGGGCAAATCATATTCTCTACTATTAATTTCACGCTTAGCCAATAGTTTCAGTTGAAGCTCCTGGACACCAGAGTTTTGTATCCTATCTCGCACAGAACGAAATGTACGTACCAGGATATTATTGTCATCAAACATATGCTGGAGGCCTTCAACAATACACTGCCGCAACGGATTCTTGGCAGGATCAGTGGAGTAAAAGTCCATACGATTCTGCACCTCGTTATCTGAATCGTGAATGTAAAGCTGTGCAAATTTCGGACTATCCCCATCACCAGGAACCAAACATCCTATTCGATGATAAATCTGACCACCGATTGAATATACATAAACTCCACGACCATCATTAATAGAGTGATTGACTTTACCTCCGAGAGAAATAAAGCAAAAAACCCCATTATAGGCTCTGATGTTAGTACGAAAGTGACGCGCTAATGGTGTATCCCCTTCAAGTAGAGTTTTAAGAAATTCGGGCACATCTCTGCGGGGAGGCAATTTCACTTTACGATGGTTGCAACATAAAGGAAATGCAGGCAACACATCATTCCGTGTAGATAAAGTACTCTCGAACCGCCACATAACTGCTCCACAATGTTGACACGTACATGAAGGTGGACCAATATCAAAAAATTCAACCAACGGAGGACCTAGTGAAATAGATAAGTAATATTAATAAATTTTTGTCACAGTAATTCATAAATTGAATGAGATTGAGAAACTGTGAAGCCGATTTAGGCGCGCTACAGTAAACACAATTATTAAAATAAATGTTCTCAAGGCAAGATAGATTGGTATACCGCTCATTTTAAGTAAGAATAAGTTAAATTTCAGGAAACACCAAAGTTTGTTCATAACACACAAATTTGCCGTTGACACATCAACATCTAAAAACAATCCACTATTTGCATAAGGTGACATGAAGCGTACATCACTAAATTATATGCATGGCATAAATGGGTACATTATATGTTCTAAAACCAAAATAGGAAACAAAATATGTTGACCAGAACACAAAAACATATATCCAATGTACAAAAACTAAACCAAAATAGAGATGAACCATTTCATGTATAATAGTGGCCATTAGAATCCACATACTTTGATTGACTTCTGTAGGAAAGAAACTTCGGCCACGTCTCTTTCTATGCAGATGAATACGTCGAAGTAATCGACTTTGCTTTTGTAATAGAAATCTAAACTCCGGCTCCAAAACTATAAACAACACCAAAACACATACGATATTAAAGAAATAAATAAAGATTCAACAATCTAGAATAGCCTAATTTATAAGACTTGCTACAAAATTTAGCAAACAACAACCTTGGTGTTCAAAAGGCAAGCCCCTCCTATGAACCTTAGTATTCGCCGAAGTTGAGAGAGTTGGAATTGCAAGGCAGCTTCTTCTGCAGAATTTAAATATAAAACCATGTATTACTCATTGAATAGATGAACTAATTAGAAAAATTAAAACACAGATAACACACCTCTCTCAAATGCTTCTTCCTCTTCAGCAGATAAAACACAGCGTTGGTACTGATCTTCAGGATGAATAAACACTGCTCGACGTTTCCCTAAACAAATGAGATTCAAGGGAAAATATTAATGTCAGTTTGCATTGAAGCAGTTGCGTGCTAAACCATGACACTCACATGGTACAGACGATCGATAAATCTGTGGTTGGGCAGATGGGATGACATTTGCACTATCCATATTAAATTCTCCAATAACCTGATGCAATCTGAAATAGAGGTCGTGGTAAATGATGCCCCGTTCCAGTAAATTTTGCAGCTGCCATTCATATAGGTTAATTAATTGTTACAACAGAAGTTGAACTCCTCACCAATTATAAGTTTGTGCGAGTTAATGACACATACAACACACCACACAAACATAACAGTCGAAGAAAAATATAACTATATAAGGCATAATTTAAATTGATGAACAAAACACATATAACAGAATGGCTTCCAAGCTTGGGGATGCAAAGGAAGAGCGAGAAGGACAACAATGTAATGGCCAACACAAATATAATTCAAAGGCATCCATAAAAACCATATCCAAAGAGAAGTTTGAAAAAGAAGCAAGCTGGCAATAAGAAAAGCACTATAAGTGCTTACCAATTCTAGTTCTTCTAACTATACCAAGCTTATCCCTTCTTTCAATTATGCAGTTTACGCTTTGTACTTTTAGCACAAATGGATTCCAACTCTAATGTCACAATACAAATACAATGCAAATGAAGTTGAAGAACAATAAAACAAACTAATGGAGTGAGATAAAACTGTCCAATGATCTTATGTAATAACGGGAAAAAAGCCTGGTAGAACCAATACACTAACCAGTGGAGCATGCTTATCAATACCGCCTACTTTATACTTCTTTAGTGATTAGAGTTGAAAGTACATTATCAGATCATAGCCAGTCCCATTAGATTAATTAACCTAGAAACATATGAGAGAAAACCTTACTGATCAAGTTGGATTTCGACATTTACCTGCAACAGAGTTAACATCAGAAAGTAAATTGATTATGTCTCATACGTGGTGGCGGGTGGGGGACGGCGCGCCAAATTTCGTCGGCGATGGGCTGGTTCTGGACTCAAGTAGGCTGGGCCTCTGAAGTATGGGCTGGCTAGAGAAATGGATCCCCGAGGCCTTATTGTTTACGCTTTCCTTTTCCCCCGCCAGGCCAGCGGTAGTTTATAGCCGGCCCTTTGGTTTACTGACCCGGAAAACGACCCGGACGAAGTACCTGGCTGCCGCCGCCGAACGTCTCTTTCTTTCCTCTTCTTTCTCTGCGGCCCGGAAAAACTCAGCTCAAAATCGGCAGTCGGCTGCTCTCTGGAAGACAGTCTAAGCGAAGTGGAATTTAAAGTAAGCAGCTTTGTTACTTTCAAGAGAAAGGGAAAAATCAAAAATCCCCTTTTGATCTCTAGAGAATCCAATAAACAGAATGAAGCGAGGAAGGTAAGAGAGAATAAAGAAAACGGAATGAACCAAAGGTAAGGGAGATGAATCTTTGCAACCGAATCCCTGGAAAAAAAAACCCAGAACCCGAATCCCTAAAACTTAAAAGCAATGACAACAACAAACAGAAATCTGAAAGAGGAAGAATAACTTACGGCAAAACCAATACCGATCTAACGCTTAGAGAACGAAAATCAAAGGTAGATGCAAGCACATAAAAGAACCAGATGATTGAGTCAAGGTTTGGTTTTCTGAAGGCCAAGAAACTTATTCGAATGAGGTGAAAGAGTGGAAGGAAGGGAAATCGGAAATAAAAAATACAAATTAATACAAATTAAATGAGAACGTGGGCCTGGAAGGAGAAAAAAGTGGGTAGTGGAGAGTTTTTTGGTTCTGAAATCAGGCGGGACTCTTTTTTTCCCGCTTAACACTCTGCCACATCAGCTTCCTAAAATCACTCTATGGGCAGGAAATTTTGAATGGGGGTTGCAGTTTTACTTTTCAGCTATAAATTATACTGTTGATACATCGAAAAAACGCCGCTAGCTCACCATGCATATGAATGAGTTATAAATTATGGTTTTAAAAAGTTTATGATCGTTGATAATCTCCGGATCAACATCTCCTCTTGTTCTTGAGAGAAGTATGCCAAAGTATATCCTAGATTGTTCGTTTGCTTGCCCAAGATATCACTAATTCTCCTCTTCGTATTCTGCCTAGCGTCCCTCTATATATTCTTCAGAAGATTTTGAGCATTTCAAATTCCTTGCACTCTTCTTAATTGTAGCTAAGGATAAATTTGTAAGTTCAACTTAAAACTTAAATATCTTCTTACGAGAAAAGAAAATGTCATTACAAAGACTTGAAATCAGGTCCTTCATATTGATAGTCAATATCCCTAACCAACTAGACTACAACAATGTTTATGTATTTTTTGAATTAAAGAAAGAAAATACTGAAATATATCAAAATCATAGGACTATCCACCTCAACAATTAATCATCGAATGAATTAATAACTGTAATTATTTACAAAGTGAATCATCATGATATACCTAGCTTTATGAATCAACTAAGTGAGTTCCTCTGATCACACAAATTTTCACCAAGAATCAAATAGTACATTTTGAGTCTATGTAGGTTACATGACTTTGTAGTTTTTAGGAATACAAGGATTGTTTACAAAAGCACTATACAAAATTTTATTTCAAAACATAAAATTTGACATTTCTGATCTATGGTTTTGTAACGAGACATTATTAATGCTATAAGTGAATGACCAAAAATCATTGGCTAACAAATTCTCTAATGGTTGACAATTATAAGCATAGAATTGAAAGACTAAATACCATTGACAAATGAGCCAATTATCATTGGCTAAATTTAACAAACAATGGTATGTGTATATACATTGGAAATTCTATGGTACGCTCGATGGATTGAGGGTTATTGCATCTCCTTAGTTAAATAACATTATCTAGACCATAGATTAATCACGTAACTAAACCCTATATCATAATTCTCTAAATCCTATTGTAGTGTATATGGTATGTTGTATACATCTTGGCGAATCAGGATCATTGATTATGTTCGTAGTATATGTGATATTAGGGTTTAAGTTCTATAGATTTAGGGTATATGATTTAATTATTTGAAACTTAATCTCCCTTTTCAAATTTCCTACAATGAGAGGGAAATTAGGAAGAACATTTTTGTCTTCACAATTATCTGTATTTTTTATTTATTTACAGAAAAGATAGACATATTGAGATTTGAACCATGGTCACTTCAAACAAAGTGAAGGTTTAAAATCAATCTGACTATGTAGATTTGTTGTATTTTTTAAATTAAAAATATATACGAAGCTAAAATATGAAATCACAACTTTTCAACAGTTAGCTAGCCCAATAAATATTCCGTAAGTACTTATTTGGTGTTTTGATACTTCGATTTTGATATTTTTTATTTTAATTATAATTTAATACTTAATTTAAAATTTTATCTACATTATAAATAGACGATAACCATAAATTTGCAACCAAAATATTATAGGTTCGAATATTTCATATCGAATTATAGTATTGAATATGTTGAAGCGATATAGAATTCTTAAATAAATGTGTGAGTGGATGGTCTTGACCTGCTTCGGTTCAGCCTTTGTAAAAAGGACTAAGCGTCCGCAAAAATAAATGTGTGAGTGGAGGACCATTCTTCAATAAAATTGTAAGCTTCCACAAGTAAAATCTATTGACTTTTTTATAACAGTGATTTAGTCTCTCAATGCAAGAGTTAAAGAGGTAGGGTGATAGTGAATATCCTTGTTTTAAGCCACGAGTCAACTAGCGTTTGCTTGTTGGATTTGAAAAATGAGGGTTTTGGCTCAAAAAAACCTTTGGATTTATGAGGGATTTGTACCATCATGGATTTGAAGAGTCTATTGTTTGCATGATAGATTTGATGATATAATTATGATGGATTTGCTATAAATATAACTAGTCATCAAGGATTTACAAATCCCACCCCAATATGTGGGATTTATAAGTCCGTGGGGTCCACGAATTTGGATACAAAAAAGGGAACAAATCCGTGGACCCCACGAATTTAACCACTTGACAACAAACAATGGACTTGGCTAAAATCCATCATGCTTGGGATTTGAGTCCCAAATCCATCAAGCAAACGACCCCTAGAATTGATCGACACAGCCGCCATTTCGTAGCCCATTGAAGATTGTCATAAACCAATTGGTCCCAATAACTCGAGTTATTGGGAAAAAGTTATGATGGATCTTATAAGTTATACCTCTCTCTAACACGCCCCCTCAAACGAAAGCCAACTAATGGGCTTGAAATTTGACAGACCCACCATACCTTGTGCTTTTAATCAACTGTAATATTGGGGGGCGTGGAGATTCGAACACACAACCACTTGGTCAAATCAACTATGATACCATGTCATAAACTAGTTGGTCCCAATAACTCGAGTTATTGAGAGAATGTTATTATGTATCTTATATCACTCTCTAACATAGCTAATGATGGTGACACATGACATAATGATGTTAGCAAAGTCGGGGGGGGGGGGGGCTTCAACTTTAAGAGTGGACTCCAAGAAGCTCCAGTTGATTATATAGTCTACTTTCAAGACCATGGTCCCAGTAGTCTTGGATCTAAATGACATCGTGTGGACAACATCTTGTAGGATGATTAGGTAGTCTGTTATATGCCAATTCGACATAAAACTTGAATGGTCTTGGTCAACCAACTTGGGTATGGGTCATATTTAATCGATTAGCAATGCATTTGTCCCAACACCTTGTAGCTCACATTGCATAACCCAATCGCCCGAATTGTGATTTCTTTGGGGTGTTCAATTTTGGGGAGCAACACTATGAGCATCTCGTTACGCATCCTAATGCAGTCATGATTCATGAAACAAGAAACAATATGGTCGTGGAAGTCTATTCTCCCAACTTTTTTTAATAAAAAGTCTACTAGAATTCATCCAGGCGAATTTGAGTTCGCAGAGGTTTAATCATGTTGAGTTCCACAACAATCCTAACGAATTTGCCTCGTCGGAGTTGTTTTTTGTGGTAGTTTAGTTTCGGCGTTCAACTCAGGAGATTACCGAGAGCAAAGAGTACCTCTAGGTGATAAAAATGAACAAGGAGTTCTGGTAATTGAACCGAGCAACCACCAATCGGTAAAGCTTGTTTGAAGTGCGGAAGGTATGTGTCCATTGGTGAAAGATCAAGTAGTGGTCGAAGATTACCTATGGACTACAAGTGAGAGCGCATAAATAGTCTTGGTCATTACTAAATTTCACCCAAAAAATTCATTGTGGATATCCATTATATCCAGCGATCTCAACGGTTGTTGTTTCCAACGAAGTTGGGAGCACAAATAAGAGTAAGACACTAATTTTTCAAGAAGTCTTATCACAAGAGTTCTCTTCAATAGAAGGAATAACATCTCCTTAAACTTTGTAAATATCTTAAGATCTATAGTTCTTCGTCGAAAGAGTCGGCCTCTAGATCTTGCTCGGCGACAAAAGTTATGATGGAGCTTGATTGGTTTCTTCCAGTGATAGCTGATATGTAGTTCAAGGGTGGGAAGTCTCGTAGGCGTAGCATAGAAGTGGGTAGATTCGAAGGTGGCGCCGCCAACAGTATGTTAGGCACATGCCACTTTGTGACAGCGGGGTCCTACTAAACTTGGGGGCCACCTACATTCAATTCGACGGGGCTTCGCCCATAGAAGTGGGTAGATTCGAAGGTGGTGCCGCCAACAGTATGTTAGGCACATGCCACTTTGTGACAGCGGGTCCTACTAAACTTGGGGGCCACCTGCATTCAATTCGAAGGGGCTTCGCCCATAGAAGTGGGTAGATTCGAAGGTGGTGCCGCCAACAGTATGTTAGGCACATGCCACTTTGTGACAGCGGGTCCTACTAAACTTGGGAGCCACCTGCATTCAATTCGACGGGGCTTCGCCCCCAGCAGCCTTATACCTCCGGTAACACCTATGAGTCTCGCCTGGATTCGAACCTGGGATCTGCAATTCCCAAACATTCACTGTCGCGACAGTTTTACCGTTAGACTATCTTATCTTTGGTGCATTTTTATCTCTATTATAATGGAAATTATGTAGGATAATAATTCTCCATCTATATTTTTTCTAGGGGAAAAGGGTTTCATAAGTTAAGTTAAATAAAAGGCATTTTGCTAATTTCTCATGCACGTTAATGGGAATTTAACATCAAATTGACGAAAAGAGTGTGCATGTAAAAAAAAAAAAAAATTGAAGCTTAGAGGCTTCTTTAGAAAAAAAAGTAAGGATAGGAGGTTTAGTTGAAAAAAAAACTCATTGTTTCAATGGACTACATTGACAGAGGATATTTCAACCATTCCGCATGCACGTTAATAAACATTTGTTTGTTTTGACGAGGAATTGTAACGAAACAATTTGATTTGATTGTTTCGCAGTGAGACAATTGGATCAAATTGACCCATTTATTAGCTTAAAAATTGGATGGATCAATTTGCCCCCGAGAATTTTTAATTTATCTATTTTAAGTAAATTCCAATTTTCTGTGGTAAGACAAATAACTCGAATGAATTCGTTATAAATGACTAATATTACAAAATGGTAGTATGAATGAATTCATTGATATCACTCACCAATAAAAAAATAAAAAAATTATTAAATTAAATTTAAACGGCATCTTGAAGAAAAATTATTGAGAGATTTAATGGGGGAAAATTCCATTAAAATTAAAATTTTGGCAGCCAAAGAAGAAAGTGTCGCGTTTTATGGAGTTTAGCCGCCGTTTTGCTGGTTGCTTATACGCTAACTTAAAGAAACCCTCCAAGAACCGAGTGCAAGGATCGAACGGAGAGACCGAGAGAAGTGAGGGGTAAGGTGGAGGCGACTGGATTGGATCGTTTCTCCTGTTGCCGTCTACTCCGCCACCCGAGGGTTTCCGGTGACGTCGATTGGCCGTCGCCGCAGCGTGAAAGAAGCATAGAGCGGTGGCGCTGGATTACAAAAGAGCGGAGGCGAGCAACTGGATCGTAGGGAATCGGGCTTCGTTCGCACTAGACAAGAAGAGTAGCAGAGAAAGAAAGGTTTTTTTGCGTTAGAGAGGGGAAGAGAGGTGGCACTCGCTGGCTGGAGAAGGAAGACGCTGTGGGAGGGTAAGAATCGAAGATCCTGTTGGGAACCGGGAATCGCCATCGTTGCTTACTTTTTTTTCCGTCCGTTTTTCTGTGCAAACCTAAGGTATTGTCACTTCCCCTTATCGGTGCTTTGAACTGGTTATATTTGAATTGTGGAAGTTTATTGCTCGTTTATGTTTTGGGAAATGGGGTGCAGAATTTCGTTCGGATATATCTGTTTGATGTTGTTTAGATTAAGTGAGGCGGGTTCTCTCTTGCACTTACTCATGGAGGCTTCTTACTATGATAGATAGATATAGCCCTCTTTTGTGTTCAATACGTTTTGCTTTGTTGGTGGAGATATTCAGAGTGTTGCTAGAAATTCTCTCTTGGACTGATTGATTGGTTATTATTCGTAGTAGGACAGAGAGACGGCTAAAGGACCTAACATTTTATTATGTTCCCAAATGTTTCTTAAAGGTAGACAGACCTCTGATTAGTGGCTTTAGTTAGTTTCCAGGTGAAACAAAAGCTTCTACGGTCTTCGTAGTAATGCCATGCAAGAAGTAATGCAGTTTTCACTTCCTTGAGGATAAGGTTTGGAAGGGTCTGTTGTGGAAATTTCTTCATACTTCACTTTTTGTAGGGAAGCATGGTGAAAATGGAATGTCCTATGATTCTACGACACACATAGAGGTTTAAGCAGTCTTTGGTTTGTCGGTGAACCCGTCTTCTTTGCTGTTGGTATAGTGATATAGTGCTTGCCCAAAAGCTCAGTGGATGAAGTACTTGTTTTGTATTTTCCAGTACTTTTAGATATTGTTCTATACTTTTCATGCAAGTTATGAAGCTGTTTGTTCTGCTTGATTGGTTGTGACATCCCCTACATTTTTCTGGGTTGTTTTTTGATGCATAAGTCTAGTTCTGTTTGTGTACCAAGCATGGAATTATTGGACTATTGCTATCCTATGAATCTCTGACAAATATAGTATTTTAAGATTTTTTTTTTGTCAGAGTGCCAGTTTTCTTTGCTCATTCATGTTGTAATGAAGCGCTCGACTCAAATAGCAGTTGGCGAAATGCTTTTTTGGGGTTTTCCAGTATTTTTGGATTGTTCAATAATTGTCACGTTAGCTTTGAAAATGTATGTTTCTGCTTGATTGGTTAATGGTTGAGCCATCTCCTTCGTATGTTTCTGGGCTGTCTTTTGATTCAGAAAATCTAGTTAAGGTTTTTTTAAACCAGTGAATCCTGAGTGTGGTAAAGGATTGGTTCACTAAAGTAATTACTGTTTATGTTGTGTACTTGGCTTACAAAACGGGCCCTATGATGAGTTTTAATATATATATTTTTGTAATTGAATGATGGGAATGCTATAATTTGCTCAAGTTTCATGATTTGTGTTATTATTCTTTCAAATTAGGCTCATTTGCTTAGTTTCTATTTTGCTTCTGAAGGGTTTATCATATGATGCCCTTGTCCTATTTCACTATGCTCTAAGTTAGAAATAGGCTAGCTATAGCAATTATGATGGACATTTGTCTCATGCTTTGACAAGTTCCTGATACAATAGTTGGAGGTTGTTGCTCTTTGTTCGTGAAACATCTCTTGCTACTCTGCTTTACTATTTTCCGGAAGTGCACATGGGGTTTAGTTCATGCGACTACCTTCATTTGAATTCTATTGTCAGCTGTTGTGCTGGCAACAGTGGAACTTGAAAAGGGACACGACACATCTGTGTTTTTATATATTATGATCTGTCGAACTGTTTCTTGATCGAGACACCCTTTTCAAATTTTCTGTTTGATTACGGTTAAGTGCAGGTCTTAGTTCATAATACTTTTACTTATTTCCTTATGTTAATTGGAAAACCATCTAAGCTTATGTTAAAACACCCTGCAACCTGTTTTTGCAAATTACTTTCCGTAGGGTTTTTTTAGCAGATTATTTATCTGAAGTATCTCGAGGCAATCCATTTGTACTGAATAAGTAGTATTTATCTTTTTGGTCTGCTTTCTGCCCAGAACATACACAGAAGTTATGCAAATGAATTTTTGTAATTTAGTTGGCTTCTGAAAATATGGTTCTTTAGATTATGTTCTGTTTTATATTTGATCTCACTTAGCTCTGTATACGAACTGCTTCCTTATTCATGAACCAAAACTGAACATGTTTAGTGATATCATCGCAGCTTTCTTGAATCCTTGTACTTTATTGCCCCGCCTGACATGTGGTGGTTGCTATGATAGATTTCGTTGCTATGCTTATCTTACCCTGTCAAAAGCTTGACTGAAGCTGCTGTTAGTGCTGTTTCCATTGAGCTCCTCCCTCTTTTGCTAGATAATGCTTTCACCTGATGACTTAATTCTCCACTGTTTCAGTCTCACAAATCAATGACGAAAGACAAGAAGGTCCCCAACATGACTGATTCTTCCAAGTACCACAAGGTTTCTTCCCTTTATCCATACTCCAATTATCCTAGGAAGGCCATCAAAAAACAAGGGAGGACCTCATTGAAAGAGCATAAAGTAAAAAATGATTGGGAAGGTGCAACCTGTTCAGTATGTCTGGAATACCCTCACAACGCTGTCCTTCTCCTCTGTTCTTCCTACAACAAGGGCTGTCGTCCCTACATGTGTGCCACCGGTCGATGCTTCTCCAACTGCCTTCAGCAATACAAGAAAGCATACACAAAAGCAACAGCTTTAGGAGACAGTAATTTAAGTTCCAAAGTTCCAGAGCTTCTGTGCCCACTGTGTCGCGGACAGGTCAAAGGCTGGACGGTAGTGGAAGCGGCTCGCAAGTACTTAAACCGCAAGAAGCGAGCTTGCATGCTTGATAGCTGCTCGTTCTTTGGATCCTACAGACAGCTGAAGAAGCACACTAAGGCGAACCACCCTTTGGGATGCTGCCCCCGGGATGTGGACCCCGTGCTCAAAGAGAAATGGAAGGCGCTCGAGCGCGAGAGAGAGCGCAGCGACGTTATAAGCACGATCTTGTCCTCAACGCCTGGAGCAATGGTGCTCGGGGACTATGTGATCGAGCCACCAGGTCGCCATCATGGAGGAGGAATCTATGATTCCGACGACTATGAGTCCGACGAGTCTCTCGATGAAGACGATGATGATGAGCTGTTTCCTCTGGGGAATCGTGGGGTGATGCATTATGATGAGGAGTACGATCTGGACTACGGATCGTTTGATGAGGACGATAGGCATGGGGTCTTCCATCGTGTGGGTTCGGCAGGTGCTGGTGGTAGTCGTGCAGTTCCAGCAGGGAGCAGTTTCCACAGATGGCTGTTCGGAAGGGCGGCTCTTAGGCCGCGGTCCGGGTATAGACGAGGTAATGGACGTCGTTAGGGTTTTCCTTATTTGCTACTGAATGTCTAGTTGCGGCATGTGATGGTTGCAACTGCATTTTTGTGGGAAAAGCGGATGCAATTTTTTCGCCAGAGACGATTGATTTCATTTCAGCATTCACAAACAATTAGTTTTTATTGTTTCTGGGACGTTAAGAGGGTCTGTTTGGTTAGCTTTTCTTGTTTACTCTTGGCCAGTTTTTTTGATTAGTTAGTTGCTGCTTACTGGAGTTCTGTGGGAAGCAATTTTCTTCATCTTGGAATTTGTGGCCTCTTGAATTCTACTGTATGAAGTCAGAGAGTGATACTATTGGGAAAACATGTTGCTTGATGATTTCTAGGTTACTTTTACTTCTAAAAATGCATATGAAAATTGCTCGGAGATGTAAGCCGGCGGTCTCTGTTCCTCTCGGCCTACATCCTCAGCGTTCGGGGTGTCCGTTAACCAAAACCCGAAAAATTCGAAACCATTGAAAACCGAACCCGAACTTGATAATGACTTTCAGTTTTTGGTTACCTGAATTTCGAAAATTCCTTATCGGATTCAACCTGAAAACCTGAACCCTTAAGAATACGGGTTGATCGATAAGCAAAATCGAACCTGAAACCCGAAAATCGAAAATGTCCTTAATCGGGTCGGTTTCGAGTAAACCCAAAAAACCGAACCTGAATGGACACCCTTATTTAGCCTTGTCTGTCTTCCGCAGTATTTTAGATAAATGGTGGAAGCACCTCGCCTCCACCGACAATATCTTAACTAATATTTTCACCCAATGGTATTTTAGATAAGTGCAAACACTTCACCTTTCAACTAATTGAACCCAATAAATCTACCTTTTTTTTCATTTATAAACTACTTTTTCTTTGATTTATAGTTTAAAGTAAACATTCTCTTCAAATAATATAAAGGTATGGATCGACCTTCCTTGATCCTTGATCCGTACTAACACGTGACACAACTATTACCCAACATGACTCGCACTTAGTGCACATTGTTGAAGAACCCGCCCCGCCCCACCTCATTGGCATCAATAATAACAAATAAACGACTAAATGATGTTAAATAAATGCATCAAAATAGGAATGTTTCTCAATTCTACTTAACATTTTGTTTAATGTAGAAGTTGCGCGTATTATGTACCATTTTGTTTAATGTAGAAGTTGCGCGTATTATGTACCATGTGTGGTGGTGTAATTGGTGGTACAAAAAGGGATATTTGGTGCTAGCTTAATCGAGTAACAATGCTGATAGACTAAAATGAAAAATCACATCGTGAACGCAGGGCGTGTTTTCAAGCACCCGACGTTTTAATTTTATGGAAAAGGTAAGGAAATTGGTTGAGCTTCGTTTTCCAGATCTTTCCTCTCTGGAAATTCTCACTTTGCCTGTTGGTGGTGAGAGAGTTTCAAAGGGACATGAATCATTTCTTAAATTAAAGAGGTAACAATACATTGTACATTTGTACTGTACATCCATCCATTGTTGCTTCTATTCCATTTCTTTCCTGTTTTTACAATTTGTACAGATTATGAGGCCCAAGCTTGTATAAGTGATCACCTGAAATATTAACATGTACTCTAAAATGTGTTGAACTTTGTTAATCTTCAGCACATTCGAATTAACTTAGCTACTTCTGTCCACCATCATTGTCCGTGTCCAGCTCGAGGCCTTCTGCAGCTAGAAGCTTGCTGATAAGCCTTTTCTTCTCTTCCTCTGCTCCCTTCCTCATCAGGTCCCGTTTCTTCAAGATGAGCGTGTGCCGCTTCATTGTCGTGCTGAAGTATTCTGCCGATGCCTTCTTCTCCTTCGCCAAGATACGTCGCTCTTCATCTGGATCGATCTAAACTCATGAACACAATCAGACCAAGTAACATAAAACTATTACTGCAAGCAGAAAACTTGAGGGGTCGTTGGGATGGGTGGATTGTAGTAGACCCATAAAAGATGTTGAAAATGTTGTCTAGAATCAATGATGCGCGAAGAGAAGTAATTGTGAAATGAAGTCCCACAAAGCTAATTTAAGTTTACATAACAAGTCCTTCCTCTCATGGACAGATTTAGTAAGAGAGATTTGGGGCCTTTAGCATCCATTTCTGGTCATCCAAACGGAAGAATTACCAAAATCCTTCAGCAGGGAGAATTCAAACCCAATCCCAACATCGCTTCACACACCCACACAACCCCTAAGAGAATATATTCACCATATGGTTACCAACTGTTTACCTAATACCTTCCTTAAGCTGAGACGTCGATGCTCTATCAGCGAGGTAGCAACATGAGAAATTCTGGAACATAAAGATACATACCTTCGAACGAGAAAGCTGCCTCACACGAAGATTTATTTCACGCTGCTGCTGTTCAGCCCACGTAGTGATTGCCATATCCCCGCGTTGATCAAAAGCTTTTCGCTTCTTAATCAGCCAGTCCATCCATGCTTGTGATGCCTGGTAGTTAGCAGCAAGGCAACAAAATTCACATAATAAAAAAGCTCATCAAAGCAAATACATTATGAGGCAATCAGTGCCTATGATAAAACTCGAATTCGTGTCGACGAAGTGTCGAATTACCTTCATAGGATTGACCCTGTTATCCATATCATACTGCCTTCTCTTATCCCGGTCCATGAGCAACTCATACGCAGCTTGAATCTTGATGAACCTAGCTTCAGCCGTTTCACCTTCCCCCAATGTCCCTCTCCCGTTATAGACTTAAAAATAAGAATACACATGGATGCAAACCATCAATCACAACAGAAATTCCAATATCAAAACGAAGCAAAGCAGCAGCAACGGAGTGAAGAGGAGAGCAAAACCATCTGGGTGGTAGAACTTCGCCAAGCGTCTGTAAGCCACCTTAATTTGCTCTTCATCGGCATCCCCTTCCAACTCTACCAAGCGCAAATATGGGGAAATCCCAGTTTCAAAAACATAAACAAAAAAAACAAGGAATTCCGATTGCTCTGCCGGCCGATTATAACTACAAGCCGGTGAGCTGAGAAATTTTACCGAGGGTTTCGTAAGGAGATATCTCGTCCACCCAATCAGACGCCTTGACGACGGTTCTCTTCTGCTTCGCACGGGACCAGGGATCGTTGTTATGATGACCATGGAGCCAGGGAGAGAAGGAAGAACACGCCGACGACGAAGATGAAGCTAATGGATTCGGCAACTTGGAATCGCGGCTTCGGAAGGAAACCCTAACTCTGGAGCGAGGCTGGTGCCTGCCGCAACGGATGAAGGAGGTGAAGAGACTGTGGGTCGGCCTGCTGCAGAGTGTTCGCAAATTGCTCATAGTTTACAGCCACGGATCTTCTTCCTCTTTCGTCCAACCTCTGGAAATCGCGAATTAGGAGGCGGATTTTCCAGGAGAGGGTTTGCTTACTTGCTAAAGGAACAGATTCTTGGGCTGACTGAATTTGGAGGTCGAAGGCGTCAAGAAAAAAGGAAATGCTGTATATAATTAAATCATTTATTCATATTTTTGTTTCTTTTGATTTTGAAAGAATCTCACTGAATCTCCTCCTTCCGTTTGTTTCTGTTTCTTGTTCCGTTTTTTTTTTCTTCTATTTCGTTCCCAAGAAATTCCCATTCCACATAAATTTTCTCTTCCCCAAATTACGATATGTGGCGGCAAATCATGTCCAATACTCCAATAGTGGACAATTACATAAATGGGCACTTGATTTTGGGGTCATTAACTAAATAGTTACTGTACTATGATTTATGATAGAAATTAGAACAATCAGGTAAGTTTACTTACACACTTGCTAACAAAATTTCTAAGTCACTTTCCCATCAAATGTGAACGGATCAGGAGGGAAGGAAACGGACCAGGATTGGGGTGGATTTCACTCTACTTAAAATAGTTCAGAGATTTTATTCATATTCGTACTCACACAATAATCGTACTCACACAATAATCGATAATCGAATAGAATATCAAAACCATATCGGGTTCAGGTACCAACACTTGGGTCAGCCGAAGGCCCTTGTGACCTGGTTTGGCACCATATCGCGCAACACTGATTTTGGTATGCAGAAAAAGGCTTCCTTCCCACCTGATTTGCAGCTCTAAATTTTAAGCAATCCAAATCCTTCTTCATCCTCAATGTGCCAGACTAGAAAAAGAGTAAAATTCAGCCAACGTGATAGAAGGGTTCGTGTTTAACCCTCTCGACCTCGTCGTCCGTTCGAGAGATAAGTCTGATAAATGAAAGGGGAGGCAGCACTTGTACAAAGGAACCACATCAACAAACAGATCAACAACACAATACTACTTCCTGTTTTGAACAAACAAACACGCATAACCTGCTGTATCCAACTGTAGTTAAGCAAATGTATCAGTCCCTCAAAGTGTCTGCATACAGCTAGTGGATCGATTAGGGTCGAAAACGAAAAGGAAGCGAAAGCTTGGAGTCCCCGTTCGTACACCAGTTACTACTGCCGAGGTAGTGCCTGCCTGCCTGCCCGCCCGCTGGATCAATCATACCTGCCATAGTGAGTTCATAAGAATGGTGGCATTAGCCAGACAAGTAGCAGGAGAACCAAGCAGTTAAAAAAAGCCCATGCGACATTAGCCTCAACGAAAACACACATATAAAACCTAGCTGATGATTTTGATAGAAGATTGTGATGTTAACAACGAGACCAATCACTTACTTACAACAAGAGAGTTCCATCCATCATACTCCAACGCATGGATTCAGAGGTATGGAAGAAGTAACTTGACAATCTACACGATACTAAAAAGAAAATGACAAATGCTCAAATGCCCTAGTTATGGCCTGCAATTGTGCCTCGGATTTTGGTGCATCAGGGGACAAAAGATCAGTGTAAAGAACCAAAAGATTAAGGGAAAAAAAAACATCTTATTAGATTATAGTCCTCCAATTAACGAGCGTTATTTATCATTAATGTGATATAAGACGACTGAAGTAGGAAACAAACTTCACCTGTACAGCTACTCATATTGCGGCTTGACATCAATTACACGATTACTCGTTCATATGTGTCAACAGCTCCACTTCTTTGGTACTGGACATCTATCCGACTGAGAAGTTCAGTGTAAGAGGAAGCCAATGACAGGTCGAGGAGATGGTTAACACTCTGACCATCTTTGGTGCAGTCTTCAGTATTTTGATCTTCCATGCAGCTTACATCATCAGAACTTCTTTCAACTGGCTGATTGAAATGAATGATTTGACCAAATAGCTGAAATGAGCTAATAGTGCCACAATTTGCAGAAGTGCAGCCTTGATTCCCCAAAATTTCAGTGCCAAAAGACTGCATGCTACTGTGGCTGTCTGGTGATAAGTTGTCAGATTGTGAGCTACCGATGTTCAGCTCAGTTGACAAGCTCCCAACCTTAGGCATCATAACATTTGTGAAAGAAGTAGTTGCACCAGATATCTGAAGACCACTATTTTCAGTCACGCAGTTGGATAAACCAAAGGTGGGAAATGTATCATTTTGCCTGGCTCCCTGCATGCCAGCAGGAAAATTGTTGAAATTCAACAATGGTGGACCCATTGTTGAATTAGCTAGTCCTGACATAGGAAAGCGGAGATCTCCCTCTCCATCATCCATCAGCAACTCGGACTTGTCTGGATATCTCAATTTCTTTGGTGCCGGAATCCCAGATTGGAAAGATGAATTTGTTGAAGCAAATGTCACTTGCCAAGGGCTGATTCTCTGCGCACTCTGTAGAACTTCAGGTTCATCCCACTTAATCTGTATTACGGAAGGTTTGTGAGTAGGAGAAAAGAGAGAGAGCAGATTGCACACAGAGAAGAATGAAGAATATTCTAACACACTGAGAGCACAAAACAAAAACAATCCAAAACTTCCAAAAATATTTAATGGGACTAACTTGAGGGACCAGACACGAGCTCAGTATAGTCTCTCAATCGAATACTGGAATAAGGAAGTCTTCGTTCTCAAAATGTAGATAGATTGGTGCCTCACATAAAGGCATAAGAATTAAAGAAGAAAATAAAGCCAAAGGCATACAAGAACAACTAGGAATGACAGAATATTCCAGAAAAGTTTATTTTGTGCTCTCGCTGTAGCATGACCTTGGTAAAAGGATTAGACATTGAGCATTACCGACTCAAACCTTACAAGTCTCTACCTAATCCAATTATAAACAGCCAATGCAAGACAAGAGTATACTAACAATCACAAACAAGATGATTTGTCTCTACTCTAGCTGCAGCATGACCTTGGTACCAATGAATTAAATATGTAGAAGAACAGAGCCAAACCTTACAATTCTCTACCAGATTCCAATTTTCAATAAAATAATATAAACAGCTACTGTAAAACAAAAGGATACTAACAATCACAAACAAGATGATTCATTCATTTCCAACCGAAAAAAGAACAGAGCCATCTGTGTGAGCTCCACCTCATGGTTTCCATGGCCATAATCTCATAAAGCTCAACTTGATATCAAATTAAGCACACGACAAAAGCAAAGGTATCCACCAACAGTAATTAGTTTGACATAAATGTTATAGCACAGCAATAGGATCCCCAGTCTTTCAGAGTCATGACGATATGGAGTTCTTGTTTTCTTTTTCTTCTAGGGATACGGTTTAGGGTTTCTTTACTGCATCAGTCCTCACTCTCTATTGACACAGCGCAAAATGGACAACACCCACCAAAAGAAAATATGCTGGCAAATATAACATGCAACACCTGTTTGATTTATACCCTAACATAGACCAGCTATAGGAAACAAAATATAGTTTACTATCAATTTCCATGTAATACCACCAGCTCCCAACACCCTTATCTTTTCTGACAGAACAGAACATCCCACGCTGAGTAAATTGGAAGTATCAGCAGCAGAGTATAAGTCACCAAGACCCACATTGATAGTTATGCATGACTTAGTTAACACCAAAAATGGCCAATCCTGACATAGAATCACCATCATCGAATCTGAATTCTCAGTCTGGCTACTGATTCAACAATCAGCACCTAGCCTATCCATCTTCTTAGATATACTTTACTTGACCAGAAATCTATATTGATAAAAGAACACTACACCAGTAAACTTAGACTGAACCATCTTAAGTTCTTATCGCACCAATGGTGAATGAACACTAGGTATATAAGCATTTCAGGTGCTGACCACAAAATGCCCAAACACTAGCCTCAATTTACGAATCATTCAGATGACAATCAAAATGACAACAGAATCTCCACAATCAGACTACAAAGAACAGGATAATTAGAAACAGATCAATATACACATACGACATATCCACACCTGAAGCATTCTCCAAGGAGATCCCTGCCATGGCCCGCAACCTGGAACCACAGCTGAAGCAACTGTGCCTTGAAACCATGTAGCCCTTGACAGGTCTTCCGATTCGACAGCCATCTTAACTCTGGTCCCGGCAGACCAAAACATACCGAGAGCAGCCTCTACAACATCAGCACCGACCACGAAATCGGAAAACGACCATGATCTAGGGTAATACACAGCTTCAAACGGCAAACCCCGCGCAGCCAGCTCCGTCGCCTCTGCAACGGCTTCATGTGTCAGCATCCCTCTGGCACTGGTCCTGGAGCCACCGTCCTCCTTTGGCTTGACTTTGGCCTCCTCCCCGGTACCAAAATGCTCGCGCCACCTGGCAAAATTGGCAGCATTGCTAAACCTGGCCGACCTGCGGACTCCGATGAACATCTCGCCCTGCGCGCTCCGCATGAATATGACGGAGTCGCCGGCGATCAGCTTCTTGTTGTTCACAAACTTGCTCCATCCAGTCGTGAGCAAGTGGCGACGGGGAGTCCCCCGGTAGATGTGGCGGAAGTCCCATCGAGTCCCGTGGACGTCCGTGACGGTTAGGGTTTGGACGGGAGGGTCGGCTTCGTAGTTCAAGGGCGGGAATATGGAGTCAGCACAGAACCTCGGGACGGAGAATCCTCCGCCGTTATTAGCATCGGAAGCGGTTAGAACCTTGGCGTAGGCCATAATCCTGTCTTCCTCGGGATGCTGGAAGAGAGGCAAAGGCGCACCGAGGGAAGAGGAACAAGAAGAAGGATGATCGAGAGGGAGGAGGTGGAGCTTGACGTAGACCTCGTCGGTGACGGGATCGGCGAGGAACTGAACGGAGGAAATGCGGCAGAGGATCATTGGGCGGGAGAGGACGAGCGGGGAGATGGAAGGAGGGAAAGGAGAAGGCGATGAAGACGAAGAAGAAGACTGCTCGAGGTGGCCCTGGGGGAAATAGTAGACCCTAGAATTGACGGAGGGGATTTGGACAAAGGAACCAGCACAGGATTGCCAGATCCGGCGGTCCACCGTGCGAGGAGGAGGAGGAGGGAGCTCGACGGAGGGCAGCGATGGCGGCATTTCTGGGATTTTCAGTCCAGTGAAACTGTTTTAGGGTTTTGGAGGGAGAAAGAGGGGGGAAATTGGAGGGAGGAAGAAGACAACGAGAGAGAGGCGGTTTTTGGCTGTCTCGTCTCTGTATGTAGCGAGTGGTCTGAGGGGGCGGGAGTGCCGTCTTGGAGTTGGAGGTCGGAGAACCAGCACGGGAAACACTCAGGAAATCATATTCATATTTATAAATTTTTCAAGGGCTTGACACCATGTTGTCCGGTTTATTCCATTGTGCCTTGTGCGGTTTCATGGTCCAATCGGGGGTTGAACTAATTTATCCTTGCTAGTTTAACAAAATATATGTAAGGAAGTAGAAAATCACTAATAAGAAAATTTTGAACTTTGCTACGATGATTTGCAAGTCACCGTGATTCAGACAAAACGATCGACTTGTTTACTGATATGGTTGACCTATTTGGACAAAACAATCGACCTCTTCACTGATATGGTCGACCTATTTGGACAAAATGGTCGAACTCATTGTTGGAATGATGGACCAGATGTACTATTTTTCATTTTGCTATATTCAACAAACGGTCAATCTCTTCCACTAAAATGTCGTCCACTATACAAAAAATGGTCTACCACTTCCATCACGTGGTCTACCTCTTTCTTAAGGATGGCAGTGAAACTCGGACCTGCGGGTACCCGGCCCGACCCTACCCGGTAAAAGCGGGTAAAATCTTTGTTGATCGGGTTTGGGCCGAGTTTGGGTTTAAACCCGATGTCCTATTGAATAAGTTGGGGCGGGTTCGAATTTGGGAGTAACCGACCCGTGGATACCCGACCACACCCAATAACCCTAACAAACAATCTAACACTTGTTTCCCAATTTCACCCCAACTCCCAGAAACCCAGACCGCCGCATCTTCCATCCTCTCCCTCTCTGAATTGCAATTCGCTCGCGAGGCTCCACCTCCCACCGCGGCGCCGCCCTCCCCCTGCTCCGCGCCTCCCTCCCTGACTCCATTCCCGGCCTTCCGTCCCGACTCCATTCCCCACGGTCGCCACCCGACCAGATCTGAGTCTCGTCATGCGGCCCTCCCCCTACTCCTCCTCTGCTTTGCGCCTCCGCGAGTCATGGCTCTGCCTCTCACCGACGGTCGACTCAAAACTCTCTTTGAATCGCGAGACTCCATCTCCAGTTGAGAGACTCGCCGACAGCAGACCTCCCGTCCCAACTCCATTCCCGCCACCCGCCGAAATCCTGGTTCGCTTCTGCTCGGCCTCCCTCTGACCCCTGCTCCTCCTCTGGTCCGCTTCTGCTCGTCCGCCCACAAAAACCCGCGAATACCCAGCGGGTTAGATAGGTTTGAGTTTTTCAAACCAAACGGGTTTTACCCTGGGATTTTTTGGCGGATAAACCCATAGATTTGGGTTTGGTAAAACCCGCCCCAACTCGACCCATTGTCATCCCTACTCTTTCCCCAAACGGTCCACCTCTTTCAATAATTGGTCCACCTGATGAACCATTGCTAGTGATATCATCATATATAATTAGAGTCCAATAACAATAGATATGCTTCCTAGTAAGAGATTTAAAATTATTACAAAGGCTGCAAGCATAGATGACAAGTTTATCGAGTGATTGTTCTCCCGTAGATTTGAAAAATGTTTAGCATATTTATTTCTTATATTTGACTTTCATCTTTCCTTCAAAATCTAAGTTTTCTTGTTTCTATCCTATAGTTCTCTTGTGATGGAACAACTTTGTTGCTATTGTTGTTATGAAGATGCTCAAAAGGTAGAGTATATTGTTATACAATTGTGTCATCTTCAACGTTGTTAAAAGAGGGTGTTTCTTTTTGTCTTGGCCTATAATCTGCATAGTGATTTGGTTGCCAACAGGTTATAGAATGTTGCATTGCTACAAAAAAAATTATATTGTTGGTCTAATATTTGTCCATTATTTTTCCTAATGTAAGTATAAGGTAATTGTGTCATATGGTTGACTGTTCGCCAAAAAAGGAGATCATTCGCCGAAAGAGGTACATAAACCATTTTGTGGAATCGGTAGGCTGTTTTGGCAGAAGCAATCAAAATTCACCAATAATCATTGTAAGTTGAAGGTATGTTTCATAGGTCGTCATATTGCCAGAAGTGGTAGACTAGTTGCCTCAAGTGGTAGACCGCTTGGTGGAAGTGGTAAACCATTTTCTTGGAAAGTGGTTGACTACTTGGTGGAAGAAGTCGACCACTTAAAGACAATTGTGTCATCAAGTTGACCCATTTCCAGAAGTGGTAGACCGGTTGACTCGAGTGGTAGACCACTTGGTGGAAGAGGTCGACCACTTGAAGGTAAGTGTGTCATCAGGTCGACCTATTTTCGGAAGTGGTAGACCAGATGACTCAAGTGTTAGACCACTTGGTGGAAGAGGTCAATCATTTTCTTGGAAAGTGGTCGACCACTTAATGAAAGAGGTCGACCACTTAATGAAAGAGGTCGACCATTTTCACCAAGTTACGGTGACTTGCAAGTCACCATAGGCATACCCAAAGAATTTAGACATATATAAAACATATTTGAAAAAATCTCTTTAAAATCTACATCTATATTTAAATAAAATGCAACAATTAACATATTTAACATCAACATCCAAAATTTTATACTTGAATCCAACAAATAATATGCACATATAAAGATGCATATATACTTGAACCTAATTGTACTGATCGATATTGCCACCAACATGACAACCATAGCTAACACCACTACAAAATGCAAAGTATAAAAAAAAATGTCAAGTGAGAACTTCTCAGATGACTAGAGTGTTCGGAATTATGTGTTTTGACTTTTGAATAATGTTACACCCCATTCTTTCTAAAATTCAAAATGACAAGTATATCCTTAGATCAAGGTGTCAAGTCCATCGTAATATCGATGGCGATTAAAAATGTGAACTATCAATTCGAACGGTGTCGAATTTCGATTTAAAGCGACGAAGTTACGAACGTAATATGAGTTTTGGATCAAAACCCAACCGGTTGGGCTGGTAGAATACTTCAATGAAAGTGGGCCGAAACCCAATTGTTGTGTATAATAAGCAATACTGGGACGCTGATGCACTTGGTGGAAGAAAGAAGGATTAAGCCTTGTGGGAAGTGGAGTCAGGCTCAACAAAAGCCCATCAACGGAGTGAGGGCTCGGGTTGAAGCTTAAAGGCGGGGAAAAGAAGAACCATCCCAGAGATGTAGAGGGAGGAGCGTTCTGGGAATCCTCTTCCCTAGCAATTTCCGTCGAGGTCTTTTAGTTTATGTCTTTTAATTCAATCATGTTTGTTATTTTCAAGTAAGCGCGATTATGTGTGAGAGGCATCCCACCGCCTACTTAAGGTGGAGGCACGCGTTGTGCTATGTATGTGAATGTGTGTGGTTATTGGTATGATGAACCATCAGGAGGTTGGGCCACTACTGGACGTGGTAGATGGTCGGACCACTGCTAGACGACGAGACGTAACATAGCAGTTGATCGAGTATGTTGGGGTCACTACTGGACGGTGAGACGTAACGCAGTAGTTGATCGGACATGGACTGGACGGCGAGACGTAACGCAGTGCCATTGCCGAGTTTGGGTATGCAACCGGACGACGAGACATAACGCGGTTGGCATACTAGGTAGGGACACCGCCGGACGAGACATAACGCGGTGGTCCCTAGTATTTGTGTGTATAAGTTAAGATAGAAGTAGAGAACTTCTATAAGATATTAAGGAAATAAAGTGTGAAGGATGAAAGTGAGAACGACTTTCGTCTAAGTCAGGAAACCATAATAATGTGTTTTAGTAAGGAGTTTGCTTAGGGCAGAGACCTTAGGAAGTAACAACGAGACTGACCCCTTCTCACTCACCAGGTTGAGGAAGGGTTAGCATAGGTGGATTCCGAGAAGAAGTAAGACGAGGCAAGCTGTCACACCAGCAGGGACGAGACCTCAGGGAATCAGCAAGGAGTTAGAGCTAGAGTTAGTTTAATTATTTTATTCATGATTATGAGTTTATGTACTGGAGATTCAAGGTTCAAGATTCTGAGTTAAGTTGTTTTAAGTATTTGGATATTGATTACCCAAGTGTTGGGGCTTTTCGTTTGAAATTCTTAAATAATGTCGGTTTGTTGATTTTAAAAAGTGGTTTGGTTGCTCCGGAGTAACCGGTTTTTGGTTTGAGTTGTGGTTTGATTTTCTAAAAAGGTCGGGACGTTTCAAATAATTTGTGTACTCATTTTGTTGTTGGCATGTAAGACTTAATAGTAGATGAAATACCAGTCAAACTTTATTTGACTACTGCTAATGTAGCATTCATATAGGTGTCACGTCAATACCATATATGATTGAAGATTATTTTCACGATTATATATCTTGATTGACCAACAGTTTTCAACTTCAGAAGTTGTTCTTCATTTTTCGTTAATTTTGCCACCTAAATATTTGGGACAAATATTAGAGCATGTAACATTTCTTTCAACCTGGTGGCAACAAATTATTTTATGTAATGATTGAACTGGATTTGACTTTCAACTTATTTCTCTATTGATGAATGTATAACTCAACAAACTTAGGAGTTGAATATTTTGTTGATAGGTAGACGGCTCAATCAATGATAAATTTCCTCCAATTGATACATTTAACTCATGCCATCATTTAAATTTTGAACAATATTGTCACCAATAGAACTATTGTCAAAGATATCATTACAGATCTATCTGCACTCTCGAAAATGTCTTGCGACTTCAATACCTTACACTAATAAACCCATAATAAATTGAGTTGTGATTGATATTGCCACCCATTCTTCAACTTTGTTATCTAGTGCTAAAAAAAACACTAAGGAAATAAGGAATTGAGGGGTTGTGGAGCGACGTGAAGCTTTCTCTTTTCCTTGCTTACAATAAATTGGGACTTTTGAAGTGACATAATATTTGTTTGAGATGTAATGTAATTCTTTATTTGTCATTACAATAGCACAACGATGGCATTTCTTGAATAAGGTCCAAGAGTGAATGATTTACATGTTTGTTAACTAAGGACCAAAAAATAAACATGCTTTATAGAAATGAAAGGGACACAATTTCATTTCATGAGCATCCAATCAAGATGTAATAGTGATACTACATAGCCAACCTATAATGTTATGGTTATGTATTACCTCAAACGTTTTATGAATGATATCATAAAAAAGTTTTAGATATAGACACTGTAGCTTCGGCTCACATTATCATCAATATCACTTTATTAACCAATAAACCAAAAAGATGATAGCGATAGCAGTTGTAATGTTCCTCCTTGTAGCTAAACTATTCATCATCATTAGAACTATAAAGGCTTGAGCTTTCTAATTTTATCATGCAAATGAGTTTCTTCATAAACATTCTAACATACGTCTTATACGACTTAGGTGGTGATCAACATATTGTGATTGACAGATTTTCATTGGAAAAGAAAGCTATTGAGGTTAAAAATAATTGAACCTAAAGTTGGGTCTAGAAGTAGTCATTAAAGAGTCGAAATCAAACAATACCAAAGTGTGCCTCCACCAAATAGACACTAGAGGCACAAATTGAGAGTAAAGATCTTATAGAAATATGCTTCTTATGAGTTGACCAAAATGGTATGGAATGTTGATTTAGCTGAATTTGACGATTTTGAGCTTCTTAGTTTCTCTAAACTCTTACCAATAACATAGTTGGTTGTCTTCTTGGTGAGTCTGGTTATTTGGTTCTTACCATGAAGGAGGAAATGGTAGGTTTGGGAAGATCAATGCTTGAGCCTGCTTCTGATGATGAAAAGTTGTTGATGCTAATTTTGTTCTTGGGCAACTTTTGTCGTTGGGGGAAGGGGTGTTAGCGGGATCAGAGGAAAAGGAGGGGGACATGGGTGGCGACGGGAGGCAAAGAGAAAGGATTAATTTTTATATTTTATTTTGGGTTTTAATTGAGGAGGATTGGATGGTATCTGGACGAAAAGGGTGATTGGAGAGGTAGTGATGAAGGAGGAATTGAAGATGAAGTAAGATTGGAGGAGGTGTTTAAGAGTGGGGAGAGTGATTTTTCTTTTTGTTGATAATGGTGGATCTTTTTGAGAGATGAATTTTCCCCCTATAACAAAAGTTTTTTTTTATTAAAGTTTAATTAACATGACATCCAGGTGAGTGATACATAAGCTACTTGTAATGAACAGTTAAATTTGATTTGACTTCCCTCGAAAATCGTTTTACTCGTTCTCTCTACTTTTTCCCTCCCCTCCCCTCTCTCTAGTTTTTAAATGAAGATATGATAGGGGGCTGCTGCCGCCTGCCAGCTTCCTTTTTGGGAATGCGGTAGCCCTCAAGCCCTCATTTTGTTGTAAGATCCGTTTCACTCTGATTCGATGATTTACTTTCCTTCCCTATGCTTTTTCCCTGCTTTTTCCGGTTCCTTTTTCATTTGTGTTTCTTGCCTTTGCCTTTGCTTCTTCTTCTTCTCGTTTCCCGTTTGTTTCTTCTGCATCCTTGTGATGATGACGTTCTTGTCTTCTTGAGGAGATACTTTTGCTCTCCTTCATATCTCATATATGTGTGTGATGTTTCTCTAGTAGGTGTTTGAGAGGGTCGATTTTCATCAATTCCCTTGCTCATCTCTGGTTCTCCATCTACCTCTACCTCTACATGTGGATGATTCGGCGATGCATTGACCTTTGCTATCTTGGATGATGATTCAGGGAGCTTGTGTGTATGGATGTCACTCTTGAGGATGTGTTCCAACCAATTGCTCAAATTGTGGTGACTTGGTCGCCATTCCTCTGTCCATGGCCCGGGATTGTCTCTTTCGTTCTCTTGTTTTGCAAGTGGAGCTCATAGTCGTCTCTCTCTTTCCTTTCACTGTTGTAAATCTCTATATACCGTGTTTCACTTTTATGAAACAACCAACTATCTTTTTTTTTAAAAAAATTCCACCCCTCTTTGGTCTAGGGTAGGGTACATAAACCGTAGTTATGCATTTTTTCATAACCATATATGACCGACCCATTGATTTTAAGTGGCATATGATTTGATAGGTGATGAGATCATAGATTTTCTCATTTTTACACCTTTTTGAATCGGTTTGTATCTTCTTTTTTTAATTTGAATATTGAATATTTTTGCACAAATGAGACATGTTCATTATGATATAAAAAATTATATTCCTTTTTTATATATTTTGAGATTTTTTTGCCGTACAATCCTTTACCACTAGTTATCATCCTCGTAGTATTTGTACATCACCTTCGCGTTTAACTCAAATTTTCAAAGATTTGGCACAGAAGGAACTGATTATTCGTGATTTATTATGATCTAAAATTTTTCCATAACCAAATATACCATCAAAGATAAAGTGATAATGGATGGTAATCAATGATAAAAATATTTAATATATTATTATTGTCATATATTATTTTTGATCGAATTATTGTCATATTTACAATCATTCTATACTATATAATAGTTTCGTATCTAACCTCATATAATATTGACTCAAATTTTTATTCCAAAATAACAAAAATGGATGCCATTTTCGAAAGCAATTTGACTTTAAAATTTTTACCGGATCCGCTCTCCCCATTTCACCTGTCTGCACAACTAGTTCCCCTTTCTCCCTCTTAGGGATGACAATTTTGACCTGACCCGTTTTACCCGACCTGTTTGGGGCGGGGCGGGGCGGGGCGGGCATGAGTACTCTCATCGACCCAGCCTGTCCTGAACCGCCCCATTCTCGACCTGTTCATGCCTAAATTACACGTAATTTTAGTCAAATTACTTAGAATTTTCCTTTTATTACATCAAATTTTAGCTATAATAAAGTTGTAAATTAATGAAAACCTCAATTTCTCCAATAATTTAACTATATTTATCATAATATTGTTTGTTTCCTTGATCTTATTATAAAAATTACGAATATTTCTAATATTTTTCATATAAATTACATACCCATTGCGCCGACCTGTCCTGACCTGCCCGAACTCGTGACCAGTAATAAATTACCCGACCTGACCCGACCTGTCACGAGACGGGTCTGGATAACAAGAAACCCGCCCCGGAGCCTGCCCATCGCCATTCCTACTCCCACTCAAACTCCCACCGAGAGAATCCCATTAGACAAGAAAAGCGAGCTAATCGTCGTCCTCAATGGAGAAAGCCGACGTCTTCTTGGGTTTACACGACTTCCTCGACCGGATGAGGCAGTCGTCTGCCGCCGATTTAGTCAAATCCATCAAAAGGTCTCTCTCTCTCTCCCTTACCTCATACTTCAATCCTTGGCTGCAACCATAGGGAATACGAACCCTTCTCGAGCTGCCGGCCTTGGTAGTTGCTACTTCACAACAATTTTCTCTGATGGTTTCATTATAACTTCTGAATTCGCTTGCTAGTGCGGCGATTGAGCTTTATATTGGAAGTGTTTCTTTGAATCCGACTTCCAAATCTACCACACTTTTCGCTTTCTGTATGCCCTTTCAATATGCCAGCTGATTGTTAACACAAATTCCTTATGTCTATTTCGGTTTGCCACTGATGAAGATCGAAGTCCAATGTTTACCCATTCACACGACCCTAAACGCACATCGAAGAAAAGGAAATGCTGTTGAATCTTTGCTTCTTCGGTTGTAGATTGATTGAATTTGATAAATAGAGGAAACATCATGTTTGGTTTATCTTTGGGGTTTTAGCGTTTCCCCTTTATAACGACATATTCTTGGAGGTTCTCTATTAGTTGTAGGCCTGCAGTTACTTGTTTCCCATGTTAAGTAGCTAGTTAGGGTTATTAGGATTTCGTTTATTAGTGATTAGCTTATCTTTATTAGTTGCATCTTCTGGGTGTTTCTTAAGTGGATCCAGCACGATAGAGGTTCTTTCATTGTATATATTGTCCATCTAAACTTTATTTTCATCCGAATCCATGACCGGTAACTAAACCTTTGGGAACCCCTTATTTTTTTTTTCAGATCCAGCACGAAACCTAATTGTTTGATTATATAGTAAAAGGCTCCCCTCTCAAGGTCCAAGTAGATCATAAGTTGGTGTGGAACTACAGTTTGATATTTCAATAACAATGACTGGAAATGTCTGTTGCTACTTCAGCTCCCCGATTGGTTCTGTGAAGTGAATGGCAAGCAAGTAATATCATAAAATAGATTTTATTTTCTTTTGCATCAGCTAGTCATTGTGTCAAAAGGGCATCCCACTGATATTGTTAGGTCATAAGCCGTTCAGTAAGCGTGAACCTAATTTATTTATATCAGATTCTCAAGTCTCATAGTAGCAAAAATCATGCTGCTAGATGGGAAATAAAGGAATTCGTCCATAGACATGCCTGCTGAGTGAACCCAAGTGGCATTGCAGTAATGAAAACAACAATGCTTATGCAACCACTAATGACTTCTTAGACTCATAAAACAAGGATCTGCACCAGGTTCTAGCTTTATTAAAATCAGCAGACACCCAATGTTTGGCACATACTGTATGTGATCATCTAGCTGTTACAAGAAATGTGCTCGTACAGTAGATAATATAAACACCTGACCGTACCATATGAGGAGTTTTACCAAGGAAATGGTGACTATTAACATTATATTGCATGTTCCTGTTATCTATTAACACTGGAACCTGCTTATTAGCATGTTTCACATCAAGAAGCCAGCTAGTTCACTGTGCTTGAATTTGGTTTTATTTGGTTATTTTTTTATGAATATTATTTGGTAAATTTATTGTTGTTGGACAACATAATCATTTTTGAATGTTTTGATTTTGTGATCTCAGCTTCATTGTTTCATTTTCGAACAATGCACCGGATCCTGAAAGGGATAGTGCTCTTGTACATGAGTTTTTTGGCCAAATGGAGGCAGCTTTCAGGGCTCATCCGCTTTGGGCAGGCTGTTCGGAGGAGGAGTTGGAGAGTGCAGGCGAAGTGAGTTTCTTCTTATTATCTTTGCAAGTTGAGCTATTTTAACTAGATGGTGGTCTTTTCTAAGGAGTTAAAATATTTTTCTTAATTTTTACTGTGAAGGGCTGAAGGATAGCAGTGCATTAATAGTCTGTTAAGAGTTCTGTGTTACACAAAATATAATAGCCTTTCGGATTCTCACTGAACCGGGTGGAATCTTATTAGGTTTTTTTTTTCCCTACGATCAATTCAAGAAAATAGGGAACATAGTTTTAAAAGTCTTTGGCTGGTTTATCTGAGTTGGTTCTCAAACCCTAGAATAAAGAGCGTCAAAAGGGAGAACGTTTCACAAAAAGAAAGAAAAATAATGAAGAGAATTCAATCTGCAGTGTTGGTAATTTAAATAAGCACTCGAGGAATAGGGCACTGAAGTTGGATAGTGTTGGCTGAATATGTGCTTCTCTTTCTTTCTTTTTCCGTTCCATCCAATGGCCAATTTCATAATCTGCAGATTATGCATCCATGTGACTCTTGAGGAGAACTAATGTAGCACCAATGAATATGTCTATCTTATAAGCTTGAATATTCGCAGTAAAAGTTCCTCTGTTTGAAACTTGCTGTGCACCTATTTCTTAAATGAACTCGGGATCTATTGAATCATGCAATATTATTTGCCTTTATTTTTGATGGATGATAATTCTTCATTCACGAAGGTCTGTTACATCTGGGCTTTCTTTCGTATACAGGGCCTCGAGAAGTATGTAATGACAAAGTTATTTACCCGTGTATTTGCTTCACTTCCAGATGATGTAAAAGCTGATGAACAACTTTCTGAGAAGATGTCCTTGATTCAACACTTCGTTCGTCCTGAAAATTTGGATATTAAGCCACCCTTCCAGAATGAAACATCTTGGCTGGTATGCTTGTTGGTTTACTTGTAGTTGTATGCATAGTACTACTTTACATTAGCTTGTCATAAATGAACTAGGGAGACCACTTACAATAAATTCGTCATTTAATCCAAGGGATATAAAGTTCTGCTATAAGAAGTATGTACTATTGACTTTATTTTACTGATATAAGAATTCACAACTTCCCTTTGCAAAATGTTTGATATTGTTAAGCAAAAAGTTGCCTAGTTTTCCTCCTACTATGTCCATGTAGTTTAAGAATGAAGATAAGCTGGACGGCAGTCTCATGTCTTCTATATATACGTGTCTGTATTTGAATTAGAAATGCAGATATCTTAATTTGACCAAAGGGAACTTCTGTTTTTGACAATACGCCCCAAAGAGAAGTAAAAACAGTTTTTTCTCTATAACCTATATGATAAAATATTCTGCCTTTTGCTCCTGACCAAACCATTATCAATTAATTCGCTACAATTAATATATTTACTAGCCGAATAGATATTTTCTGTTTTCTCATTATGCTCCAAAAGAGGCTAGAGTTAACCACATTCTAGCTAGCTTAGAGCTCAACCCACAATAGGGCTTTTGTCAACCAAGCTTTATAGACTGGGATATGAATTTCTTTTCCTCGTAAAGGATATGATATGGCGTCACTGACTTTTGGTCTATCATGCCACCTACTGTCAAATATCCTTGTATCGTACTTAGAAACTCCATCTTTGTTGCCTTGTTCTCACCTTCATTTATCTGATGGTATGGCAGCTTGCGCAGAAAGAGCTACAGAAGATCAATATGTACAAGGCACCAAGAGATAAACTTGTGTGCATCCTCAACTGTTGCAAGATCATAAACAATTTACTGCTTAATGCTTCTATTGCTTCGAATGAGAATCCTCCTGGAGCTGATGAATTCCTTCCTGTTCTAATTTATGTTACCATGAGGGTAAGATTATGACCAAATATTATTACTGAGCTGGTAAATGTAGGGATTGCTTAGCAATTTTTTGCTCTACCAAATGAAAAATTACTATTGCAATAACTTATGGTCCTGCATGATGACCTGTCAATTCATGGCACATCATGGATTTGTGCTTGTCGATTGACTTTGAACAAACATCAATGAGGTTCCAGAATAGTAGCAAGATGTTAAACATTCAGAATAGTATTAGATTAGTCATTTACTTCAGTAACCTGGAGTTTCTTGTTACTTGCTACTAATTAGCTTTCATGATTTTGCTGGAGTTCTCCGGATCTCTAAGTTCTTTTGAGTAAATCCAGATAAGTCTTTTTATAATACTTCAGAAAGTAGTTTAAGAACGGTAGTCGTAATTTGTTTTCAATTTTTACCTTTTCAGTAAGTTTCTTTGTTTGTCATTGGACCTGCAAATACAAGTCTTGTGCGGAATACAAAAATATTAACTAGAATGAGAATTCTCCCATTTTGTGTTAGTGAAACATGTGATGCAGTCTACTTGTTTATGCAGTCTACTTGTTTATGCCTATAGGCTAAGTGACTACCGTTTCAGCTTGATCTAGATCTCCTCCAAGACTTAGAACCCAACCTGAACAACCCCTTGGTCTGGCCAGCTTGCCTAATTCGTCGCTACTGCCATTAGAGAGGTTTCCTTGAGAGTTCTAATTTTCCCTGAAAGAGTAATGCACGAAACTGTGCTTTTTTGGCTAGTGTTATGACTTTGTATGTCTCTGGTTCTTCTCTTTAGCACCTCAACTATCTATATACCTTATAATGTCATGTTTTCCTTTATGCGCAGGCAAATCCTCAACAGCTGCACTCAAATTTGTTGTACATACAGCGGTATCGGCGTCCATCCCGGTTGGTGGGGGAAGCAGCATATTTTTTCACAAACATGCTTTCTGCAGAGTCTTTCATATCCAACATTACTCCAACATCTATCTCAATGGAAGAAACTGAGTATGAAAAGAACATGGAATTGGCTCGAGCACTTGTCTCAACAGGTCCTTCAACTGAAGGTGTTACAACACTAGGTGCAAGTAATATTGTCAAACCTGAATCCATGCATCATCAGGCTTTACAGGAGAGGAACTCTTCACTTCGACCCAGAACTGCAGAGACTAGGTCTAGAACTAAAGATGCAGAAAGTTCAAAAGACGAGGTATCGTCATTGGATAAGGTTCCGTCGCTGTCGGATATAGAGAACAGAGGAGCTGCTCTCATTTTGAAGGAGGACATGGCAAGTCAAGTTTTTCGAGAGTATCCGTACTTGTATTCTCAAGTTGGTGATCTAACAATCAATGACGTGGAAGAGCTGCTGAACTCCTACAAACAGCTGGTTTTCAAGTACGTTTGTGTCTGTAAAAGTCTGGGTCGTGGTGGTGGTGGTGGAGGTGGTGGCGAATCTCTTCTTTCCAGCTCCAGTAATCGAGAAACTGTGCAGAACAATGTGGAACCCTTGAAGAACCGTCAAGAGGCTGAAACAGTAGTAGAACAGAGTTTTGAGCATGACAAACAAGATAACAGTTTGATTGCAGAATCAAAGCCTCTGGATATTGATCCATTGGCAAGTAAAAATGAGGAGCATGAAGACCCAGAGGAATCGGCGAAAATCTCGGTCATATAGCTCATTGAGAAATCACTTTTGCACACAAGGGCGATAAGAACCTGGGCGAGCATATGTTTTAACATTTTACTGTTGGCACTTGGCACAAGCTTTATTATTGATGATACAAAATGCTTCAGACTTTCGAGCTATTCGTGTTGGGTATAACGTGTTCTAAAGTTGTTCTTCGTTCAACTAGCGTTTTGTGTTTAGTAAGGTTGTTAACTGGTTGCAGATGTAACGTGGTCATAGCTCAGTTCTGTACTATGTTTCCCTGGCATTTCCCCCCAAACTACGGTACCTGGTACCAAAAAATAATTCTTATATCACTCTACTAGTAAAATTTCCCACAATACTCAAGTTTGGACATCGCCTCCAGCGATTTTGCAAGCACATCACTGACGACAGACAATTCGCGTAAAACACAGTCTTCATTGGAAGCGATAAAGGTAACTTAATCGCTCCACATCACTGACGACCCTCGGAAGAGACTGTCTTGCATTACATTACATCTTTTGGTCGTGGACACTGCAGATGGTGGTGGCTTTTCATTGTAGCTGTTGAGCCAATCTGGGTATCCTGGAAGCAGGAGCGTTTCTTGTCATTGGAGATGATAACTTGCTGATGCTTCTTCTTTAGTTTTACCTCTCTTAACACCTTTGTGCCTCGTCTGTAGGGAGCTAGCCTCCTGAATCCATCAACCCGCAATTAGAAACTGAAATGGAGAGTTCCATTCTTTCTTCCCAAGCACCGTTGAAGGCAAGATCAGTTAGTGAAACTCTCCAACATTATAACCTCATACCAGCGATTATCCTCAGCGCCAACTCTTTTTCATTTACCAAACTAAACTGATCACGATACAATTGCTGGTACAGAAATATAGTTGATTTCCAATGTTTTGTACATGTATGCCAAATATATGCGTAACTAATAGTATCTAACCAAGCTCTGTCAAGGTAAGAGTTCTGCAAGTATCCTATCCATCCCCGCTAACTCCTAAAGTCGTAACAATGTCATGAGCAACAACACTCTAGTGACTAGAAAGACAAATTCTGTATCAACATGACCTGTACAAGCTCGCGCTCTACCTTTTGCCCTCTGCGAATCGTCAATGCTTCTGGGGTGGACTTGTTAGCAATTACATTCCATCTTCAGGATCACTTTGCTGCTTTCATCGCTTCTCAACTGCTTCATTGCGCGAAAACACAAGTGGATGGATAAATTTCAGCAGTCCTGGCTTGCCTAATAAACACCACTAATAGACTTTGACGTTCAGAAAAGTGCACTCCACACGGCCCCTTCTCCTTCACCACACCTTTCCTGGACAAATTTCATCTTCTCCACTGATTTGCAGATCCCACTGCAGCTCCAGTCAAAGGATGCAACACATACACTTCCAGCCTGTGCTTTCCACTCGCAATCTGCAGTCCCCAAATTTATTCACACGCACGTTAGTCTGTTAGACTATCCAAAATTCCTACCAACCAATAGATTTCTTTCAGAGATGCAGCGAGACAACTACATTATAATGCCTAATTGCATCCCCAAATCCAACTACCTTGAACAGTTTCACAACATGCAAATCTGCATATTTAGTTGCAACCCAGAAAATTCTTGTTTCTAAGGGCGTTCATGGCCATGGAAAATTAAGAGAGGAGCTCATGTTGAAGCCACAAGAAATTTTTAGATTACCTGGTGGAGTCCCACAACACATATTCCTGTCATCAATATGCTCAACCTCAAGACCGATCAACCAAGAACCCAGAGATACATCTTCATTGGCATATTTGTGGAGTAATGGCCTGTAGTAATCAATCAACACAAGATAGGACTCTCAGCTTTCGTATAAGAACGCACAATGGCCCTGGCACATAATTGTACCATGTGAAGCTTCCAATTTGTTAGGCTACAATCTTGTCCCAGAAGCAGTCCTATTTATATACTACTCTGCTAGAGATCTCATGTCTTCGTTTTGTTTGTCCTTTCCAATCTTTTGAACCTATGATTTTCACTTTATTGATCTGTTAGGTGACACAAAGATGAAAAAACTAATCTTTGCAGCCATAATTCCATTAGATTCAATCTTTTACTGCCCTTCTGGCCACTTTTTCTTTTCTTGGGTTGAAGCCTTTCTGGTTACTTTTGACAAACTGGTAAGATAACATCTTAACAAATGGAAGTAAATCTGAGCTTTGAGGAATTGGATGCTCACAAAGCATGTTAAGGAGAAACACATGAAGATTAAACATGCTTACCGGTTGATAGAGATGTAGGTTGCAAGGTCTTTCGAAATAGCATATATCTGTCCTGTTGCATGTCGAAAATATTTGTTCTCTCCTTCCCCGAATTTCCAATATTCCGGCTCGTGATATTTGACATTCCTAAACAAAGGAACTGAATTACACTCAAAGTGCAAGGTCTCAGAAGGTGCTAGCTTAGTAGCTTAGCATGAAGCAGCTACAATCACTAAACTGTGAGAGAGAAAGTATTACTTCTGCGAAAGAACAGGCCCTGATTTCATGCATCCAATATACACCCTAGGCTTTGAGCGGTGACGAGCAAGGGTAGCAGCTAGTGTACCTAATGTGAAAACAGAGGTTAAACCTTTCAAATATAAAGGGTATACGGTTTGTCTATAGCAGTGGTCAACAAAAGAACTGTACGAAAGGAAACCATGGAGAGAAAGACAAGCAACACTGCATACCCAGATTGACATGAACATCATCATCGACCTTCACATAGTACTCAGCATCCCACTTCGCTACTGCAGTGGAAAAGAAAATCTTTGTTTTTGCAGAAAGTTCATGGTACCCTTCAACATGTTCCTACAAGATGATAAAAATTGTGACCCCCCCGGCACTGTACTTCCACAGTTGTGTCCGTAAAACATGGCATAATCATGTGCCCTCCTTACCAGCCTTAGGAAGTCCTGATGCTGAGCATCTTCAGAATCAATGGCACGATCGAGAATGCTATTGGATGTTGCACTGCAACCACAATTTGTGCCAGTTCCATAAATTAAAAGTAAAAAATAGAAACTTATGTATGCTCTTAAGCTAGCTTTAACACATCCAGCCTTTGATCTAGAAACATAATCCAAGTTGATAGTTCTCATGCATCCAACAACAGAAGACTTATCCAACTTAGTATAGCTACTGAGTAAATCGAGTGCTAGAGAAATTCACCTATGACCAATCATGAAACGGATAACAATCCCCTTCTCCTTCTCCAGTTGCACCAGTTTTTCTCCTAAACGAAATACCAAAGCCACTAGAGGTTAACATGAAGTACGAACAAACATAATCCTTAAAACCCTTAACAAGTAAGGACCGAAGGAGAGGATGCAAACCCTGTGGCATCCATGTCTCTCTAACTGAATCACGCCTCTTCCTGCTGCTAAAAGCTGTATTAATCCCAATAACCATGAAAACCTTGGGCCGATGCCCGCCTTCATGTGACAAGCCAGTCACAGAGGTAGCTGCTGCATTGCCACTTAAGCTCGTCATCTCCTGAGAACTCCGAGAAGCTGCCAATTGCATCTGAAGCATAGCAATCGACTTGTCTAGCGATCTGAAGTTTACCTCTAAAGAATCAGATTGTGGGAACAGATAGATAGATAGATATCACAGTCTGCGATCTAACGAATTGAAAACATAGAGCTTTCCAAACTCACTCAACGGCGTCGTGGGTTTTAACAATCTCATCCATCACATCTTTTCCCTGCGAAGAAAGCTTCTCTTAATGCAACCGAGCGGTGATCACCAAAAGGAAAGAACGGATAGGAGATCTGAAACCCAAGACCAACCTTCTTAGCAGCCGTGGAATCTACAGATACCGCCTGAAATTCTTCCTGTTCACGTCGGCGCTGGGATAAGAGCTGCTGACCATTGGATTCGTACGGAACCCATATCCTGAAAACGAGGGGGAAGACGGAAAAACCCCATCAGCAATGTTGAATCCAGGTCAAACGAAGCAATTAAAGGTGTGTGTGGGGTTTGGGGGTGGAGAAGAAAGACCTGTTAGAGAAGACAAGTCCAAGAGCAAAGCAGAAAGCACAAATCAACGGAATCCATTTTGCAGAGATTTTGGTGCTTCCGCTGTTGCTGCTTCGAGTCTTCATCGCCGGCGGGGAGGTGGGGTTGAATTCGAGAGAAACCGGTGACTTCCTTCGGGCCGGGGAGAGGCGGAATTTATGTAAACGTGAAGGACGGGAACTGAGAAAGAGACGAATGTGTATTCAAATGGAGGGGAATGAAATACAGGTCAACGGGACGTGGGTTTGACGTCGACGCCGCCGATCGAGTCAATCACCATTGCCGGCGTTTGGTTCCAACGCCAAAGGATAGGATGGTGGTGGAGTTTGTTTATTATGTCCCACCCGACAGCCTGTCCAATGTACTGCATACACGTGGACGCGCAAGGAAGCTGGTAGCGGAGTTTGTAATTAAGGCTGCAAATTTGACTCTTCTTTGGCTCGAGTTAGCATTATTAACGAATCGACGAGCTCTATTTCAACTTGACTCGTTGTCAAAAAAAAAAAAAAAAAGTTGTCAAAAAAAAAAAAATATCAACTTGACTCGTATATCGGCTTAACCTGTAATCCTGTATCTAGGGATGTCAAAAATATCCGTAACCGTGGATATCCGCCCGAAACCAGCCTAATCGGGTAGGGTGAACCCGAACTCGAAGGACATTTAGTGGGTATGGGTAAAATCCGAACCCGAATATTGCTGGCAATGGGTGGGCATGGGTTTCTCACTATCCAACCCGATCCGCCCGATTATACACATGCATATGTAGTCTGTCTAGAAATAATCTTTTTTTTTCTCTAACATATTTTATATTTAGCATATAAATATAATATTTTCATGAAATTGTGTTGTTTTAATTAATTTTCTTCATTCTAGTGAATTATTGTCGTACTTTCTTCTTACGTAATGGGAGAATACGTGTGAATGTTAACATATTGGTTACAGTTATGAAGAAAAATCATTACCCATGGATAACCGCGGATACCCGAAACCCGAACGGGTATGGGCATGGTTTTAATTTTCTACCCGTTTCACATGTGGGTATGGGTATGGGTAAAACCCGAACTACTTTGGGTAGGGTAACGAATATGCACTATCCGTCCCCGACCCGACCCATTGCCATCCCTACCTGTATCATCCTAAACAGTTGAACTTTTAAACTACACTCTATAAAATTTTAACGATTAAATATTTATGATATATATATAATACATATTATTAATTTCAATATGAAAAAAGAATAATAGTCAATTTTTCATCACTAATTTAACACACATGTGTATACTTTCCCTATGTTTCGCCAGCTTTTAGAAGTGTTTTTTGCTTTCAAAAGCTGAAACATGGTTAAACACCTCTAAAAGCTCGGTTTTTGAAAAGCTGAAAAGTTCTTTTCTATAACATAAAAGTATAAGTGTATTTGGCATGATAGTTAGCTTTACCATAAAGAACGGCCGCCCAGATTACGAAACTACCCACGGGAATTCTGCCGAATTACGAGCAGCTCTGCGTTTGGTTGTGGAATAGGAGTCAAGCAGGCAGGATTAGGAGGAGGTAGCGATAGCAAATCCTCTAATTAATTAATTGCTTAATTAAATTAATCACACCCCGTATTAGTGTGATGAACGAACGAACGAACCTTTCTTTCTTCCTTTAATTAATCAAAACCCCGATTTATTACGTTAATAATAATTTAATATCACTTCTTACTATTCTACTCAGTATTTCGAAAAACTATTTTGAAAATACAAGATTGTCCTTACTATATTTTACTTTTATTTTAGAGAATATAATTTCTCTTTCATTTCTATCATTTTAAAATAAATTAGAAAATAATATTATTTAATATGAAAGAAGTCAAACAAGATCCCTTTTAACTACTTTTTATTCCTTAGAATTTTTATTTATATTTTAATTAGAAATCTTTTTTATTAATTTCACATGAACTCTTATATTAAAAAGCACTTCTAATAATTTTTCAGCCAAACACTCAACTGTTTTTTTAAAGTACTTCTCTAAAAGTTCTAGTCATAAGTTGCTTCTACAAAAGCCACAGCATGGCCAAACTAAGCCTTTATTAGTATCATAATATTTAGAGTAGACACTAATTTTTATTGTGAAGATCATCCCATGATCCTGTTGCTGATTGTTGGAGAAGCAGGATCATTTGCTCCTACAGCTGAAGAACTATTGCACTTGCAGGTGAAGATCACTAAAGAACGAGAAAGGACTGAAGTGCAATGGTTTAGAAGTTGTGGTGTTCTTTTGTAAATAGATACTTGTATAGCTTCTCTTATACGTTATCGTTTTTCTTAAGTTAATTTGTTATTGCTTATCAGTGGTCTTAGCCACCTGTCGTCTTGTGATTTGTGGTTTTGTATAGAGGTTAGCAAGTAACCGATGTATATAAATGAAAAGGCCACTAAGTCCAGAGCTGGCATAGAGCCTCATCTTCCAATAACCCTATTCAATCTTATCTTCTTCCTCCTATCTTCTTCCCCTCCTTCCTCAAACCCCTAATTCCATATAAGAATTTCACATGATATCAGAGTCTGGTTGCTATTGATCAACCATTTTTCTTCTCAAGACTTACCTCTTATCTTCCTTACAAGCCTCTATTTCATTTGATACACGATGAGTACATCTGCTACTGCATCTGACTCTACCACTAGAGCAATGGTGAATCGAAAACTAAATTTGAAGATCCTAACATGAATCCCTACTACATGTCCACTAGAGACAGTGCATTCACATCAATCCTCTCTTTCAAACTCACGGATGATAACTATCTTGTGTGAAGTGAATCCATGGAAGATGCACTCAGAACCAAAAACAAGATAGTTTTCATCGATGGGTCTCTGCCACCTCCAGATGGTAACAATCCCTTACATTCTACTTGGGTGAGAGTTAATGGAACCATTCTATGCGGGATTAGGAGTTCTGTATCTGATGATATTCTACCTAGTCTTATGAAAATCAAAACTACTAGGAAAGCTTGGAAGTACTTGAAATCCAAGTTTGGTCAGGGAGATTTCATTAGAATAGCTGATTTGCAAGGTCGTCTAGCCACTTGCAATCAGGGTAATCAATTTGGGAGGCAGTTCTACACAGATCTGAAGGTTTTGTGGGATGAACTGGACTCCTATCTTCCCATTCCTATGTGTGATTGTCCTTCCAAGACCTATGAAACTGTGTGTATGTACAGGGAAAATGGTAGAGTCATCAAATTCCTACAGGGATTATCACCTAACTATCAAATGGTCAAGACTCAAATGCTTCTGGTTGACCCTCTGCCTGACCTTGACTCAGTTTACAAGTCTTCATTCAGCTGGAAAGACAGATGAAGGGTAATGGTTTGATTGGAAACAAGCCTGCAGTATCCATTGCTTTAGCAACAAGATCAAACCAATCACAGAGACAATACCATAGGTCTCAGTTAACTCCTCAACCAGATCCAAACCAAGAGCTCTTTTGTGTTTACTGCAAGAAGAACATTCATATGATTAAAGATTGTTATAAGCTGAAAATGAAGAAAGCTAGAGAGAAAATGCAGGAAGACAACTCTAAATTTGCTGGATCTATTGATGTTGGTGAACTTGTTTCTCAGGGTGTTTCACATGGAGGACAAAACAGTCCCAATGACACTCATTCCATTCTTGCAAGTATATTTACCGCCATGGAAGAATTCACAAAACTGAAAGATATGATGCAGGAACAGACTTCACCATCACCACCATTGTCACCTACTGTCCCTGCTGCACATTCAGTTACTTTGAATCGGCCTTCCACTTCTATGGCAGGTACACACGTTCTGTCAACAAGAATGAATGGAACTAAACATGTTTGGGTCCTAGACATAGGAGCTAGTGATCACATCATTTGCTTTGTGTTGTGAATTACTACCTTAAGTATAAATCTGTAGAAGGTATTTGTCACCCTTCCTAATGGAGAACAAATCCCAGTCACACACATAGGGATAGTTAGACTGTCATGTGGTTTGTTGTTAACCAGTGTTCTTTGTGTTCCTTCTTTTGCTTACAATCTTGTTTCTGTAAGCAAGTTGACACATGATTCTCCAGTCTCACTCTTTTTTTGTTCTGATTTTTGTGTCATTCAGGACCTCATTTCTCAAATGAGGATTGGTTTGGTCCGTGTAGATAGAGGGCTCTACCTTTTTTACCAATCCCAGACATCAAGACTTTTCACAAACTCTCCACAAGTTTTTAACCTTTGGCACAGTAGACTTGGACATCCTTCACTCCTCAAACTACAAGAAATACAAAAACAGCACAAAGAAGTATATACCAGTACAGTTGCACATTGTGTAGTCTGCCATTTAGCTAAACAGACTCTCATTTGTTAGGAGCAATTCCATTAGTAAAGAACCCTTTGATATGATACATGTTGACATTTGAGGCCCTGTTGATACCCCTTATCTTGATGGTTTTGTTTACTTTCTTACAATTGTTGATGACTGTAGTAGATATGTTTGGATTTATCTCACGAGATCTAAATCAGAAGCAGGAACTTTCTTCAGTCTTTTCATGCTCTTGTTGTAACTCAATTCAACAAGCATATCAAAATTGTGAGATCTGATCAAGGACAGGAGTTCCATTTGAAAGATTTTTACCAGAAACATGGAATTATCCATGAAATGAGTTGTGTAAGAACAACTCAACATAATGGACGAGTGGAAAGGAAGCATCAACATTTGTTGAATGTATCTAGGGCTTTAAGATTTGAATCTGGCTTACCTGTCACCTTCTGGAGCTTCTTTGTTCTCCATGCTGCTTTTCTGATTAATAGACTTCCTTCCCCCATCCTCTCAAATAAAACACCTTTTGAAAGTCCTTTATGGTGTACCACTTGATTATTCAGACCTCAAGATTTTTGGTTGCTTAGCATATGCTACCTCAGTGTTGCCACACAAACCTAAACTGGCTGCCAGATCAATCAGATGCATCTTTGTCGGGTATGAGTTTGGAGTGAAAGGCTGCAGATTATATGATCCAAATACCAATGAAGTTTTTACTTCTAGAGATGTAGTGTTTCATGAGACAGTTTTTCCCTACAAAAATGCCATTCATGAAAGCAGCACTCCAGCAACCTCAAGTCCAAATGATCATATCTTTTATGGTTCTACACCTATCCAAGACTCCACAACTCTAATTCCCTTCTACCCTGAACCTCATGATCCCACTGATCCTGACTACATCCCTCATTCTCCTTCTAGTTCATCTTATGATGACTCTTCTTCTACTTCCAATGCAGATCGCTTATTCCTTTTTCCTCTCCAAATTCCCATGTTCTTTCACCTGATCAATCACAGGCTATTTCACCACTACCTATTGCTCTTCGAAAATCTGATAGAGTACACAAAAAGCCTGCCTATCTCCAAATGTATCATCTAGGCTTGGCTACCAAGACTCCCATTTCCTTACCTGATATTCCTTATCCCATCTCCAACTATCTCTCTTACCAGTATCTCACCTCTAACTTCAGGAGTTTTTGCTTAAACATATCCACTTGTATGCATCCTGAAACCTATGAAGAAGCCATGAAGGAAGGTTACTGGGAGGTTGCAGTCAATGATGAACTTGCAGCCCTGGATCAAAACCAGACATGGATCATTGTTGATAAGCTTGATGGTAAAACCCCATTGGTTGTCGGTGGATTTTTAAAACAAAGTTTCATCCAGATGGAACCATTGACAAATACAAAACCGGACTTGTAGCTAAAGGCTATACTCAGGTTCCAAGTATTGATTTTCAAGATACACTCTCTCCTGTTGCAAAATTGAATTCCGTCAAACTGCTGCTAGGAGTTGCAACTGCCAGGGGGTGGATATTGCATCAGATGGATGTTAGTAATGCATTTTTGCATGGGGATATAGATGAGGAAGTTTATATGGTGTTACCACCTGGATTGCGTGAGAAACCTGAATTCAAAGGGAATGTTTGCAAGCTGCAGAAGTCATTATATGGTCTGAAGCAAGCAAGCAGATAACGGTTCATTAAGTTAGAGACTTTCTTAGTTGAATCAGGCTTCACAAAGTGTCATGCTGACCACTCAGTGTTCAGATTTACAACTGATGATTCAGTTGTTGTGTTGATTGTTTATGTTGACGACATAATCATTGCTGGTAACAACATGTAACTGATCACTAAGCTAAAGAAACATTTGAAGCAAGCCTTTAAGATCAAGGACATGGGAGAGCTGAAATACTTCATTGGGTTGGAAATTGCTCGATCAAGTTCAGGTATCATGGTTTCCCAAAGGAAGTATTGTCTTGAATTGCTTGCTAACTCTCGGTTCTTAGATTCCAAACTTGCTAAAACGCCTTTAAGTCAAAAGGTGGCGTATTCAGTAAATGATGGTGAACCCTTAGTAGATGGAAGTGGTTTTAGACAACTGTTGGGGCAATTACAGTACTTGACTACAACTCGACCAGATATTTACTTTCCTATTCAACAGTTGTCACCGTTTCAGGCACAGCCAACCACTGCACATTTACAGGGCTTATAGAGGATTCTTAGATATCTCAAGGGCAATCATGGACATGTTTTGTTCTTTTCATCATCAACCACATTACAATTTTCTGGTTATTCAGATTCACACTGGGCTACTTGCCCTGATACAAGAAGATCAGTGACTGGATATTGCACCTTCCTTGGATCTTCATTGATTACCTGGAAAAGCAAGAAGCAGACGACAGTATCCAGATCTTCCTCTGAGGCACAATACAGAGCTTTGGCACAATTGTGTTGTGAAGTTCAATGGCTTAAGGTAATGGTTGAATTCTTCTTTTGTGATCATCCAGACCCTATAACGTTGTACCGTGACAATCAATCTGCCATACATATTGTGAAAAATCCAGTTTTCCATGATCAAACAAAGCATATTGAGGTGGATTGCCATGTCACAAGGGAGAGATTGACATTTGGATTGATTATAATGAAGCATGTAAGAACGGATGTGCAATTGGCAGACCTGTTCACTAAAGGTCTTGCATCTGAAAGATTTCGATTCTTACTTAACAAGCTGGCAGTACACAATGTGTACTTGCCAGCTTGAGGGGGTGTGTGAAGATCATCCCATGATCCTATTGCTGATTGTTGGAGAAGCAGGATCATTTGCTACTACAGCTGAAGAACTGCTGCACTTGCAGGTGAAGATCACTGAAGAACGAGAAAGGACTGAAGTGCAATGGTTTGGAAGTTGTGGTGTTCTTTTGTAAATAGATACTTGTACAGCTTCTCTTATACATTGTCATTTTTCTTAAGTTAATTCGTTATTATTTATGAGTGGTCTTAGCCACCCGTCGTCTTGTGATTGGTGGTTTTGTATAGAGGTTAGCAAGTAACCGTTGTATATAAATGAAAAGGCCACTGAGTCCAGAGCTGGCATAGAGCCTCCTCTTCCAATAACCCTATTCAATCTTATCTTCTTCCCCTCCTTCCTCAAAACCCTAATTCCATACAAGAATTTCACAATTATCCAAACATTTCCCGCATTCTTTTTTATATGCTAAACCTATTGAACTACTAATAATTACGAAAATAATGGACAATAGGAGGCCTACAATGCGAATTGTTTTGTAGTAATGCAACATCATATCACCGTGGGCAACCAAATCTCTGCGGATATTATAGGCCTGGACAAAAAGACATAACACCTTCTTTTAACACTTATGGAATAAGATTCCATAAAAACAAGATGATATGAGATTTTGTTATGAGACAATCTAAGAACCACATCAGTGATACAAAGGAAAGGAGCCTTGTATATTAGTGTCCACCAAACTCATTTAGTACGAGGCCTTTTGGGGAGGACACCCAAGAGTAAAAACTGTGCGGGTTTGGCCCAAAGCGGAAAATATCGTACTAATTGAGTATCCCGAGTTATGACAAGTGGTATTAGAGGATAGTAATCGCCGAGTGGATGACACGGAGTACCACATAAAAAATACAAGGGAATAGACCCTTGTATATTAGTGTCCACCAAACTCATTAGTACGAGGCCTTTTGAGAAGGAAACACAAAGTAAATCCGTGCGGGCATGGCTCAAAGCGGACAATATACGTTGAAAATGACACAATTGTCTAACAATTATACTATACTTTTAAGTGTCTTCATAACAACAATAGCAAAAGGTTACTATCGCAATTCACATGCAAGACAACTATGATAAAAACAAACAAACTTAGAATTTTAAAGAAAATAAAAAAAAACTCTATTGAGTAAATCAAATCTAAGAAGTAAATACTAACATTACCCAAATCTACGGGAGAACAATCATCGAAGAATCTTCTCATCTATGCTCCAGTCTTTGTACTGATTTTAACTCTCTTACTAGTAAACATATCTATTAATATTGGACTCCTCTAATTATATATATATATAATGATTGACATTCGCAATGATTCGTCAAGTTGACTGATTGTTGGAAGCGGTGAACTGCTTAATGAAAGAGATAGACCACTTTTGTGGAAGTAGTAAACCGATTTCTTAATATGTAGTCGAGCACTTAGCAATTCCAAAATTTTGTACATCATCTTCTATGATTTCCATAATCACGCCAACCTCACAAAGTAGGGCTGAAAATTTGTCTGTCCCGTCCTTGACCCTGTCTGACCCGTCCCTGAAGGGTCAAGATGTATAACTGACCCGTCTCGTTCTCCTTCTTGACCCTGTATGACCCTCAAGGGTTGAGACGGGTCGGGTTAGTGGGTCGACCCTAATCAACACACTACTTTTTTACAAATTACGTTTTGGTACCCAAAATTATTTTTTCTTACAATTTAGTATCTAAATTTTATTTATTTACAAATAAGTCCATAAATTTTGATGGTAAAATTAAATTTTGATTTTTTATTTTTACAAGTTAGTACTTAAAATTTTGAAACTGTATAAAAGGTCCAATGTGGTGTGAGATATTTGTTGCTAAGGGTCACAGGGTCAAAACGTGACTCGTTCCGATCCTTATAGGGTCAACAAATGACCCGTCCCTAATCTGTCTCTGTAGACAAACTGACTCGTCCCAATGGGACGAATCAGGACGGGTCAGTAGGTCTTTCGGGTGAAGTTTTCACCCCTATCACAAAGTGTCCAAATTCTTGAGACGTGAAACATTTGGCAACTTTTGATTCGACTTGCAAAGTAATTGCAATCATTCATCTTCAGCTGCATTTCCTCAAGTCCTCTAACCACTTAGACAGACTCTTGCAATGATCTAGTATCAGTATTCTTAGCAATCTCAAGGTTGACATATTAGATAAGCAAGGTAACTAATCACTCGAATGAAGATGTTCCCAAAGATTCCAATTCGCCGAGGCCTTGGATCGGCCGCCCTGCAACAAAACCGGCCTAGTTTCCGCCGGCATATCTTCTTCCTTGACAGCAACAGAGGACTGGAGTATTGCTGCCCACTGGAGGACTGGCCTTGGTAATCAGAATCTACTAGTCGATTATGTATATGTCGTCGCTGCTTCCAATATGCATGAATAGCTTTGACACCATAAATCTTTAGTAAATAGCAAAAACACAAAGTCAAAACATCTCAACGTGCACCATAATGTCATAAACATCAATATAATCATCAATATAATATCATATGGGGAACGATCGTCTCTGCTCTCTAGTGAAACGTGGTTGTGAATGAAAAAGGGGATGAGATTCTCAAAATTTGGAATGAGACTTAGATCTCGTTGGGGGAGTAGTCGAATGAGTTGCTAACACATATTGGGAATTTGGTTGGGGTCCATGATTTGGTCCGGTAAAACCACGAGTTAGACCAGATCATACCAAGAGATCAAAATATCATATAATACAGACCATGGACTAGACCGGACCATTCTTAACAGTCCATAGCCCAGACAAAACTGTGCTGTCCAGTTTGGTCCACGATTCTTCAAACGATCTGATCTATTTTTCCAGCCTGGTTTATTTTATCCAACCCAATATTTGTTAAACCGAGAACCGTGTTGGTAGTCCGATTGAGAAAATCTTCTATTGGAGTTTTAGGTAGTTTCTACCTTTTAGCATACCTTTCTCGACCCTTTGACTAGTATCAAGTGTAGTTAACCTGTGGGAAAGAAGCTACGAAGAAGAAGGTGTACAAATTACTTTTTTAGCGGTATAAAAAAATCGAGTCCCAATTAAACAACGATTTCAACATAAAATACTTTATCACTGACTTTTCCGATTACCACCTCTAATACAATTTTACAATCCATAATCTAATCTCATCAATTAGTAAGTGCCCCAAATTTAAATGGTGGCCCATATTTCTTCAATCGACTCCAAGATCACGACCTGAAAAGAAAGAGAAAAGTGAAAGCAACAAATTTGACCGAGTTTTGGAGGTAGCTATCGACTTCAACTTCTCTAAGTTGTGAAAACAAAGCCAACAAGGACCTCCACTCCGCCCATCATATCCATGATTTTCACTCATTCATATGCACCAACTCTCTCGATTCCTCCCTTCCCTCCCTCAAGCTCACAAATTTCCAAACTCTTCTCCAATCTCCATAACAATCTCTCTCTCTCTCTCTCTCTCCACGCTTATAGCCATGGAAGAGAAGAATCAATAATTAAGAAAAAGGGGGCATGTGGAGCAGAAGCTCACTCACTCACTCCCCTCATTATTCTTATCATAACTATTCTCGAAGGTTATGTCCATAACCCTCTGTCCCCCATTTCACCTCCAAAAACCTGTACACCTCTTACTCTCTCTCTCTCCCTCTCTCTGATAAAAGGCCAAAACAGAGTACAGATCTGTTCTGCCCAGCTCTCTGCAATTTCCCCCACCCTGTAGCCCAAAATTGAGGGGGAGAAAGAAAGTGGGGTAGTATTACCACTCTATCAGTCCTGCCCAACAATGGGTAGCAATGTCTACAGCTACAATCACCACCACCACCAGCAGCAGCAGGCGGTGGTAGAAAGCAACAACAATGGCGGCCGCAGCTGCGAGAGAAGATCCAGATCTGCCCTGCCCATGCTCTGTTCTCGCAACTCCACCAAAGACGTCGTAGCAGTAGCAGTACCATTCCCAGCCAGATCCGGCACTCCATTCTCCGGCGGCAGCGGCGGCGGCGTCAGTGAGAGCGAGGAGCCTGTGTCGCCGAAGATTGGGTGTATGGGTCAAGTGAAACGGAACAACAGGATCGGCGGCTTCCCAGCTCCAGCTTCCGCTTCCGCTTCCAGTTCCTATTCATCAATAGCTGCCAAATTCCATCCGCCGCCGCTGCCAGCTGTCAAGTACTTGAAGCTGAAGAGGGTTTTCTCCGCCAGGAATCTCACCACTGCTAGTAGTGAGAGGCCCAATCTCGTTAGCAAGAATGGTAATGTTGATGCAGATCGGAGGCACAAATCTTCATCTTCTTGTTCTGCTTCTGGCATGGTGGCTGTCAACATTGAGGAAATCGACCCGCCTCTGCCGGTGAGGAGCAAGAGATTCGAGAAAGAAGCTACCCAATCGGAGATGAGCCTTTGGGAGAGGAGGAGGAGCGGGAGGATGGGTTTGAAGAATTTGGAGCTTCAGGGGATCGTTCCTCAACAAATCCCGTCCTCAAAATTCCAACCCACTACTGTTTGATTAATTACCACACAGTTACAGATCTGAATATTTGTTTGTAATATGAAGGGGAGCGAGAGAGCGAGAGTTTCTGTTCAATTTCGTGGAGTAATAATGACAATAAAGATTGCTGTTGTTCTTGTGCTGCTGCTGCTGTTCTATTAGTTTTACAGCTCAACTGGTTGGGTCAGATAAGAAGAAGAAGAAGAAAAGGGGAAGAAGACAGGAGAACGTGGATGTATGTGTGGTGCTGTTCAAAGATGTGGGGGGTAATGTCTGTTGTAGTTGGTACTGGTACGTGCTTGCTTTCGTGTATCTGATGCGATCGTATTAGAGATTGTATCGGAAAAATTAGTAACAAAATATTATTCGATCGGACTGTTGATACGATATTGTGATGAGGCTGGTCATTGGATCAACTAATGACGGTAACAAAATAACTTGGGGCCAATCTGATGGTAGAAAACTGGATTGGTGGGTGCTTGTGGTGGGGATGTCGGGAGTACAGTCATGTCATTTTAAAAGTAAGGGTGGCAGAAGTGGCAAAGTTTCAACAATAAAAAAATAGCAACTCTTGTTCGTGTCCGTGGCAGTATGCTTCAGCTTTTTTCTGCCCAGATCATCAGAACACAAAACTGAACTGGGTGTTCCAGCAAAATCATTGGTTGCAGAGCTTTTCTTTCCTTTTTTTCTCTCCAGTTTGTGTTTGTAACTCTAATCGTATTGTATGTGTATCTGAACAAGTTACATATTCTTGAACAAACCTCTTTCAATATAGTCCACGAGAAAACATTAATGAATTGATCGTTTATTTGGTTCGAAAGTTTGTTATTGATGTAGCCCAAAGCTGAAAAATTCTCTTTCAAACACTTGCATTTACAACCGCTAATATCGATACAAAATTGAGAAGCAAATATACCAATAAATATGAGTGGGCTCCTTTTTATACATAGGCAATAATTCGTCATTCTTGACGGTATGATAATAATTCTTAAAATGTCGGTAGAAGAAATGAGTCGGAGAGGTGAACAAGCTCTTTAGATAAAATCGAGTAAGGGTTATTAGCTTTCTCTTTTTCAAAAAGCAACCCACTCATTCCCGGCCAAAAACAAGTCATACAAGTCAACAACCTAGTATTCACCTCATCAAAGCGGTAGTTCAACTCTTATAGTTGCATAAAAAGAACCGAGTAAAATAATTCAACCTGGTAGTTATGCAAGCATAATTAATATAATTTGGCTACCAACGACACCTCCCTCATCTCCGTCATTGGTGGCAGGGGACTAAGGAAAGTTGCAGACCTGATCTGGAGCGAAACTCGGACCTAGAACCGAGCACTTCTGCAAAGCCTCTTTACTCCAGAGTCGGTCTTAGACATCTTGAGCATCCCGTTACGGTGCACCTAACTGATAATTGACTAATATGGCACTACTCCACCTCAGCCGAATCGCGATTAAAATAGGTTATCATGTTCTTACAAATGAACTAAATTCTTGTCATCCGCCATCTGTTTTGGCTTTTGATTGCAGGTTTTGGAAGCTCTTGTGGAACTTACCGGTGCCCCCAAAATTGAAGGTGTTCTTTTGGAGAGTTACTCGAGGGTTTTTGCCTCTACAAACTGTGCCTTTTGTTTTGGGGAGGTCCGCAGGCAATTGGAAGGGGCGTCGTTGGGCGGTGCATGGTGGCATCCAGTACTTGACCCCTGCATTGTGCCGGTAGTACCGACAAAAGGTGGAGGCAGGGGCCGAGGGAGAGAAGGTTAGAGGGTAGGTCCCGGGACCATCCTGGCTCGGGAGATAAAATTATATATTAGGTATAATTGTTAATTGGGTATGAAAAACACATATTTAAATGAGAATGGTTGACCTTTGAAATATTTGATGTATGATTTATACGTTGTGTATTGACATATTCAATGTTTTACAACGACCTATGTACAAATGACAATGGTTCATATGATCCGTCCAAAATTAAAGATGTACTTATTCACTATCTACAATAAAATTCCACCAAATCATAGCTAGTTTGTAAAAATAATTTTATTCCAATCAAGGATTGGGAGAGTGCAAAGGGTGGCTCCAAAGGACGAAAATGAATAAATTAGTATAATAGTTAACTAAGAATGAAATTTAGGGCATTTCTAATAGAGAATGGTTGACCAAGAGATCATGTTTTCTGAATTTTGGCAACCCAATATGTTAGTAAATACTAAATACTATAGGATCCGTTATTAAATCTAACCCAACAATGCGAGTTATTGATGTTAAACCGTCCTGACAAAGAACACCATTCAAAAGCAAATGTCTAACTAAATCATAAATAATTGATCGATACATATGAAGTGATATTCTTGATAGTTTCGACATATATTTAATTTACCATATTTCTGTAAATACAAAATTATATCATGAATGATTTAGAAAGCTAACAAAACTACTTTATTGTAATTTTTTTTTTAAATGGACTCACTCTAAACAAAATTTAGGCTAGGGTGGAGGAATGGCGAACTGCCATCTCTGACTCCAATCAACAAGCAGCAGGTCCTTCTTCTAGTGCATGGGGGAGCCATGGTGACGGACAAGCTGAGACATCCAAGTTTTCTCTTCACCAGATTAAATGGAGGTGCTCAGGCACCACCACATGCCATTCTGGTGCGTTTTGATGGCTCGGTCAAACATGGTGTTGGTGGGAGCACGAAATTGTTGGCTTTGATTAGAATAGTGCGATTGCATTTGCGTTTGGTAAGTTTTATGATGGCAGAGAAAAAGAAGCTTTCAAAAGAATCTCGTAGAAGATTGGAAATTGATTGTCTATGCTAGCTCGAATATGACAGGGCGATGAATTGGTGGCTAATTCGGGGTTTTTGGCTGTTAAATTCTATGGTACTCTCAATTGGTGATACAATGGGCCTGGATGGGAGAAAGAAGGGGTGGGAAAATGGTTGCGGTTTTGCGGTTAAACCACAATGGCATCGAATAAGAGCGGTTTGTTGTTAACCGCAAACCGTTTAAACGGGTGTTTGTTCGGTTTGTGGACTAACCGCACACCGCACCAAACAAATAACCCCACCCAATAACTAACGGCATAAGAGTATGCCCAGTCTAGGCCCAACCCATCCAACAGCCCAAAATGCAAATCCTCTCCACTCTCCAGCCCAAAGCCCCAAACGGCCAAACTTCCAAGTTCCAAAATAGCAAAATCTACTGCCTAGGGTTACATTCCTTTCGACAGTTCCAAAATCGGCCGCCTAGGGTTCCATTCCTTGCTTCGTTGGCAAAGAGGAAAAGCAACGGCTAGCGAGCAACGAGCAGCGGCCAGCGAGCAACGAGCAACGTCCAGCGAGCACCGAGTAGCTGAGCACCGAGCATCCAGTCCAGCTCCACCGACAGCGTTCATGAGCAGATGATCTGTCGAGCAGGCGTCCCCTTCCGTCGACCGTCGAGAAGCAGAGCAAAGCACGAGCGATAGAGGAGGAGGCGTCGCGGCATTGTCGTCCGTCGAGCTCGAGCAGCATCGCAAAGTGCAAACCATGCGGTGTGCGGTTTAAAGTGCAGTTAATCGCTAACTGTGATTTGCGATTAGTGGTTAACCGCAAACCATTTACATTGCAGTAACGGGTGGGTGGTTTTCGCGGTGGCGGTTAACCGCACTTATTCGGTGCAGTTAACCGCAACCGAATTGTTTCCCGCCCCTAGGAGAAGCAACACATGCTTTGGGTGGAGTTTTATTGGAAGATGTTCAGCGACTGGCTTGAAACTTTGACTTATGTCCTTGTTCTTTAGCTCCTCGCCGTTTTACAGAGTTTTCCATCTTGTGGTTAAACAGACTCTCTAATCGGAAGTTCGACTATTGGTCGACTTTCGCATGTGGTGATTTGGTTTTCTAACTATGTGAATGAACAAACTATTGTTTGTCTATGTTAAAAAAAAAGTTTAGTTAATATAAGAAGGGCGTGGAATTGAATTGGAAATTTAGTTTTTAGTGTTTAGTGAAAAAATTGTGGAAATTAGGCTTTAATGGGGCTTTTTTGGGTCGTTTAGATAGATCAATTCATAAGCATGATACTTTGGTTAATTGTCTCACTTTATAAAACAAGTAATTTATAATGAGGCAATTTGAATTATCTGCCCCATCAAAGACAATTAAAATTGACTGGAAACTAGTCAATTTAAAATGTACCGGTCCAAATTGATCCATCCAAATTTTTTGTTGGCAAACAGGTCATTTTGATCCAATTATTTAAAAAACGAGACAGTTAGGTCAAATTATTCCATTATATTTCCTCTTTCAAACAACCCCTTAGATCATATCTATGTTTTAGTCATAACAATAATGAAATTTCCCACAATACCTTGAAGTAAGATAACTTTATTTTTTTTACCTGATATAGCAGGTTTCACAGGTCACATTACGTAAAATACAATAGTCATTACGTAATGGTTACGTAAAGTGTGCTTATCTTACGTAACAGTTGTAAAAGTTTATTATGGAAGCCTTACGTAATGAATACTAATCTCGTGCTACGTAAAGTGATAAGTCATTGCGAAAGCCTTACGTAATACTTCTGTTTTAACTATTACGTAAGAAATAACTATCATTAAGTAACCTTTACTTAATGAATGTGTAAGTTACGCAACAGTTGTGAAGTGTTATTACGGAAGCCTTCGTAATAGAAGGTCCTTTTACGTAATGATATTAATCTCGTGTTACGTAAAGTGCTAAGTTATTGCGAAAGTCTTACGCAATGCTTCTGATATAACTGTTGCGTAAGAAATAATTATCATTTCAAACTATTACTAAGAGAGCACCAAATTTTGTTAGTATCCCAAGGGACCCTAAAGAACCATGGATATGCCTCTGTCCCAAACCCAAACTAGTACATACTGTCATTAATTTTCTCACATATTTTAGAAGTGTTCTAGAGTATCTCTGAAGGACCCTGTGCCTGCCCCTATAATAGTCTAACACACAAGGGATCGATACGTGCCTCAAATTGCAGCTAACTTAACACATCGTATTTGCCAACATTATGCTTGTTACATACCGTATCTGTAAAATTATATCATACCCACACCCGAAAAACCGTCTACCGAAACTCAATCTGCAGTCGGTTTTAGCAGTATGAAACAGTTGAACCATTATTTCAGCACAAAATATTATATTATTGACTTTTTCAGTACAACTTATGGTACGTACGATTTTACAACCCTAGCTTACATACAAACCTAAAAAAGCCATGTCCTCGAAATCGAAGTGAATTATTAAGGGAATTAACGATTAAGGTTAACAAAAAAAATTTGGTTAAAACCTCTTAATGATTCGATTTGGCTCAAGATACTAAGAACCAAATGGATCGAATAATGAGTGTTTGTATATTAGAGTTGTGATTTTGAATTTTTTCGGTTCCTTGTCAATTTTTTGAATTTAACCAAACCAAAACCTATAAGTACAAAATGATTTGAAACCGAAACCCCCCAATAAGAACACCTCATCAGTTGATTTTGGTTTAAACCGATCTGAAAACCCTATAAAGATGGCAATGAACATGTGATCACAATTTACAACCACCTCTTTATACATATCTACAGGTTTCCTTCCTAGTATCTATACTTCAACAAATCTAGATATAAACATATTCTAATTAGGTCTGCAAACGAGTCAAGTCGAGTTTTTGCTTAGTTTGAACTCGGCTCGTTTATAAAATTTTCAGCTCGAACTCGAATTTTGATCATTCAGCTCGAGCTCGACACGATTAAAATAATCTAGCTCGATAGAGCTCGGTAATGCTCATTAACATAGCTTGTCAAGTTGAGTACAAGCTCGACTCAAGATGAGCTCGATTTGAAACCATTCTTGTTGAAAAATGTGTACAAATAAGAACATTAGAAACTAAAAATGATAAAAAATAACACTAGAAACTAAAAATAACAACAAACTTCCATAAACATCCTTATTAGCAAAATAATTTTCACATTCATAAGAGTAATTAGTCCTTCCACAAGCTCTAAACAAATCAGCTCGCGAACTTAGCTCAACAAGTCACCGAGTCAAACTAGCTCACGAGCTTATCAAACTGAGCATGGTCTATCTCAAATTTGGCTCGTTTACTAACGAGTCGAATGTCGAACGAGTCTTTTCTATACGAAGATCGAGTTGTTTGCGAGCGGCTTGGTGCGAACCTAATTCTTACACGAATGGCTACAGGTATCCATCCCATCTTTTGAGGTTAGCTCTGTTCTTTATCAACCTCGAGACCTCCAGTCCAGCCTCCAGGGCCAGCGGCTTTTAGGTGCCGATCCAATACCTTGGGATCTGAACATATTACATGTTGCCATTTCCTATATTGGATCAGTTCAAGGCTGTGCAACGTTGTCAATATGTTTTCCGCTTTAATAGCCGTCATGTCACTCAGTTCCTGCACAATTATTCAACGGCAACAGAATTTCATGTTCCAAGTACCAACACCCAAAACATTACGTGTCACTGTCAGCAGAAAAACAAAAAACTAATTGCTTGAATCTAGTTAATACACCCAATACACTCGAAAGAGTGATTGTACGATGTAAGCGTTTTGGTGATCTTGGGCATGTTTGAAGGTTGAGATTCTCCAAATAGATGTATTGAATCAATTTGTGTATCGTCATTCGATGTATTGATTCAATCTATGTATTAAGAAAATACTTTGTTTGGAGGGACAATGATTGAGCACAAAATGAGGTAGACAATCCCTTGTTAAAAATCTCACTTTTTTGTAGAGATTGACAATCATTCATTTTGAGTGATTATAGGTGGGCTCGGGAAAAAGGTAATACATGTATACTAACTCAAAAATTGAACCAAAAAAATGACTTAATCTTACCATCACATATATCGGTTAAATACCTCACTTGAAACTCGATTTTGACTACATTAAGTAGGAAAAATCACGATGACACGTGAAAACATTTTGATGACCTAAAACGTAAAATCATAAGATTTTAAATTTAAAGCGTGATTTTGGCTACACCAATGTACCGCCAGTAATAAAATACCGCAAACAACAACCATTTGGTTTTCTAAATGACTAAGAAAAAACCAGTACCTTGATAGAACTGTTGCCCTTGTGCTTCTTCAAGATGTCGAGCAGAATCCGTGTCCAGTAACCTCTATACAAGGAAGAGCTCTTACAAAATAGGATTCCTTGGAATGTTTTCCTTCATTTTATATCATTTTAAGTGATTTTTCAGATGAACTCACAACAGTAATCAAGCATGTGTTTATATAAAATGATGGATGATCTCACACCTATAGACCAAGTTAACAAAATCGTTGTTGACTTGAAGTCTGGAAGTATTTGCATATGTAAATAACATGACAAATATAAACATGAAGCTTATCACTATAACTGTATCAATATGTGCAGACAGAATGGTTTACTGATGCAGAAGCAAGAGCGAATACATACTTTTAAGCAGCCAAAAAAAAAGGTGAGGAAGTGCATTTAGAACAACAAATTGAAGTGCATTTAGAGCAACAGTGTGGAGAATACTGTCAACACTCAACATACTGGCAAAATGATCGATAACCCATTAATAGCTGAGTGGCCTCAACAACAACCTTCATCTCCTGCAGAATGGTGTACAAGGAGTTCTAATCCATGCTATTTGTTGGAGCCTATGGAAGGAAAGAAACAATCGTATTTTCTAAGATAGGTGCTCAACGCCTAAAATCGTTTTTGCTACAGAGATGGTCGACTCATTTCGAGTCGACTTAGTACTGCCAATAAAGTGGACAGAACCATTGCGCGCTGAGGAATGGCACAGAGCTTTAAGTATGCAAAAGGGCATCTCCCCAAGTTTCAAATTGAAAAGCTTACATGTATGAAGGTATGACTCAATAGTCAACTTACGTGGAAGCAAGTCATGAGAAGGTCAATAAGAAAAAAGACGTGAAATGGACTGCTTGGGAAGAGAAATAGCAGACCATAAAGTTGCAGCATCATTTTGAAGCTACTGTATATGAGGTAGCTTTGATTTGCAGAAAGTTGCTTTGGTTGAATAGGAATAAGGTTAAGAGTGAATATGGATTGTAATGGACTTTAATCTGTTTCCCAAGTTCCTTAAGCTAAGAGCAATTGAAGAGCAAGATTGTTAAGCCACCTCGCACGCCCGCAAGGTTGAGAACATACTTGATGAGCACAAGTTCCCAAAGATAATCCATAACCAGAAGAAATAAGTGCATCTCAAAGCATTGCTTAAACTGATAATTCAAGGCAGATAGCAGACTGCAAGGCCAGGCTGGATTATGACTTGATCCGTTAGCTGTTTGTCAAAAAACAACTAGCCAATCTTATACAACAATGTACTATTGCGCTGAAAAACATACAAATCCATTGCTGCAACGAGTATATGTTTCTCGCTCGGATCAATGTCGCCAAAAGAAGATGGCCGAGGAGCAAGATCTGCTCTCGGCATGCTTCACTACTTCGTTCAACCAATTTTCTGAAGAACGATGCACCAGTTTGACTTGTCAAAGAATTGATCAACTACCATTGCATTCTTAATACCAGATGCTAACCTGAAACAAATGTGAGAAAAACGTGATCAAACAGCTGAAACTAATCTAAGGCCAAAGGAGTATGATTCAGTAGATTAAGTATCAATTGCAACGTTACCAACAGCAGCGAAAAACAATGAACTAATAATATGGGGAAAAAGGATTGCAGTAGGATCACAAAACCGTCTACCAATGTCCATGCCGACACAGTATATAAAAATTATGAAAATATCATGATAGCCGGTTTTCCGATAGTAAATTGGCAATTCCCAGTTATACCGGCCTGTTTTAGAGGTACTTCACTGATATAATTCTAGTCGAATGCATGATTTTAGTTTAACAACGGTTCGGTATGCTACAAATTGAACCATGGTTGTACCACTAAGATACCAATACCATTAACTTGTCCGATATGACTTTTGTACGGTTTTACAAACCATGGGGGAAACTAATAGACACAATTCATTGCACAGAATGCTGTGGAGACAAAAGTACCTTTCAAGTTCACCTTCACCAAAGACATGATAGTAGCGATTGTAGACCACAGCACCCTTATTGTCATCTTTCCTTGCCAAGCCACTAGCAATAGCAGAAGCAGAAGCACCACTCACTTCAGCTCGATGATATGGTAAATGCCACGGCACAAAATACTCATGTTGACTCTTCTGATCATCAACAGCATTTCCACCAGTCTCCTCTCCAGAAATTTGGCTCCCATCTTGCATATGCTCCTTGGAATTCATCCCCTCCATAGATTCTGGGATGCTTTGCAAAGTAAAAGATGAAGGGCTTCTGACACGAGGGCTACCAGGTCCTATCCACTCTTCCACATACTTATCATTAAGGGGAGTCCACTTTGTCAGCAATGACTTATCTTCTTGCTCTGCAGCCCAAACAGTGATCAACACAAACCCACCCGTCTTAACAACTCTCACCAACTCTTCAATTGCCTTTCTCCTCCTGATCTCTGTACTCAAGTGGTGCAACACAGCAATTGATATGGCTGCATCACCAAACCCAGTTCTATAAGGCAGATTCACAGCATCTGCAACCACGACCTCATTGTCCCTATCCGCACAAATCTTGACAAGCGGTTCACTGATATCACATCCAATGAAAAAGCAATCAGGATTCAAGCCCAAGTACTTGCCATTCCCACATCCTGCATCCAGTACTAGAGATCCTAGGGGCAAGGAGTTCAGGAAGGATGCAACTTTGGGCCATTTGGCAAACCGGGTCGAACTAAAATGGGGCGCAATAGCATCATAAACTCGATGCACATACTTCTTTTCTATTTCAGGTGTCGACCCTATACCCACTGGCGACAAAGATGTCTGCTCTCCCTCCATGGCCATAGAGTTCTCGACATTAGCTTTTGTATAAGCACGTAAACCCAAATAACTTACTAGCTCGTTATCTTTCATGGGCTTGAAGAGATCAACACTATGCAGTATGCAAAATCCTCGAATTGGTAAACCGAATTCTCCAAAGGGTGCTCTATCCAATAACTTAACTGCCCTTGCCACGCTGACAAGCATCAACTTCAAGGTCCCAACTAGAAGGCCATTAATGGATTCGACCAACGCAAGGCAGCAGGCCTGGAAATATATGCAGTCGTCAAAAAAAAAAAAAAAAAAACAATAACCAGCCAATTTGAGTTCAGACTCAAGCGCAAGAAACTAAGCTACAACTGAAACCAATTCAAAAGCACAGAGAGAACTATCACCGGGGACTTGCCTTAAAGCTTACTCCTTGATACGAGATCGGAGCGAAGAGTTCAGATTCAGCGGACTACCAGTAAACCAAACTTTTCCCAATCACTCAGTTCACAAGCGGCGATCTCTGATGCGATGGCTGAATCACTTTCTATGTTTTCTGCTTTCTTTGTCAACGAATCCGACAAACATTCAATCTGATTATGAACTGTGATTCGGGATTTGTGGAACGTGCGCGGCCGGGTAATGAAGAAGGCGGTTTTTTTGCGGCGATGGGAGGGAAAGGAATGAGATGAGGACGACTTGGAGAAGATGGGGCGGCCGATTGCCGAACTCGGGGAAGGGATGGACCAAGTCAATGGGTGATTGGGTAGTAAACATCTTGGTTTTTAACAACCGATCGGACGGACCGGACCGGACCAAAGTATTGAATTTGAACCTGGTGTGGACTGTAATTCCGGCCCATTCCTCGGCGCCAGTTTTTTTTTTTTTTGGCATAGTTATCTAAGAAGGGCATAGAAACGTCAATATACAAGGTCTTTGTCTCTCATACTATAAAACCGAAATTCACAAAATACTATGGTCGATAAGTGTCTGAACCATCGTTTTAAGGGCTTATTTTGTCACGATATGGGCAACCAACGAAGCTCTTGCGTTGTTCATCTGAATAATCACCTGCTCATCACCACAAAATAAGACTTTAGTAAAGGAGGGAACCAGACACCAACAGAGAGAATCACGAAGAGCAAGAAGCTCAATGAGTAATGGATCATATATATGAGGGTAAAAATGGCACAACGTGCAAAGAAGAGCTTTGCCATAACTATAACTGACTAAACCAACACTCCCTCCCACAGTGGATTTGGTTGCTCCATCAAAACGAATTAGAATGGAATAACTAGGAATGAAAGGAGGAGATGATTCACGAGGCAGGGAAGGGACACCAGCTGATGGACCCCAAATTAAAAAATTTAATTTGTCACGATATGGGCAACCATGTGTGATGAATCTCGTGCGTTGTTCATCTGCATAATCACCTGCTCATCACCATAGAATAAGACTTTAGTAAAGGAGTGAACTAGACACCAACAAAGAGAATCACGAAGAGCAAGAAGCTCATTGAGTAATGGATCATATGTATGAGGATAAAAATGGCACAACGTGCAAAGAATAACTTTGCCATAACTATAGCTGACGAAACCAACACTCCCTCCCACAGTGGATTTTGTTGCTCTATCAAAACGAATTAGAATGGAATAACTATGAATGAGAGGAGGAGATGATTCACGAGGCAGGAAAGGGACACCAGCCGTGGAACGGAATGTGAAGCTCGAGGAGCATGGTACTAAGCAAACTCTCATGTCACCACCTGCGCATCAAACTAATGCAGTAAAGCATGAGGCAGATATTGAAGATCGTCATAGGTAGCTGTGCAGCGAGTTTCCAAATCCGCTAGTAAAGAAAACTGATGGACCCCAAATTAAACAATTTAATTTGATGAAAGTGTTCCTAGATAGTCCTTACTCCACAACCCTCGCCAATTAATCTAGGTCACCTTGGAGTCACTCCAGCCATCGTGGCATCATCACCTAGGGTCAACTCGGCCACCCCGAGGTCAATCATCTCATCACCTTGACCACCCCTAGGTCAATCACCTCGGCTCACCTCGGACACCCCGGGGTCACTCCGGCCACCCTGAGTCACCTTGGGGAATTCCCGCCATCCCGAGGTCAGTCATCTCGGTTACCCTAGGGTTACTCCAGCCACCTTAGGGCCAATCACCTCGGGTCACCTTGGGGTCATTCCGGCCATCCCAGGGTCAATCACCTCGGGTCATCTTAAGTTCATTCCGGCCTTCCCAAGGTCAATCACTTAGGGTCCAATCGGCCACCCCATGGTTAATCACCCTAGGTCAACTTGGGGTTACTCCGACCACCCCGGTGCAATCACCCCAGGTCACCTTGGGTCATTCTTGTCACCCCGTGGTTAATCACCTTGGGTCTCCTCGCCCACCCTAGGGTCACTCCGGCAAACCCCGAGGTCACTTCCACGGGTCATCTAGGCTACCATGGGGTCACTACGACTACCCTTGTGGTCAATCACCCTAGGTCACCTCGACCGCCTTAGACTCACTCCAGCCACCCCTAAGGTCAGTCTCTCCAGGTCACTCAACACTCATGGCCACGTACCCTCTTGACGTGTCCTATCCTTTTACTACCAAGCTCTCGAGAGAGACCTACTCCCTTCAAGTTTCCCCAGAGGCCTTTATAAAAGGCCACTTCGTTTTCATATTGAGGTAAGAAAAGATCCCCATGTCTAGACTTGGGAACTCTCGTTATGATTAGCGCAGATATTCATTCTCAATCTCATTCCCTAATGTTTCTTTTCGAGGTCATATTCCTCTCCTCTCAAACCACTCACTAACTTGAGCGTTGGAGAATGTACTCACCGAGATCGGCCGACGAACCCTTTTTGCAGGAGACGACCGGAGCTGACATCATGACTCACGAGACAAGTTCGAGGTGAAAGGTGGGCGTCAACCGACTTCAATATCCAACATAAAAAAAACTCGACGTCGACCACAACCCTAACATCAACAATTGGCGCCCACCGTGTGCCCCGAAGCAAAAGATTGAATAAGCCTAATGCCAACACTTCACTCATAATGGAGTCTCAAAGCTCCAACATTTCCTAAATTGGCAGCGGAGTTTGGGACAAAGAACCAACCCCTCTATCGTTCATCGAAGAACTTCAAGCCCAAATTGAGTAGCTAAGAGGTTAAATCCAAACATTGACATCAACACCTCCTCCACCCAATATGTTTCAAGTCAGTTCTAGTCACCAACCGGAGACCCCCTGGAGGATCAACTCAACCGAATAGGACGTCAACCCCTCGTCCACCTCTACGGCTGGAAGACTTCTCATACCTTGAGCCTCACCTTATACCTAGTTTCTCACTTACTCTAGACATGGGAAGTCATTGACACGTTCGTTCATTGATCAACCCATCCCCCAGACTTCCAAATGCCTCATCTGATTAGAAGGGAATACACATACCTTTGTCCTCCTAACGTTCATACCTACTTCCACATTAATATTGTAATAAAACCAATCGAAAACTCAAAACGAAATGCAGTGGCCAATCATTCATGTATAAAAGCTACATTTTAATGCACTTGATTCTCTTATTATACATGTTTTTCTTCTTCTTCAAACAATGCATAAGAGTGCATGAAAAATTAGGTAATCTGCGTGAATAATTGATAATATTTCGTGAAGAAGTAGTTTTTACAGGCAGAATGTACCACAATTATAGGTGACAATTGGATCGGATTCGTAGATTCGTAGATTGGATTGGTGGATCCATGGATCAAATGGATTGGATTCAATGGATTGGTGGATTCATGGATTGGATCAAATGGATTGGTGGATTGATCCATGAATCCAAATGACATCCAAGGCTTGGACCAAAATGTAAATTTTGAAAAGTTTAAGTGTTAAAATGTCATAATGAAAAATTTTAGGTACCAAAATGTAATTTTCCAATGATTTTTTCGTATAAAAATATAAATGCTAGGTACCAAAATGTAAAATATAAAAAATATAGGTACCATATCGTAATTTGTCATTTGGATCCATGGATTGATCCATGAATCCACCAATCCAATTGGATTTGGATCAAATGGATTGGATTTAAATGGATTGGATTAAGTGGATAATTTGGTGGATGGATTGGATTCATGGATTTGGATCCTAATTGCTAGGGATGGGATTCGGTCGGTAAACAATTTACCGTTAACCGAATTTACCGGTTTCGGTATACCGAAGTTGGCCAAACTGGTTACCGATTACCGATACCGGTTTGTAACCGGTTTACCGATTACCGAATTACCGGTAAACGGTTACAAACCGGTATTACCGAAATACCGTGAGAAGCGATTTCGGGCGGTTTTTCGGTCGGTTTACCGATTATTTACCGAACCGAATTTCTGGAAGTGGGGTGATGTTGTAATATGTTGATTTTTTTGAGTTTTTTTCATCATTTTTGTAATTAATAATTTATTATTAACTTTTATTTACAATATTTTTGAGGCCTATACTTACATTCATGTATGTAATATTTTATATTTTTGTGGGTAAAGCAACAAAACGCAGCGTAGCACTAGGGAGTAAGGAGGGGGGATTCGGTATCGGTAATACCGATTTACCGTCGGTATTTACCGATACCGTGTCCGGTAAACCAACTCCCCCAACTTCCCGCTCGGCTGCCGATACCGCCGATAAACGGTTCGGTAAAACGGTAAACCGTTTACCGGATTACCGTTTACCACCCCTACTAATTGCCACATCTAACCACAATGGAACAAAAAAAAAATCAAACTATAGCCAAACATGGATGCACGCATATTACACTTGCAAATTGCAATAATAAATTTGGTAAATAAGACAATAATAAATTTGGTTATATATCACCTTCACACAAAAAAAAATTACATAATAATAATTCAATATTACTTTCTTTTTCCCATGAATTAACTAGGAGGAGGAGGAGATGACGCCGGTATTGCCAGCCAAGACCATGTATTTGTCTTTTCTGGTGAAGCTGGTGCATTGAAAGCCAAGCTCATCGCCAATCACTTTCTGGACAGAGTTTGCTACTTCAATCCCGCCAGTTGCACTAATTATTCTCCCGCCCGACGAAGTTGTGGTACCACCACCACCGGCAGCAGCAGCAGCAGATGGCGTCGGCACAGCCACCAGAAAGTTGGCGGAGTAAAGAGGGCATGGGTTGAGCAAGTGAAAGGCCGGGTCCAGCAATTTAAGCCCACTCGCCGTGGACCCGTAAAACATACTGACCCCGACGTTCACCGCCACCGGCACGATCTTCCCCGTGCTCCCGCCTGCCACCTCTGCGAAAAGCGGACTGAATCGCAACAGATAAGGCTCCCTGCTCGCGAGTTCAAATGGTTATCACGATAATTACCCATGAATCGGAATTCCATTAACCATAGAATACAGTATCTTAATTAAATTTTCAAACTAGCTAATACCAAACGGTTTTGATTAAGTAGTTAACCAGCCAGATTAACCAATATAACATAACATTAAAAATATATATCTAACAAAAAATATTTATGTCAATGGTATGAAGTTAATAAACTGGTTGCATCTGTGTCTCAGTCTCCTAGTAATTATCATATATGCTGAAAAAGTCTTTCAGTTTCATGTTTTCATTCACAATAGTATATATAATTATAATGTATGAGTTTAACTAACGGCTCATATATATTGTTGTTGTTTACACTCTATGTTTACACTTAAAACACAATGTAGAATAGGAAACGTTTGACTCTTGACTGGTTATGTAAAGTATTAATTATATGTATATAATGTATATATTAGACATACGACTAATTACTTAACGGATTAACGGGTTCGATTGGTTAGGAGTGCATGAAATCAAACCAAACCAACTAAAATCCTAACCAAACAAACTAACAAAAAATCCAACCAAATTAAATCCAATTATCCGAATACAATCCATTAAAATGATGACCATGATAACCACTCCGTTTGAACACTCCCTACCTGCATGTCGTACCTTCGGGGCAAACCACCACGTCGCCGTGTCGCAGTATCTCCTCCATAATCCTTCCGTCCCTCTCCCTGTCGCGCGTGAGCGGCACGTTCCTCACCGGCGAGATCACCCCGTTGAACTTGCTCAGGCTGTACGTCACCGCCGTCGCGGTGGTGTTGAGCAGCGCCAGCGCGATGACGATCGGGTCGAGGAGCGTGCGGTGGTTGCACACGTACATTGTGCCTCCGCCCGAGCGGCCGGGCGGCGGTGGCGGTGGGGTTCCGGTGAAGACGAATCGCATGCCGGTGAGGGAGAGACACGGGATGACTAGAGGGAAGGGGAGGAGGCGGCCGATGAGGAAGCGGATGACGACGAGGAGGAAGCCGAATGGGACCCACATGAAGAGCGCCAGGGTCGCCGGGAAAGTTGGCCGGAAGGCCAGCCTGCCGTCGTGGAAGATGAGTGGCTTTGGGTACTGGTTCCTCGGGAGGGCGCTCCATTGCTTCTTTTCGGATCTCCTCACGACGTGAACTTTCTTCACGTCCATCGTCGAAACGTTGAAATATGTTGTCAGCAACCACAATCTTAAAGCACAGGTTAAATTTTGTATAATACGGAGTTTAGTTTGTATTATAAACATTTTGTGCGAAAATATATAGGTAGAAATTGAGTTATTATTGTAAATTTAAGATGTATTGCATTTGCATTACTAAAAAAAATTTACTAGTTATAACTTGAATTTATAGTTAAAGATACAATTTCATTTATAATGTCGTAAACCAACTGGTCTCAATAACTCGATCTGTATGTTGAGAGAGGTCAATATAATGTAATTAAAATTACCGAAAATATATATAGTATTTAACCACTTTCTTATAGGAATGACAATGGGGCAGACAGGCCAGGCCGGGAATCTCGATACTTATATCCGGCTCGTGGCAGGTCGGATAATTGATCATGGGGCGCGGGTTGGGGTAAATCGGCTCATATGGTAATATAATTTCAACGTAAAAAATTTAAAATATTCATTTTTCATTAACAGAATATAAAAAAATAACCATAACATGACGAATTTGATAAATTTATTCTAGAAATTGAAGTTTTCACATATTTACAACTTTTTTATAGCTAAAATAATAGGTAATAAAAGTAAGATTCTAAGCAATTTGAGTTAATTATATGTGATTTAAAAAAAAAAACAGATAAAAAATGGGATGTTGTCTGAGCATATTAGATCGATGCAGACTACCCATCGTCCTAATTCCTAATGGTTTTTATTTAAACAAATTAAAACAATGAATATCAATGAATATATAATCAATGTAGTCAAACTCGCGCTTTAAAACTTAAAAACTTACGATTTTACGTTTCTAGGTCACTAAAACGCTTCTACGTACAACATCTCAGTTTTTATAACTTATATAGTTAAAAACTCCGTTTTAAAACTTAAAAGCTTATGATTTTTACGCTTCTAGATCACCAAAACGTTTCTACGTAGAAACTCGCTGCTTTTTACTGTATAAGGATGAATTAGTGTTTGATGAAAGTCCAAACCTCACAATTCCTGAAGATGTGGTGATCCCCAACATCCCCATCCCTACAGCCAACAACCCCAACGAGTCGATGATGGGCTCCCACTCCCACACTTTTCTCCTTTACATAAATCTCACCACCGCCGACGCCGCCGCCGTCACCATTACTCGCCACCTCATCATCAACGGCCCTCAACACACGCTCCTCCCTCCTATCTTCCTCCATCAACCCAACAAAATAACCATTCACCTCCTTCACCTCCCGACCAACCACCGTCGCAACGCCCAAATAGTCTCGAGCAAACCCTTCCACCATAACACGTGGCAAATCACTCACGGCCATCAACTTCTCCCCTTGGCGGCGGCGGCCCATCATCATCATGACGTTCTCGAGCCCTTCCAATCCGACGTCGTCGAGGAACCACTTGGGCAGCACGGACCGGCCCAATAACCTGACCCGGTCCGTCTTCAGCCCAGCGAAGCAGAGGAACGTCATGATCTTTATCCCCGTGGATCGGCCCACGACGAAGCGGAGGAGTGGGTAGAAGAGGGCCAGGAGGAGGGCCCGGAGGATCCCGCCGGCGCCGGTTTCCAGCGCCACGAGGGTGAAGTACGGGAAGAGGGACGGCGACCGGAGGAGGGTTTCCTCGAGCTGGAAAATCAACGTCGTGGTGGTGGGAGTGATCAGTTGCTCTGCTGCCATCTCTCTCTGTGTTTTATTTTTTTGGCGACGTTTCTTGAGGAAGGAACAAGGTGGTGAGATTTATATATATATATATAGATGTGAAAAAGAAGGGGGGACATTGGGTAGGTAGCATTATGAGAAGAATAATGTACATATTTTATATTTTGGATTTAGGTATAATATATTACTACACTTTTTTTTTTGGGTGGACTCTATGCTTTTCAAATTTTAGGGGATTTTTTTAATTTATATTCTGAATTTATGATAAAGCAAAAAAAAATTTAATTTATAACATTTATCTATGGGTATTATTACTATCCTGAACGGCAGAAGCAAAATGATTTGAGGAGGTAGAAATTGGAAGTCCTATAATCTGACACTACTCGTGCAATATTCATGCTGAAAAAAACCATAGAAAAAAAAACCCCTTGTTGGGAGGATGAAAGATCTAGCATGCTCGAATTCATTATTATCCAAACCTATTAAAATGCTATTAATTAGCTAAATTTTTTCATAATGTATCAATATATTAATCATTTTTACGATATCGTTAATAATTTTGTAACTCTTTTATTAGCTAAAATATAAAAATTTAGGAATGTTAACATTCATGTGTCTCTTTCAAGTCGGTATCATGTTGCCAAATCAATATTACTAACAAAAATTCCTAACTGAAAATTAACATTTAACGAATTTTTAGTATTTCGATAGGTTTGGATAATATACAAGACTCTGAAAAAAGTTTAGATAAAAAAAACATTAGGGTGTGCCTACGGTGACATGCATGTCACAGTGACTTGCACTTTCCGGTCGACCTCAGCTAGGATTAGGTCGACCTCATTTAGAATTCGGTCGACCTCATATAGGATCCGGTCGACCTCATATAGGATCCGGTCGACCTAATCTGTTGTTTCAGTGTAAAAACAGTTCACAGTGCTTACTTTGGATATTCATATCATACAATTGGCTAGATGGAAATTGAAGACTAATGACTTGTTTTGAAGCTGGAGTGTCCCTCTACATATTGAAGTGATTGATAGCTTGATAGGAAGTCCAGAAGACCCTTTTTCAACCTCATCAAAAGGCTATGCCAAAACTGGGAAACTGCCTAGAAATGGCTAAGTCTGGAAACGTGTTTGTGAAGTCTATTTTTTAGCTCAATTCGAGAAGCATGAATGCGAGTCGAGTCCATGAGCCTCTACCACGTTAAATTAGGTATGTTTTTATACAAATTCAAGGAATTGGATGAATGATTGGATATCTTTAAGGCTTCAAACAAAAGGGTCGAAGTTGCTACGAAGGCTGTTTTTCTGGCAGACTTTGAGCACAAGCAAGCTGCCAGAAAAACAGCCTTCGTAGCAACTTCGAGCCTTTTGTTTGAAGCCTTAAAGATATTGAATCTTTCATCCAATGCCTTGCCTTTGTATAAAAAAATACGTAATTTAACGTGGTAGAGGCCCCTGGACTTGACTCGCATCCATGATTCTCAAATTGAGCTCCAAAGTAGGCTTGACAAACACGTTGCCAGACTTAGCCATTTTCAGGCAGTTTCCCAATTTAGGCATAGCCTTTTGGTCAGATTCAAAAAAGGTCTTCTGGACTTTCTATTGAGCTCCCAAGTACTTTAATGTGTCGATGGACACTTCAGCTTCAAAACAAGCCTTTAATCTCCAATTTCCATCTAGCCAATTGTAAGATATGAATCTCCAAAGTAGGCACCATGAAACTGTTTTTACACTGAAACAACTGATTAGGTCGACCTGATCCTTTATGAGGTCGACCGAAAAGTGCATGTCACCGTGACATGCATGTCACCGTAGCAAAGTCCAAAACATTATTGAAACACAAAGTACAAAATATACGGAAAACAGCCAAACCCTAATAATGCTAACCCATAGCCATAAGTCTAATTAACGGTAATAACGAAAGATAAACCCCGTAAACAAATAAATAAATAAATAAAAGTAATAATAATGCATCAGTTGGAGGCACCGCCCAGTTCAGGGCCACTATTAGTAGGCCAGCAACGGCCAGCACTAAATGGAGAGGGAAGTTCAATAATGGAACAATAACTCAGAGTAAGAGGGAGTTGGTATCTGTTTTAAAACAGGTCGTTGAAACAGAAGATCATCCTGAGACTTACAGCCAAACGAGCTACTGATCACAGAGAATGAACTTTCTGTGAGGGAATGAAAGGAAAACCCTAAATAATTTTACTAAGATTATATCTAATTTAGACTAAAACGGGTCAAGAATGAGGTAGGTCGGGGCAGGTCAGGTCGATGAAAGGTACCCATATCCGACCCAAAGCAAGTCAAATAGGTCGGGTAAAACGGATCAGGTCAAAATTGTCATCCTACTCATAATGTGGTAAGAAAAATATTTCTCCGCCTAGTTTAACATTTTTTTTTTATTGAGCGAAGAGTAGTTTATAGGGTAGCCTTTTTATTTTGGTATTATATTGATATATCTCATATTAAAAAATATAGTATGGTATTTTTAGACTTGGGAGCTACCCACCTAACTAACTAACTAACTAACTAACTAACGATTGCGTGTCGGTGAAACAAACATATATAACTAGGGGTGGCCGTTCGGTTACCGGTTAACCGGTCGGTTAAACCGATAACCGGCCGGTTAAACACTAACCGGTAACCGAAGTAATCGAACTTTGGTATGTTATCGGAAGCTAGACGCAATGGTTTTTGGTCTTGAAAGTGGTTCGGTTAACCGATAATCGAGATAACCGGGAAACCGAAGTCTATTTCGGTCGATTTTCGGTATGAGGGGTGGTTATTTTGATTAGTCTATAACCGGCCAATCGGTTATCGATTATAACTGAAATAACCGAACTGTCACCCCTATATGTAACGCAAGCGGGCATGTACTCTGCTAATTGACAATACTCAATGGCAAGGGTACAATATTTAGCAAATAGTAAGTTTAGAGGTGTCATATGGTAAGTAGAATCAAGTTTCTAGTTGTAAACAGGGAGCGAATCAAGTGCATAATCTTGTGGTCAATAAATTAATGCATAACTCTATTAGAGTCGACTATATTAGTGCCCCTACTCTCCTACTGGAAAACCTTTAATTTCCTCCCTCACTTAATTTTTAAAGAATGATTTCTCACTCGTTTTAAGTCAGAATTTAATTTTTTTTGCAAAGTTAGATTAGATTAAATCGTTTCTTTTGTGCAAAAAATTCTGAAAATGACTAAAAACAAAGGAGATACCATATGGTATGAAGTTGGTAACGAGAGGAATGAATTTTTTTCACAAAAAATATTGAAAATGGATCTCATTTTGTAGAGCACAACGAACTCGTTCCATCTGTGCAAAAACAATTGAAATCCGAGTTAGAATGAAGAAGATATGATCCGATTGAGAAAAATAGGGGAAATAAAACGTCTTTAATTTACAACTCTTAAATCAACAACCACTTAGAAGAAGGGTTCAGATTTGGTTACTCATAATTATGCACCCTATGTTGAGCCCTAGAGACAAAGCATCTAATTCATAAATAATATTCATTTATTCACATAAATTTGAGCTTATTTGTGTCATATTGTCGTTATTCACGTAAGAGTGTTGATTATTCACGCAACCAATACCGTTTAGTGACGCAAGCTGGTGTTGATTCACGCATATCGTTATTTATTTACACCGTTGTAAAATCAAATTTTGAATATTGAAATATTTCAAAATGAATGTCATTGTATATGATCAATGATGCAACACATTTTTACAGATTAATTGAGAATCCAAATTTAATTCTATAAAAGATAGCCAATACAAATTATAATTGAGAAAAAGTCTAAATTTTCATTTGCGTGGATAACTTACACTCTCATGTGAATAAGAATAATATTACATGAATAAGCACACAGTAGCATGAATGAGCACAAAAATGCTTGAATAAATTGGTTTTAGGTGTTTTGTCTTCTATAGAGAGAAGATAACTTTTCCTATTAAAAAAGCTTTGGCTTCAGGCGTGGTCGCTTGGAGGAATGGTCATGGTGCAAGGCTGGATTTTCGCTTGAGGATTTTTAGAATGCTATATAGCATTGGTGCTATAGATTTTTGTCTTTGTGGTACAACTTGAAGTTGTACATTTAACGTTATAGTATAGCTTCAAATTGTACAAATTCCTTTATGATAGAACCTAAACTTATACATTTAACATTATGGTACAACTTCAAGTTGTACATTAAAGCACCAATGCTTTATAGCATAATAGAAGTACTCTTTTGACTTCTCCGTGTTGTTGTTTGTTCGGTGCATTTACATATTGAATTAAAAGAAATTGGGCTATAGTATTGCACTCTAATATATTTTTTCGTTGATTTTACTTTAATACTTAATGGTTAATTTCTAAATTTTATACCGTAAATCTAAAAGTAATGCATTTACCATATTGGATGTATTTAGGAAAATCAAAAGTTTTGATTATTGTTTCTAATTAAATTTATATTATGAAATACAGTTAGTATCATGTCCTAACATTGATTAGTTTAATATTTTCTTACCAAGAGTATACAACTTTTAGGTGTGCCTCGCATTTAGTTTGCGCAGGAGACTTTTAGATGTGTCTGAGCATTGGAAGCAAAACTAATTATTTTAAGTGAAAATAAAAGTTTTACAACACTTCTTAGGTTCAAATAATTAATCACTAAGCTAACCCTTAACAACATCAAAATATGTCACAATTTCTTAGAATCACAAGTTTATCGAAAGTGATGAATCAAAATATGTCAGTCAAAGAGAAGTTGAATCTTGTTGAATAGGAGAAGAAGAATGATTTGGAAAGTGGTGATCAGAGTCAAGATTCGCAGCTTGTGCCTATTGGGGTTGATAGTCAGTGACGACAAAGAGCTGTAGGCTAGAAGGTTGGGTCAAAGGGAATGGAGCGACGGGGAGAAGGTTTTGGGCTTTTCACTTTTGGTTACCAGGTGTTGATAATCGATGACGGCAAAGAGGAGAAAGTAGCTTTCTAATTCTAACCTAAAGTCGTGATTTTTTATATTGAGGGAAGGGTCGAAGGACGCATCAAGACTAGTTTGAGATGGTGTCGTTATGAGTATGTAGTTAAAATCGCTTTACATCTTTAAGATCTTACGCTTTTACACTTCTAGGTCAAACAAAACGATTTTGACGTAGAATTGTGCTTTTCACTTATATGTGTAGTCAAAATATAAGATTTAAAGCTTAAAAGCTTATGTTTTTGCGCTTTTAGATCACCAAAACGGTTACGTAAAATCGTGAATTTGACTACATTTTATGACAAAGGCAACTGCCTTGTTTCTTCTCTTGCTCCACTAATTGTGCTTTAAGCGCGCCTCTAATTATCTAATCGTGCTTCACAACGCTTAATCTCAACTAGGCATCGTCTAAATCCACTTCAGCGTTATTAAGACTTTTATTTGTTGTTGCCTAACGCATAGACATATATGAAATTATGCCTTTTTAAACCAATAATTCCCCGAAAGACGAAAAGAATTGATGGAATTGGATTTGGGGAAATTAATAGATTTAGGAATTAATTTCAGTTTTAAAATTAGAAATAGTGATAAGTAAATTTTCTTGGTGGTTTTGCAAGAATTGTTGGTTTTTAGTTTCACGAAATATCTCAACTAAGAATTCCAAAGATTATGAAAGGGTTCTCGGTTTAATTCGTGCAAACATCAAAGTAATTTCCTCCTCATATTGTGTGTCCCCATTTTTCATCAAGAGTTGTCCAACTAAATAATACTTGGAGAATTTCAAGGAATTCAATAATAAAGTAGATAATCCACTTGAAGTTATGCAAAATCACTATAAAGAATTTATAATATAAAATATGAATAAAAATTTTAAACAATAAAAAGTTGTCAAAATGGATCTTGTTAGATTTATTTTATATTAAATAATATGATTTTATAATTTATTTTATTTTTAAAATTATATAAATGAAATAAAAATATATTTTCTGAAATAAAATTGAAATGTGGTAAGGATAATCTTGTATTTTCAAAACAGCTTTTCGCAGAAGCTCCAGCTTTTGAAGGTGTTTGGCCCTGCTTCAGCTTTTGAAGCCGAAAATCACTTCTAAAAGTTGGGCAAAAAATAGGATTAGAAAAGTGTACTATCTGAACCAAGTGGAGTTTAGCAACAGATCTAGAATATTGTTGCATAGTCTCAACCCGAAATGCATTAATTGTGACGTCCTGAACCTTTTCTTATTGAAGATATTGTCCGCTTTGGGTCTAGATCCTCACGATTTTCAGTTTGGGTGCATATCAAGGTGACTTCCCATAAGGTCACTCATCCTTGCAATGCTCTACGTTGAGCACGTTTAACTTCATATTTCTCACAAGAACTCTTTCATTTCATCCCGAAACGCGTCTTGTCAGTTAAATTCATAAAAAAAAACGCGTCTTGTTAGTTAAGGTCAGTTTCTTACTTACGAACCATGGATCTCTCTCGTACTTTGTCGATGTGGGATTCGCCTGAGGTGTTGCATTAATGGTCGAGCTCGTCGTTGATCATATCAGAAAAATAACGGTAAAATTGTTATTTAATTGTGATTCAATTGTCGCATTTCACTAAAAATCGTTTAATTGTTTAAACTTTGATAACAAAAATTGTAAAATCATAATTGTTGGTATAGTACGATTTTACAAATACGGTGATGAATCAAAAAAATCTTTCGATATATTTTTCCGAGTATGAAGTTGAAACAATTCGTTCCCCGTGTCAAAAAAAATATCGAAACGGTTTAGGAGATGCCACAAATTAAGTTATGAAATGAATCGCGTCCCCAATTACCTTTTGGGATTGCGGAAGAAGGCGGGTTGGATCCGGTCCTTAAGCCTCATTGTTTAAGGAGGTTCTTAAACTATTTTTATTGGCTTATACTAGATTAGGTAGTTAATGATGGTTAGTAGTTAATATTTAGTTTGAATAAATAAGATATTATAAAAATATAATTAATATTACTCATTAATGATTCTCTTTCTCTCTCTCCCTTGATCTTCTCCATATCCCTCTCTCTCCACTACAATGAAAAGGAAATTCGAAATTAATTTAATTAAATATTATTATTTAATATTTAATAAATTCGAACTTAATACTTTTTATTTTTTAAAATTAAAATTGAAAATTAAAAATATATGCTCTCTCTTACTTCGTGGCAATTTGCAATCCATTATTAACATTTTGCAATGACATTATCAGCATTTATGAAATGAATCGTTATTATTATACTCATCACTATTAACGATTTCGATATACTTATCAATTCTTTACAATTACATTATTAACAATTTTGGATCCATTGTTACCGTTTTATGGTTTCGTCATCAACGCCTATGAATGAATCATTAAAGTTATGTAACATGGTCATTAACAGTTTGAATAACAATATCATTGATTTACAACATCTTTAGTACTAATGATTCACATTTTCACATCATGTTTATAACTATCTAGTCATGGCCTCTTTCAATGATTTCTAATGACATTATTAACGTTTTATGATCAATTAATATTGCTTTACATTATTATTCTCAATGATCATAAAGCACAATATTGATTTTCAACATCTTGGGTACTTGTGACATAGTGCACTTGTGTGATTCAGTCAAACAAACATTGTCAAGAAAAATATTAGCCCAAGCAAACCAACATTCACGCTTCAACACCAAACTTTTAATAACATTACAATAAATCATTGATAATGAAAAGTATTTCGTTGAAAATAAACACAAAACATCTATAATAATGTCCGACTTCAACATTATAAAATGACATCAAGCTTTTAATAAAGATATTAAAAACCATTAATAACAAATGAGCAAGTCATTGATAAGGAAATATATTTTTGTAATAAAAAATATTAATAATATTCAAATTAATTGTTTAATATAAAATAACACTAAAAACACATTAATAACTAACGTGTGTTTAGTTGTTAGTGCAATAAAAAACTTTGATAATGATAGCAACTAATAATTGTTAAGTACCTTACTATATATTATTAATATCTTATTTTTTCAAACATTGATAATGTTTATACACATCCATTAATAATGACACCAACTACGTTACTAACTTAGCCTGAAAGGTTAATAACCATAGTTATATCATTAAACACAAATTCACTTTTGCTAATGTCATAAACAAACGAATACCTAACAAGTATGCTTCTTGATAAATTGATAATGACATTTGACAAAGTTACAAACATACACGAAAAAATGTTAATAATACAAATCAATGAAATAAATTGTTGCTAATGGTTGTATTATGCTTGCAAAAAACATTGATAATAGCACTTCAAATGATTATAAATCATTGCGAACCAAATTGATATACTATGTAATAGTAAATGAAATTTAAGTACCAACAAATTGAAAACACAATTTCACTTTTGCTAATGTTACACACAAAACAAAACATAAAAAGTTAATAATGTAATATAACATTATTAAAAAAACCCGTTGAACAACATTAATAATAACACAAATGAATACCTTAAAACGAAAAATCCTAAACCATGCAACGAAAAGCCCTAATGATGATTCAATTTATAAATATTGATAATGTCATTACAAAATATTGATACTAAATTGCAGGCTGCCAAGATGTGAGAGAGACCATATATTTGAAATTTTAAATTTCCATTTCTGAAAAGGAAAATTATTAAATTCGGATTTCATTAAATATTAAATAAAATTAATTTTGTATTTTTTTATTATAATGTAGAGAGATAGTTATGGAGAAAATCATGGGAGGAGAGAGAAAGAGAATAATTAATTAATAATATTAATTATATTTGTATAATCCCATTTACTCTTAACTACCTATTAACTACTAATCCCTTTTAACTACCTAATCCACTATCAACCAATAGGAAGGCTTTAAGATTCTCCTTAAGAAATAAGATTTAAGGACTTGAACTCAAGCCGGAAGAAAGACCATTTTGAAAAAAAAAAAATGACCCATCTTAGTCTCAAACTCACCCAACAAAGTTTAAACTAATTTCTTAGAAATTGTACCAGCCGGTCGAACGGAAGTACTAGATAGCGGTCCTCAAACAGTAGACAATGTTAAAGATACGAAATGGTTGAACCACGATTTTAGTCGGAGCAATTAAGGTCACTAGAATCCAGAAGTAGTTTGCAAAGGAAACTTGGTTCCAACTTCCAAGCAATGTGCAAGATTTAACGATGCAGAACGCCTTTTACAAACTTCAACGTAGAGTATTAGACAAATTCTAAACAATGGAGAAGACAAGATCTTTTCCTAAAAACACCAAAACACTTGCCAAATTATCCACCTCAACAACAAAAGCAATACAAACACTTCCATGCTGAAAACGCATGCCCAGATCTACAAGTGCAAAGCCAGATTCTATACAAGAAGATAGTATAGTTGAGAACAGGGCCAACGACGTATCCCTCCAGAGTTTACCGTAGATGCAGGCAAGACTAATAATCCGGTATGGCGGCGAATCGATAGCCCTTAGCACCCCTCCACGAGTAATATGCTATCCGAGTTTCATAAAAACCTACAACCACAAGCAAAAGGTCATATACCAAGGGGTTCTAAGAGACTAAGCAAGCATTGAATAGAGTCCAAAAGCAAAAGCTTCGCCAAACGGTACAGATATACTTTCAAGCACCAAATGTTGGGAGAGCTTTTACTGAAACATCAAAACAGTACTTGTTGTGAAACTACACTTACCAAAGGAAATCAGCTAGTCTACACAGCGTAGGACAATGGAACATCAAACAAAGGCGAAGTTGTGCTCTAGAGCATTCAATTAAAGAAGCCTACTAGTTGACGCGTTAAATTCTTCATAACTGTAGCTATTAATACCAAGAGATAAGATGAAGCATCTACATAGCCTGTCCTACACCCGTGGTCCATAACAAAAGGGGGAATGTGTGGCTGGAGTTGGGGAATAAAAGCTTAAATAACTTCGGGGAACAAGTTGCATTAGCAATCAACAGAAATAACGAAGAAAAAGAAAATGCATAAAAAGAGATTCAGCTACCAGGGTGGATTGCCATCTAAATTTGAACAAAATTTCCATTACGAAGGTGCATAAGTATAATCAACAAAGATGTGTTAAGCCAACATAAGATGATTGTGTCCCACTTTAAAGAGCAAGGACAACCTAAATAATCCATATTTGTGATGCATCTTCAACATAGGCAGATGTTCAGTTCTATTAACTCCTATTTGTGTTGGTATATAATAGGATTGCAAAGCACAAAGCTGCATAAACTAGTGCAGGCTCTCACCATTCAACTTAAACTGAAGAAAATGAAAATTAAAGAGGAAAACGTTTTAGGGAAAAGAATGAACAGAAGCCTCCTGAAATTAATCTGTTTGCAGTAATTCATTGAAATTGGTTATACTACTTCCTTGAAAACAGTAAATAGTTAGCAACCTTGGTATTTAAGGATGACACGATGAGCACATTCTCAGTTGCCAGTAAAGATTGTTGATCATACCTGGTAAGAAGGTAAGGATTCCCAGGGCTAAGAGACCATACGCTTGTGACTTCTCGCCTCCCATGTGGCCAATGAAAACGAAGAAAGAAAGAAAAAGAAGAAGTGATCCGAGAAAGAGCAAGAAAATTGCAAGCACAACAGATTTCCATGGAATTCTATCAAAAGCCCCTGGAGAGTAATCAAACCGACGGTCATGTCTCATGCCATTGTACTCATCATCTTCATCGATAGCAAGAGGACTATAATTAACATGCCGTCTAGTTGCCATTCCAACTACAGAGGCTACTCGACTAAGATCTCCCAAGTCTGCCTACAGAGGAACCTGATAGACGGAAATCAAAACCATCATTCCAGAATGAGACATCCTATAAGAACTCAAGACACTTCTCCAGTCAGTATATGCAAAAGGTACTTGGGACAATCACAGCTCAAGATCACATCAATTTTCCACCAGCTGAAGCATAGACAGGCTACCTAAGAAGCACCTATTCAAGGTCAATATACAAGAGAAAGAAAGCCCTTTACTTTACATATTCTGTTCAACGCTGTATGCAAAACAATCTGCGCAGCTATAGCAAAGAGCAGTGTGAAGAACAGATATGGAAAGTTATTCATTCCCATACGCGAAGATTAAATCAAAGAACAGTCAAGCATCTCTCCAGCTAAACCCAAAAGTTACTGGCTTACCGCTGTCCCTTGAAAGACAGCAATCACGAAATGGTCCTACAGGAATTTCTAAATTCTAATACTCAGTGAAAGAGCATTCTCTGCTTCCAAATCAATTCGCACCTATCTTACTCGTTACGCCTACTTGTTGAACCATAAACCACCACGGCCATCAATCACAGATTCGACAGATACAACTATGGACTAACTCGTTCGGACTAAAAGCGGAGCCATACCTGAAAATGATTATGCAGCAACACGACTGCAGAGCTCAGCGTACAGACGGTTGGGGGGACGGACGGCGATGACTGGGGCTCTCCCTCTCGCTCTATCTGAAACTCCGATTCTGGTTCACTTCTCTCTCGGGAGAAGTTCTATCTCCCTTTAGATTCAATTGCGAGACGAGCGATGCCAACGGGAAAATTGATCAAGTGGCTGTGGCGGCCCCTCTTGTTTCCGATCCCTGTCCTCCTCAGTCGGCGGTGATGAACGATGACAGGCGGCGACGAAGAAGTTGAGATGGCGGCGGCGGAAGCAGTGGACGACGGCGAACAATGGACAAGATCGATACAATTGGGTACCTCCTCCGCCAAAAGGTGCCGTCCTCTTTTGTCTCAGTCGCGACCCGCGTGGAATCTGTCAACCTTCCATTTAGTTTTGGCCTTCCGTTTTCCTTCCAGCTTTGGTCCCCAAAGTCTACGATTTCGCTTTTTGGTTCCCAGATTCTATAAGGGGTCGTTTGCTTCAAGGATTTGGTACATGGATTTGGTACCAAAAAACCAACTATCAAGGATTTAGGTACAATCCTTTGTTTGCTTGCACCTTTTTTGGAGACCAAATCCGTGGGGCCCACGGATTTTAATGGTCCAAATCCGTGGACCCCACAGACTTATAAATCCCACATGTTGATGTGGGATTTGGAATATGACATAAATCCTTGATGAGATTTTACCCATATACCCTCATGCACTTTTAATATTCCAAGGTTGCCCTCAAATTTAACTATTATACATTATAATTAACATTAAATGAATAATATAAATGTTCAATTAATGTGCAAACATGAGTTAGATTTTTTATATCATTTCTTGTGTTCTAGTTTTCTTTGACCTTTTCATGGAACGTGTAATTTTTTGTTCTCCCGATTCCAATATATGTTGTTATATGTCACTTTTGAAAAGGAGGACAAAGAATTGGTAATTGATTACGTTACGTTAAAAGTTAAAACGGAATTTTCTCATTTATTATTATTGTCCATGTGGCAACATTATGCTTATTAGTATGTATTGTCCTTGTTTTGTGTACATATCATAAACATGTCAAACATATAGAAAATGATAGTAAGATAATTTTGAAGTTGTGTCCTTGTTTTGTGTACATATTATAAACATGTCAAACGTATAGAAAAGGGCAGTAATGTAATTTTTGAATTCAAGTAGTAAATCTCACACCTTTAAATCCATGATAAAAACATCCTAACAAACAAAGGATTGATACAAATCCATGATGCCTCAAATCCTTGATAAATCCTTGGGTTTTTAAATTACAAAACCCTCATTTTTAAATCCATGAAGCAAACGACCCCTAAGTTCTCATTCTCAGCCCTGGATTTCAAAAAAAAAAAAAAAAACATTCAAACAAGTCCTCAGAAATCAGAATAAATATCTGAGATATGATTATAGCCTAGGCTGTAGTAGTTAATTAACGTATTACAGTTTTACTATGACTAGTCTATGGTTTTATTTTACATTGAATAATTAGTCTTCAACATCTCTTCACATTTCTTGGAGTACAACTTGCCTGCTCTAATTTATGCGTCAATCTCCAATCTTTGGTCATCAAACTTATTCATTAGTCGTCAAAAGATGTGTTGTATAGTGGAAGCCATATGCAGCGCTCGAATTCCTTTGGAAATCCCATTTATGCTCATAGCCATATTTGGTGACATTAAAGCATGTTTGAAGAGCATAAATTTGAAGTTACGTCCCATCCGTAAAGCTTCATGGTCCTTTCTACAACTTATTTGGAACAAAATATCTTATCAATATAGAAATATGGTTTTGGATGACTTCCAATTTCATCATTTATACCTCCATAATAGTCAATTCTCATCTCGTTGTAATAATCTTCGAGGAGCATAAAATAATGTATTGAGTATTGTGATAACATATGGCTCTAAGTCTGATGTATCAGCTTCTTCGATCACAACTTAATGTTGATCTTCATTGCCATCAGTTTCATCCTCATTGCCCTCATCTATATGCTCATCTGGCTCACTGGAGGCACTACCCAAGCTCATACTTGATTAATCTTCCTCCTTTCCTAGTGAACTAGCGAAGTCGATACATATCTAAGCAAACTCGATATTTGGATTTCACGCCATAAAATATGTTATTATATACTTGATTTATCTTCCTCCTTTTCACGCCATAAAATTTATCATTTCGTTGCTATGTCTTCTATCCCTTATTGTCGTAAACTGGTGATGATGACCTCATATAGTTGCTCATATGTCAAACGACCATGAACTTGTAGTATAAAATTAGTACCACTAATAAAATCAATCACAACTTTCTCTCTTGTGTTTTTTTAACTCTCCACCAAACAACAAATTTAAATGCTCTAAGATCATTACACCAAGAACAAAAATATACGGAACAATCAAATTAAGTATCCATAATTAATTTACACCTACTAGTTCAATATATTGATCACATATATTTTTATCATGAATGGATGCTCTTCTATTTCATAAAAAAAACTTGAAGGTTATTTTGTGACAACACCCCTTGCCAGTAAGGGATAAAAACAAAAGCGATTAACTCCCTTATCTCATATGCCTAGGAGCCAGGAAAGAGTCAAAACAAACAACCCTCTAAGAGCTGCTAGTAAACTTGGAGAAGAAACCCAAAAATAACTCCTTATATCTATTGCATTCAGAGAATAAGTGGTTTAGAGTTTCAATTGCACAATTGCAGTAGACACCGTTCAAAACTCCTTGATATCCCCATGTTAACAGTTTGTCACAAGTGATAATGATCCCTTCAATAATTTGCCAACTGGGAAATTGATTGTTGTGAACTGCAGGACCCTTGCATAACAATTTGAACCAAGCAATCTTAAGCCTGAATTCCTCCCAAGAAGACATCTTTAGAGAGAATTTACGTTGAGCTTTTCCTTTCCAGTAGCCTACATTGTCCTTCACTTCAAGAATTCCATGGATTTTGCTCCTCATTTATAGGATCTCCTGCCAAATCCAAGACCATGTTTTGCACTCCAGTAACCATAGATCAGCTTTGTGCAATCTGTATTCTTGCATCCAGGCTACCCACAACGAACTATGTTTAGGCATTAAATCCTATATATGCCTGACCACACAAGATTTGTTCCAGCTATAAAGGTCTCTGACACTCAACCCTCCTTTTGTTTTGCGGAGACATACTATGCTCCAACCCACTAAGGCTTTACTTTTCCCCTCTGTATTAACTCCCCACAAGAAATCACTACAAAGTTTCTCAATCTCCTTGATCACTTTCTTAGGTATGATAAACACAACCATCCAAAACTGAACCAAACTTAGAAGAACAGAACTTACTAATTGTAGTTTCCCAGCATAGCTCTGTAGTTTAGACCCCCCCCCCAGCTTTTATTGAATCTTGTGCATGATTTTATCAATTAAAGGCGGACATACCTTAACTGTGAGCTTACTAGGTATTAATTGGACTCCCAGATATCTCACTAGGAGAGTGCCAAGTCTGCAGCCTGCGCTCTCATCCATTTTGATGATCAGGGGGCAATCCACCACAAATACAATTCACACTTGGAAGAGTTAGAAATAAGCGCGGAAAGAATCTTGCACTGCTTTAGGACACTTGGATGCACTAGATACCAAAATTAGAACTATCAGAGAATAATAGAAGGTCATCTGCAAACAAATGTGAGTCAACCCAATTTTTTACACATTGGATGGAAAGGCATCTTGTTTTCTGCCACATCAACACCCATTAGGCAATTTAAGACTTCCATTGTTAGTGCAAACAGATAGGGATATAATAGATCTCCCCGTCGAAGACCTTTTGTGCAGAGAAATAGCCCACAACTCCTCCATTGAATCTTACACTCAACTTAGAGGAAGTAACACACATTGAGATCCATCTAAGGAACTGACTTGGGAATCTCATAGCTTCAAGTATTGTGAATAAATAGTTCAAGTAGACAGAGTCGAAGGCTTTCACCCTCTGACTCTCATACTTCCTTTACCATATCAAAGAACTTTGGATGCGATATCCATAATTGTAGAACTTAAACGGTTTAGGGAGTGAATTAATAGAGCTATCAATATCTAAATGAATAGGACAATGATCTGAGATCGATCCATTAACTCCACTACACTATTAGAAAGAGAGTCTAGCCATACTAGGTTTACAAATTTTCTATCAAGCCGCCTAGCAATACGATTACTTGATTGCGTATTTGTCCAAATAAACCATGGACCAGAAGTTTTGTGCTCAACCAATTCCTACTGATGCTTCCAACCCTTGAAATCTTCCATACTTCCATTATAATCAGAGTGGTTTGATGCCTCATTTGGATCTGTAATAGCATTGAAATCTCCAAGTATTGTCCAAGGCAATTGATTCACCTTATTTCTTAGCAAATCACTATAAAGAATTCTTTTTCAACTTCCTCATTTGAAGAATGGACAAAGGACGCAACGAAAGGAGTCCCAGAACTCACCAGGATATGTATAAATTGATCAGATTGATCTATAACCCGTAGGCTGACATCTTTCTCCCACAAGAGCCAAAATTTACCCAAACCTATTAGTTTTTTGCCACTGCACTCTCCCAAGCAGAAAATCTTTTAGCAATAAGATCATCAGTCTCTTTTTCTCTTATTCTTGGGTCTAGTATAGCTACTATATCAATATTCTTTCTACTAACTATTTGTTGTACAACTTTATTTTTTTTCACTATCCTTATACCCCCTAGTATTCCAAACTAGTAATTTCATCTATTCCTATTTGCTCTCCCCCTTTCTTAGTAGGGGAAACATAAGGAATTTGAGCCTTCTTCCTAGAGTTTTGGACTGTTATCCATAGATTCTTTTCCTTCCCAACATGAGTTGCCTCTAGAACTAACCTCCTAGAATCTCTTGGTGAGTCAGTACTAGCAGACTGTTGTAGAGATGGTTTAGGACTCCCAACAATATTTGTTGATCCATTTACCACATCCACAAAAGTCACTACTAAGTTCCTAATTTTATTTTTGAAACTTGGAAATTCATTAAATGAACCCAAAGAGGTGTACAGATTTTGGGCCAAACACCCCATGGAAGGAAACAAACCACTTGGAAAAGGGCCAAGTCAAACCACATCATTGAAAAGCTAAGCCCAAAACACAACGGGCCTGAAACCACACAATGTAGAGCAAAACCCACAAGACAAACGGGCTTGACTGAAGAAACCCTAGCAAACTAATCTTTCCTCCACACATGAGAGCAGCAACCGCCAGAAGCAGACCCTGAAAACCGCTGGCGACGAAATGAACCCTCAGAAGCCACCGACGACGCTAAACGCATCAAGCAAGACGTCCGAAGAAAGGGGAAGGCAGACGACATTATCCGAAACCACCAAAACTCACAAAGATTTGACGAAACCACACAACGTAGAGCAAAACCCACAAGACAAACATGCTTGACTGAAGAAACCCTAGCAAACTAATTTTTCCTCCACACATGAGAGCAGCAACCTCCAAAAGCAGACCTTGAAAACCGCCGGCGACGAAATGAACCTTCGGAAGCCACCGACGACGCGAAGCGCATCAAGCAAGACATCCAAAGAAAGGGGAAAGCAGACGACATGATCCAAAACCACCGAAACACACAGAGATTTGACGAAACCCAGGGAGCCGCCACCTCAACAACCAAAGCACATGCACCGGATGAACCGGATGATTGATCAGTAGCCCAGGTGGAACGAACCTCGTCTTCGAGCTTCATGAAACTGCAACCACGTGAATGTTACAAATAGGACTCCCAAGTCTTCTCCGAAACACCTAATCAAAGAGGTGAAGCAAGAAGGAGGAACATAAACATGAAGGAGAAGACAGGTTAAGAGAATCCCAACCTCCTCTGTCACCAACAAAACATCTAAACTGAACAGATCTAAAGATCTGACACGAGGAAGCATACACATCTCAAATGAACAGATATGAAGATCTGACACGAGGAGGAAGCATAAGCATCCATCAGAAGAGGTGTGAACAGGCATAAGAAGGAAATCAGATATGACACTGAAAGGGAAAGTGCAATAAGGAAAGAAAGCAAGAAAAAAAGGTGGGGCTACCGCCAGCGCTCAAGAACCACCGACGACAACCCAAACATTTGAAATCTAGAGAGAGTTTAGAGGAAAAAGTTTTTAGAGAGAGCATCTGTAGAAGCTACGCACTTTCTTGGGTCCAGAGGGCCAGAAGTTTACTAAGTTCCTAATTGATGCAGGAGCTGGATCAGAATCTAATGAACTCGACTTATCCTCATTGGTCCCTAAAAAGCTAGGGTCAGATGTGTGCGAGTGAACAGAAATCCGCTTCCCAATTTGTTGAATAGTCTCCTTACTTGAGTTACCTTGCAACTCTAAGCTCACTTCATTAGTAGCTTCCACAGGGGAGTTTCAAACCTTCTTTTTGGGCACTCATTTCTTCCCCCTTTCTTGCCAATCAGTCACAATCGTGGCCATATACCTCACATCACAAACAATAGGCTTATTTAAATACTCAACCTCCACCGGGTAGAGTCTCACACGAGAAGGAAACCCGCAATCAGCTACAAGATCTAAACAGACTTTTGCGAACCCTAACTGACTCCAACCTAGTAGATTGGTCCATCCAAAGTGGAGGCCCCAAGGTGCTAGCAATCCTCTTGTGCCCTTTAGACGAATGATATTCTAATGGAATTCCCCAAATTGATCACGTATTCACACGGAAGCGAATAACATCTTTTTTAGCATATCTCTAATTACTAATTAGCCAAAATCTCAAGGGGTTGAGTAATCGAAATGCAAGAGTTATGTAGTAATATGGAGGAATAATATTTGACGGAGTATGAGAAAAGACTTGGCTAGAGAAAAAAGAAGCAGTTAGTGCGAGAGTTGAGAACATTGATCAGAGTGTGCAAATTGGAAAATGATGGAAGAAGATACGAGAATTGTTTTAAAAAGTTGTCATATTTATATGCATCCTAATATGACTATTTCTTCCCAATTTGCTTATGATGCTTTTTTTCCTGTTTGTGAGTGTTGAACTTTGGAGTTTTTCTTGATGTTGAAGACAAATTGGTGCGACAATAAGTCCAATTAAGGCGTTCACACCTTAATTAGACTCTCAGTGTTTGTTAAGTGTAATTGAGGGGCAACCTCTCATTGATTGTTTCTTAGCTAGACAGACCTGAGACATGCACACTTTAATTGAACCTAGAATGACCCGCTCGCTACGCTTCGCAAGTAATATGAAGTCCAAATTTCGAAAGACTATGCAAGTAGCACTACTGTAATAGATAAAAGAGTCCAAAAGAGTGCGATTTAGAAGCATAAATATACATTAAAGGAATTACAGTTGATTCAGTCACGTTAACATTACATAGTTGTATGAATAAGGAAATATATCCTCCAAATAGAAAACTATAAACCCATGACCTAATAAAATAATGCAGCAAGAATGGAGAAAGGAGCAAAGAAAAGCACACATGGAACACCTATGAAAAAGCATAGTAGTTCTGGTTCATTGTACATATTTCAACTTTCTTCATCTTTTGTTTGTACTGCTCTACTACCTTGCACACCACCGCTAAGAAGTCAAGCAAATCACAATCCTGAAGTGATTGTAGAAAATCACAATCTCCAAATCATGAAATGCAACTAGATTACTAAGTTTATAAAGTTATGATAACCGCAACCTACTTAACCTGTAATTTAATCCATTTGATATTGTATACGTATTCTAAGATTGCAAACCAAACAAAATTTAAGCCATCTAAAAGCTATTAAAATGAAATTCCAATGACAAACATCAGAACACTATCAATTCAAAAGGACAATACAGGCAACTCTAAGTTAACAGTGAGGGCATGACCTAGGCATGAATCCTCACCTCCAATCAATATATAACTTGTCACAGACCAAGGCCAATTCAAACAAAATTTCACACAAAGACGGAATAATATTTGAAAGTAGAATACCATTAAAAGATCATATCCCAAGCATTGGCAGCAACCAATCCATGAAAATCTAAAGTAATTTTTTTTTACGAATAAATCTAAAGTAATTCTAAGTATTACAAATTTACAGCTATTATTAGAAACCTGATAATGAATTTAAGAATCAACAACGCTTAACAAATGAATAGCCTCATAGTTCCTTAACCCAAAATCTAGGTACCAGGAATAAAAAAAGGACAGCTTTCCTAGAAAGAGAGAGGCAAAATAGAAGAGCTTGCAAGCATTCCTGGTCATGATTCTCCTCTGCAACGTCGAGGTCACTGAGTCACAGCATAGAAGCAAGAATTTCAAACAGAGCGGTAATCAAGATCATAGAGAGGCGACAAAGGCAGAAAGTGATACACATTAGCAGAGGCAAAGAACAGAGTTTCGCCGACGAAAGTAAAACACAACAATGTTTGTGAGTGCAAAGAAAATAATAGAAAACTGAATTGCAGGTGAGAGCACAAAGAGGCGACAAAGCAAGAATTGCAGGTGAATTGCCAAAAAGATTGGTTAAGAAGCAGGAAGGTATATAGATTTTGAATTCCATACATTCTAAATTCCAAACAACTCACCAAAATTACCAAAAGTCAGGAAAATTTCAGCAACCTCCCCAACACCGTAGATGCAACAACTCATCATCCAGCCATCTGATGTTCCGAAAATTCATAGAGCCTGACAACCAACTCGAAATCATTCAGCTGATGGAAACAAATGAAATTATTCCTAACAATTACAACATTTATAAAGCATATAAAAGGTTGATTTACATATATTATTTTTAATGATTATGTCAAGTTAATACTAAGGCAGCAGAAGCTTACTCTGCCGAGATCAAGGAAAATAAATTCTAAATTCATTACCATCGACTCTAAAAACGGATCCATAAGTGGGAAGTCTTATTGTCCCACTAATAACCAAGTATCCTAATCTCATGGAACCAAGTTCAGTAGGTATCAAAAATTGAACGACAGTGACAAAAATGTACGTTCAATAATTTGAATTATGTTTGTAAAAGTTTAAAAAAAAGAGAATACTTTGGGGTTTACGTAGTTCATCAGTGTTCACTGAGCAGCTTAAGATAGCATAATCAACCTCACCGAACCTCAAATAGAATGAAAATGGCAGTGCACTGTAGGGGTCGAGCAAAAAAACAAAAAAAAGAACATATAAAAGATTTTTAATGGGAAATAGCAATTATTATGAACGTGTAAACTTAGAGTTCATGAGAATAGTGACAAGTCTAGCCTTGGCATCCTGATAAGCTGATCTTTATCACCATCTCTCTAAGGTTACAAATTCAACACAACAAAATGGCAGCATGCTGATACACCATGTTCATTCTTTGTCATATCTTGAATTGGCTTTTGCCAATCACTTTTTTCATTATTCGTCTTAGTGGCAAAAATAAACCACACAAAGAAAAGGGCAACACAACCAAAACCGAATGCTAATTTAACATGTAAATAATTGCATTATTGGCAACACTTGTATCAGTACTTACATTCAGTAGGTAGCTCCAATAGTCTCCACTTCATTGAGATATGAGGAATGTGATGTTAAATGAAAAAGAATAAGCGATACTGCTGTCAAGTAGAGTAGTCTAGTTAGTATAGTCATATAAGGGGGGAACAACCCCTTAAGGGACATAATTACCAACCAAGGGGACAAATATGCAATGTAAAGGCAACTGCACACAAAATGCAGATCACGACATTATGTGTGATGGTTCAATTTTGTCCAGTCCTCAACCTTTATATAACATGAGCATTTAATTTTCTTATTAACTTTGCTAAGAATGTAGAACTGTTAGTGGCACTACCTTCTCAAAAACACTTAGAAAGCAAGCAATATATTATTGCACAGCAACATTCATAAACCGTAAAAATACTCAGATTCATGAAAATATTAGGATCTAAGGTGGAGCAAAATAAAGATCACTTCTGTCATAGCAAAAACTGCAAAATTCACAGAGAACAGTGGCTAACCTGGACCTACTTCAAAAGCACATATATGCTTTCTGGAGTTGCTGCTCCCAATCAACTGTCCTCCCCATAAGTTATAGTACAGGTACTCCAGTTTTTGGTTAGTCCAAAGGCAAGCATTACCTGCACATTTATGCACCACATACATTTAATAGATAACCAAAACTACCATTTTGATCTCAATAAGAAAAAGAATACAGACCTAAAAATCCCATGAAGAGGTCACACGTAAGGGAACTGACATACATTTTTTTATGGAGTTAGACTCAAAGGACAGTTAGAATAGGGGAAGTCCCCTAACTATGTTTCCCCACTATTATTAATCAACCTGCCATTTGCGAAGGACCTCTACCGAGTTTTCCACACTCGGAAATCAAACGAAAGGGAAAAAGAAAGCTTAAATGGGTCGATCATGGACGTCAATGCAGATATAGAACCCAAAATACGAAAAAGGTAAAATCGAGAGCTCACGTTCGTTTATACAACTCCCTTGACTCTTCTCACAGTAAATCCGGAAGATAGAGAAAGAGAGTCCTAACATAGAAGTTCCTCCACCGAATGAATCTTTGACAACAACAAAACTAATTAGATCAAAGTGAAACGGAGGGAGAAACTTCAAATGTTGTTTCTGGTTCGCTTGCCCGCTCTGACGACTCTAAAGTTCAGATCGATTGTCAACTCCAAAACACAGAATCACTGTCCGAAATAGCAAACAAAAGAGATGAATCATAAAGATAAAACAGAAGGGAAAAAATGAGAAGGAAAAGAGACTATGCCTAGCCACTGTCTCAAGAGGATATGATTACGACGATGTTGCGAACGGTGTCTTACCTCCCCAAATCCTCATCAGCGAATTTGATTATAAAATCTCCAAGACCAGACATGCTCTTCTGAAACAGGAAGAGAGAGCATGATCACATTCAAGAAAAATCAGAAAACAATAACCTAAAAACGATAACCCAAAACATCGAACCTGCTTCTTCCCCAACCCGACCGTCAATCTCTCAAACCCGACAATCAATCAAAACCTGAAACCCAACTCATATATGATAGGGGAATGGGAGGAAAAAGCCAAGGAATTGCCATTCAGTAACTGCAGAAAAAAGGGAAAAAATGGCAGGAGAAAGGAGGAGGAGGGTGGGGGAGAGAGAGAGAAATGCGTTCACGACGACGGGAGGGAAGGTTTCGCAAGGCAGACATCTAACGGTCCAGCAGCATTTCGCTGAGATTCCACGATCAACTCAGCTCTCAGAAAATCCCATCAACTCAAAGGGCAAGAGAATCAGTATGCTCTGGCTGGAGAATCAGCCACACACCATCTTGGGATTTCCGACGGGATTTCCGCTTCGTCGGAGAGGGATCCTCACAACCAAGACTTCTTCGTGAGGAACCGTTTGGGCAACAGAAACCAGAGAACATAATTAAGAAGATGCATCTAATCATAACAAATGAGAGAGATGAAGCAAAACCATCAATATCGACTTATCACCTTCAAACGTCAGGGCAGGCAAATCTGGTTTCCTTCCGTCGCCAATCTCGTTCTCCCCTATGGACCCTCTTCAACATGGATTTATAACCCAAACCATAGATCTTCAGATTGGTAGCTTTTCGCTGGAATTGATGACCATCTCCGGGGCTTATGAACTCGATGTCGGTATCTTCTAATAATGCATAGGTTGAGAGTGATGGAGAACAAATCTGTCTAGCAAAAAGAAAAAAACCATAAGAAACCCACCTTGCGGTTCTGTGTATCCTCCGATTTCTCTCACCCTCCCAAATTAGCCAATTTATAGAAGAACGAACAGAGTGGAAAGAGCTGAGAAAAAGAGTGGAAAGAGCTGAAGAGACGCTTACCAACTCCTGATTACTCCGAGAGTCCTCTCCCCTCAAGACTGACGCTAGTTTTCTCTCAACCAGAAAAGGAAAAAACCAAAGAGGGAAAATGAAAAGTCGAGAAGAGAGAGAATCAAATAAGAACGAACCTGGAGTGGAGGGGAGAGTTTAGAGAAGAGAAGAACAAACAAAATATAGGGATCTCACCCTTGTCTAGTTCCCCTCTCTTGCAGAATCCTCATATGAAAGTTGGCTTTCCTCACATCTTCTCCCAACCACGGTTCTGAATCCTAGATAACAAACCTAAAATCCAAACACAGAGAAGGTTGTTGAAAAACACACGAAACCTACAAGATCACAGTCGATAAAGGAGAGAGAGACCTGAGATTCACCTTTCGGCCGCTCAAGTTCACCTTCTTCGGTGACCGCTCCAAGCTACTGAATCTTTGAATCTTCTTTTTGTCGCCGCAGGTCATCGAACGATTCTCTGGTCGATGTTTCCCTACCCCGGGTCTGAGATGAGAGAGAGAGAGAGAGAGAGAGAGAGAGATGAGGTAAGACTGAGGTTTCTGCTCGAAGCCATAGCGTAGAGAGAAGGGAGTTGGAGAAGGAGTGTGAGTGAAAGAGAGAGAGGGAGTGAAGGAGAGAGAACATCGTTTGGTTTGTTTCAGTTTCTAGAAAGGGTAAAGCAAGCACTCGTAGGTGAAATAAGTGGACCAATATAAAACGCCAACGTGGCCTTTAGATCCACCAATAACCCACTAAAAATATCTCTGCATCTCTTTCTTTTCTTGGGCCATACACTTGAGACCGGCGCGATTTCCATGGCAGAGGAAAGGAGCAAGAGAGAAGGCCGAAGCTGCTGCAGAAACCTGGCAAAACAGGCCACTACAGTGCATCAACCAATCACAGGCCTATGCATAGTAAATCGTGTCTGGTTAAACAGTAAAGTAGCCTGCCTGAACAGAGATCGGATGTTTGTGCAAATGACTCTTCTTAATAATAATAATTGATGTACTCTACCGAATTCAACTCTCATTAATCGGGTCGAATTAGGTCTATTTAAGCGTGTAAAACTCGTTATCAATCCAAAATTTGAAAAAAATCGGGTTCAACTCGCTTAAACCAGGTCTAATACCATTAATTTGGGTAAATTAGAAGCTTAATTGAGAAAACCTACTCCAGGATCCAATGATTTAAACGTGCAAAAACTCGACGTTAAGCCAAAATTTGTCAACACTTATTTGGATTTGAGTTCAATGACATAAAAGGGTTTGTAAAATCGATAAAACTCGTCCCACACCCTGACTTTTGAAACACTGGATTCAACTCGATTTTACTGGCTTGATAAAGCGGTCTGAGTTTTTAAAAAAAATCCACACCTCACCGAACTCGACAATTACAGAAGCGGGTAAAACCCGTTCCCGACCCTAAATTCATCAACACTGGATTCAACTCGCTTTGACTGGCCTGATAAAGCATACCGGGTTTTCAACAAAAAAAAAAAACACACCCAATCAACCCGCCAATTACAAAAGTGGGTAAAACTCATCCCGACCCCAAAAATTTCAACACTGGATTCGACTCGCTTTGGCCGGATTGAACTACAAAAGTGGGTAAAACTCGTCCCCACCCAAAAAATTTCAACACTGGATCCAACTCGCTTTGACCGGCTTGATAAAGTTGGGTGAGATTTTTAACAAAATCAACACCCGGCCCAACAAAAGCAGGTAAAATTCGTTCCCGACCAAGAATTCGGCAACACCGGGACCGGGGTGAATTAGGTTGAATATAGTTTTTAACAAAAGCAAAAAAGTGGGTAAAACTCGTCCCGACCCAAAAACTTTCAACACTGGATCCAACTCACTTTGACCGGCTTGATAAAGCGGGTCGAGATTTTTAACAAAATCAATACCCGACCCAACAAAAGCGGGTAAAATTCGTTCCCGACCAAAATTCGGCAACACTGGGACCGGGTTGAATTAGGTCGAATATAGTTTTTAACAAAAGCCACACCCGACCCAATTCGTTATTTACAAAAGTTGATAAAATTTTGTATTGAATTAGATTGAGTACACATAAATCTAGATACAACTGGGTTTATAAAAAAAGAAGGAAAGCAAAAGAGACAAAAAACCCAAAAGTATGCAGAGAACGTTCTTGACATTGTCAAATGGAAGAAACGCTTCGAATAAGCAAACAACTGGTCTCGAACATTCGTAGGTTGCGCTAAAAACACGTAAAAACGAAGTCAGGCAACAACAAAAAGAAGAGGGCACTAACCACCAACACGTTTAAGCATGAGGCAAAAAAAAAACATCACTGACCAAGCATCCGCCATTAAGTAAAAGTATTTAACAGAGCGATTTCATACATAAATCGAAAAAAGGAAAAAGGTAGGAAAGCAAAAAAACAACTGGCAACAACAAATGCGAAGGATGGTTGGTTTGTGTCTTACGCTTTCGCAGGAGAAGTAAAGCAAGGGTAAAGGCACAAAAGAAAAAAAGGAAGCAGCATTGACACTCGTACAGACAAAGCACTATTTAGTGCGTGTTGCGTTCACAACCCAGAAAATCGAAGTTGGACAACAGGCAGACAACACAAAAATACGGAAGGAAACGAATACAACCGAAACAAAAGATAAGAAATCGAGGAAAGCAAAATTAAAGCTAGAAAGCAACAAAGAAAACGGGAACAACAATTCTAGAGCGGTGCGCTAAAAAAAAGAAAGTAAAGTCGAGCAACAGACACAACGCAACAAGCGCGCAATTAAACGAACCAAGCAAGCACAGGAACAAAAAAAAACCTAGAGCGGCACGCTACAAAAAAAACAAATCAAAGTCAAGCAGCAGACACAACGCAACAATCCGCGATTAAACGAACCAAGCAATCAGAGGAACAAAAAAAACCACCAAACTAAAAGACAATAACAACCGGAACAAAAGATAAGAAATCGAGCAAAGCAAAATTAAAGCTAGAAAACAACAAAGAAACCAGGAACAACAATTCTAGAGCGGTGCGCCAAAAAAAAAAGAAGAAAGTAAAGTCGAGCAACACACACAACGCAACAAGCGCGCAATTAAACGAAGCAAGCAATCATGGGAGCAAAACAAAAAAAAACCTAGAGCGGCACGCTACAAAAAAACAAAGCAAAGTCGAGCAGCAGACACAACGCAACAATCCGCGATTAAACGAAGCAAGCAATCAGAGGAACAAAAAAGAACCACCAAACTAAAAGACAATAACCAAATGACCCACTAACCAATCATTTGCATGATGTGACTATAAGTAATAGTAACATCTTACTTGTTCTTTAATAAGAAGAATATGCTGATAGTAGGTCAAAAAACATAATATTGATCAAAGTGTGCAAATTGAAAATGGTGGAAGAAGATGTGAGAATGTTTTAAAAGGTTGTCATATTTATATGCATCATAATATGACTGTCTTCCCAATTTGCTTGTAACATTTTTTCCTCACATGTGGGTGTTGAAATTTGGAGTTTTCTGAACATTGAAAGATAAATTGAGGCGACAATAAATTTAATTGGGATGTGCACGCCTTAATTTGATTTTCAACGTCTGTTAAGTATAATTGAGGTACAAGGCCCTATTGATTGTTTCTTAACTGAACAAAGCGAATATTGATACTTTAATTGACACATGCGAACAATAGGTTAGGGGTGGGCATGTGGGTGGTTAATTCGAGGATTGATATCGATCCACCCGTAAATAACCCGACCCACATGCAATGGGTGATTGATGTGGGTGGATTGTGGATTGTTAAATCTCTCACCCGCACTTATGTGGGTGGATTGCGGGTCACCCGTATGACCCGCATCCTATTTTTATATGGAAAATGTTGTTTCTTATAGTATCAAATATTCATCATAATTTCGAACTGCACTACAATCTGACCATATACCGCAAAAGGTGGAGAATAAAGAATAGTTTTGACTATCATTATTGGTTATTGTGTTGTGCAATATCCATTGGCAATGGATATTGGTATGCAAATTATTGTTAATATTCATTAAATATTGGGATACAAACTATAAATTATTAATTGTATCAAAATCACAAATTATTGATACAATCTTTGTGATTTTGATACAATCTTACTAATGTGCTATGAACTTATTATAAATATTAGTCAATTTTATTAATGGCTAGTTGGAGAATTGCTTTTACTGGTTAACCCGCGACCCAACCACACCCATCTGCCACCCACCCAACCCAACCCGCATAAGTATGTGGGTGGATTGCGAGTCACATATATTCCAACCCGCTAGTAAGCGGGTGGATCAATTTTAGACCAAAATTCACCCAACCCGCTCATTACCCACCCCTAGATTAAGAAACTATTTTGGAAATTACTATATTTTAAATAATATATCTAGACTACTTATAATACATTTTTAAAGAGTTTGATTTGCTCCATTTCAAATTCCCTGCAACGAGAGTGAAAGATATCAATGCTAGGATTTGAACCATGGTCCCTTCCACCAAAGACAAGAATTGTAACCAATTAGACTAGACACATTTCTTGTACTTTATTAATACAAAACATAGAGGAACTTAAAATTATGAAAAACAAAGTACTTTTCTATCAGTTAGTTAGCACGCTAAGTCTCCTGTAAGTATTTTTTGAAGTTTGATACTTCTATTTTCATATTTTAATAATTAATTTATAATATTTGTAACTTATAAATGAAGGATAATCTTAAAATCTCAACGCAAATATCATTGGTTGGAATATTGCGCATTGAATTGAAGTGTTCAATGAAGTGTTCAATAACGATATAAGGACACTGGTAACATACATTTCAAGATAAATAAAAATGACAAACATCGATACCAATTATCTCGATAGTCTATGCTAAAATTCGAAATTGTTTAATCATTCAATTTGAACGATAGTTTAGTCAAATCAAGCAAATAATTCACGATTGTGTATGGACAAAAATAAAAACATATGTATTTTATTATGAAAAATGTATTTATTTTAACAATCTAAAAAAACAATAAAAACTTCCATACGACTCCTTATTTCAATAATGTAATTAATGAAATAATTTTTATCAGCATGATGCAATGTTCAAGCTAAGGTCCAAGTATTAACACCAGTATATAGTATTCATCATAGTTAACTATTTCAATATCCACAGCTAACTATTAATGGTTACTTGCTTTCTCTTAGAGAGTTTAATGTAACACTCTCATGCCTAGCTATGCTCTAAGCATTTGTTTTCTTTTTTTTCACAATATCATTTGCAGTTATTTATTAAATCAACTTTGTTTCTAGCTTTTAAATCCTAATTATTCACTTCTTCACATCAACTTATGAGAATGCTAAATATATTTTTCATGTCTAATCTATTAAACATAAATGTTGCTTATCACTTAAATTCACTGGTATCCATGTTAGGTTTGATGTCACCAACATATTCTCCCAATTTCTCCTAAAAGCATTATATATTGCGCTTGATATCATAGTTTCGTTAGGTAAACTTCAACAAACTCAATAAATATTCAAACTCTTCGAAATAGCTATCCACATGCGAATATGAAGTACTTAGTAGCTAAAACTCTACTTGAGTTAGTACAATCTTTTGCGCTATCAATTCAAAATTCAATACATGATTATCTTAGTACAATTTAGTCATACTAATTGTGCAGTAGGGGACATCTTATCAAAATCATAAAGAAAGACTCTTTGATTGATCGCTTTATTGATGTACTCAAAGTTTGCTATAATTATTGAGGTTCAGCAGCACATTAGGCGTACGACGGTCATTGGGCATTTGTCTATCTCTTAGCTCGCCTAGACATGCTTAGACATTATAATAAAAATAGCAATTTTAATAATAATGAATAAAATAACGGTTCTGAAGCAATTTCATACTTTAGTTCAAATGATTTAACAACAAACGAAATAACTCTCAAGTTTATAAATTATTTTTTTTTACCAAATGATATAATTAATTAATTCATGAGCTGAAATATCTAATTATAAGCACTTCAAATTTAAGTTAAAACTCTATATGATGCAATTGTTTGACGAAATGGGTTTTATAATAGAGTGATTCTATCGAGAGAGGTCTCTAAGAAACATGGTTTACTTTATTATTCCTTAGGTGGATATAATTTCTATCTTCAACGTTACTTTTACATTGGATTCAATTTAGTATACTTTTTCATTTAGATAGATTTGTTTATGATGTTCAAAGATATAATATATCATTATATATGATGGTGTAGGATATTAATTCCTCTCATGTTAGGTTCAAATTGATGCATCTTCCCCTTAATCGTTCCCTTTTATTGGTTAATAATTTTTATGATATTTTTCACTTTGAACTAAAGTGAGCGGAATCTATACATAGCAATTTGTGTTTTTTCGCTTCCTCTTCTCTTGGTTAGATATTGTGTCCATATTGATTCCTATATTGATTATCGAATTACTACTTTTTGTTCTTTTTTCTGATGCAAGATATGATTTTATGTTTGATAATATAGATTTATTTTGCAAGCATGTGGATGCTTGAGAGTAGGTTGTCAACCCGCTGGTCGACCCCTGGGTCGACCCACTTTGACCCTGACCTGGTGAGAAAAACGGGCAGCACGCACCCGCCGAGTTGACGCTACAAGGTATCGGGTTAGAGGTCAAATTGTGTCATTTTTTTCTTTGGTTTGTGAAATGCGCCTATTTTCCAATTTTCTTTTCGCCTAACTCAATCGTTGGAATCCTAAGTTGAACATTTGAATATTGTTGTTATATTATTGTGTGTGAATTTTCACTATATGTTGGATCTAAGTACGACATGTTATTTTAGTGTAATATTATATGTGATAACTCATATGTTAGATGAGATTTGATATAATATATCAGGATAAGTATAATATAATGACTCTTTCCATATTTTCGGGCTAAATCGGGCTAAACCGGGTGACCCATTAACCCTTGACTCACTAGATTCACCGGGTCCGGGTCAACCCGTTAGTTGACAAACTTGCTTGAGACTTTTCATTTGCCTCATAACTTACATTTTACAATGGCTCCAAACTTGGATGGGTTTCTATTCAGCACATAAATTTTTAATGATGTAAAATTTATGAAACTAAGATGCATATTAATAAACAATGTAAGGTCTCATCTTCCCTCTTAAGCACTACATATTATTGTTTACTTACTATTAAATCAAAATCTTTCTAACTTGAGTAAGAGCTACAATAACTTTTATTAACTTTCACTACTCATATATCACAAGTGTTCCAATCATTATCAAGTGTTCATACAATGACTTTTATTGTTGTGGATTTCTCCCAAAATGTTAGGTATGCTGCTATTATTTTTTGCCTTCTTTTCGCTTTGATTTAGGTTTTTATGTGTTGCTCTATTAGTTGAACTTGCACCTGGAGATCTGCATGTTTTGTTTCATTATATCATTGAATACACTAAAGTCAATTGAACCATGACTGTGTGAGTTAGTTTGTTTCTTTTTAAGTACACTCTAAACATATGGTTTGTTTCATTATATCATTGAATACACGAAAGTCAATGGAAAAGACAAAAATTTATCGTATATTGAAGATTGATTATGTATGTGTGATGTAAAACAACTCTTATCATTGTTCTTCTTGGACATTTTTATATAGATATGACTTTGTTTGAAATATGAATTTACGTTAGTGTAGTTGGGCGTTGTTTGTCATTTTTTAAACTTCATTAGTCAAATACATTAAATACTTTCCTATATTATTCATGGAGAACTTACCAAATTAAATTGTTACTTCAATCCTCATTGTTACTACACATACACATGAAAATCAAACTCTCCCGGCCATGAGGCCGGGCCCTAATCTAGTATTTGAAAAAACAATTTTTTCTTAAGAAAAATCACATTCCCACACTGCATCACCTATTCATTCAAGAAAAAAATTTAAAGCCTCCGACAGTTCGACCATAAGAAATAACAAGGAAAAAAATAAAAAGAATAAAGCCCACTAAAATAACTTCTCCAACCCAAATGAACCGTGTTTCTTGCCTGAAAAAAACGCCAGTCTCTCTCTCCCCCTCTATCCGACAGCGAAATCGAACTGCTCCGAAAACAAAAGCTCGGGGGAAATAAACAACCTTCCTTCCCTCCCTCCCTCTCCACCCAACTACGGATTCCCTGCTCGCCGGGCAATCAAAGCTCATAACGCCATATCCTCCCCGCTCCTTTCTTATCCAATCTTCTGGCGCAAACTGAAGCTCCACTGCAGTGGTCGATCTAGGGTTACTATATTAGGCGGGAGATTGTAAAATTAGGGTTTCACAAGCATCTTTGTTTTTTTTTTTTTTTTTTTTTTTGCCACGAGGAATTAGTTCAGTTAGGTCTTGGCTTATCGAATTTACGGAGGGTTTTTTTTAGCGGTCGTTGATGGTGGTCACTACTGCAAGCCAAATGCCTCTGGCGGAATAAGATGATGGGTAGGGGTCGCGATGGAGGTTGCGGCTCTGGCGAGAGGCATTGCCGACCTAATTGTAGGGTTACTGCTACCAACGCTGTGGCCGCTGCTGCTGAGCCTGAGGTTCCCGCCACAATGGAGAAGAAGGCAGTTCAGTCGCTGGACGTCGATTTCTTCTCCCAGGCAAGTAAAGCGTTGTGCGAGAGGTCGCCGTTTGATGTTCCCGAAGAGGTCCCGGGTTCAGTTAGCTCGACTTCGACTACTTTGCCTAGCGGATTGGCCAGCTTGCTGAGGCATTCCGAGAGCAGAAAGAGAAACAAGAAGTCGCATCATGGTGGTAGTAAGAAGTCGTCCCGGGCAGGTGAGCGTTCCAAAGGAGGGAACATTTGGGTTGAGTCTGAGGATTACTTTAGGGATTTGGTATTGGCAGATGTTGATGCTTTGGTTGAGCTGTGTTCTCCTCTTAGGTCCTTAGCTGCTAGAAGTTGTTTTTCACTTCCAGACATTGGAAACGGGGAAAAGGAGATAAGTGAGTCCCGGTTTAATCAGGACAATCCTGATAATGACATGAATGCATGTGTGGAGAACCGAACTGGTATGGTGTCAGAAAGCGAGTCGCAACAAGAAGCGCAGCAGCATATGGAAATTGACAGGGCGGCAGTTCAAACTGATGGTTCAGAGATTTTGCCACCAGCAGACAGTGGCAGCAGCGTCTCCCCTTCATATTATTCCGGTAGTTTAGGTTGGGTTTTGGGCTGTAGGAACAGAAACTTGTTGACTACAGAACGTCCTTCCAAGAAGCGGAAGCTTTTAGGTGCTGATGTTGGGTTGGACAAGCTGTTGGTTGGTTCACCGTGTCAAGGCAGCTCATCAATATGTGATTTCTGCTGCAAGGGCGACTTATTGAATGATTTGAACAAATTAATTGTTTGCTCCTCTTGCCATATTTCCGTGCATAGCAAATGTTATGGTGTGCAAGGTGATGAAGGTGACCCTTGGTTATGTACTAGATGTAAGCTGAACATTGATAAAGAGATGGAGAAGCAACCATGCGTCCTTTGTCCGAAGCAGGGCGGTGCCTCTAAACCAGTTGCTGACAAGAATTGCAGTTCCGAAGCAGAGTTTGTGCATTTGTTTTGTTCTATTTGGATGCCAGAGGTCTATGTGGAGGACCTGACCAAGATGGAGCCCATTATGAATGTTTCTGGTATCAAGGAGACACATAAGAAATTAGTCTGTAATGTGTGCAAGGTGAAACGTGGTGCATGTGTTCGGTGCAGCCATGGTATGCTTTGTCAGTGCTTTATTTTATTAATTCACTGTTTTCTTGGCTGTGGCTGGATTTGAATTCGTTTGCTTACTCTGTATCTCTTAATCTTTGAAGCAGAAGTGAATATGTCCCTATTTCGGGACTGTATTCTAGTTGTGTTAAGTTGTTCATGGTGCTGGCCTTTTACGTGATCTGCTAGTAAAAGCTCTGTGAATTATTTTTCGAACTTGGCTTTCCTGTTGCTTAAATGTGGGCAGAAAAAAAAAGCCCCAGTTACCTTCATTCTGTGTTTGCTTAAAGATTATTACATCTCTGCTGAGTATGTGCGTGATTTCTCAACGGCCGGCTGATTGCTCAATTTTTGTCTTTTTGGTAGCTAGGCATGTTGTGCCCTCGAACACTAGTGACACATCGATCTAAGTTTATTGTTGTTGGATCAGGCTTGCTTATCATTATCATTCTTATTCTTCTCTTCAGTAACCAATTCTACATCATTTTAGTACTAGTACTAGGTGTTTATCCATGAGTATGATTAGGGCGTCTGAACCTATGCATGGTTATATATATTTCTTCTTGGTATCCCTAATAAACAGTTGATAGTGTCGTTTGGTACATTTTTCTTTTTCTGTATAGCATCCGGCTTTCTTGTTTTTTTTTTTTGTTTTTTTTTTCCGAGTTCTCTATTGGATGGCTTGTCTGTCCTGTATAGGTGCTGTCTTCAGCGTTATCAAGTTGTCCTCCTGCCATGATTGGCTCTTTGTTATGTTGTCTGGGCTTCTCGGTATTTTCCCGTTGCAGTGCGCTTCTGGTTTTTCTCCTTCTCCCTTTTCCTTTAAGTAGTGCATATCCTTCTCACTATCATCTTTGTTCTTTTATCTGGGTTTGATGTTAACATTGACTATCTGAGCTTGTTTTTTCTTTGGTTGATGTGTTTTGATGATTTGTTGGTAATGATGTGTACTATCATAAGTTTCATGTCCATGCCCTCCCTTCCCTGACAAGTCATTCTATTGGTATTATGAAATAGTTTCTTACTTGATTGTTTACTTTGCTTTTATCAAACTGATCACTCCCTTGAAATCAGTCATTAACTCAATCTGCTCTTGCCTTGCATGGGCTGAATAAGCTCACATACTTACATCATTCCTCTTGGTTGCTTTTCAGGAGCTTGTAGACTTGCTTTCCATCCTATATGTGCGAGGGAGGCAAGACATAGAATAGAGGTTTGGGGAAAGTATGGACATGATAGTGTAAGCTAATTTCTCCCCACCACCCGTTATTAATGAATAATGATATAGCATGCTCTAGTAAGAGTATTTTTATGGTTTTACTTCTATATTGGGTGTGATTATTTGTATTATTTAACTTGTGATTACCTTCTGTCATTCTGTTTGAATCTGCAGGTTGAACTGCGTGTCTTTTGCTCCAAGCACTCTGGGCTTCTTGATGGCAAAGAAAAGTTTCAAGCCGCTGAAGCTTCTTTGACTGCAAAAAGTGTCTCTGTTGCTGACTGTAGTTTGGTCATGCAGTCCCCAGATAAGCATCGGGAGATCGTTGAAAATGGAGGTAAATTTGAACCTTGTATAGGATCTGCTGGTCTTACTTATTCTGTTAAATCTGGAGATGTTGATAAAGATGACTTAGAGTCTTCTGTGTGGGAAAAAAAATGTAGAACTTGTATCAGACGGGGATGCATTCCAGAGGAGTGATATGTCCATGTCTGAGAGATCAGACATTGAGGAACCTAGCTCGTCAGGCTCCTTAAATCTCTCAGACATTGAGGAACCTAGCTCGTCAGGCTCCTTAAATCTTGCCCTTGTGATGAAGAAGGTGATTGGAGAACGTTCTAATAGTTTTGATCATAGGTTCTTGCGTCCAATCCTGTTTATGTATCTTGTTGACTTCCATTTTGTGTTGACACAGTTAATTCAACGTGGAAAAATCAACGTGAAAGATGTGGCAGCAGAACTGGGCGTCTCGCCTGATTCCCTAACTGCAATACTTGCGGTAAAGATCGAAATCCTGGAATCATTTTCTAAAATTTTCATAATAGCTGCACATCTAGACTAGTTGCTTTCATATTGCAGGAAGACATATTAGTCCCTGAAGTCCAGTGCAAAATAGTCAAATGGCTTAGTAGTCATGCTTGCATGGGTGCTTCACTAAAGAATTCAAAAGTTAAACTCAAGTCTGCAATGGTACCCATGTCTGAGGAGACTTCCAATTTTTCTGATGTCGTGGCAGAGCAATCTGACATGGCAGGTACTGTAGCTATAAAGTCAGTTCCTCCACGGAGAAGAACCAAAAACAACATTAAGTTTCGCAAGAATGATGAAACGAGCAGCTTATCCAAGGACACACTGGCTGAAAATGGCATGGGAAGTGAGTTAAGAGTAGAACAGCTCGCCACTGAAGATCCAGAAGATGCAAACAAAGCATCTACTTCCAGTGTAGGTGAAATGGTTATGTTGTAGCTAATTGTTTATTCGTATCTTCATCTCTGATGATGCATGGTTCATTTTTTGGCGTTTTCTCCCTTGTTTGATATGATGATATCACCATCAATGTTTTTAATTGTTTTCATATCCTCAGTATGTGCTTCCCTTGTAAAGCATTTAGCACGAGAAGATTGCTACTAGTCAGGGTATCAAATGCATTTCTTTTTCTTGTTGAGGCTTCTTCATTTGTAGTCTTATTTCCTTTATTCATAGTCTCTAGAATCTTGATGATCTTCCTTAACAAGCTGTCCATGTCCATATTTCATCGATGCAATCTGATCTTTCTACTGCTAAGTTTGCTCTTCCCTTGATAATCCACCTCTTTCAGTGTCTTTTTGTTGTTGCTATGGTTGACTTGTATAGCATTAAAATAAACCATTTGGGAAAATGATTTCTGTCAGACAATACTAGGATCCAGATTGGATATTTAAGTTTATTGTTTTATTTGCACATGTATCTGGATTTTCATTTCATGACACTAGTAGCCATTTTGTCATGTCCAATCAAAAAGTTTCTTATACGTACTAACTCATTTGTGATGTCTTGCAGAGATTGTTAAATGATGGTGCCACTGATTTGCAAGCACCAGGTTCACCTAAAAATGAAGGTAGATATCAGTATCACTATTTTTGATTTACAAATTATATTTGCTTAAATGTATTTAATAATAGTTATGATATTACAGTTTGTAGTTTATGTTTTCACACTAGTGCATGTGCTATGCAGGCAGTATGAGCGATTTGTCTGAGTGCTCTTCTTTCAAAAAGGTCGAGTCAACAGAAGCAGATGCTTCTGGAACTGCACAAAAGCTGAAGGGAATTGTCTTGGAGTCTGATGTTGATGCACTTCTCCTTGATCTGATGTATGTTCATTGTGCATCTCTTTCTCAAAATTGTAGACTTAGACTCACAAATCTCCACAATATGAAATTGTATTTATGGGGCCTAAAATATTTTTTGGTTCCTTTTTTTTTTCTGGTCTGATGCTAAAATAGTGGATTGTCTCGTTGTTAATCTCTTTCGTTTGCTGTAGTAAAATGGATGCATCTTCCGGCGCTTGTATTCATCCTAGTATCCTAGAGCTAATAAAAATGCACAAAAGAATGCCTTTCGACAGTGGAACTAGTGAGTGTGAAGGTATGAAGACAAATGATGTTTCTTATCTTTGGCTCCCCCCAGTACCTCGATGGTCATTTGCAAGTCTTATAATCATGCAGGAGTCAAGGAGCTAGAAATATCCGGTTTGGAGGCTTCTTCAAATGCAAATGCTTGCTGTAATCACAAGAGCACAAATTCGGAGTGGAATGCAATTGTTTGTGATGCCAATGGAGACAGTTCTGGTCAGCTACTTAAGGCTGCTGAGTTGGGAGTTTTTCCACTGTCTCCAGCAGATGAAGTTGAAGGAGAAATAATTTATTTTCAGCATAAGTTGCTCAGCAGTGCAGTTCAGAGAAAACACATGACTGGTACCTTTTATGTGTTATTTGATATTATGTTTTGCTGTGCGATTGGCCCACTCTGTTATTTCCTTGGCCGAAACAACTGGATATTGTGAGTCAAAATTGTTTCCCCGTGAATGCCAAACATGGCTTCAAAATTTTGAGTTCCGCAACTTTTTACTGAATTTTATCTTCTTCTGAGGTTTGTGCTGGATGGCTAACACAAACTTGTCCATCTTTTGTTGTCTTTGCAGGAACTCTTGTTAAAAATCTATCTAAGAGCCTACCGAAGGAGATTGATGCTTCAAGGAAGCAAATATGGGACTCAGTCCTTGTTAATCAGTACATTCGCGAACTCAGGGAAGCAAAGAAACAGGGAAGGAAGGAGAAGAGGCACAAAGAAGCTCAAGCTTATCTTGCTGCTGCAACTGCTGCTGCTGCTGCTTCATCCAGAACTTCATTCCTTAGGAAAGTTGCTTTTGATGAGTGCACAGTTAATGAGGTTGGTCTCTCATGCTAGTGCAACTTGTTTTCCTTGTATGGCAAGCTAATCATCTTATTTTGAGATATATTTCTTTTAATGACGATCTTTCTCTGTAGAAGCTCAATATTTCCAATGGGACGCCTGGCCTTTCATCTCAGTCGATTACCCGTCCTAAAGGAAAACTATCAAGGGTGACACTTCCAAGGATATCATCTGACAAGTATTCTGATTTTGTTCAGTCAGTTCCTGAAGTTTCCAAAGAGCATCCTAGATCATGTGATATTTGCAGGCGGCCCGAGACTATAATGAACCCTATCTTAGTGTGTTCCAGTTGTAAGGTTGTGGTTTGTTTGCTCAGACCTCAATAAGTTTAGTGAGAAATATATCTGCATCATAGTAACAACAAACTTATTTCTAACAGGTTGCAGTTCATCTGGATTGTTATTGCAATGACAAAGAATCTCCAGGTCCATGGCACTGTGAATTATGTGAAGACTTGTTATCTGCCCGGCAGTCTGGAGGTCATTCTTTAAACTTCTGGGAAAAGCCTTATTTTGTTGCTGAATGCGGTTTATGTGGCGGTGCAACTGGTGCTTTCCGCAAATGCATCAATGGGCAGTGGGTCCATGCCTTCTGTGCAGAGGTTAGTTCCTGGCTTACGTTTTGATAGTCTGATTGGTATTTTGTTGGTACCCTGGTGCATGATTATTTTCAGTTTCCATGTGCAGTGGTTGCTTCAGTCAGTGTACAGAAGGGGTCAAGTAAATCCTGTTGAAGGAATGGTACGGAGAAGTTATAGTTTGGCCTTTCAATGTCTAGAATATCATTGGTTCATTTTCTGTTATCTCAAATAGTAAATCTCAGCTGGCCATATACACTTTCTGTTCTGTCTCTTTTCTTTTTGGCATTGTGAATTTGCTCATCTATCTCTTCTGTATCTCAATGCAATTTCTTCTCAGTATTAACAGCTTAACTAATTCTATTTCTAGGAAGATCTCCTAAAGGGAACTGATCTCTGCTGTGTGTGCCGTCGTAAACATGGTGCTTGTTTACGGGTGAGTCTGCTTGATCTCTTTACCTTCCACTGGGTTCCTATATGTATAATTTTCTGGCAGTATTGGTGTTTGCTGCAAGCAATTGACTGCAATCGCATTTCTGCAGTGTAGCTATGGGCATTGTCAGACTACATTTCATCCCTCTTGCGCTAAAAGTGCAGGGTTTTTTATGAATGTCAAGTTCCTGAGTGGCAAGTTTCAGTACAGGGCTTACTGTGAGCAGCATAGTTTGGAGCAGAAGTTGAAGGTCTGAAAGTTGTCATTTGTCTGAGGAATACAAATGCTACTGGTTTTAATTTTGAGATGATTAACCTTATATACTCATTGTTATTTGTAGGCTGAATCCCAGAAACATGGTGTTGATGAGTTAAAAAGCGTCAAACAAATCAGGGTAAATTGTGTTTTATGTCGGTTCTCATTCTGTTAATCTGATTGTAGCCTCAGTTGCGTTGTGTCTTTACCAGTCACGTTTCCCCCTTTCTTTCTGAATTTCCAGGTTGAGTTGGAGAGGTTGCGCCTTCTGTGTGAAAGAATTATCAAACGTGAGAAGTTAAAGGTAGCCATTCTAATTCATGATTTGGGGCTTCTAAAAACTCGAATGCCGTTTCCTTAATCTAATGTTGTTGGACAATTGACATAGGAGCTGCAATTTCTTTTCAGTTGCTTTTAGATAGCCATTCTTATGTTTGGTTTGGATGAGAACTGCTCGTGTCTAATGTCCAAGCTTAAAACCCAAGAAAATAAATATTGTATTTGGCAGCAGTGCTGTTTATATGCAGTGCAATTTCTCTTTGAATATTTTACTGAGCAGTTCTGTTTCACTGGTACGTGTCTTTCTAGGTTTTTTGTTTTGACCGAGTATTTCTTTCTAGAGTCGGTTGTTTTTTTATTTGTTTAGTTACATTTCTACTGTTGAATAATGTTTAGGCCTTGGAAGTACTTTGGTCTGTCTATGAGGTTGGTTCACATGGGTTATATTTCAGTTCTCTTAGCTTGACATAGGAAGCTCTCTGATTTGTCTACAGCGGGACTTGGTGATCTGCTCTCATAGCATACTTGCCTCCAAAAGGGACCACACGGCTCATTCTGCTCTTGTCCAAAACCCTTTTTTCCATCCTGATGCTAGTTCAGAGTCAGCAACCACATCCCTCAAGGGAAACGTGACGGATGGTTATAGTGATGCAGCAATTCAGAGATCGAACGAAATCACAGCAGACAGTGCTGCCTCTACTGTCAAGAAACGGCTCAAGGTCACCATGTCTACTGATACCGAGCAGAGGACAGATGACAACTGTTTGACTTACCAACCCCCACTCAACAACAGCAGACCAACACAGAGGCAGCAATTTGCTGGGAAGCAAATCCCTAAAAGAGCTTGTCCTCCTGCTTGTAATCTAGTAGAGGAAGCAGACAGATCGAGGAAGGTAAATGGCACATCTATTATTCATTATGGCATATTTTTCCCAGCAGCAGCATTTGGTGTTTCTAGAGGTATGTTTTCCCCGTTAACTGTCGGTTTTTTCTCTTTGTTTTACTTTGCAGCGTGTAGAAACGTTGCAAAAGGAGTTAGTGATGACTTCTGATCAAGCAAGCATGAGGAATCAGCAGTTACCCAAAGGTTATTTTTACATTCCAGTAGATTGCCTTCCAAGGGAGAATCAAACGACGACGAATGACCAGGAATCATCATGTCCTGGTGAACCATTGCCACCCGGAGAGAGCTAAGTAGCGAAATTGCTAGGTTTCTTAAGATCAGTGGGGGTTGATTGATGTTGAGATTTAGTGCAAGTGCTTTGTTGCATCATGCTGCTGCTGCCGGCCAGTTGATTTGATTTCGAGGTGTCTTGCTTCGCTGTGTTGTATATTTTACTTGAGGTAGTAATTGTACAGTGCTGTGAGCATGGTTTGGTTCAGTTTAATAGGCAGCATGCAACAGCATTGGTAGCAGAAGGCAGAAGTAGCGCAACGTCTATTCGTTTACTAGAATGTACTGTGTATGTGGTGAAAGCGGAGCCCTATTGCTCGTCTCCTGCGTTGAAGTGATTGGAGGGTGCGTTTCATAGTGTAAAGTTATGTGTAAATATTTTGTTACAGGGTACTAAATCAGTCATCCAATCAGATTAGTGACAAAATTTTATTCCGAAAGCTTGCCTACATCGTCTATTTTGTAATAATCTAGTTGAATGTTCTCATTTTTCTGTGGATGACAAATGTGATGCCAAATTTCCATACAATTCAACGCAAGCAGAATTGTCACTAATTTGTTATAAACTATGATGGACAAGTACGTGATGGTCCGCTTACAGTATCTGTTAAAATTCGTCATAACTCGGTTGCTGGAGCAATTATTTCTGAGATATCGTTCTATAGGTCATTCCATTAGAGCATAATCATCTCCATCTTCATCCACGACCTCATATCCGTAGTCTTGAACCGTGGAATTCTCAAGCAGGTCATCTTCATCTTCCATGTAAGCTCTTTCAGGATTCGAGTCCCGCAGGCAAATGGCATCCCCAAACAAAGAAGTGGCTGCTGCGTTCTTGCTTTTCGAGGGTTCCCTGTCATTCACCTCTATAACTGATGTGATTTTCTCCTTGATACAATCTTCAACAATGCTCGATCCAATTTGGCCACACTGCAAGCCAAGAAGAGAGAAGCATTCTTCTCGAAAGCCCTGATCCATGGATGACGTGATGAGGCCCGCAATAGATCTTGCAAGGTCGGGGGCATAGCTGCGAATCTGAAGATATGAGATTCCATAATTAGATGTCTATTATGGAAGTCGAGTTACCTGGGAAAACGTTCAATCCTTAGATGCTTAGTAACTAATCAATAAACTGAGAATTGATCAGCATCTATAGATAGTTATGCTCCATAACCATGGTACCTATGCCAACTGGTTGATGAAATTGGGTCATAGAAAAGATAGGCTTGATCAGATGTGCGATATCTTTTAGTAGTAAAAAAGAAAAGTGGTGAAGATAATAGATTAGTTTGTTCTTTAATAACAGTGTTTCTTCAACTTCTCACTTGCCTAAAGAAAAACACCCTTAATCTCGAAGTCAGAGCCTTACCTTAAGGGCGTGCTTGCTAAGTAGGAGTCCTGGATGCCTCTCCTTCAAATTATTCATGGCAAGAGTAACAGCCTTCTTCACGAGGGATCTATCAGGCTGAGTCTTTTTACGCCTTGATGAAAGTTCTGCATGCTTGATAACAGACAGGTCAAGGAAAACCTTAACAGCTCACATCTAGGCACAGGTGCAGACCACATTTAGTAAGTGTCGAGAGCGAGCTAAAGGTAAAAATGAAGTGTTTACTAAAGTGGATATTGTTTGTGATAAAAATGTAGCACCATGGCTACATGAACATTAGCCTGTAAGTTTTCCCACCGAAGAAGGAAGCAGCCATCTTGATCCATAACGCCCGCCAGTGTCAACCCATAGCTCTTCCAATCAATGCTAGATATTGCACTTATTGAAGATTGACCAATTGATGAAGGCTTGAAATTCTCGTAATACATCACCTATATAATATCAGCCTAATAAGTTGTGAAGGAAGGAATTGATTATAGCAGAGCCCGGGTAAGAATTATGACTAGTATCGGTGTAGATTACATAATGCACAAAATACTAATTGCAAGCTTTACCTAGCCTAAGCCTAAGCTCAGACTTGGTAAAATGGTCCTCATTTGCTAAGAAAATATTTCCCTTACTATAAGCCAACATTTACTGAATAGTGAAGAAATGCAGAGAAGTGTAATTGAAAAGATAAGGGCAGTAACCTCTGTTTCTGAGCTGCATGTATCCGAGGTACAGATCGTCTTTGTCTCGCTTACAATGATCACAGTTTCTATTGTGAATCCAGAAGTTTTATGGCTATCTGAGCTGCACGATGCAATCCCTACCTTAAGTTGTTCCCTGATAACCATACAGAGATACAGATCTTTAGAAATTTCAAAGCAAAGCTGCAAGTTGAAGAAAAACAGCACCTCACCGAGATGGCAGGCATGAATCACACTTTTGGTTCAGTCTATTCCCATGTTGCAGGACATAATCTTCAAGACCCGACTGCAGATGGTTAATAGTTGAGGCAGGACAAGTAAGAGCATTTTCTTCAATAGCTGGGTAGACCTTCTCATATCGTGATCCTGCTGCGTCTTCTTGTTCAACCACAAGTTCAGTTGCAATATACTGGAAGCAACACAAAGAGGTTTCTGATATTTTTTCTAGACATATTATTGCTCTCTTTTGTTGAACATTTAAACAAACTCGACTCCAAAGAAATCATATGTGAGAAGGTAATGTTCAAGTGTATACAAAGCATCAGACATGTAGGTATAGATAAGCTCAATCATGTGATCATCTGAGGGTCAGAAAGAAATCATCCTCTTGATGCAACCCACTCAGCTGCAAATTCAATTAAAAGACATTCCCTGAATACTGTCCAACCTCTATACTTTTCATTTCTTCATTTCATTCTTCAATAATCAATAAATGATGGTTGACTTCATTGTATGAGTCTTTTGAGATGCTTAATCATGTGACAATGAGAAACAGAAATATAAATCACTCCACAGCCAAGTCTCGGAGAACCAAGTTCAACTTACAGGAATCTTCAGAACGAGCATCTGCAGAAAATAAAGGAGATACTAGCAAATCAAAAGGAGCTCTAGTTTCTACAAAAAGAAAAAGCTCTAAAGACCATTACTTCAAAGTGAAAAAACGAAATTCAAGACGTTATGCTTGAAGTGTCAATAGAATGATTAGTTGTGGCACCTCATTCTTCATTCCAAACATAGAAGGGATATAAAACAGAAGTTCTTGACGATAATGTCAAGGGCATCATCAACTTGCAATAACTTTCAGTACCATTTCAAAGGCTTCACAGGCCTTCTGAAGCTCCTGAAGTATGGAGTAAAACTTCTGAAATCATCAGAACCCTCATACCAGGCTCCCAAGCCATAAGATATATAAGTGACCAAGGATGTCTCAGAATGAAAATCTAAAATTACCCATTTATGGAACAGTAAACCAACCTTCTGGAGAAAGGAGTTTATCTCTGAGACTAAGATATCCATGCTCTCAGAGAACGAAAGGCAGACTTCAGTTCCACTACACGAAATAACGAACAAGAACAAACAAATTAATGAATCAATTGAACTGAGAGGATAAAATGCAGTGAAACAAGAAAAAATTAATCCGTATCCCGTGCCTGAACATAACTCCATTCTTCAGGTTTGATGGAAGTTGAGCCAGCATTCCATCGGGATTGTTTTCCCTAAAATTCACTTTGTAGTTGTATATTTCTTTATCAGAGAAGCCTGCGATTCTCTCCAACAACATACTGAAATCAGAGTCTCAAATGACCACCAAGATGACTGCTACAAGCTGAATTTGGTATACTTAAGAAGGCATCTATAGAATTGATAACTCGCAACGGCGTAGGTACAATGGAAAACTGAAGAAAACAAAAGCTGCTGCACGCAGAATGCCATTATAAGAACTTACTTGTAGTTCTGACAGAAAGCAGTCCATCTGCAAGCGTAAAAAGTCAGGAGTCAACACTTGGCCAGAAAATGGCGAAGGGAACAGAATTTTGGCACAAGAATGGGGGACGGAATTCACTGCGTCCGTTCCGCACCCCATTTTTCAGAGGTAATGCTGCCGCTGAGGCCAGTAAACTCTTCCAGAGAGCTTCCCACGCCCGTATCAGAAACTGTATGCACAAAACCGATTCAAATGAACAAAAAAATTCCACAAAGAAATCTCTGACCTAATCGAAAACCGAGCATATGATCAAACGCTATTTCATTTCAGTCAAACGAGTGAGGAAACGCGGGAATAGAGCTCGGGAAGCAGAAATCCTAAAAGCACGAAGGAGACATAACTGGAAATTTGGACGACCGAGTGATTGGGAAGATGCGATTTGGCGAGAAGAAGAATCGAAACTCTACAGAGCTGTGCAGAGACGCGGCATCTCTGGAATGCGGAAGAGATCAACTGCAAACAAAAAATTCCAGACGATTTCAGAAACATTGGAAACGAAGGACTGAATCAAGGAGAAGAGTGAGGGAAATGAAGAGTGAAGGAGCTGAGTTTGAATTTGCCGCTCACTTCACAGCATAGCTTTGGAGGAGAAGAGGCAGCCATTGTTGGATTTGGATTGGAGAGGAGAAGTTTTTGCAAGAAGCTAAACGTTTGATTTGAAGAGAACGGACGAAAGAGGGATTTCTTTCAGCACTGGATGTGGACCGGACCGCTGGTAGAAACTAAGAAATGCTCTGCGCGCGAGATAAATAAGAATGGAGAATTGATTTCGGGCTCATGCCAGCCAATTTTGCTATGCTGCTCACAACTTTTTTTTTTTTTTTTTTTTTTTTTAACAGGAGCTCAGAGGGCCGGATTGCAGGCCATGTCGGTTAAGCTGTCAATAGAGTCCGAAATTGTTCTGAGCTGAGAAGGACTCATGTAAGTGAAGGAAGATGGAGTTGAGCCGAAAACCAAGCCAAGCCGAAAGAAAGAGGGTTTTGGGTGGGCCCTACAATTTTAAAAAAAAAATCCTAATTTTTGAATTTTTCTTATTGAAACCGCCACTTCATCCTTTGCCTTTTCTCTTCATTACGTTATTCATTTTCGATCTCCACTTCCTTTTTCCTTTTCTCTTTCAAAGACGAAACTAAGGTGGCGACGATGGGACGGAGACGATGAAGTTGGAGTGGAGATGATGACGGTTCGGCGGCAAAGGAAGAGAGCATCGACGGAAGGGGCGAAGAATTTGAGGTTGAAGCGCCGAGAAGCCGACAGAAGGGGGCGGAGACGACAACGAGAGTGCAGAGAAGGTGAGGAAGATCTCTATCTCGAGTTTTGGTTTGCCGATTGAAGTTTGTTTGGGGTGAATATGGAAAAGGGTTTCATGGGTACAAATTTGGGGTTTTTTGGTACGATTCTAGGCTTCACTGGGTTTATGGGTTTTGTATGTTTTTTGTGTGTGTAGATTGTTGATATGGATATGGATTAGTCGCCAGATGGGTATAAATTTGCTGGTTTTTCATATGAGTTTGCATGACTGGGTTTCTTGGTTTTGTGTTGCTGTTAAATACCACATCATGAACGTTGAATACAATTTTGTCAATGTTGGCTTGCAATATTAGTTGTTTGATGGTTAATACCGGTTCGTCAATTTTGAATTCTGATTTGTCTATGTGGGATATTAGTTGTTTGTAGACCTTCAGTATTAGTTGTTTGATGTTGGATACCAGTTCCTGACTTTCAATACTGGTTTGTCGATGTGGGATATCAATGGTTTCTTGGACCTTCATTATTAGTTGTTTGATGTTGGATACCAGTTTGTGAATGTTGAATACTGTTTTGTCGATGTTTGATATCAATTGTTTCGTATAGCTTCAGTATTAGTTGTTAATATGTTGAATACTAGTTTCTTTGTATTTTTCAGGTCTTTTGAAGGATGACTTGATTCAAGAGGTGTGCTCTGAGACCAAACAAGAGACGTCATGAAACAACTGAAGAAGGGCCATCCCAAGCCCACATAGAAGAAAAAGCAACTGCAGAAGAACCAACTGGAGTAGAAGGACTGACTTGAGAAGAAAGACCAATTGGAAAAGAAGAAGAAGAACAAACACCTCCAACTTAAGGAGGAGCGAGAGAAGCAGAAGATGATGTTGGACCACCTAGGGGCCACAAAAGTATGTGCCACTCATCTCTCTAGAAGGTGGTAATATCTTGGAAGGAGGATAAGGAGTACTACAATGCTTGTAGGCGGGAGTTGCAGAAGGTCGGGTTTGATGGCCTATTAGAGATTCACATGGAGGTATTTGACAAGACATTGTTTTGGACACCCATGACCACACTTCCACCACCTTATTTTTGGTGAAGGAGAAAACTAGAGGGTGCTCACAGTTGAAGATGAACATGTGGCACGTGTGTACGGGCTTCGTGTAGGTGGGCATGAAAATGGTATCCACTTAAAAATTGTGGGAAAGAGTTGGTGAAAACTTTGGAGGAGGATATCGACATATATCGAGAGACCTACGGTTGAGAGTGTTGTGAACCAGTTTATTCTGCAAGCCTTTGGTTTGTTGCTCGCTCCGACATGATCACAGTCAAGTCATCTGGACTATGCTCCGTTCGTGGTTGGGAGGCTGGAGGATATTAGGCTGTACAATTAGAGCGGCTTGTAGTGAAAGACCTAAAAGCGGGGTTGGCTAACTTTAAGGCAAAAGGTGACACTGTGTGGGTTCCCGGGGATATCAACTTCATGATAGTAAGTAATCTTGCTAATTGAATATAAATATGTTAGTTGAATTCAAATCTGACATAGTTGAATACTTGTCTGACATTGTTAAATACAAGCTTGATTAAGTCGAATACAAGTGTGATTTAGTTCAATTAAAAATTGGCATAGTTGAATACTAGTTTGACATGGATGGATACAAGTATGATTTAGTTGAATTCAAATATGGCTTAGTTGAGTACTAGTCTGACCACATCTCCATATCCCTTGTAGAACAAATGCATTACCAAAACACGAACAATAGATGTAGAAGAAAAAAATTGTAATCCTAGATCTAGATTTTTAGGATCTCATGTTTCAATTTTTTTCCTTGGGAGAGAAGAGAGTAAAGAAACAAAGGGAGAAATGAGATAGAGGAGAGGATTTTGTTTAGTTGGGAGGGAAGAGAAAAAGAGAGAGTGAGGTGGTGGAACCCACCATTGAGGAGAAGAAAATGACTTGGGTTGTCTTGGCAACGACTAGCCCCATTTTCCACTAATTTAGTCATTTTCCAAGCCAATAATTCTCAACCACTCATTTTGTTCCATTGTTGATGTGATCCAATGAAAAATCTTTGAGCACATGCACAAGGTTATTGGCTATTGGCTTTGCATAAGCTACGGATTTAATATCAAGTAGTGAAGCTCTGTTGGCTTCTCTTACATATTTTCGCTCAATCAATTTCATAGCCCTTTAAATTCATTCCTCTGTTTGAAATGATCCACCGCCGTCCCAAACGTCCGCGTCAACACCAACTTGGTGAAATCTCCTTCCTCCTCCTTTGTGCACCGTCCCAAACGTTGGTGTCTTTTCTATTCTGTTTTATTATACTTTGGAGGGATGGCATCCCGTCAAAATCTCTAAGGGGTTGTCAATTTCACTTAACCTCCTAGTCACTGGATTCAGTATTTCTCCTTCTTTTTGCATATTCATATAAGATTCCGAGTTCGATTTTATATGATGGATAATGAAGAAACAAACGTGGATGATGGTATTTAGAATGCCGAGCACGAGGAAACAAACATGGACTGTGAAGATGACGTGCATAGCGGGGATGATGAAGAAACTAAGAATGATGAAGAAACTAATGAAGAAGATGATGAGACAAATAAAGAGCCCAAAGATGAGCCAATGTTGTAGGCAGATTATTCAACTCCACGAGTCACCTTCAATGCTATATGTGATCATATGACTAACATGACCAATTATATGGGATATGGTCAGATGAACACACTTTAGGTGACTGTAATTTAGATGCAGGATGAATTTTAATCTTTTAGTGGAAGATACATGTACCCAACTGGAGGGGCAATAGATTGGATCATGTGGATTGGTGGATCGATCCATGGATCCAAATGACATCCAAGTCATAGACCAATATGTAAATTTTGAAAAGTTTAGGTATTAAATTGTTATAATAAAAAGAATTTCTAATTCCCAACAAATTTGAGCAACAAAATTTTAGCAGCACCAATCGAGATAATCAAGATGAGTGAGAGGAGAGAGATCAAACAACTCCATGAATTATATTATGCGTTTTATTTATTTTGGTGTGATCTATTAACCTTGTAAGACAATTTGGTATAAAGCAACTATATATGATTGTGGATCGAGATTAAACGTTGTGGTTTTGGATTGGGTGAGGTGTGTGTATTGTGTTTTGTTATTAATAATTAAGTTTTTAAGAAGATATATGATTTCTTGCTAATATGATTGTCGATTGAATTTCAAAATCTCTATGGTAGTTTGTTAGATTTCAGAAGGTGCATGACATAATGGGTCCTATGAGGTTGATCGGAATGTACAATTCAAGGGTTTTGTTCTTGTAGAAGGTCCACCGTAAAACCAATCAGTTTAATCTACTAAGATGATGGTTTGTTAAGATTGAGGATCTAGCGCTCTTACGTGTGGTCGATTTCTTCTTGATATGGTCGACCACTTTGATGGAAAAGTTGACCTTTTTACTTATGAGTCTCTTACGCACGATTGACCGATCCATGTTTAACCACATTCTTTCATTAGAATGATCATGTTGGTGTAATCATTTGACCACAATCACTTTCAGTCGACCGTTTTGTCCAAATCATTGTGACTTATAAGTCACCATAAGCATACCCAAACATTTTACCATCCAAATACCATATCAGTCGTCGAGCCAAATGACAAAAAATGTTATGTTTTCATAGTTGAAAGTAAAAACACATCAACGAGAACCACACGAGTTTTTTCCTTTGTTGTTATGAATCAAGCAACATTCAGTTTAAACTCCTACTCCAGGGTTTGCAAACTAGAGATGAAATAAAATAGATTTGTAAAATAAAATAGAAGAATTGAAAAAGAGAAACCAACGATAGCAAAGATAAAGATATGCTAATGATAAGAAAGAAAACCCTAAAAGCTCACGAATTCAAATTCTTGCTTACTACACACCATCAAACATCAAGTAAAGATTAGCAAAACTGAAAGAGAGAAAAATAATAATGATGAATTCACCAGTAAACAACAGTTGGCTTAGACAAAACCCTAATGATCAATTCCTGTAGGAAGACCAACCAATCCATCTATCAACAACCCTCTCTTCTCCCCTCCCATCAAACAAAACCCATCTCGAGGTATAATAAACTCCCTCTCCCAGTATTGCCCAAAAAGAATGAAGAAATTCCTTTCCCTCTTTTAGCTAGCTATTTCATATATGTAGATAGATATATGCAGTAAATATTTTTAACAAAACTTGGATTGACTAACCCAGAATCGGTCTCAAAGTTGGAACAAGAGGGACACCAAAAATGCAGTTGGTCGGGCTTCCCCTCATCACGCCATTGTAGTTCAAACACTTGACTGCATTCCCACTAGCCCTCTGAAACCCTCCTTCATCATCATCCTCCTCCTCCTCCTCATCATCATCATTATCTCCCAAATGCTCCAAATCATCATCTTCGTCGTCGTCGTCATGGGGGTCCAAAGGAACAAGGTGGAGGGTGAGGCGACCGTGGCTTCTGTGAGCCCTAAAGTACTCATGATGCCGCCACGCTCTCTCCTCCGTCAGCACCAGCCTTCCATCGTTCGTGTACTGCCTCTTCAGCACCCACGGCATGTGCGACGCCAGGTTCTCCGTCCTCGCCAGCAACGGTATCGGCGGCGGATACTCCTTCTTCCACCACCTCATCTTCTGCTGCTTCTCCTCCTCCTTATCCTTCATCTCACTCTTCTTACTACTGCTCTTGTCATCATCATCATCACCACCAACAATGCAACACCGATCATCATTTCCTTCTTCTTGTTGTTCCTCAATTACTACCTCTTCCCTATGATCTTCCTTATCCGCAGCATGATTATGATCCACATCACAATTCCGAGGAGTTACTGTTGGCTTGGGGAAGAGATAAAGCAAATGGTGTTCAGTATGGGTGTTGAGATCCAGACAGCTCTCGCATCCAATGCATTCCTCCAGATAGCTACAAGAAGAACCCGCCGCCACGGTGGTGGACAGCACCGGGAACTCATCCTCCTGCTGCACCCCTTTCATCTTCTTTCTCCTCAATACTCCAACCACAGAAACAAAGAGGGAGAGCCTTTTGTCGTCGTCGTCGTCATTGACAGTACTACGATGTTTCGCCCTAGTCGAGACACAGGATGTTTGCACGAAATACGTTAGCACTTTGCTTCACGGACAAGTCTAAATAGGATAAATATGTGCATATATTGATTGGTATGAAGACCCACCAACAACACGAAAGTGATTGTTTTCGTAATGTTGGTCAGATTGAAATTGTCATCTTAGCAGCAAATGGAGTAAACAAAAAAAAACGACGATGGAAACCACACAACTTTTGTTACTGGTTCATTTATCATGCATTCTGATGGCCGTGACGGATCCAGAAATTAAAACATAGGTGATTGATTTTAACCGTGCTAGGGTTTTAATTAATCAGAATTCACAACAACTAGTCCCTACCTAGCGCAGCACATCAAGAACAGAAAGGCAAAGAGCGACTATCATCATCGACGGCTTCGGGGATTCATTCAATCAATCAATGCCGAAATAAACATCAAATCAATCAACAACAACAAAAAAATGGCGAAATAAACCATTGCCTTCAAGAAAATAGGCTACATAGAAATTTTACGATTATTGATGAATTGATCAATTAAATATATATGGACATAGAATACAAAAAGGGTTAGATAGTTAATTGGATACCTAGCTATGGAGGCGCCGGAGAAAGAGATCGTTGACGGCGGCGACGGAGGGAGTTTGCTAGCTAGGTAACTAGAGCGGCCACGGCGCGTGCGTCATCATCGCCTCCGTCTTCGTGTTTCTCTTCTCTTTTTTTTATTTGAATAGTTTCTTCTACCCCTTTTTGTGCCTTGCTGGCTGGCTCTTCCGCCTTCTCGTCTCCTTCCTGTGCGGTTAAATAATGGGAAATAGGAGAAAAAAATATAGAGATATCACAGAGATTATGAAGAAGACTACCTAGTGAGACGGACTAATTCATTCAAATTTTTTATAGATACCACGAGATGGGCAGATAATTAATTAAAAATCAGAAGTAAATCCAAAAGAGATGGGGGGTTAACTTTTTCTTTCTATTTCCTAGTCAAAGGAAACGAAACTTCATATGGTAACTTTTCACGTACAATAAATGTTGGCTGATAGTACAAAATTATCATTCCGCATATATGATGATTTGATTCCTTTTTAAGAAAAACAAAATATGTAATTTGGTAAAGCCAAAAAAGTGTAAAAAAAAACAAAAAACATTTATAATGTACAGGTTAGGTTTTGGGATAAATAAATAATATAGAATTGTATGGTTACGTTGAGGAGTCACGACTCACCACACATCAAGGTAGTCGGACCAGTTTCAGCTATTACGCCCATGAAGCACGTAGTATGGCCTGATCATGATATATCCCATTTATATGCCGGTTTAACAAAATATGTACACTTAATGGAAAATCATTAACACCAACTAAATTGTGCGTATATATAATATATATCAAGACAGTTATTTTCTAACAATTTACCCGTGTTTGTGAAATCATACTTTACCAACATTGTGACTGGAAAATCCTTCTACTATTAGGTGGATTTTAGCGTTAAGAAATTATATGAGCACATTTTCAACATAAAATACCCACCAGTAAATTTTTTGATACAACCTCTGGTATCGTTTTATAATTTTTGCAAATTATATCCATATTCAAATAAAATACAATATTACAAATAAAATGACAAATTCTGATATTTAAATACAACATATGATATAAAGATCCAATGTTTATACTTGAAGACGATATGACGCTTAATTGCATCCAAATGTCATATTTTATTTTGTCGCTTAAAGTTACTGCCACATCTACAAAAAAAAAATGCCGGTACCTACATTATCCGACATTTATTTTGACATATGAAAATGTGACTATAGAAACTTGCGACATCTACAGAAAATGTTGGTACATATATCTTCCGACATTTTATTTTGACATATGAAAATGTGACTATAGAACCTTGCGACATTTACAAACAAGTGTCGGTACATTAATCTTTCGACATTTCATTTTGCCATATGAAAATGTGACCATAGAACCTTGCAACATTTACAAAATGTGTCGATACATATATCTTCCGACATTTTATCTTGACATAGAAAATGTGGGTACATATATCGTTGATTTTGACCAAATTTAGCTTCATATTGGGGGGGGGGGGTATTCCAACATGTTTGGTGCCATGTACCTGTTGAACCTTGCTAGTCGAACCAATCAACACAAAAACGGGTTGACAACTATACCACATGTGGGAGGAGATAGGGGATAACATTCAAAGTGTTATTACCCTAACAACACTAGTGTGAGTAGCCAATTGGATATCAGGATTAGTTACATACATTGAGAAGATATATTCTTTGGAATTTTGGGATAGAGGACGGTTAAAAGATGTGTCTTTGGCTCTCCATCCGTCTCTTCCAGTTTGGCCATTACGAAAGGTATATTCTTTGAAATATGCGAGCAACTTTTGATCGATTCTCAAAATGATGCTCGGAGCACCGATTTAGTGGTTCGGTCGCCATTTTAGGCGTCGTTTTCATCTTCTCTATTTTCACACTTCTGGATCCTAGTAGTTAAATCTTAATGTCACTTCAATGATCCAAAGTAGTCCACTAGGTTGTTACGTTCTGAAAACACACAAAACACTACCAAGTGTGTATCAAAATGATAAAAGCAAGCCTAGAGCTACTAGAATTCACTTTGAGTAATCACGAAAACAAAGTCAATATATTATGATTTTTAAAAGCATGAAAAATAGGTCATAATATGACGGTCTGAAATAGTACTTTTCATGTGTCAATCACTCATGTGGGAAGACTTTTAGTGATACATATGTTCATTTGTGGAATAACCTTTGAAAAATAGGTTATAATATGACGGTCTGAAATAGTACTTTTCACGTGTCAATCACTCATGTAGGAAGACTTATATTGATACATATGTTCTTGTGAGGAGATTTGCAGGGATGAAGCCAGGTGCAAAGCTGGGAAGATTAGTATGGAACTTAACCGTAATTATGTATTTTTTATATGGACGATATAAATTTGATTTTTAATTAGGTACAACAAGTATGCCTGCTAAGTTGGTGTAACTTTTGTAGGACCGCGGTTTTTGTCAATCCCTTTACCATGATCATCAATAAAAAATTTTGATTGATGATCAAGATATACTGAAATCTCCTTTGAATGTAGTTTTTAAAACTCGGGATGAACGGAATCACTCATTAATTATTGGTGACTTTTCCTAAACACGTGAATATAACCAAATCCATACAGAATTAAAAAATGTACCGAAATTCCTAAGCGAGCGGTAAAAGAAATACAAATCCAGAGTCTTCTTCTCAAAGAATGTACTGGCAGCACGAGGAGCAGAGATTAGTGCAGCTCTGGATATCCCTGAAACGAAGAACCTTGGCCGATATCTGGGTGTGCCTGTTATCCATGATCGGGTATCAAAGGCCACGTTCAAGGATTTGATTGATAAAGTAGACTCCCGCCTTGCAGGATGGAAGGTTGCCTCACCGTCGCTTGCAGGTAGAATCACCCTAGCCTAGTCAGTTTTGGCCTCACTACCGGCTTACATCATGCAAACGACGTTGCTACGGTCATGTGTGAGAGAGTACATTGACAAAAAAATTCGTGGTTTCATCTAGAGAAGCTCGGAAGCAGGGAGGAAGATTCATCTAGTAGATTGGGAGACGATTTGTCGCCCTAAGGAGGAAGGTGGGCTCGGTCTCAGGAATGCAACTCGAATGAATGAAGCCTTTATGTTGAAGATAGCCTGGAGACTGTAGACTGAGCCTGAGAGCTTATGGGCACAAGTAGTTCGGGCTAAGTACTTGAGACGTACGGAGGATGGTTGGCAGCCGAGAACAAGTGGGCGACTGTCGAATCTATGGCGAGGGGTCATTAGAGTCCTCCACCTTCTGCCAGAGGCCACCATTTGGAATGTTCGCTGCGGGAGACAAGTAAGATTTTGGGCGGAGTGTTGGTTACATGATGGACCCGTTCTAGCTGAACTGGCAGCTAACCTCCCGCAAGAGGCTCTCACACTGTCGGTGGCGGAGATGGTACTAAATGGGGACTGGAACATCCCCTATATCCAAAACTTTCTGCCCGAGGATATTGTCATGCAAATCAGGTTACACCCTATCCCGCAGGAGCAAGAAGAGGACATCCCGGTGTGGCGGTTTACTCCCAACGGATGCTTTTCCCTGAAGACAGCGTATGAAATCACGGATGATGCGGAACAGCCCGGCGGGAACCACCCGGTATGGCGAGCTATTTGGAGGATCCCGGCTACTCAACGAATTCAGACATTTTTCTGACTAGTAGCCCACCGCATGCTGCTAACAAACTGCGAGAGACAGCGGAGGCACCTCGCCTCGACCAATAATTGCCCAGTTTGCGGAGCTGAAGGGGAGTCTACTCTCCATGTTATCCGAGACTGCTCCTACTCGAGGGCGGCCTGGTCGGAATTTTTGCAGGACGAGCCCGATGATGTCTTCTTCCAGGAGGACTTAACGAAGTGGTCCCTGCACTATATTACAGGTAGAAGTCTTGTCATTGATCCCACAAAATTTGCGGTTATGTGTTGGGCACTTTGGAAACACCGGAACAAACGAGTATTCGAGCAGCAGCTTGATGAAACACATAGGTTGTGTACCAGTGTGGATACCCTCTGTCAGCAGATTCAAGTGGCCTCAACCAAGGTGTCGCAGCTCTTTGGACAAGGAAGGGAGTACACTCAGAGACTCATAGCGTGGCAACCTCCACCGCCGGGATGGGCTTTCGTGAATACAGACGGCTCCGTTTTGGGAGGGAATGCAGCGGCAGGAGGCGTGGTGCGGGGTGAGGACGGGAGATTCATCAGGGCTTTCTCCGCCAACATGGGAGATAGCTCCATTACAAGGGCGGAGCTTGCAGGTTTGGTACATGGCCTTCGTATAGCTTGGGAGCTGGGTATCCGGAAGCTAGTGATGCAGACAGACTCGATGGCGGTGCTTGAGCTCATCCGTGCAGCGGGTGACAGACATCATCTTGCAGGTTTGATTCGTGAAGCTCGGCAGCTCCTCACACTAGCGTGGGAGGTAAATGTCATGCATGTGTACAGAGAGGGGAATATGGTAGCAGATTATTTGGCTTCCTTGGGTCATAGTCTACCCCCAGGAGTGCACGTTTTTACGGCAGCTAGTTCAACACTAAACTACTGGCTGTTCTTTGATTTGGTAGGGGTCCAGACACCCCGGTTGGTTGTTAATGATTAAGGTTGGGGCGCCTTCTAGCCCCGGTGATTACCAAAAAAAAAATACAAGAAAGTTTTTTTTCTTTTTTTTTTTTTGACAAACCACTCGCCTGCAACAAATTGAAGAAAAATATCATTTATTGGTTTGTAGAATGTGGAGAGATTTCTTTCTCTGTACACTGTGAAAGCCAAGCCATCTTATCTTCCTCACCTAAGTAAATTGTACAAAATGTACACACTCACATCACATACCGTCTCTCTCTCTCTCTCTTTTTTCCTCTTCTATCGGCAGTCATGTGAAAATTAATTGGACAATGTACGCCAGCCAGCCAGCAATAAATACAATAATGAACACAAATGAAAACCCCAACCCAATCCCCTCCGCCGCTAGCTAGCTACCTTATTTTCCTTCGAGACCAATGAATACAATACAAACAAATATGCACGTAACGTAACGTAACGGTACTGAACTAATTAGTTGAGGATGGCGTCGGAATTCGACACACTCCACGCGTACATCTGGTTCCAGAACTCACCCATCTCCTCCATATTCACCGCCGCCGCGGCGGCGGCGGCAGGCGCGAGTAACAAGTCCTCCTCCACTAGTGAAGGCGACGTGACGAGGGACGGGATGGAAGAGGAGGAGGAACAAGAAGACATCATCCCTCCGCCGGCGGCGGCGGATGTACTATAGTAGTTGGCATTAGTAGGCTGCACACCGTTGCCGGTCAGCTCCTGGACTAGGGTCTTGAAGCTGGAGCTGTCGATGATGTACACTTTGGGCCGCAGCGCGATCATCATGTTCTCCAGCTGATGATGGTGCTGCTGGCCGCCGCTGCTCTTCTTCGTTATCATCTTCTTGCTCTTGATGATCATTGCCTCGTTGTTGTTGTTCTTGCATGGTTTGGATGCCACGGTGTAGGAGTTGGGCGCCATTGATTTGATGATGAGTTTTTTGAGCTCTGGTGATTGGTATATATGATGGGTGTGAATATGATTCGATGGTTAACGGTTTCTGCAATAGGTGGAGTAATACGGCACCACTTTTGGACAGCTGCGCGAAGGAATGAATGAATATATTGATGCCTGAACGCGTTTAAGGAGGAGAGCTTAATTAATTAGTTGACAGCTGGAAAAATGGGGAGGTGATTGGTTCGATGTATGGGAGGTTTAGACTCTTAAAATGGGCATCCTGCGGAGTGAGCAGGGGAAGGAATCGGGAAATGCTAGGGTTTGGAGGAGACTTCGTTCACAGCAAGAAAAATAATTGCGCGCATAGACGAGTAAAAGCTCACAACCTTATAGGGGTGTGCAGTGAACCGGACCATGCCGAAACTTTAGAACCGCGATCTAAAAGAAGAAAAAAAGGTTTAACAAAGGACCGGATCACGTTATATTCAGTCGGTTTGGTGTAGTATTGATGCCGGTTTGGTCCGGTGTCGTCTTGCTCTAGAACACGTTATATTCCCCTTCTAACGATGCATCATTAAGTACGTTTTACTAAATTTTGTATAGATTTCATAACTATTTGATCAATGTGCTTATAATAGACCCATTTGTGCTTTAGTATCACTTTATGCCTTTCTAGTATGGTTTTGTGCTTTTCAAAATCAAACACAATCAAGAATGAGTTGGATAAATCATTGGACCAAATAGGAAGATCTAAGGGATAATTATCAGAAGATCAAAGAGTAATTCATCCATTTAATAAAGCCAAACGAAAGGAAGCCGCTGTAGGCCCAAGCCCATTGGGATCTCCGAGAATATTCTTTTCTACCCACATTCAGAAAATCCGAGTCCCAGTCTTACAAGGAAGCTTTTGGCCTAATTTTAGGAGGAAAAAGCTTAAGAACCCCTTCTCTTATGTACTTTAAATAGACTATGTACTTTAAATAGAGGAATCAGGCTATATGATTATACACTGCAAATATTACACAAATTTACTCTACAAAAACTTGAGCAAGTAGCCAATTGGCTCGACTAAAGATCAGAGTATAGCATCCATAAGGGAGGTGCAGTTAAAGGAGAGTTCGATGATGGTGGTACCATCCTTCTCTATTATGTATCGCTAGTTCAGACTCGTTGTTAAGGATGTGAATTATGTTGATGGTTTAAGCATCTACTTTCTACGGTCTAATTAGATGCATTAAGTCATTAGATGCTTTAGTCAATCAATGCTTATACCATTCAATGCTTCGGTTATTTGATGCCTTAATCATTTGATGTTTATATCATCTATTATGTGCTAATATGGTGTTGTTTATATTATCATATTAAGTTGTTAGAAAACTATTCTTATGTGATGTGCAATTGTCTTATACGTGTATGGAGTGGAATGATCAGCCATCCATACTTGTATGAGTTCAATGCTTGATACCATATATCATCAATGCTATAGACCATTGTTATGGTCCATAGAGACCCTGATAGTTAATGTGTTATCTTTACTTACTTACTTACTTCCTTGTTTGATTGATTAGTTAATGGCATGAAGCGAAAACACGCATTAGATAGTTGTAGTGACTTTTGCTTGTGGTATCATAGTAGAAGATGCATCCATGTCGATTATTATTGTGATTGAGATGTATGATCATTTAGAAATGAAATTTCTTAACAATTGTGCATCGTATACTTACCTTGTCATATACTTTATTGCTTTGTTTATCTATATCTCTAAAATCAATTAAACGTAGGAAACCTCAATTCATCAGTCTATGTTCTTATTTATTAGTTATATTAGTACTTGTTATTAGAAGACCTTGTGGAATATAATCTAAGATATATCTAGAAATTTTATTATTTTGATGCATTCCTGCACTTATGTTAGGGAGAGTAATTTTTGTAGCCAAACTATTTGGCTCATATGGGTTTCTCAATTCCTTTGGAGTTCACGTTGTGTCTTCTTTTGACCCCTGGATCCAACAATAGATCATGTATGATGTTATGGCTTCTCTAAAGTCTAGACCCCACATCATTAATGTTATGAGTTAAGAGTGCTATGCACCTTTCTTTGATAAACAAAAAAAGTTAACCACGATAATAAGATTTCAAATGTAAAAAGAAAACACAGATTCCGGTGTGGTTTGTTCATAAATTTAGTGAAGGATTTGAGACTCAAATTCAATTAATTTATTACGGATTTGTCCAGAAATTCATTATTTTTTGGAGCAAAATTTATGGGGCCCACAAACTATAAGGGTCCAAATTTATGGGCCTCACGAGCTTGCTAATCCTATGGTTGGAGCTGAGATTTGGATGAAGGTTAAAAATTCATCCTACAACAAATTTCTAATAAAGTAAAATCCATAAGAAAATCTGTTAAGCAAACATTAGATTGTTTTAAATCCATAATGACAACAAATCCATCATAAATCTAGAGTTTTTGAAGAAAGTGGATATCCTCCATAACCTTATGGTCAATAACAATGCATAACCTGGCGCATAAGTACCACATCATCATTTATGGAAGTCTTGTAACCCTTTCCCCTTTCAATTTTAACGGACATATCTCTTTCATTTTAAGTCAGAATTTAATTTTTTCATAGATAAATAAAAATAATTGTGCTCTTCAAAATAATATCCACTTTGATAGATTTTTAGAATAAGAAAAATTGAGACATTTAGTACTAGTCTATACCATGGGGGTATTGTTTGGTATTACATAAGAGCATACCACGTGATATGAAAGTGTATCATGGTCGAGGAGCATACCAGAGACTGTAGAATGATTGAATACATGATGATAGGAATTTATTAACTGTCATTTACAACTTTCAAAATTGTGTACCGCAAGATACCACCCATATACCAGGATGATATGAGGTGGTATTTTCCGAACCTGTATTTTTTGAACTCGTTCCTTCTGTGCAAATTTTTTTTTTAAATCGACTTAAAAAAGAAGGTGATACCATATGATATGGAGATGGCAACGAGTGGTACGAGAGGTATGAATTTTTTTCTCGAAATATATTGAAAATAAATCTCATTTTGTAGATCACAACGAGCTCGTTCCATATATGCAAAAAAATTAAAATATAAGCTAGAACAAAAAAAATAAGAGCCGATTTAAAAAACTAAACAAAATAAAAGGTCTTTAATTCATAACTCTTAAATCTGGACTCTTCTGAGTCTATTCTAAATTAATGACTCGGATTTAGCTATGCCAGGATGCAAATCCTATTCCTGTTTTTTTTTTTTTTAATTTAAATTTTATCAAAACCTCTATTTTTTAAATCAATCCATTAAATATGAATAACTAGACTCTTTAAAAAAATAATAGCCCGACGTAATGAAACCGAACACAGAAAGAAAAGGGCCTATCCTAATACAATTGCCCTCCTCCTCTTGCTATATAATAAATCCAGCCAGCTCACACCCATTCGTTTGTAATTATTCGGAGTGAGCTGTCAAAGAGGGCCGAATTAATTCCGTCACTTTCATCATGCAGCTACTCCCAAGTCCCAACACAATGATTTATTTGAGTGGTGTTGCTCATTAATTTGTTGGGCTTTTACTCAAGTCATTAGTCTTCCATAAAAAATTAAAAACCCATTTCTTGATTGGAGTAGATTGACGAGTTCAATTGTATTAGAAAGCGTATCTTATTATCAAGTTTGATGGAAATACCGAATATCGAACTCAAAATAAATGGCGGTTTTGTTAGTATGAAACGATTGAACCACAATTTTAGAAACGAATTCTATCATTAACTTTTCCAGTATAACCTCAAGTACGGTTTCACAATTCCAGATTTCACCTCGTCGTTACCTGTGCTTGTGTATTCTATTTTAGTGCCCTGGATTTTGTGAAATTTTTAAGGAGGCCATACTAGGAGATACCATGGTAAAGGAAACCGTACCGGACATCATACCGGATTCCTTTCTGGTATGGTATTTTGTGGTACGACCGTGGTTCAACCGTTTTGTAACGGTAAATACCGTTTTTCACTATTTGATAGAGAAATGAAATGCGATAGTATAAAAAATATAATCCATCAAAAAAAGAACCAAATAGAGCATTATACAACCACGGTGACCCATTTTCAACATAGAAAAATAGCAAAATAATATTCTTTTTTAATTATTTTCCACATATTGGACGAGAATACGGAGAAATGAAGCTGAATCATAGACCAGGAAACCGGATCGTACCGGCCGGTTCAACCAGTTCACCGATCAAACCGAAAAAACCGGCCAGCACGGTAAAATCAGCTCAATCAGCCCACCGTACCGCTTTTGGTCCAATTTCCGGTTGAACTGGCCGGTACGATCCGGTTTCCTGGTCTATGGGGAGATACTAGGGCTGCTCTTGGGTATTTCTCCTTGAGAATGAATAAATACACTAGTTCTGAAGAAGCAAAACTAGTGTTTTCAAGACTCTTGAAGTCTTAGATGTTGCAATTTGATCCTTATTTTTGCTAGATTGGTGGCCCAAATGACCTCACAAGAAAAACTACCCAGAAATAAGAGTTTCCAAAAGAGAGTTTACCCAGATCGCCAATTTTAGGTGAAAAATGGTAGATGGGGCGCCAATTTTGGTTGCTCCTGCTTTTGGACTCCGACTCTGTCTACAAACTCAAAAGCAGAAATCTAAACTAGACAGAAAACAAACATAAACGAGGAAAATCAAAAGGGACTCGAACAAAACAAACACAAAGACTCTAATAGACACAAACCCCAAAAAAAAAAAAAAACACTAAGAAAACAAAAGAACCAAGAACCAAATCCTCACTCACTTCCAATAAAGAAGTGAAAAACTCGAAAATGATGTCAAAATTTGATCTGTTATCTCATAGGTAACTAGGATTGTATTTCTTCATTGGCTTTCAAATCTCACTACTCAGATAGTGATGATTTTGTTCTTTGTTAGAAAATCAAATTGAGATTGAGGTGCCTCCAGTTTTGTAAAGGAAAAAGATGCAAAAATGAACAAGCAATAAACTAAAGTGGAAAACAGTAAAGAGAGGCATTGTATAGGCTGACTCCCAAAGAGTTTCCTTATATGCGTACCAGAGGGATATGCGATATATATAGATGATCGAAGGAATTAACAAGAATTTCTTCACTCATTATGGTCTAATGTCCTGCCATCTACCGGTATATGTCTCTTCTGGAGTTGGACTAGACTGATACGTGTGTCAGCCGACCAATCATGCTTGTGTCAGCTTATTTCCACAACACTTCTTAGTGGTTTTCACGATCTTATATTATTTTAAGTTTCGTGTTAAATGAATCAAATTTCGTATCATTTTGGTCAGGTTTTGCCCACCAACTAGGTCGACGGGAGTATTCCATGCCCAAAATCAGTAAGAAACCTAATCCATATTTCCTCTCTTATTCTGCTCATCCACTATTACAACTGCAATTCTCTTTCTCTCTGAATTACCTCCAACTCTACATCTACACAATCTCCTCCACCATAACTGGCTACCAACACCAATCACCAAGCTTATCCTTGTTTCTTCTTGTCTCTACCAACCACCATCCCCACCATCATCTAACACCAGCTCGATGCGTCCACTTTTCATCATCGTAGACCAGAAAGCTCAACCATCTCCTTCACCCTCTCAACTCCACCATCATCGTGACTGAAACTACTTGTTCGAAAGGAAGATAAAAGATTTTGTGTATGTGATATATAACTTGAATTCGATGTAGTGAAATGTAGAAAGGTTGAACTTATCTTTGTAGATATCAATTCTATTAATGGACGACCCATTTAAGATGTAGTGGTCAATCAAAAAAGGATGATCAAGTGCTCGTTGAAGAAAGGAATGTATTAACCAATGAGTTACCCTATGATGATGGAGATAGAGGAAGTATGGTGATTCTTGAAAATACTTCAAATGATCATGAGATTTAAGATATCGTTGCCCAAGCAACTTAATAAGGATTATGTGCAAATAATTGAACGACGACGATCATGAGGCTGATAGCTAGGAGGATGATATTGAAAACTTAAATGCAAATATTAATTTCTACCATTTTGATGAGTTCACGCTTAATTATCAACTATGGCAAGTGTTATGTGTTTGGATATTACCTAGGATATGCATTATTTATGCTATCGGGTGTTTAAATGTTAGTGTCTACACAAACTTTTAAACCTTACTATTTTAATCTACAATTATGATTTTATCTTAATTTTTTTATTTTATGTAAAATCACGATTTTGACCGTCTTGCCCATCATTTTGGACCTTCATTTCAGTCACTTTGAAACTATCACTCTATTTTCCCATATTAGATTGAAACGGCACATAATTTCAAAATCTTAAAGTCACAAGTATTATTTCTTTCCAAATTCGCTAACAATCACAAAATACAATGCAACAAAAAATTAAAAGAAAAAGGATGCGAAATCCAAGCTATGTGTCATGTGTGCACCAAAAAGAAAGGACATTACTAATGTGGTTGTACATTTTATATTAGTAAGCCTGTAATTCAAGTCGTGTTCGTGTACTCTAAAATCAAACACTAAAATAGGAAAAACTAAAGGAGGAAGAGAAGAATTAGGATAGGTTGGTGGACAAACACCACCAGTCCCAAAATAACAACAAAACCTTAAAAAAAAATCTGTGAGATTCATATATTCTCCATAAGAAAAGTTTGCATCTTTGTCCTTTTTCCTTTTCGCCCCCAAAACGACACAAAGACAGAGGAGAACACACAATTGAAGAGCAACAAGTGTTTGTAAATTTCTGATTGATTTGGATTGAAAACAGTTGCAACTTCCCCGTCTACCACCAGAGGGAGGTAGGTACCATGAGAATCGAAGTGTGCAGTCGCGAAACTGCCACCCAGCCAATTCATCCTTCAACCCATTACTCAGAGAGAGCGGTAGAACCTAGAGAGAGAGAGAGAGGGTTGAGAAAGAGTGGCAGGTACCACGTGCTAGAGAGAGAGAGAGAGTACAGCTGAGCTGAACCGTTCTTTGGGAATTTTCTGTGTCATTGAAAAGGGGTCGTTAATGAAAACCCACCTATCTACCTCCAACCTACCCTCTTCCCTCCTTCCTTCAATTCTTGCACAAACTTAAATGCTCACTCTTTCCTCCTCAGACGATATTGTTTGCAAATGTGATGTACATACTGCATACATTCTTCACCCCCCTCAATCGGACTTTCTTGGTTCATCCGGCTTTCCCATTGTCTCCCACTTTCTCAGCATCGTCAGGTCCCCTCGTTGATCCCTAAAAGGGTTCTTCCAGCCTTCTCATCTCCAGGTAGATTCCCTCTTTTCATTCCTGAATTTCGGTTCTTTCCATAATTCGCCGTGCTTGTAGCTGCTTGATGCTTCGTTGAACTGTTATGTGTCTCCTCTTTTGGGTGTTTGGGATGTGGGAATCTAGTTTTGCATTCTGATGATCCTTCCTGCATCTTTGATTCCCTTCATCAAGCCTGTCAGTGTCTGGATGCAGGCAACTCTAAGTTCTTCAATTTCTCCGAGGAATCATGCCTAAATTCTGATATGTCTGGCCCTAAATTCTGATAGTAATGTCAGGGGGTTTCTTATGAATGTCAGTCAGATCACAAGTTGGAAAAATTAAATCTTTTTCGAGTTAATGTAAGAAATAAAGTTTGTTGATTACTTCAACTGCTGTCTTTCTTTTGATTTCGATGCTTCAACTTATCATTGGTGCTGTTCAAGAAGACTTCAATGTGAGTTTTCTTTTTATATAGATTGGGTGCACTTGAACTAGGACTGGGCTTTGAGTCCCTGTCTATCCAAACATTTTCCAAGGGCAGTAGAGAATTTTCCACAATGGTAGTGGGGCGTACGAATGGTTACTTGAATGGAACAATGAGGAGTCCTGCGGTTCCTGAAGTGGATGAATTTTGCCGTGCTCTTGGAGGGAAGAAACCAATCCATAGCATTTTGCTAGCCAACAATGGCATGGCTGCTGTCAAATTTATACGCAGTGTTAGAGCTTGGGCGTATGAGACGTTTGGCACGGAAAAGGCCATCTTGTTGGTCGCCATGGCTACTCCGGAAGACATGAGAATCAATGCCGAGCATATTAGAATGGCTGATCAGTTTGTTGAAGTTCCTGGTGGGACAAACAATAACAACTATGCCAATGTGCAGCTTATTGTCGAGGTGCATATTATGAACCTACTCTTTTTTTATTATTATTTTCTTTTCTTTTCGTTGTTAACAGTTGTGAAATAAGTTAGGTTTGGAACCGATTTGATTGGGTACTTATGTGTAGAACTGGCACCTTTCTTTGCTAATACTAGGGTAAATTGTCTTAGAAATAAAGGTATGATTGCCAATGTTGGTTCTGTAAAGTGTATAAATCAGGATCAATGCAACTAGTTGATCTAATGCTGTTTTGAGAATTTCTGTAGATAGCTATCTAGCAGCTTTTCCTTTAGGCCTTCTAGAAATTCATTTTAGATAAAATGGTAACATATGAGGTTCATAACCTATTCTAGCTTGTTCACTTCAAGTTGTCTCTGCTTAATGTATATTCATGTTTTCTAGATGGCAGAGATAACACGGGTTGATGCTGTTTGGCCTGGATGGGGTCATGCGTCTGAGAACCCTGAGCTGCCAGATGCTCTAGATGCCAAAGGGATTGTATTTCTTGGGCCCCCAGGTCCTTCCATGTCAGCTTTAGGAGATAAGATTGGGTCTTCCTTGATTGCTCAAGCAGCTGATGTTCCTACCCTTCCATGGAGTGGCTCCCATGTAATGCTCATTCTTCTCAAAGAGGGGGAAATCAAGAAACAAAAATATGTTTTCTATAGTTCATTTTTCTTTGAAATTGAGTGAGTTCTCTTTTACACCTTCCAGGTGAAAATGTCTCAAGAATGCAGTAGCCTGTTTACCATCCCGGACGAAATCTACAGGCAAGCTTGTGTATACACAACAGAGGAAGCCATATCTAGTTGTCAAGTTGTTGGTTACCCTGCAATGATTAAGGCATCTTGGGGTGGCGGTGGTAAAGGGATAAGGAAGGTAGATTGCATGCTTGCAATCCACAGATTGTTTCATTAGGGCTTTGCTGCTGATGCAATTTTTGTAGCTTGTGCATACAGGCTTCAATTTTGATGACTTACTATAATAAGTTACTTTGAATTGTAGGTCCACAATGATGATGAAGTTAGGGCGTTGTTCAAGCAAGTTCAGGGTGAAGTTCCTGGGTCACCCATTTTTATAATGAAAGTTGCTTCCCAGGTTTGTTTGTGTATAGAACTTCTCATCTAAGTTGTAAGAGATCTTGTTGATGTCATTCCACTATCTATCTCTTTTCTGATTATCCTTATACTTCTTGTTGTTAGAGCCGGCATTTAGAGGTCCAGTTGCTATGTGATCAATACGGTAACGTAGCAGCTTTACATAGTCGTGACTGCAGCGTTCAAAGAAGGCATCAGAAGGTGAGCATTGATAAACTTAGATCTATTTTGGCAATGGTATTCATATTATTATTTTTTTCATCGACTTCTTCTTATAGTTTTTACTGTTTAAATTTGTATTTGACCAACACCTAAATGCAACATCTAACTTACTTTGGTGTTTGGAATAGATTATCGAGGAAGGCCCCATCACTATCGCACCATTGGTGACAGTCAAGAAGTTAGAGCAGGCAGCAAGAAGATTGGCAAAAAGTGTCAATTATGTTGGTGCAGCTACAGTCGAGTATTTATACAGCATGGATACTGGAGAGTATTACTTTTTGGAACTCAACCCTCGGCTACAGGTGTGTAACAGTTTCCTTAGGAGCGGTTGGTAGCCATGTATTGTAAGAATGTAAATAATGTCGGAATACAGTTTTGGTTTGTAGGGGGTTGTAATAGTGGACCTGACTCAGTTAGGTGTATTGTTGAAGTCTTTGGGTAAACCCAACGATTTCTCGAATACATGCAGGTATTCTGGAAATATATGGGGCTGAAATTGATGGTTTTCGTACAGGATTCAGGAGGGGAACCGCTGAATTTTCAGATACCATGTTTTCTAAGAATCACCGAGAGCATCCCTAGTTACCCACCGACCCCTTATCAACTTTATGGTGGTCCTATCGACTATTGATTCCTGTAAATTGTCACATTTTCTTTGGCAAGCTGATTTTGTGGGTTCAACCATCAACTGTCAGTGAGTTATGCTTATGCAGAGTTGAACTCTGCAAAGACCACTGAAATATTTTTGTGCTAACCAACTGTTTGCCTTGGCTTCTTCCTCCTTTTTGCCTTTTCTTTTTTTCTTTTGTGTTATGCATAGCGAACTGTCTTCTCTTACCATATTATCTTAACTGTTGTTGAAGTTACCTGAGACTGAAATGACTTCATGATCTAATTTCAACATTTTCTGATGCTATGAACTACTTGAATTAAAGGTGGAGCACCCTGTTACCGAGTGGATTGGTGAGATAAATTTGCCCGCTGCTCAGGTTGTCGTTGGAATGGGCATTCCTCTATGGCAAATACCTGGTAAGCATTGTCAGTAACCCTTCCATTTGAGTATACCATGGTCCTTAGTCATGAAACATGCTTCACAAAAATAATTTGAGTTAATTTGTTGTTTTTGTTTTGTTAGAGATCAGGCGTTTTTATGGGGTGGAAAATGCTGGAGGTTATGATGCTTGGAAAAAAATTTCAGCTGTTGCCACACCATTTGACTTTGATAAGGCAGAGTCTACCAGGCCCAAAGGTCATTGTGTAGCAGTACGAGTTACAAGTGAGGATCCAGATGACGGTTTTAAGCCTACTGGTGGGAAAGTACAGGTACATATCCTGGATATGACTCATTATTAGTTTTCCATGTTGTAATTCTTTATTTATCAAGGAGAGACACTGATTGTTGTAACCCTTTACAGGAGCTTAGTTTTAAAAGCAAGCCAAATGTATGGGCTTACTTCTCTGTTAAGGTAGTGGAATTTTCTCACAACACAGATTCTTCTGGTGGAAAGGTTTCTTCTGATGCGCGCGAGAATCTTGATTTTGCTAACTTATTTGCTTAAAAAAATGTGCTGCAGTCAGGAGGAGGCATTCATGAATTTTCTGATTCACAATTTGGTAAGTACCAATTATAACTTTATTTATGAATTTAATAAAATCAATTTCACATAAAGCAATATTTCATACTTTTGCTGTTGCATATTTAACATGAAATGCTCTATGTATATTGGTATGTTTCAAGTCAATCGTTAATATTTTGGTTTATAGCACAATGCCCCCCCCCCCCCCCCCCCCCCCCCCCCCCCCCCCCCCCCCCCCCCCCCCCCCCCCCCCCCCCCCCACCCCGGCTGGGAAAGATCCTGCCTTATATCGGACCTTGAAGTTATCCCCTTTATAATGATATTTACTTGCAGATTAACGAATTTCATCCACTGTCTAATCTTGTGCTGTTTATTTTTGTCCATGATATCTCTAGGACATGTTTTTGCATTCGGGGAGTCCAGAGCTCTGGCTATTGCAAACATGGTACTAGGTCTGAAAGAAATCCAAATTAGGGGAGAAATTCGCACCAACGTTGATTACACTGTCGATCTTCTACATGTAAAGACCATGCCAATAACCACATTCTAAAATTAATTTTCTATATGTTTTTTTAAGCTTTATTTTCTGGTTAAAATGTTATGCAGGCTTCAGATTACAGAGACAACAAAATTCATACCGGTTGGTTGGACAGTAGAATTGCGATGCGGGTTAGGGCTGAAAGGCCCCCTTGGTATCTATCTGTTGTCGGGGGTGCTCTATATGTAAGCAGTCTGGTATTCATTACTTTCCAAAGATGTAAGTATATTGCGAAGGACACTGCTTATTTTAATTAACTTTGCTTCAGAAAGCATCCGCTAGCAGTGCAGCTATGGTTTCAGATTATGTTGGTTATCTTGAAAAGGGGCAAATTCCTCCCAAGGTATAATAAGAACCACCTGTTAGATTTACTCTCAGCTTCAGATGATTTGAATTGAGCCTAACATTGGCTTGTTTGCAGCACATATCACTTGTGAACTCTCAAGTGTCATTGAACATTGAAGGAAGCAAATACACGGTACTTCACATGCATAAGCAAGGCCTGTCTAGATTATTTGGGTCCTTCAACTAATTAACTATTCTTTAACTCTATTTGTAGATTGACATGGTTAGAGGGGGCCCAGGAAGTTACAGATTGAGGATGAATGGTTCAGAGATTGAAGCAGAGATTCATACTCTACGTGATGGAGGGTTATTGATGCAGGCAAGTTCTCACTCTTAGTTACTTGGTCTCTTTCACAGTTTAGTTTTTATCGCTGTTAGTAATGATGTATAAACTGAATATTAATCATAATGGTTTATATGTGATTACAGCTGGATGGGAACAGTCATGTGATATATGCTGAAGAAGAGGCTGCTGGAACTCGCCTGCTCATTGATGGGAGAACTTGCTTATTGCAGAATGATCATGATCCTTCAAAATTAATTGCAGAGACTCCATGCAAGCTGATGAGATATTTGGTTTCAGATGGTAGTCATGTTGATGCCGATAGTCCATATGCAGAGGTCGAAGTTATGAAGATGTGTATGCCTCTTCTGTCACCTGCTTCTGGACTTGTTCACTTTAAGATGTCCGAAGGTCAAGCAATGCAGGTATAACCAATCATGCCCATTCTGCTTATAGGTATTTTATTAGTTGCAGTACAAATGTTCCAAAACCTCAATTTTCCTTCTGCTTATAGGTATAACCAATTTTCCTTGTAGGCTGGCGAGCTTATAGCAAGTCTCGATCTTGATGATCCGTCAGCAGTCCGAAAGGCTGAGCCTTTTCATGGGAGCTTCCCTATATTGGGACCTCCTACTGCAATTTCTGGCAAAGTTCATCAGAGGTGCGCTGCTAGCGTAAATGCTGCTCGCATGATTCTTGCTGGATATGATCATAATATTGATGATGTAAGTACTTCCTACTGGCAAATACAATATACTTTTCAGAGATCTAAACCTTTTAAGTAATTGATTGTTTCCAATTTTGTTTTGGTGATAAACATTGGTGTTTAACAAACAGTGGTTCTACAAAAATTTATTGACATCTTACTTTGCATTGTTTCACTTCTACAGGTAGTGCAGAAATTGCTCAATTCACTTGATAGTCCTGAATTACCTTTTCTTCAATGGCAAGAATGCTTTGCTGTTCTGGCAAATCGATTACCTAAGGGGCTTAGAATTGAGGTGAAAATGCATGCTTGACCATGGATTAATTGTGTTTCTTGCTCATATGGAGTGTACTCATTGCCATTTGCCCTTTTTTCCAGTTGGAATCTAGATATAAGGAGTTTGAAGAGATATCTAGGTCCCAGACTGTAGATTTTCCAGCAAAACCACTGAGGAGTGTTCTTGAAGTAAGTTGAACTTTTCAATTTTCTGCTTAGTAACCATGTTTAGCTTACCTTTTTTGAAGTCTCATATAGTGGGGATGGTCTCTATTCTTCTGCAGGCCCATTTGTCATCTTGTCCTGAAAAGGAGCAAGGAGCACAGGAAAGGATAGTGGAACCTTTGATGAGTCTTGTCAAGTCCTATGAAGGTGGCAGAGAAAGTCATGCCCGTCTTATTGTTCAAACACTTTTCGAAGAATATTTGTCTGTTGAAGAATTATTTAGTGATAACATCCAGGTAATAAGTTCTTCCCATAAACGGGATGTTCTCACTATGATTCATCTAATGTGTTAATTTTAGATTGCTAATCACAAACGCCTTCCATTCCGTAAATGATAACTTCTTTTGGTTCCATTTGTGGAACGTTGTCAGATGCAACTTCTTAGTTGGTGCTGATTCTTTGTTTATATATTTTGATATATTATATGTTTCAGGCTGATGTGATTGAGCGCCTTCGACTCCAATATAAGAAAGATCTTTTGAAGATTGTGGATATTGTATTGTCCCACCAGGTAAGAAATTTATGGCAATGTTATGTAAAATGACTTTTTTCTTACTTTATATATTTTTTTGGGAATCCGTTTGAGGTAAGCCTATACACGTTTAGCTCTTTTTCACAGGGTGTGAAGAGTAAGAACAAACTGATACTAAGGCTTATGGAGCAACTGGTTTATCCTAACCCTGCTGCATATAGGGACAAACTGATCCGGTTCTCTCAACTGAACCATACAAGTTACTCTGAGGTTGGTTTTGCAAGCATGAATTTTAACATTTGACTTTGTTCTGGGTTTTATATAGCCAAACGTGACTTTTTGTACAGTACAAGTAGAACGTAGAAAATATAGTGTAAGATTATAAGATATATGAAAAACTAGAGTTGATGGAAAATAATTTATTTCTTAAAAAATGAAAACGAAATTGACAAAGTGGTAAATTGTTTGTTAATAATAATAAAAATGAGTGGACATTTTGGGTATGGCTATTATTAGTATATCTTAAGAATAAGTTACTATTTGAAACGAACTGAGTTATACATGATATTTTATCAGCAAGGTGGCTTTTAGATTTTAATAATCAGTGTGATTCGGGTGAACAGTTATTTCGAAAGTGAGATTGAAGAAGTTTGTCTGCTTTACCGTAACGTTAGCTTTATTAAGTTGTGTATATTTTATGCCAGAACAAACTCATAGATTCTTTCAGGGTCATATCAATGTGATTCCAAATCGTGGTATTCACTAATAATTGATGTTGAAATATGCAGATTTTAATATTCCAAATTTGTGGATGCAGTTAGCCTTGAAGGCAAGTCAACTCTTGGAACAAACCAAACTCAGCGAGCTTCGTTCTACTATTGCTAGAACCCTATCTGAGTTGGAGATGTTTACTGAAGATGGCGAAAACATGGACACTCCAAAGAGAAAATCTGCCATTAATGAACGAATGGAGGATCTTGTAAGTGCACCTTTAGCTGTTGAAGATGCACTTGTTGGCCTGTTTGATCACAGTGATCATACACTTCAAAGGCGGGTTGTGGAAACCTATGTTCGTAGGCTCTACCAGGTATTATAATATATTTTCCCAGAATCTCATACAATGTTCTTCTCCTTTACTTCTTATGGATGATCTCTATTTTGAAGGTAATAAACTTTTTTTTGTTCCTGGTGTATCAGCCTTATCTTGTTAAGTCAAGTGTCAGAATGCAGTGGGATAGATCTGGCCTCATTGCATCATGGGAATTCGTGGAAGAACATATTGAGAGGAAAGATGGCTCTGAAGACCAAGTGCAACTTGATAAACTAGTCATCGAGAAACATTCTGACCGGAAATGGGGAGCCATGGTTATCATAAAATCTCTTCAACTTTTGTCTGCGACTGTAACTGCTGCATTAAGGGAAAGAACTACGAAGAACCCTGGTGGAGCAGCTTCAAATGAATATGGTGAATCAGCTGCTGGCTTTGGCAATATGATGCACATTGGGCTGGTAGGAATAAACAATCAGATGAGTCTACTTCAGGATAGGTACGCAGGGCTATTCTCTCTATCCGGTTTCAGGTTGCAATGAAACTGCCACATTTTGGGTGTGTTAGTTGTTTAGTAGAAGTGAAGAGAAAAAAAGTCTGGTTGGGTTTTAGAAAAAGCTAGGGTGATGATATATTAGATATTTATCAGTGATAAAAAAGTAACTGGTAGGATGGTAGGTAGTTTGTTAATAATAAAAAAAATCAGTGTCTTACGAAATGACAATTATTATGGATACAATTCTAAGAATAGATTCTTATTTCAAAAGAGCAAAGATAGAAATGAGATTTTAGATAGTGGGGTGGCTTTTTTGCTTCTAGCAATTTGTGAGTTAGAATGAATAATATGGTTCTATGGAGTTAGATTGCCAGAATTGTGTTCGTTTAGGTTACAGGTCAGCTTTCCTTCTAGTTACTTCTTTTCTAGCCATAACAAACTGTCCTGACTGCATCTAGCGGGATTTTAAGTCGATGAAGTTGTCTTGCTCAATGGTTATAAATTCTAAAATAGATGCTAACATATTTTCCTGTCTCTTTCTCAATGGTCTAAAAAAGTGGTGATGAAGACCAGGCTCAAGAGCGGATCAAAAAGTTAGCCAAGATACTTAAAGAGGGAGAAGTAGGAACAAGTTTGCGGTCTGCAGGTGTTGGAGTTATCAGTTGCATCATACAGAGGGATGAAGGGCGACCACCTATGAGGCACTCCTTTCACTGGTCAACTGAAAAGCAGTATTTTGCCGAAGAACCTTTATTGAGACACCTAGAACCTCCACTTTCAATCTACCTTGAGCTGGTCTGTTTTCTTTCCTTCTTTTTTCTTATATCCTCTTTGGGTTCCTTATATTATTTCAGTAGTGTTTTTTTGTTTTTAAAATCTGAAGAAAGAAATCTTCTTTTTCTGTGTTGATTCAGGACAAGCTCAAAGGCTACGAGAACATACAATATACCCCATCAAGGGACAGACAATGGCATTTATACACAGTCATTGACAAGCCAGGGCCTATCAAGAGGATGTTTCTTAGATCACTTGTAAGGCAACCAAGTTCCACAGATGGGTTTACTGCTCATCAGGGATTGGGGATGGAGGCAGTCCGCACCCAAACAGCCTTGTCTTTTACTTCAAGAAGCATTTTGGGGTCTTTAGTGGCTGCAATGGAAGAATTGGAGCTTAATGTGCATAATGCTACCATTAAATCTGAGCATGCTCACATGTACCTCTGTATCTTACGCGAGCAAAATATAGAAGATCTTCTGCCTTATCCTAAGTGAGTCCCTGCACTCCCATTTAACCTTATTTATAAAAGGAATCCAGATGGATTCCTGAAAATGTGAAATTTCTTTTGCAGAAGAGTGGATGATAGTGCTGGACAAGAAGAAGCTGTTGTCGAGATGGTATTGGAAGAATTAGCAAGGCAAATCCATGGACTTGCTGGTGTGAGAATGCACAGGTTAGGTGTTTGTGAGTGGGAAGTGAAGCTTTGGATTGGAGCATATGGAGAAGCAAATGGTGCTTGGAGGGTCCTTGTTACCAATGTGACTGGCCATACATGTACTGTTCATGTAAGTGTTCATAACTTAGGATCATCGAGTTATCACGTACCTCTCTTTTTTTTACATTTAATAGGCACTGAGGTTTTATTTATTTGGACTCTTTGCTAACAATAAGTGACTCTTTAAATTTGAGTAGAAAGAAAAAAGTATTGTTGGGTTTAGAAACGTTGAGTTGATGGGATCTTAGTAATAAAAAAGTAAGTGATGGGATGGTATATAACTTGTTTAGTAACAAAGAAATGAGTGAGCTCTAGGAAATGATTATTGTCGGGATAAGTTTAAGAATATGTTTTTGACCAAACAAACTCCTAGTACCTTGATAATACTTGTGAAAGCGATTTAGTAATGCCAGTTTGAAATATCAGAATGTGAGGAACTCCTACCACTCCATTACTATAGACCAAAACCCTTTGCCAATGTAATTTTAACCTCTTTAGATTAATTTAACTAATTCGAACCTTTCTGGAGGGATATAGCTACAGCATCAGCTTGTTTATTTTGATAAGACATAGATTCAATGATTCTGTCTTTGTCTTAGCATGCATGTGAGAGCTGTTGAATGGCGAGGTAGGAAAATTCGATATTATCTTCCTTCCTAGTGACTAGTGTGTTTTGCTTCCTTGGGAAGTAATATGAACATATTTTTTCTTGAGTAGCAACTAACAGTGAATGGTACTACATACAGATTTACAGGGAACTAGAAGATACCTCCAAGCACAAAGTTGTATACCATTCAGTCTCTGCACAACAGGGTCGCCTCCATGGATTACCTGTGAGTGGATATTACCAGCCATTGGATGCTCTTGACAGAAAGCGTCTAGTGGCAAGAAGAAGCAATACCACTTACTGCTATGACTTCCCACTGGTTAGTCAAATTTCTTATCATATCACTTCTCGTAGAGATTTCGAGTGAGTTGCATTGGTGGGTTCGCAGTTGGGTTAAATGGGTTGGTGGGTTTACGTGTTGGGCTTAATGGGGTTGTTTGCCTTCTTTGGAATTTGTTGAAATTTTGTTGTGTATAACTCTCTGTTATTTGGACTGGCGTGATGAAAACTACATTTAAAATCTGGACCAGTTTGTAAAACCACGAAAGTTTTTCAGAAACCCATTAACCCTACCCATTTGCCCACCAACTCAATGTATACTGGTCAAATGAGTTTCCGTTAGATGGCGTTTAAATGGGTAGGTTTGGATTGATGTTTGTCACTTCTACCTTTACCTGTACAACAGTGATGAATGCTCATACATACATACATACCCGTTTGTCTTCAGGCATTTGAGACAGCTCTTGAACAAATATGGTCATCTCAGTTCCCTGGATATGCAGTGCCAAAGGCTAAAGGGAGTCTTCTCAAAGCAAGCGAGCTTGTATTTTCTGACAAAAAGGGTCTCTGGGGCACTCCTCTAGTTTCCACTCAGCGCCCGCCTGGGCTTAACGATGTTGGGATGGTGGCATGGAGCATGGAAATGTCTACCCCTGAATTTCCTTCTGGAAGGACTATCATCCTCGTGGCCAATGACGTGACCTTCAAAGCTGGATCCTTCGGCCCAAAAGAGGATTCATTTTTCGCTGCAGTTACCGACCTTGCTTGCTCCAAGAAACTGCCGCTGATTTACTTGGCCGCAAATTCTGGCGCTCGTATTGGCGCGGCTGAGGAAGTCAAATCCTGCTTCAAAGTTGGGTGGTCGGATGAAACTTCTCCGGATCGTGGGTTTCAGTATGTGTACCTTACTCCAGAGGATTATAGCCGGATTGGTTCGTCCGTTATAGCACATGAGGTGAAGCTGGAAAAGACTGGCTCAACCAGGTGGGTCATAGATGCCATTGTAGGGAAAGAAGATGGTCTGGGAGTCGAGAATTTATCGGGTAGCGGAGCAATCGCAAGTGCATACTCGAGGGCATATCGCGAAACCTTCACTTTAACTTATGTCACCGGAAGAACTGTTGGTATTGGTGCTTACCTCGCTCGCCTGGGGATGCGCTGCATACAGAGGCTCGACCAGCCAATCATTCTGACCGGTTTCTCGGCACTTAACAAACTTCTGGGTCGTGAGGTTTACAGCTCACACATGCAACTCGGTGGCCCTAAAGTCATGGCAACAAATGGTGTGGTGCATCTTACAGTCTCTGATGATCTCGAAGGCGTAAATGCCATCTTGAAATGGCTGAGCTGCATACCTCCTTATAGGGGTGGCCCACTCCCCATCTTGAATAACCCTCTGGACCCTCCAGAGAGACACGTGGAGTACTTCCCTGAAAATTCATGCGATCCTCGTGCTGCCATTGCTGGTGCATTGAATGGCAGAGGAAAATGGGTGGGGGGTATTTTCGACAAGGATAGCTTTGTCGAGACACTCGAAGGCTGGGCTAGAACAGTAGTAACGGGCAGGGCAAAGCTGGGAGGAATCCCTGTAGGGATAGTGGCAGTAGAGACACAAACTGTAATGCAAGTGATTCCAGCTGACCCTGGGCAGCTCGATTCTCATGAGAGGGTTGTTCCCCAAGCTGGGCAAGTATGGTTTCCTGACTCTGCTACGAAAACAGCTCAAGCTATACTGGATTTCAATCAAGAGGAGCTCCCGCTTTTCATTCTGGCCAACTGGAGGGGATTTTCCGGTGGGCAGAGGGATCTGTTTGAAGGAATCTTGCAGGCGGGTTCTAATATTGTTGAAAATCTGCGGACTTACAAACAGCCTGTTTTTGTTTATATACCGATGATGGGGGAGCTTCGAGGTGGAGCGTGGGTGGTTGTAGATAGTCAGATTAACTCTGACCATATTGAGATGTATGCTGATCGGACGGCTAAAGGCAATGTTCTTGAGCCAGAAGGGATGATAGAGATCAAGTTCAGGAACAAAGAGCTGCTCGAGTGCATGAGCAGGCTAGACGGAGAGTTGATCACGCTGAAGGAGAAGCTTCAGGAGGCTAAGGATGGTGGAGGATATGGGATGGTCGAATCTCTTCAGGAGAAGATAAAGGACCGCGAGAAACAGCTTCTGCCTGTTTATACTCAGTTAGCGACGAAATTCGCTGAGCTTCATGATAGCTCACTGAGGATGGCTGCAAAGGGAGTGATTAGAGAAGTGGTGGAGTGGGGTTGGTCTAGATCTTATTTCTACAAAAGGTTGAGGAGGAGAATTGCAGAAGGTTCTCTGATTAAGATGGTGAGAGAAGCTGCTGGCGGCGAGCAGCAAGTTTCTTTTAAGTCTGGTATGGAGATGATCATGGAATGGTTTTTGGAATCTGATCATGCGGGGAGAGGGAGAGGAGAAGATAGGTGGTCGGACGATGAAGGTTTCTTCGCATGGAAAGATGATGCAACGAATTATGAGGGGAAGCTAGATGAGTTGCGGGTTCAGAAAGTGTTGGCACAGTTGGGAAATATCAGTGGGTCTACATCAGATTTGAGAGCTCTTCCTCAAGGTCTTGCTGCCCTTCTAAGCAAGGTAATATGCTTGCTTTGCTGCCTTTTGAAACAATTGAATGGCATGTTGTTTGTTAGAGTATCTATGTGGGACACATAAGTTTGATGAAGTTTTGAAACTTCAAATTGACATAATATGTTGCTGCTGCTGCAGGTGGAGCCTTCAAGCAGAGGGAAATTGGTTGATGAACTGAGGAAGGTTCTGAACTGATATTTTTTCTGTTTTGTTTTTGGAAAATTCTGAACTGATGATTTTTATGCTGTGTAATAATAAGTCTGTAATTATGAAGGGGTGTTGTCCCAAAGAAATAGGGGTAGTGAATGTGTAAAAATAGCTGGAGGTCATGGGCCAAGTTGTGAGTGATATGGCCCACTCCAGAGAATAATTACTTTTCTATAAAGAAAGTAAAATTGACATAATTATTTCTTTATATATGTAGTAATTTTTTTTATATCAAAGATGGCTTGTATTACCAAAAAAGCAAAGATCTAATGTTTACAATTCTGCATATAGTCTGATTCAACTTACCTCCTTTTTTCATTTACCCATAGTCTGATTCAACCGGACTGCTAGATGGTACCAAGACTTTACTGTATATTAACCAGAAGCCTCCTCATGCCAAACTAGCCTATCATCAATCGGATTCGTAGGAAAAGGAATAGCTTAAATCGCCTAAATCATGTCGACAAGGTTCACAATTCCAATTGATACTGAAGAAACAAGCTGAATTCTGCCAACATAAGATAGCTTGCCTTGCTCTCCAAGATTTAACCCTATTGGTAAGCTTCTCAGTCATCACCTCACATTCCCTATCTGAGAACTTCCTTGCCATAAGTGGCAGACCCAAATACCTCACAGGCAGATTCCCTTTGACAAACCCTGAAACCTGTAATGCTACTTTCTTAAACTTAATGGTTTCTTCCCCCAAAATTAATCTCACAGTTACTTGGGTTACATTTCAAACCCGACAGCTATAAAACTCTTCAAGTATCATTTGACTTCATCAAATTGCTGCTCCAGAACTCTCATCTGCGAAATTGAGGTTTAGTAAAGAAGAGACTCCATGACTATAGTAAGAAAGAGGGGGGAAAAGTAAAATTTATCATTTAACGAATAGAGAAAACAAAAATGCTATATTTTGAACTACAACTCCTAGCCATCTATGTCAAGAGTTCATAGCTAAGTCTACAGAATTTGCAAATACAGAAGATATACCGCCAACCCTTATGAGTTTCTTGATGCATTCGTCTTCTTCTACTTGCCAATACAGAACTTGCCGAAAATGTTGGATAAAACCTCTTCCGATATGTCTTCGCCAGTGATTTGTCCCAGTGCCAAAGCAGCGTCCTTCAAATCAATCGTCCAAAAATCCAGAGGCAAATCATCTTCTATCGAGGATTTCAACCTGGAAAGGGCCTCCTTGGTTCTTACAAGCTGCTCACATTGTCTCTGAGGTGATGGCATTTGCGAAAAAAGTTTAGATAATAGTACAGCAGTACATATAAAATCATCGAGATGAAAAATGGGTTTCTAATTTCACATCCAACTAAGTTAAGGGTGGCCAAACCGGTACCAGATAACAGAACCGTTTTGCAAAAGAAATAAAATAAGAGTATTGCGTTGGTGTTCCACACCAAACATGAGGGGTCCTAACCACAGAACGCTCCTTCCATTCAAGGGAAAGAACTCCTTAAGTGGTTCAACAAAGGCGAGATCAGCTCACTTGCACAACCCAGCTTAGAAGCACTGAATTGGTTTTGGTGTGGCTTGACTCAAGTCCGGTACAATGCACAAATGGCATAGGTAGCCATCCTATATCAAGAAACCTGACCAAAATTGCCCAAATTCCCTTCCCTTCTACTTTCTGCCCATATCCCGTGCAATTTTGCAGCCCAAGACACATAATTTGCAGATCAGTTAAACAAACCACACACTAACTTGCACTAATAAGAGGGAGATCGAGACACAAGCTTTGCTAAGAGAAGGTGCAAAACTAGTAGTGGCAATTTCTATTTTGCAATGTGGTAACTAATATCAGCTTTACCTGATTCACGGTCCATTTGCGCCCACCGTCTGGAATCGTATTTAGATTCATGATTTCTGCAATTGCTGTCTCCAGCTCTTGAATTCCTTGACCAGTAACCGCACAGGTGAAAACACGCCTAGACAGACTATTATTGCCTTCTCTATCATCATCAAATTCAGCTACCAGCGATCGAGCACAATCTATCTTATTAATCACCAAGATAAGTGGAGTTGATGATCCAATTTGCTCCTGTAGCAACAAATGACGAGGAGATAGAAAGATGCAACCTGATCAGGTTAGTTAACCGTGTAGTGATATCTGAAAACATTCATTCATGTACTGCACCAGATTTCTGAAACAACATCAAACAACTAAAATGAAGGAAATACCTTTTTTGATTCTATCTTCTGCAGAAGGGTTGCATCTTCTGACGTCCACCCATCAGAGGCACTCATCACCAAAATAATAATATCGGCTCCCATGGCTGCAGCTTCAGATCTCTTTACTCCTAGAAAAAAATATATATCTTCATTAAGAAGAAATACACATGTCCAAAAAAAATCACATCTACAAGAAAATAATGGACTCGCGCATTATTATCAAAATCTATTGATCCAACTTACCAATCCTCTCAACAACGTCATCGGTTTCCCTAATGCCAGCTGTATCTAGGAGTGTAACAGGAATATTGCCAACTGTAATGCTGGCTTCAACTACATCTCGGGTTGTTCCAGCAATGTCTGTAACTATAGCTCTCTCACTCTGCACATCAAAATTAGAATAAGGCACTATAAAACACTGAATAATCTTCACATTCAAGAAAGAAGCCATAATGGGCGACAAAGTGCATATCAAGGTTGGGAACATTTTGTTTTCAGGCATTAGCCCATCAGACTGAAACTGTAGCTTTAAAATCAGATGACAGAAAAGAGAGCATGGACTTGGCTAACGATCTTTTATTTTCTTGAGTATGCAACAAGCAGACAAATACCTACAATTTACAGTGTAAATGTATAACAAACTAATATATAACCAAGTTTAAACATAACCAGAAGAAGACAACTGAGCAAAGTATGCAACCAGAATTAAGAGTATGTGACATACTTTACTCCATGCATTAAGGAGGCTTGACTTCCCAACATTTGGACGACCTATGATTGCTATCTGCAAAGAAGGAAGATGCTTGGAAAGTCAATAACAACTGGACCATTAACATAGAAGTGAATTTACCGAATATCACTGGCTACAGTCAGAGCAAGAAACCTTATTGTTGTTGTTAAGACCCTAAAACAAAACATACTTCACAAAAAATTATAAGTTCACACTCATCCATAGAAGTGCTGTATAGAAGCTAGTTATTATCAAAAGTATAGCAATGATCAGAAAATTACTCCAGCATAAAGAAATGAGAGAAGGTAATATTTAAGACCGATTTTGATGAGAATTATGCTAGGGGGAATAAGTGACTGCAGCAAGAAACTATGCATAATAGCAGGCATTATGGATGATTCACTAACATGTTTACTGAAGCTGAGCTGACCAACTTAGAGGAAAGTGTGGGAGACAGTGACCTGGATTTTCTCTTCAACAATCCTTGGTTGGCAAGGATACAGAGAAAGGAAGCTAAATTTAATTTAGTAGGTTTGAGTTTTAGATCAGTTCTACGATTTCTATGCAATAAAAAAAATATGATCCTCTGTTTTCCTCATCCAACTAGGATTTTTTGCTAAATCTTATTTGCTTCCTACGATGAGTATGATCTTTTCTTAAGCTTGTAAAAAGGAGCTGGAACCTCAATAAATAACATACAGAACAATTTCATGACAACTTCCAGCAAGCAGTTGTGAATTTCAAGGTTTATGAAACTCTTGATGCAGGGTTATCACCATCCAGAGTGACAGTTCGTCTTGCGTCTTAGGCAACCAAAATATTAATTTCTTTCAGAATCCAAAACCCAGACCACTCCCAACAGAATTTGATAACTCGCAAACTACGTTGATACTAAAGGCCACTGCAATCTGAGGCACATCAACAGTAGAAATTTCTATAGTGGAAGAAGTGTGAGGCAATTAGTGGTTTAGCTTATGATATGTTAAACCTGTAATCCAGACTGCAGAAGCCTATCATAATTGGCCGTCTCCAATGCCTTATCAACTTCCATAGACATAGCTTGTATCTTGTTCGTGATCAGGTTTGCGTCTAAAGGTGGCATCTCATCATCAAAGTCTAGGCGAGCTTCAATCTCAGTAAGCAACTCAATGCATTGCATTCTTGTTGATTTTACCAGCAAACCAAAGCCTCCCTGAAAAGCAACAAGTAAAAGAATTTTGAATGTTACTGCACAATATACATCCTATGCAGTTGTATCCAATTGAAAACTAAGTACTGGAATGGTACATGCCTCAAGTCCAGCTAGTGCTGCATCTGCAGCTGCTGCAGACTTGGCCGAAATTAACCTGCCAACATTTTCAGCTTGGGAAAGGTCCAACCGACCATTAAGAAATGCCCGGAGAGTAAATTCACCTGAAAAAGATACAGAGATTACACAATCAAATTCCTGTTTATCATGCTGCTCAAATGAGCAAATCATTATTGATAGTAAGATAGGTCTGAAAGATTTATTTAGTTAGACATAAGAAACAGTGTCATTATGTTCACCTATGTCAGCGAACAATATCATATCAAAGTTACATAAAATCATTTCTTTTTTCCTTCGATTGATAGATAAACCACCTTTAACAACTCAAAACTGACCTGGTTCAGCAAGCCTAGCTCCAGCTTCCAGACAGGCTCTCAGCACACGGTTAAGACAAACCTCACTCCCATGACACTGAAGCTCAACCACATCTTCACAGGTATAGGATCTCGGAGCCAACATTGGCACAGCAAGAACCTGGTTTCAGTAGATAAACTGAAAAGAATTTTCTTAAAAATACCAAAAGGAAACAAAACCAAACCAAACCAAACCAAACCAAACAAGAAAAGCAAAAACGATCAAAAACAAAATATCACCCTTTCGAGTGCCAACACTCACAGCCAATCCAACAACAAAATTATAGACATACCTCATCAATCACATTCCCCTGAAGATCCAGTACTATACCGTAGTCCACCACATGGCTGGTAGGCTGCCAAGCGGCCAGTCTTTCGTTCCTCTGCGTCCTCTTTTTCTTCCTCTTAATGGGTTTGAACACACGAGCAGCAACGTTCACTGCAGATGGTCCAGATAGCCGTATGATGCCCACAGCGCCTGGAGGGCCACCAATGGAAGTGACAATGGCAGCAATTGTAGAGCTTGACTGAAAATGAATCTTTTCAATGTGGGGAACCTCACTTGATCCATGAAAACGCTGGTCCTTGCCATTGAGAAGCAAAGTGGCAGAATTTGGTTTGGGGTTTGGGTTGGGCGTAAGAGTCGCTAGGGGTTTTGCAAAGATTTTGAGTTGAGGGGTTTGAAGACGCGAGGAAAAGGTACAAGATATGCGGAAAAATGAGAACTTGGGTCGGAAGATATGGGTAAAGATGGTGTTAATAGCAGGCAGAAGAGCCATTGTTAAACTACAAGCATGAACCAATTTCCCCCTTCAAATACGGCGGCAGCTTCACAGAAATGGTTCGTTCGACAACAACTATGAACAATCAATTCTACAACCCCCTGCTCCTGGCCCTGCTCCTATCCATGGAAAGTCAGAACGAAGAGATTTATTTACATGGTCCAGTCAATGGTTTTCTAGGAGGAGAAAAGGAGAATTGCTAATTATCGCACAAATTTTTATTAGGATCTTTCTAACTTAAAAATTGTAATTAAATTCTTAACCTTTTTTATTGATAAATGATATTTGGTGTTAAACAAAATCTGATTTGAACGGTAAAAAAGTCGTCTTTGTTATGAGCTAAAAGAGAACAACAATAATAAGAGAGAGTGAAGAGAAAAAAAAAAACACAAGAGAAGATGTGGAAAGTGTTCTTCTTATTATCTCATTCTTTATAGTTTATACAATAAAGGTGTTTTATTTATACCAGCATGAAGCCTGCCCGATGGGCGGGTTAATTTGTGAGATAAGGTTATTGGTGCAAATGACTTCTCATACAAATTACAAAGTCAATTGATTTTTTACTTGTTTGTATTTTGTTATTTTGGTTACTAAAATTTCGATGAGAAAAGATTAATTGATTAGTTTGGTTAACAAAAAGCATAGTAACTTTCGAACCAAAGGAAGCATGGTAACTTGAGAAATGTAGGTTCACCTGGTAGCTTTTTAAATGTAAGGGAGGTGTTGAACTTGAAACCAATTGGACAAACATAAATCCTACTTTACCAATTGAAAGCCGTAGCAGTAGCATAAGTACTATAGTTTCCAAAGATACCTCTGTTTATGAGTTGATTGTAAATACTCCGTTTAATACACGTATATACACTCGTACGTACTTTATTCGTTTAAAACTTCCGTATCCGTATTATTGTCAAACCTTTACATTTTTCTCCGTTCATTTGATGGCTCCCGTACTAAACACGTATAAAACCCGTATAACACGTTTATTATTCGTATTTTACGAATTAAATTGTTAACTTTAGTATATATTTATTTTTAAAATAATTAATTTTATGTATTTATGACTATTAACGTACTATTAAACGTAACTTTAGCTTAGAGACGAAGTATAATACCCGTACGTATATTTTACGTAACTTTTCGATTAGTCAGATTTTCACATTGCATTAGCAGTCTAGATATAAAAAGCTCTCACTATTGATACTTGATAGCATATCATTAAACTGCATTCTAAAATAATGAATTAACATAGTTTCACTTACCCTGAACACAACCCCAAAAATTAACCTTGTTTACAGACTCAGAAACCAATTAGAAGATGTCTCATTTTTCTAAACTGGCCAATTGAGAAAAACATCCGCTAACTGAAAATAACCTTCCACCAAATGGGGAATATAAAGCTAAGCTAATGACAAAGATTACTCATGGCATGATCATGAAAGAATTTAACAAAAATGCTCGATCATGCAACTTCTGCAACACTCAAACTCTTGGCGGGATGTGGGAATGTATTGTGTCTATGGTGGTAACACAAAGGCGATCGCCGATCGAAGGGGAAAATTGGGGTCTTTCCCACTTCTACCGTAATGATCGACCTGTCCGACCATCATTTGAAAGTCGTTCAGAGTTGGAGAATATGGGGGTTTTTCGGCTGCAAATAGAAGATCAAAGGCATAGTGAGGGCGAAGGAAGGAAGATAAAGAAATCGTCGCCGTGGGGAATAGTAAGGGTTTTCTCGGCTGCGGAAGGAACAAATAACGGTGGAGTAGGAGTCCAGGGAGAGAAAGAGAAGTGGCATGGGGTCGAATCCTAAAGGCCTTTAATATTTTTAAAGATAAAGAAAGAAGATGCACATATATATATAACTCCTACAATTTCATCTATCAATCAACATGGGTAATGAACCACGAAAATTATTAATTCTAATGATAAATGTAGGAGGTAAATAGTTACTAATATAGCATCCAATGTAGAATTCAATGTGCATCCATAATACCTAATTGTTTCAAAATAGTTACCAAATTATTTAAATGATGCCAATCTATTATTTAATCTCAACCACCTTTTAAGTTGATGTGATTCCTATACTCTTATTATCTCACTTTGCCAATGAAGGATCTCTACATCGTTGTCTATAACACACGATACTTATTTCTTTCTTGTTTGTCATCTCTCCATATTATCAAATCGATCTGATCTCGCACCACTCGATCTTCTTGCTCTAATCGATCAACAAGAATTCACTATTGTTTTCTTCCAATGGCGAAAGCCTTAATTCACTCTCGTTTTCCTCTCTTAAATCTAATTCGTCCACCATGATTTTCACTCGATTTTGTCTCGTCCCTTTCGTGATCTTCACATTCCTCGCCCTTAGAATTCTCTCGATTCCCATTAATTGTGGTGGCTCCAAAAAAGTGCACGATCTTAGTAGTCAGCACCATTGTCCACAATCAAGGAGGGGTGGTCTGGAGTGCAAACTGTGTTATGCAGGTTCCTAGTGGCGGAGGTGGTTCGGAGGGCAACGTGACTATTGTTATATTGAAAGAGGATTAGGGATTTAAGGAACGATATATTTTGTTTCTCGTTTGGTTCATTACTCTTAATTTAGTAATTTTATCTTTTAAGTTAGAGCGATAAGAGTAAAATTAAAAGAGCCTCGGGTAAAGCTTTCTGATGAGAAGAAGATGCTCAAGAAAAGATTTGAGAATTGGCAACAGAAAATATATTACAATGATAATGGTTTGGGGAAGCTGTGGTTGGTATGGAAAAAGGACATAAAGGTTCACATTTTGGGATTCTCATAGCAGTTTGTTCATGTTATGGTGGGGGACAGAGTGCCTTTCTTTATCACATTTGTCTATGCCTCTAACCTTGAGAATGGAAGAAGAGAGATGTATAGGGAGATTGCAAGGTTGAAGGTACAACATAGACCTTGGGTTTTAATAGGGGGTTTTAATGCAATTAGAAGTCCCAGTGAGGGGTCAAATAATCCAGTTCAATCTGCAAGTATGGCAGACCTGAATGAGTGGCTTACGGATATTGAGGTTGAGGAACACAAGTCCACAGGTCCTTGGTTTACATGGTTGAATAGACAAGCACATAATCCAATTGCTAGAAGGTTGGACAGGGCATTTGTCAATATGGCATGGTCAGATCATTGTCCAGTACTGGTCCAAACAGAGGTGCCTCTAAAGTCCCTGCCAAAACCTTTTAAATTTTTCAATTTTTGGTTGGAGCATCCAAAGTTTGGGGAGTTATTGAAAGAAGCTTGGTCTCAGGATGTAGCAGGCTCACCTATGAGGAGAGTTTATAAGAAGCTCCGAGTGTTAAAAGGTTTGCTTAAGAAGCTCAACAGGGAGGAATTTTCAGATCTTGGGCAGAGGGTTAAAGATAAAGAATGGGAACTGGAGGATATACAAGAACAAACCTTAGCTGATCCTTCTCCTGCTTTGGCTGGGTTGGAGGCACAATTAGCAAAGGAACTGCATATGTTACTTAAGGCAGAAGAATCTTTCTTGAGGCAGAAGTCAAGAGAAATATGGTTGAAAGGGGGTGACTCTAATACTAATTACTTTCACAGATCTATGAGAACCAGACAGAAAAAGAACACTATCACTAGTTTGATTGATGACAATGGAGAAAGGGTAATAGAGGTGGAAGCAATGTGTGAGGTGGCAGTGAGTTTTTATAAGAAACTGCTGGGTCAGGTGAATGAAGATGTTAATGGGTAGTGTGGAATTCTTTCAGTCTATTCTCATGCAGAAAGTTAATCATATGCAGACTGCTTCACTATGTCATCCTGTGACAGAGTTGGAGGTTAAAGAAGCAATGTTTGGAATGAAGGGAGACCAGAGTCCAGGGCCAGATGGTTATAATGCTCGGTTTTTTCACTATGCTTGGGAGATTGTTGGTGCTAATAGTGTCAAGGCAGTGCAATACTGTTTTGCTACAAAACAGAAACCTAAGGAGGTAAACTCAACTATACTTGCTTTGATACCAAAGGTTCCTAATCCTGAGGAAATGAGAAATTTCAGGCCTATTTCATGCGGCAATACAACTTATAAATGCTTGTCTAAAATTATAGCTAAGAGGTTTAGTGCTCTGCTACCTTTGTTGATTAGTAAGAACCAGACTGCATTTGTTAGAGGGAGGCTGATTGGTGAAAATGTTTTGCTAGCACATGAGTTAGTTTCAAAATATGCTAGAAAGAATGTTTCATATAGATCAGCTCTTAAAATTGATCTAATGAAAGCATTTGATTCTGTTAACTGGATTTTTCTATTCAATGTGCTTGAAGCTATGGGGATCCAGTTGATTTTATTGATTGGATCAGAATGTGTGTTACTGAGCCAATGTTAAGCATATCTTTTAATGGAGGGTTGACAGGATACTTTCCCTCTAGGCAAGGGTTAAGACAGGGAGACCCTATGTCTCCATACCTGTTTGTGGTAGCTATGGAGGTTTTCTCTTGTCTATTGGATAAAGAGGAGGAGAGGGGTTATTTCCCTTATCATCCTATGTGTAAAAAAATCAGATTGACTCATTTGTGCTTTGCCGATGATCTCTTGGTATTCTCGGATGGTTCTAATCTTGGTCTGCAGAGTGTTCAGAATGTGTTGAATGAATTTTATCACTTATCTGGCTTGAAGTCTAATCCAAGTAAATGTGAGGTCTATTTTGGAGGAATGGATAAGGAAGAGATGGTTGCTAGGGCTGCTCGATTTGGGTATCAGTTGGGGAACTTCCCTGTTCGCTATCTAGGTGCGCCACTGATTGCAAGGAAGTTAACAGTTGCTGCTTGTAGGCCACTGATTGATAGGCTTACTGCCAGGATCAAGGGATGGAAAGCCAAATCTCTATCATATGCAGGGAAGGTGGAATTGGTGAGCTCTGCGTTGTATATCATCACTCAGTATTGGATGAGTGTCTTCTCTCTACCTAAGCAGGTCCTCAAGGAGATAGAAAGAGTTTGCAGTGATTTCTTGTGGGCTGTGGGAGATGGACCAAGGCTTAAAGCAAAAATAGCCTGGAAGTACTTAACTTACCCCAAGAAAGAAGGTGGGTTAGGGCTGAGAGATATGTATGCATGGAATAATGCTTGTATCTACAGACAAATATGGGCTATCATGCTACAGCAAGGATCGCTTTGGGTGGCATGGATACTGACATACAAACTGAAAGGGAGGAGTTTTTGGGAGACTAGCATTGATGGTTCTTGGAACTGGAAGAGGCTGTTGAAGCTGCGAGGTAAACTTCCTCACCTTTTTAGTTTGATTGATGGCAAAGTATACTCGAATGACACTGTGATGCCAAGGTACTCTGTGAAAATGGTTTGGGAGTCACTAAGACCTAAACTAAGTTCTGTTTCATGGGTTGGTTTGGTCTAGAAGGCTCCTTCTATCCCCAGGAACAGATTCTTGGTGTGGCTTATCATCAAAGACAGGATTCAGACTAAGGATAAGATGAAGAGATGGGGATTTGCAGGTTCTGACTTATGCACTCTATGTAATCAGCACCCAGAAAGCAGAGATCATCTATTTGCGCAGTGTGAGTTTTTTAGGAAGCTCTTTCATGAACTGTTGGGTTGGGGGGGGGGGGGGGGGGGGGGGGGGGGGGGTTGAAGACTTCTTGCCAAGGGATTGGGAGGAAGGGTTGCAGTGGGCAATTAGGAAGTTTGGGAAGAAAGGGACAGATGAAGGGCATTGTAGAATTGTGTGGCAGTCAATGATCAGCCATGTATGGAGAGAACGTTGCACTAGAGTTTATGAAGGGACTAATAGAAGTGTGGAAGGATTGAAGAAGGTAATTAGAAGTGAGATTCTGGTGATGATGTTGGAGGAGGAAGCTGCCAAGTTCTGGTACTCAGACACTGCATCTTCTTTGTGATCTGGAAGCTTTAACCGAGGGCTATAGTTAGCTATAGTTTGTTTTGTTAGTGGCTTTTGTTAGTGGGTTTTGGTCTGTTTTGCCCTGTTTCTACAAGGTTACCTAGTTGGAAAGGTTTGTTTCTAGCAACCCCTTTTCTTTGATGGAATGGAAAGAATCTAATTCATAAAAAAAGAGTAAAATTAGAGCGATCAATTCGTATTTAAGAGACCTCGGGGAGAGCGAGAACGGACAACTCGGGTATGGATTCGTTTGCTTTGTCTATGGCAAATGTATGCATTTTTATGGTAGGTTGCCATTGAAGATGGTCTAAGGGCACTAAGTCACTAACCACGTTGAACTGTGTATATATAGATGAAACAGCTTTTATTGGTGTGATATGGTTAGGTACAGTCGTACAAAGGACTAAAACAGCAGAAAAGAAAATGCACAGAGCTAGCCCACCACCCTTATCCTTTCTCAAATTTACTTTCTCTTTCCCTCCTCTTCTTTCCTGGAGGGGTTTCTTTGTTTTTATCTTTGTTGCTCATTTTGATACCGAATCAAGTCACTTACTTTGCTCTCCTTTTTATACAAAAGAGGGGAATCCAACCTTCCCTCCCTCTCCCGCCACCAACACTTTAGTAAATTACACTTCCTCCACCAACTTGGGAGAGCAAGAGGCCACTGCATCCGCCACCGTGAGAAAGATGTTGTCTTCTCCAATCAAATTCGCCAAATCCGAGGCGTGCAGTTTCTCCATCACCACCGGCCCTGGATTCGCCATAATCAGCTGCATGCGGCAATGAACAACAACAGCAAGCATGCACAAGTTATCACCACCATTGCACCATTCAAAAGGTTACAGGTACTAAAATATCTCTCTATGCCCTCGTTGTGTTAAGTGGTTGATTTTACCTGAATATCTCGCTTCTTGAGGCTCCTGTGCAACTCCTCGAATGCATGGATGCCGCTGGTGTCTATATCAGTAACAGCTGCCGCGACCCAAAAAAAGAAATGATACCATAATCAATGAGGATGGAACTCGCAAACATCAAACTGTTCTTGTTTAAATATAAGCGCTTTTGATGAAATTCGGTGTCTTAGTGCTGGTATGATCGCAATGTTCTTGTTTAAATGTGGGGGAAAACACTTACGAGACATTTCTACAATCAGAAACTGTACTCTTTGTTTCCCCGATGCTTCGATGCGTTCTTCTTCGTCCAACAACCATCTCAATATTCTGCAACAAAGTAAAGCATAAAATTTCCAACCGTTTCTGGCTAGGTAACTGATAACTACACTTCAATCCTGTTTTTGTTACCTCTCCTTGACGTAGTTGGAGTTGGAAAAGTATATGGCGGAGTCGACCCTCACAATCAGGACGCCTGGAACCTTGGTTGCTTCTGGGTACTGTTGAATGTTTCTGTACACCACTGTCCTTGGCACCTTTCCCAGAATTGCTGTCCTTGGTCTAGTCACTTGCAGCAGAATTTTCGCAAACGAAATCGTGACCTGCTCCCCCGCCCCCATGATAATTAATTAGTTTAGCTCCCCAATTAATTTAAACATATATATATCATGCTACTGCTGCTACTTCATTTTTTACTTACGGCGATCAGCAGGCCGATCTCGACAGAGATGAAAACCACACCAAAGAAGGCTCCCATGCAAGCGATGAAGTCGAACTTGTCAATCTTCCATATCAAAAGAGCTGCCTCGTAGTCGATTAGGCCGAGAACTGCTGCTATAATGATGGCTGCCAGAATGGCATTTGGTGTGTACTTGAACAGAGGTGTGATGAATAGCAAGGTTAGAAGCACTACTATCGACATTATAATGTTGGACACTGCAGTTTGGCAGCCCGCCATGTAGTTCACTGCTGATCGAGAAAAAGAACCTGCAAGCGGCGATCAAAACATGTGGTCAACAATGTTAAATCAAATCCAAAATGCACTTGCTGAAGACTTAACAACCGGTATTTTGTTCATTCTAATCCTCACCTGTTGCGACATAGCACGAAGTCATTGATCCAATAACATTCATGGTTCCTAGGGCCACCATTTCTTTGTTCCCGTCTATTTGATAGTCCTTCATCGAAGCGAATGTCCTTCCAATAGCTACGGCTTCCTGAAAGCACAATAATCAGTTTAGTTTAAAGATACAGATGAATTAATTGAATGGTTTGGTTTCAACAGGGGAAAAAAAAAACTGCAAAGCCTTACTGTCAAAGCTATCATTCCAGCCACCACACCGATCCTGAAACCTTTTAGAAGATATTCACCCGAGAAAAAAATTTGGTTCACTGAAGATGGGTTAATTCCTTTCTCGATGTGCTTCACCTGCATGACAGAAAATGGAATTGGTAAGACAAATAGCATGCAGACAATACAAAATGGGATGTACTTTGTCTAATACGAAATGCTTACGATTTGGACGCCTTGCTTATCCGCACGAGTTACGTACACAAAGAAGGTCGATAGAACAACAGATACCAAAGGAGCAATTGCTGGCACCCAGAATAGTTTCTTGTTCTTCTTTCCCTATTGTTGTTCCCCTCCCAGACAGCTAGTTAGTTAAGGACAGTTCACAAGGATGACGGTAAATGCTTAAAGAGAGAGCTTTAAGCAAAGTATTACTTACGATGTACTTGGCGAAGAGTAGGAAACTTAAGAAGCTTGCTCCTATAAGTATGGTCTGCCAATTCCACTGTAGAGTGAAAAATGAAGAACAGCAGATTATGAGGCAAGTTGTAACAACAATGAAGAGTGAATAATAAAGGCTAAGAAGGACTAAGAGCTCACTCCATGATGGGCCGAGTGAATTACAGATTGCATCACAGAAATGATGTCTGATTTCTTGGTGAACTTTTTTATTCCTAGAAAACCTTTAAGTTGTTGGAGGGCAATTGTGATGGCTGCCCCACCCATGAAACCAACAATAGCCGCATGTGACAAGAAGTCAATCAAAAACCCCAACCTCAGAAATCCCAGCGAAAACTGTGTGATTCCAGCGAAGAATGTAGCTGTAAATGCTAGCCTTCGGTAGTCAGTTGGATTCTTGGTGGAATCGATCTCATTCTGAAGCAGAGTCCCCAGTAGAAGAGATACCACAGCAACAGGTCCTATAGCTATATCTCTTGAACTGCCCATGATCGCATATATCAAAGGCGGAACAAAGCTAGAATCTGACAAATAAGAAGAAGAAAAAAAGAGAGGGGTCATCAAAACTGTCGAACTAACGACGAAGAGAGATTCTGCAAACCATGAAGCCTTGCAGACCAAGAAAAGCTTATAGTGACTGACTTACATAATCCATACTGTGGTTCCAAATTTGCAAGCTTTGCATACCCAATGTCCTGAAACATCATGCAGATCCGTTACAACAAATGTTAAAGATTCCTCTTCGACTTCGACAATTTATTTGAAGAATGTGAAATACCTGAGGAATGCAAAGACTGGCTATGGTGAGGCCAGCAATGATGTCGCCTCTGAATTTTTTCAAATTGTAACTTCTCCCCCAATCAAGTATCGGGAACACAGCCCGGACTCCCAGAACGAACATTTTCGACTTGGTTTGGTCCTTGAAGGAGCGTAGAGGGTCGTCGGCGAAAAAGGTTTCCTTAACGGTTGATTTGAATTCTGCCAACAGGTTCTGTCTGGGAAGAACACCAACTTTGTGGACATAAGGTGGTGCATTTTCTGGGTGACGGCGAGATGAAGACAGGCTTCCGGCATCTATCTCTTTCGTGTCGAGCTTCTCTTCCGTTGGAGTAACCATTGGAGACCAGCTGCTGCAGCCTGCAAGTATAACTTATAACTGCAGAAAGAAGCAAAAAAGAAACTATGAATAAACAAATCAAGAAAGAAACATTGCTAAAGTTAAAACAAAACAACAATTTTGAGTTCCGGACTCCATTTACTATGCAGAGAATCATAAGAAATTCCGTCTAGTCTTTAGGCACGACGGCCTACACACAAGAAAAGCAGTGAATAGTTTGAATAAGGTTTTGTGGTGAAAAGTTGGAACCTTTTAACAAGTTAGAGACAGAAGCCGTTTGAAGGGAGAGAAGAAGGGAAGCCTCACTTTCAAGTTTCCCGCTTGAGTGGCAAATGAAGATAGCAGCTTCTGCTTTTTATATAATGAGGGTGTGAAGGCAAGAAAGGAGGAAAGGAATGAAACCTGTCTTAATTAATTCCAAGGTCAGACCATTAGCAGTAGACACCAAGGGAAGAAACTGCCTTAATTAGTGTGGCTACGAATCTGGATCTGTTTGTTTGCCATGTACAGAAAGAACCCAAGAGAGTTGGGATTTAAAAAAAAAGTTTGGAAGGGCTGAGCTAATGTGAGATTATTCAAAGCTTAATCATTGATCCCCCAGTAGTCTGACCTTTATGCAGCTTGAAGAGCTGTTTGACTTGAGAGATAAGGAACAGGTTAGCAGTTTGCAAGCTAGCTAGGTAAAGGATTTCATTCGAAAAGAAGTGATGGGTTATTGCTGAAGACTTTTCTAAGCAAGTTGAGAGGTTCAGGAGGAAAAAAAAACGCAGCACATGTTTTGACCACCACTCTAGCTTTCACGATAGTCCATGAAAAAAGCAAAGAGAAAACACGATGTGGGTGTTACTATTAGAAGAGAATCAAAAAGGCATTCGCATGTCACTGTTCACAACTAGAAAGAATTCAAAGAAAAAAGGAAACGATCCTTTTCTAGCCCGAGCTGTATTCATGTGAAAGGAAAAAAGGAGACAATGAGTGTGACAATTAGACAAACAAGAGAGACACCAATGTACTTGGCTGCTTGCTACTATTATTGCTCAGAAGGAGAGGGATGGGTTGGTGGGGAAGAAAGCATAATAAAGTCAGTGTCCACATCGTTGTATCTGAGCATTTGCATGAAGGAAGACGACACTGTTTGTAGTGCATCTAAAACCAGGCGCTAAAAACAGCATAGAGTTACCTGAACTGGGGTCATGGTAAATCCCCAGAACTAGAACATGCAGGGTCTACTTCCTTACTGCGAGTTAAAAGAAAAAAAAAACACAAATAAAACAGATAATTTAGAATAAGTCTTAGCTTGATAATACACATATAATATCAAGCAAAGAGCAATTTTTTTCTTGAAGGGAGGTCTGCAATTATTGATTAAAGAATTGCCCAGTTGTTGTATATGTAGGCAGCAGCTAAACCACAACCAACCAAAACAAACCCACATCCAAGGAATGGAATGGAACTACTATTCCCACTTACATCGATTACCAATGTTACAACAACGTAAAATCAGACAAACCTTCTGGTTCAGCATCAACTCTGCAATGCAAGCCGTTGATAGTGGTGGGGCTGAAATTTCAATTTCCTGACGCTGTAAAGAGAGAACTGGGATCTTCTTCCCCCAAAAAGGTAAAGAGGAAACAACACACGACTTTACGCACTCAAATCAAAACCCATAAAAATTTCTGGCAAAAAAAGGGATTAAAGAAAGGCAGGGGAGGAGGAGAGCTGAGAAGGGGAAAAGCTACAAAACAACTTCTTCTTCTCCCATTTAGATTACGTATCCAATGACACAGTGGATTGGATGGTCGTCGTAGTTCCTCAGCAACCCATGATAATAATAATAATAAAGTATTTATCGGGCAGAAATCGAAGATTGAGTTGACAAAGAAGGCGACTTTTAGGGGGGAGAGGTGATTTTACTTTTCAACAATGGCTTCCGAAACCCGTCTAGGTTCAACGAACTTGGGTTTTCTTTGTTGTGGAGGTGCAGTTTGCTAAATTTCCACCCGTCCGTCTCTCTCTGTGCGTCGTCAATGGAGGAGGCGAACGAAGTTATAGGCTCTGCTGGTGCTGGATCGTTTTCGAACACCAACACATGACTCACCGCTCCCGCGTTGATTAGAGCATTGTTACAACAACAAAAGGGAAAACAATTACAATACCCTGCGCATAAAAAGCAAAAAAGGGTTGTACAAAACTACAAATTCAGACCAAGCAATGCTTTTTTTTTTTTCGTTAAATCGGAAGAGCTGTTTGGTTGGGTCGCGCTTGGGTTACGAGTTGATTCGATTATTATCGGTGAGAAAGGATTATGAGTCAGGATGAATTGTATCATGTATGTATATGATAAGTTATTTAAAATTTTAAAAATCTCTCTATTTATATTTAAATAAAATATAATGTTTTTATAGGGAAGCATATAGAGTACAAAACTACAAAATTCAATCTAGATTCGTCCATCCGAATCACATTTAAGGGGCCAAAATAAGTTACAAACTTACAATCAATTATAAAAACAAGGAAATACAAGATACGGTCAAAAGTTACATTTCCTAATTTCAATTTCTTAATTGGTTCTTATATAATTCGTTTTAACTCGAATTTACAAAATATTACATAAATAGAATGCATTAATTATGCTATACATAATGATATCATATTTGTTATATTTCGAGCAAAAAAAAAAATAACTCTTCCAAACACATGTTGGTTGTAGTATTATCACTATTATATCATCATATGATATTACAGTGGTATGATGTTAAATCTCTTTTATTGTAAATCAATTTTAAAATATTTACACAAAAAGACATCATTAATTGTGAGCTACATAATTTATATCAATTTTGCTATATTTTGAACAAAGAAACAAATTAGTCCTTAAAAAACACAGATGTAGGGATTCTTCAGGAAGGAGGAGTTGGATTGGGGGTAGTCATAAGAAACACAAATGAACATTTCCTCTTGGCGGCGACGGAAAAAAGATTGGGTAACTGGGATGCTGAGACGGCAGAGGCACTCGCAGCGGAATTCGGACTAAGGTTGGCGCGACAATTCAACTACGAACAGGTGGTTTTGGAAACAGATTGCTTGAGCTTAGTGCACAAGCTTGGCGAGGCAGACAAGATCCAGGTAGAGCTGGGCACTATATACAGGAGCATTAGACAAATCCTCAATGACATTGGAACAGGAACTTGGCAACATGTGAAAAGGACATCGAACGAAGCAGCTCATGTGATTGCTCATAGAGAAACAAACTGGGATGCACCAGTAGTGTGGGTTGATAGACCTCCAAATTTTCTTGTTGGTCAGCTTAGACTTGATATTGTAACCGAGTCTTCTGATCAATAAGAGCTGAAGCAGGTTCCAATAAAAAATAAAAAACACATGTTTGTTGTATCTACTTACTACACATCATGTTATTATCACTATGACATAGCGTGCAATTCTTTTTTTTTTTTCAAAAAATATAAGTTCATCTTGTAGAGCACAACTTGATATTTCTACACAAACAGTTTGAAATCCAATGTAAAAAATAAAAAAGATATAGTTTGTTGGACTTTCGAAGAAGATTTGAAAAGTGTTCTAACAACACGTCTGAATAATCCAAGCTCCCCAATAGTCCGATAATGATACGAGCACGGACCCGATATCCGTAGTTATCAAAGTAACGCAGCTCCAATAACAAACAGGAAAAGAGATTTTTAGGGGTTTTTGTTTGTTTGGGGATATTATAGAATTGAAAGTGCAATCTCAACACGAAATCGGGAGAAAGCTCTATCAATATAGGGTAGAAGCTTGACCACAATCAAGGGGAAAACTTGATTGATACAAAGCAGAAAATTCTCAAGCCTAAAGCTCAAAGAACAAGGAAATATCAATAGTCATCAAAGTCTGCCCCACTCATAGGCAAGTCCTCCTCTATTTATAGAGGTTACAAAACAATGTATCTACCCTTAATTAAAGCTAAAAGTCCTCTCCTATCAATTAAGGAATTCAAATACCAAAAGGGAAAGAAAATAAATTAATAATCTACCCAAAAGGGAAAAGAAATAAAACAAGGATCCGCCTAAAAGGAAAAGGAAATGAAGCAAGATCGAACTTCCTTTAATTGATTATTAGAGAGAGCCTTTTCAATCCTGCCAATAACTTTGAACTAGTGAATACAGTAGTGCAAACAATTTTAGTTGCTGTGCCTCTTAGGATTGTTGGGAACATTTGAGTCTGCATCTCTAATTTCTAAACAATCAAATGATTATAACTCTCAAAATTGTTGAATTTTTGTTTTAAATGTTCGATGTTTGATAACTGTGATTGTTGATATTAAATGGAAAAAATCATCCTTCAAATATAGATATAGAACCGAGATTTGATATCTTCGAATTGTAGAGATTTGAAATTTCTAAACCTAAAATCTAAATTAAAAAAAATAGTAAAAAAACCATGACTTTTTTTTTATGAATTCACTTATCGTATGAATCTATGCTACTAATCTTGTTCTCCAAACAAACCCTAATCTACCTGTCCATTTAATTTAAGAAGTGGGCAGCCTTAACAAATAAAACATACAATCTCTCTTTGGCGAACACACTCCATTCCCAATAGCATGACAAAAGAACACAAAGAATTATGGGCAACACACAAATCAAGCCATTCAATTCTTTGAGAGATCCATTTACATCAATCAAACTCTCTTTCCATCTCGGAAGCAGATATGGTGACTACTTTACATTGGTAGTCATCGTGACAATCACTAACAAATTAGTATAAAAAAATATTATTGAATTTTTTAATAAATGACATTTTTAAAGTTATCAATACATATTAATTAAATTATTCTTATCAATTCTTCTATGTCTCCATTCAAGTGAACCAATACAAAAACAAAACAATATATTAGTACCAAAGCACAAAAAACAACTATCACTTCAAAAACACCAATAATCACAAAAAACAACTATCATTTCAAAAACACCAATACTAGTTCAAAACAAATCAATATCTTCTATGTCTCCATTCAAGTGAACCAATACAAAAACAAAACAATATATTAGTACCAAATCACAAAAAACAACTATCACTTCAAAAACACCAATAATCACAAAAAACAACTATCATTTCAAAAACACCAATACTAGTTCAATGCGAATAAATACTAATTAAACGCGAACCAATACCAGTGCAGACGGACAAATACAAAATTCAACGCAAACCAATACAGTTCAGGACAAACCAAAACCAGAATACAAATGCAGGTTAACCGTAAAAAAAAAAACAGAATACAAATCAATCTTTTCGTTAGTAGCACTGCTCTGCATACTAATAAAGTTAGTAACCAGTATGAGATTTTTTTTTTTTGTAGTATCAAATTGAAAAAATGAGATATCAAATCTGCAACTTCCCAATACAAACATTCGTTTGCTTGTTGAATTTGAAAATAAAGGGTTTGAGTTTTGAAAATCTTTGGATTTATGATGGATTTATTGCATTTTGTATTTGAAAGATACATTGTTTGTTTAGTTGAATTTTTGGGTCTCAAAAAGTTATCTTCCATAATGTGGCATTTGCAAATTCCAAATGAAATATGGTATCTCAACAAACAATATTTTTCATCAAATACATAATGCTTGGTATTTGGATGCCAAATAGGCAAATACAACACCCAAATCCCACAAGCAAACAACCCCTAGGCCCTAACCTTTTTTGTGTTGAAGCCCAACCCAATCCATGCCCAAAGCCTTAAAAGCTGGAGACTGAATCTTAAGAGTTAAGAAGGATGCGAGACAACAAAGGCCCAGCCCAAAATCGTTGTAATTCAACCAGCTTTCTCGGTCCCCAGAAGAACAATCACGGAAATATTCAAGAGGGGGCGACGACCACAAATCTTCTGTACGCTGCAGAGAAACACGAAACCATGGGAGAGCAAGAACAGCAGGCAAGCGAGCAGCCGACGGTTGGTGGCTTAACCCAAGCTCAGTTCCTTTCCTGGAAGCGTCGTAAGGTATTTCATCTCTCTCCTTCTCAGAGCTTCGTCTCTTGTTTTCTTAGGGTTCGATTCGGTCATTCGATATCTCTGGCTGACCTTTCTTACAGTCTTCGAATCCACCGGAACGAGAAAACCTACCCAGTTTCTCGATTGAAGCTGCAACTTCGCTGTTCGTCGTTATATCTATGATTTATGTGTAGGATGTAATTGGACTGAAAACAATTGGAATGGAAGCTTTGAATTGTATTCGCGCAATCTGAGTTTCTGGAATTAAGGATGTGACTGGGTGTCGAACGAAGTTTTAATTCGAGGTTATCGGACGAAGTTAAATTGGGTTGAATGGCTTGGATGAGGAAATAGAATGACCAAGTATAATTTAACTCGTGTGGGATTCTGATAATTCAATTGCTTTTCTCGGTCGAACATCCAGGGGTTGTTGCGTTAGCTCTAGAGTCTGAAGTTCTGATCTTGATTTGGGTGTTCTCACTTCTCAGTTAGGGTTCTCAATCTATTGGTGTCGCTATCAGGTTCTTCATATGATGCAATTATAGTGTCTAAAACGATCGCCATCAAACCTACCGACAAAGGAGCAATATGCTGGTTTATGTTTTTAACTGAATAGTTATTTGCATTAACATGTTGATTGCATCATGTCGGACTAGCGTATGATACTTTTTGACTTGAACAGGGTTCATAAGATCCTCAGTTGTTGTGAAGTAGGAATCTTTGCATTGACCTGTTGATTGCCTCATATCGGACTAGCATATGATACTTGTGGCCTGAACCAGGTTCATAAGATCCTCAGTTGTAGTGAAGTACATTAACCTGTTGATTGCATCATATCGGACTGGCATATGATTCTTGCGACCTGAACCTGGTTCATAATATCCTCAGTTGTTGTGAAGTAGGAATCCTTGTTCTTGTCCGAACCATGTGGCATTGAACTCTGTGGCTCCCATGTCATTGTTTTCCCCTCTTGAAAGCTTGTTAGTAGGTGATAAAATAGAAGACACTAGTTGTTCATAAATGTCATCCTTCTCAGTGCTAGCTGTTCAGTTCCCGTATTCTGTTAGAGAAGTTCAGGTGATGAAAATTAGGGATGGAAGTTGGGACATCCTGATTTTGCTTATAGTGGAAGAACTGCCACAAACTGTCTTTTGTTCAATTTAATAATAGCAAGTTTAAGTTGTCAGGTCTTACCAGCTTACCATGAACGGTACAATTTTGGATTTAAGAATGCAGTCTGCAATTTCCACCAGTCTCATGTCTCATATAGAGTACCTGGAATTCTCGATGCAAAGGAACATGCTATGTACTAGGGAACATGCAGAGGGTGCGCTTATGTTGGACTTATGAAACAATATCAAATTATCAACCACTGCTGATGGAAGAAAACTAAAATGAACTGAGAACTTAGTACTAACAATGTATGTAAACACGTCTATCTACTGTTACAGGACATAGATGCCTCAACTAAGAAAGAGGCAGCAGTGAGGAAGCGGGCTGAAGATATAGCAGCAGGAAGAGTCCAAATGAACGGGCGGGAACTATTCGTGCACGAACCGTGGGTGTTTGATAACACTCAATACTAGGACATTGCAGCTTTGGAACTTATGAAGCTGGAACAAGGCTTGCTGTGATACACCGCATTCAGATGTATGCATCCGTGCAAAGCAATTGTGTTCAGTAAAACCTATCACTTGTGTAATTATTGTCAGTTGCAATGTTAGCACCAGGAGCATCAATGTTAGTGAACTGTGTGGCTCCATGAGAGTTGGTTGATAGCGAATTACTCATGATTTTATTCTTCTTTTTATTTTTTATTTGGAAAGAAGTACTAATGATATTAGTGAAACACTAATCGACCCGGTGCATGAAGCCTGTCATGGATTAAGTGTTGTTCTCTCTACTAAGGATCAACATAACTTAACCCTGCGTACTTGCGAACAACATCCTGAAACTCTTGAAGCAAGGTGTTGGCCTGATAATAGATGTGTAAAGTGGTCTCAAAACTTGTTGGGAAAACATGGGCACATTCTGGTGCTTAGAGTTCAACATAGGGTTGAAAATTGGTATGATTTGTTCCTCGTCATCTCTCACCCGCTCCTAAGGGATCAATTTATATTACTGACTGACCCGCCCCATTTCTGTCTCCCTCACGACCCTGTCTGATCCTCTAGGGTTGGAGCGCTGCGAGTCAGTGGGTCGGCTCAAATCAACAAATAGATTTTTAAAAGATCGCATTTTGGTACCTAAACTTTATTTTTTTTACAAATAGCTCCAAATATTTTGGTGGTAAAATTTCGTTTTGGTATCTCTATATTTTTTACCTTGCATTATAGCACCTAAACTCTTAAAACTTTACAAACAAGTCAAATGTGTTGGTATGAGGAATTTCATATCACTATTGTTGCAATGGGTCACAAGGTCAAAAAGTAACTCGCCCCTAAGTTGACCTGACTCGGCCCTACTCTTACAGGCTCGTCGCTATACTGACACAGACCAATCCTCAAGATCGAGACGGTTCAGGGTTGGTCAGTGGGTCTCTAGAGTCAAGCTTACACAATTAGTTCAACATGTAGTCCGAATTCTGAAAGCTAGCATGAGTGATGTAGTTGCTCCTGCCAACTAGCCGATATTGCACCCTGATATGTGTTCTTCAAATTGTATCTAAATGATTTTCCCCAAAAATGTCTTAGTTACTAAAAAATTCTCACAATACCAAACTTACACTAATATTTCCCAAAATACTAAAGCTTTAAGAGGTTCACCTAACACATAAGCGAACTGTGAGATAGTTCGCGTCACAAAGAAGGGATCAATTTTGTTCATTGGAGGTTGAAGCGAACAACGAGCGGTTCGCTTAATTGATAAGCGATCAAGGTAGATCGCGCTGGGGTAGGGCGATTGGCATAGACCGACGGTGCAGATCGTTAATGAATCAAGCAATGCACAACACGTGGTATCAGATCGCTCGGCTCAGAGGTGATCTACACCATTGGTCATTGATTGGCACATTTTTAGTGATGTGGATCTCGGGTGAGAAGAGCAGACAACAGTTGATCGCAGAACACATCAGCGATTCGCTTGATTCGCTCCACAATGCAGCGATCTGCTTCCTTCCCACGAAACTATAAATACCCTCTCATTTGCATCACCACTCACACAACTCCACTCTTCTTCTTCTCATCCTTCCACCAGTGAAGGAAAATCCTAGTATGCTATGTGGTTGCAGCTAAGCTCGATCTCCAACACCAAAAAAGTTTTTCTATAGTTGGCTATATCACCCCTTCAAAACTCCAGACGAATCTTTGTCCAACATTTGCCAAAACTGGAAGAATCTCTGTTCACTTTCATTTTCGTTTCCTGTTTTCTGTTTTCATGTCATAAATTTGACAACTGAAACGAGAAAACTTGTTTACTTTTCATTCTGTTTTATATTCGTTTCCAACTATGAAAACAAAAAGTGGCAACTTCCTGCTGTTTTCGGAAACGAAAAAATGTTATTTTCACCTGTTTTCAACATATGTTTTCTCGAAAACAGGAAACAGAAATGAAAGTAAACAGGCTAGGGTTTCCCTCATTTTTCCGTATCATAAGCTGTACTGTTTAGTATATTTGTCGTACAATTTTTATATCTTGATTTATGAATGAGAATCATGTATGGGACGCTATAAAACCAATAATGTCTTAGTAGTTTAATCATGATTGACCGTTGGAAATCATTGTTTCTACACTTGAACTCTTTATGTTTTCATGATTTTGTGATTATCGAATTTTTACAACAATTTCCAACCAATTAAGGATTTCTTAGTATGATATGTGGCTGCGACTATGCTTGATTTATTAAATTAAGTTAAAAATTATGTTTATTTCATTCTAGATAGGTTCGGAGATGCATGATCCTAGAGTGTATATATCCATCCTAGTCCGAGAGAGTCATTTGGTGTGTGAAAAACCTAGTCTTAGAGAGGTGAAGGAAGGAGACACACACCTTTCACCTTCTCGAGGGACAGATGATGACTATCATGTTGAAGGACGTCGCTCTGATCACTGAGCTGCCAATTGATAGAGATGCAATAATTGGGAGTTCAAAGCTCCCAAGTGGAGGTTGGTGGCCATTGATATTGGAGTGTTTAGGTCTCAATGTGGCGACAGAGAGACCAGCCGAAGAACAAGGCCCCACACCACTAAACAAGTAAATTCTCTTGATCCCTTGGCTAATGCAACATATTGGTACATTAGGTGTGGATGTGACAACAGAAGAAGTGGAGGGGTATGCCCAATTATACCTTATTGGTAGGCCATTCTCCTCCCTAATCGTTAGGAGAGGGTGGTTCAAAGAATTATGTTGGTTTAGTGCCATAAGCTTTGCTGGAAGGCTTATAGACTCCCATATCCAAGTTGTTCATCATCTCTTTGACCTCTCCCTTACTAGCAGGGGACAATGTATTTCCCTCTTTTATCGTGCAAATAATTATATCTCCTTCTTTATGTGTATTGGAAGAATTTTGTCTACATCTTCCCAATAGTTTGGGATTAGGGATGCATAGGCGTTACATCATATCATTTGAGGAAGGAGTCTGATAGACAAAAGAACATGCATTCATTATCTGCTAGATCTGATAGTGATATGTCAATTACGAGTGCTTCGCATTGTCAATTCTCATACAGTTTATTCGTGCAAGGATATCAATGTATAGACAGAGTAAAATTGTATCAATTCTTCCCAATGTCCCTTCAACTCAGAGTAAAATTGATTAATAGTCTTGTTACCTTGTTTCAATGTATACACAGTCGTTTGAAGATCATTGATTCTGATGTTGTCAGCTTGTCCATACCTTTGTCTCAAATCATCCCATAAGAGTTTAGCATTGTCTTGAGAGGAGACGTTGTTGACGAGGGAAGGATCCAAAGACCCAAGAATAAGAAAATAAACAGATGTATTGCTCTACTCCCAAGCCTGATAGCTCTCATGGCGTGGATCTGGAACAAGGATCGCTCCAGTAATGAATCCCAGCTTGTTCTTACTCTTCAGAGCCACGCGTACAGTACGACTCCAGAGATTGTAGTTTGCAGTACCAGTAAGCTTAAAGTTTCATTACGGTTTATGTAGTAAGGGTTTGTCACTGTAGAAGGGGTGGTCACCAATGTCGAACTGCTTGAAGCAGTGGCTGCAGAATCGGTCGACATTGAAGAAGTAAACCAGATTTAGGTTGAAGAAGAAAGAATGCAGGTGAAATGATAAGAACCCTAGTTGAGGTAACCAGGTTCTGATACCATATGGAATTTGGGTTCTGTGTATTATAATGGAAACCCGCAGGGATCAAGGTTGGCTTAGAGGCCATATATATACTCTTAAACACCTTATCAACGAAGGGATTAAAGAAAGTTACTTACAGAGATTAAAACTTAACGGTAACAAACAAAAAAGCTATACACAACTAATAAATGAAAAACACGTGTCCATGTACATTAAAACTTGAAACACCTTCAAGAACTGACTTATACGATGTCGTTTCTGCTTAGCTCTTCGAATGCTTCCGAGGGATACAACGTCGAGTAAGAAGCTCTTCAGTGCTTGTTCCTCTGGTTCGATTTCCTCAGCTGCTATCTTCAATATTGATAGCCACCATCTCTGTCAATTTTAAGTCTCCAGCCAGCTTCCATTCGAGCAACCTCTACATCTTGATCAACAAATCAGTCCAAGCCAAGATCTTTTTCCCATAGCTTCGTCGACATCGCTCCCGCCATAGCTCACTTATCACCAAATTTCAGACCAACCTTGCCACTCTGCATCCTCCGAATCGATCCACAGCTTCCATTAAACCTTCTTGCCACCCTGCAGTTGGACAGTAGTGCTAGCTTTGGGGGAAACATACTGCCATCACCTCCCTGACAAACTCACACTGGAAAAAGATGTGATCTCTTGATTCTAGATGGTTAGAACAAAGAGCACAAGTAATTTACCTGTTGGCTTCCATTTCTGAACCTTATCCAAGGTATTGATTTTATTCAGAGTAGTTAACCATGTAAGTAATGAGTCCTTCGGTATACCAACCTGCTTCTAGATAAGAACACACCAAGGGATTTTTTTCATTTCGTGGCCTCAAAGAGCTCCAAACCTTACTCACAGAATATCTCTTCATCACCTCCCCTTTCCAGGACACTCCAGCTGGTGTTACTTGCAGATGATAAATAACCATAACCCTAGCTTTCAATATTTTGTTCCATGCCCATGATCCTGGGGTGTTAACCAGATAAGAACATACCAAGGACTTTTCCATTTCATAGCCTCACAGAATATCTCTTCATCGCCTCCCGTTTCCAGGACACTCCTGCAGATGATAAATAACCAAAACCCTAGCTTTCAATATTTTGTTCTACGCCCATATTCCTAGGTTGTTAACCTACCAAAAAGATAGATTTCTTAATCGGTATTCCTTTAGCCAGGCATTCCACAGAGATTGTTTGTCACTCAAGCTTGCCCAAATATGCCTGATTATACATGCCGGATTCCATGACTTCAATTCCTTAAAACCTAGCCCCTCCTCCTTTGGTAGGGCCACCTGACTCCAAACTACCTTTGCCTTCTTCTTTTCATCACCAACAGACCACAAGAAATCCGAGCAAAAACTTCTCTAGTGATCTTATTACCACACCTATGAGTTGAAAAATCTTCATCCAGTACTGGGTTATGCTAACTAAAACCGAGATAACCAGCTGGATTCTGCCAGCATAGGAGAGCAATAATGGCTTCCAGCCTCTAATCCTTTGAGTAATCTTTTTGACAACTGACAAGGGTTGTGCATTCTTTTGAATTTAACTTCCCCGCAATTGAAGAAACTCCTAAAGTATCTGATTGGGAGATGACCCGCTGTGAAACCAGAGTTCTCAATTAGTAGGCCCTTTAATCTATTCTCGATTGGAGTAATAAATCCAATTCTAAATTAGTATATTATATATGTCTATTATATTATATCGTATTAACAATTAACCGAACGTTCTATAACAATTAAGCGTTGAATCATAAATCACTAAATTTTCCGGTTATGATAAACTTTGTTGATTGTTATTAGGGCAAATACAATATAATATCCATAATTATTATGGATCGGGGATTTATATCCTCAACTATCAATATACAAATTAATATCCAATCGTTAGTAGGTCTTTCTGCAATACAAATTAATACCCGTTAGTAGGTCTTTCTGCAATGCTAACCTGGCAAAAAAAAAACTGAGCTGGAATTGAGAACGTGGCATCCCTGTGGAATTGATTAAGTAAATAATAACATAAACCGTAAAAAAATAAAACAAATATTACCCCTCCCCTCCTCTTACATCCATTCGCCCAATTCTTATCCTCAACCCCTTTTTCTCTCATCTGTCCATCTCCCCCTTCGTCTGCAAAGACACGAAGTCATCGACGAGGATCCACTCACCGTCCTGCAGGCGTGGCAGCGAGACTGACATTGCTTGAGTCCCCCCTACCAAAAAACCCAATCCCTCTTCTTTCACCCATCGGAAGTAACGAAACAAACCCCCCATCGTCAATCCAAATCCCCAATCTTCGATCCAGGTCTGGAGAGCTCATCGTCGACAAGAAGCCACCACTGCCTCGGAGTAGCACCGGGGACTCCCCGGTATGCGACTCGGAGCTGCGCTCTGTGCATCGGAGCTGGAGCGAGGTCGGTGATAGTCAACGCCTTCTGCAGTCGACGACAGTCGCAGTACCGTAGGTCGGGACCAAATCCAGGTCAATAGTCTTGTGACCATTGACCGAATCTATGAATTCGAGTCCATTTTCTCTTCCAGATCTAGGCTGACGGTGGAGGAAGATAGGGGGAAAAAGAGGGGAGAGTGGTTGAGTTTGTTTTTCAACTTTAATTTTTAAATTTTTTTTATTTAAAAATAAAATTTATATATTTAATTATTTGTTGATGTGGACGCCAATATGGATGCTGACATGGCAGTCTTCGTTACAAATTTAACGGTGGTAACAGACTGTTAGCTATATCATGACCCGCAACTATAGTTATGGATATTAATTTGTATATTGATAGTTGAGGATATAAATCCCCAATCCATAATAGTTATGGATATTATATTGTATGTGCCCTTGTTATTAAACAAGAGGAAGAGAAAAAGCGAAAGACAGGAAACAGAATAATGAAGGAAGACATGGGCTGGAATCAATCAATCCAGCCAGAGCTGAGTTCGAGTCCATGAATCCCACTATTGTCTTTGTCCCTCTCCTTCTCACTCTCATCATTTGCATGTGATGCTCACCGACACCACCAGCTGGAACCCATTAATTAATTAATTAAATCAAGAAACCAGCAGTGAGATGCTGGAGGCAGTTTGTTTCCCTACGCCACTCCCCACCCTTATTCCTCCTCTTGCTTCCCCTCCCCATTCTATCTGTCGCCACGTCTTTCCTAAAAAAGGCTAAAAACCCAATGGCTAGCTAGGATGCCTAAAATTCTCCTGTTCATGGTTCGGACCGATATCGGTTCGCATAATGAACGGCCGCAAATCATTTCGTTCATTAATAGAGAAATTTCGTTTTGAGCATTAACACCTGACGAGTGACGGACCCAGAAATTTTACATAGGGGTGTCCTTTTTCAAAGAATAAATAATAATAAAAAATAATAATTCTTAAATATTAAATAATTTTTAAATAAGGAAAGAGCAAACTCGTACAAGTTGAAAAAAGTTCATAAGTATTTTCATATTCTGAAAAAAATTGTAAAATACACTTGGTGTCTACACTGCTCAACAAAGTTGTCTCGGTATATCCTACTAGACAATCATTCACGAAAAAAATGCATATTCGACTTCTAAATTTGTTCTTGATGTAACTCAAAGCTGAAAAGACACTTTCAACACTTGTCGTACACCCATAAATTAAGGGTAGCTTGTAATTATATTAATTGTTAGGTTTTGAAAATAATTAAAGATAGAGACTAGGGTTTTTGAAGGAACTATGATTCTGCGGTAACTTGTGATTAACGTAGCCAGATAGATTAGAAAGAGATTTGGGAATTGAGAGAAATAATTAGGGATTTGAGAAGAATAATTGGAAAATTGAGATAGGAAGAATAGAATTGGGAATTAGGGATTATGAGAAGAAGAGGGATAAACTTAATAGGGTTTGATTACTGATTTCTGACTAAATCCAACGTAATGACTCAAATACATATTTATAGGGAAATAAGCCCAAAAACTTAATGATACCCTACTAATCTACTTGGCACTAATCGGCTGCCTAACCCCCTAACCACCCCAATATTTATGTTTTCCTACAATTTTGCTATTACACAGTGTTTAGAATAGAACCACAAAAAAATGTGTAGCCTAATGGAAATTATATTTATTAATAGTAGTAGTGTCCCAGGTTTGAATTACCCAAACTACCACTTAGATTCCCATGCGCAAACTAACGAGAGTAGTATAATGATTTTTTTCAAATTTTAGGGTGTCCCGGACTATTAATTATAATTATTTTATACATAAATTACCACCGGAAGTTGGATAATCGTTTTTTCAAAATTTAGGGGTGTCCCGGACATCCCTGAACCTCCCTGGGTCTGCCCCTGAATTTGACTATCAATATTTTCCTTTTCCAGACTAGATTTGATTTTTTATTTTCGAGCGATATCAAGAGAGGACAAGAGTTAAATAAACTAAACTACCCAACATCTCCCTACAAGCGACACCCTAGTGAAGCCACCCGAAAAAGTTAAAAGACTATAACTCTAAGAGAGACAAGAGTAATGCTTTAAGCGCCACTCTATGGGCAACACTGTTGGCAGCTCTAGGAACCACCCTAAACTCTATACAAACTGACAAAGAGTCTAGGATTTGACGACACTGAGCATCGGTCCTCCAAAGGAGACTTTTAGGACACCTTACCGGATCCGGTTGACGACCACCTCGGAATCACCTTCCACTATCAAGTGATTCACGGATCTTGAGACGACAATGTTGATAGTATCTCTTACTTTTATGAGCTCTTCTTCGAGGCTGGATTTGATTACCTAATATAACAAAATTTTGTTGAATTCAAGCAAGATATGATATCGTGGATTAGCTACTAGACATTAGAAACACTTTTGAAATTTGAATATAAAATTGCTCATGAATTGTAAAAAATTGTGTTAAAATTGAGGACTTAAAAGAAATGAATTACTTCACTTTTAGACCATTATGCCAAATTTCTCAATTCAATTCTATCATCCAATGGACCACTTAGTTTTCATCATGGTTATCACGCCGATGGAATGTCGGTTATTTGAACCTGGTTCGATCGGTGTTGGTCATGAAATTGGTGTGAACACTATCGGCATGTCATATATGATCGAGATATATAAGAAAAACGGCGTTCTTTTAGTGAATTTAATTAATAAAAAAACGTTATTTATTATTTATTTTATGAATTTAAAAGTTAAATATTCAAATTTTATGTTGTATTAAGTATAAACGTTTACCTATTGACATTAAATATTATATTTAAATAGGAGTATGCATTATTAATTTTAAATTTATTTTATTTTATTTAAATATTAATAAGAATTGTAAATTAGTTGTTTTCAAATATGTTTTATATATAATTAAATTTATTTGATGTTAATGATTTTCACATGTATACATCTTTTGTTAACCTACATGAACAGACTCAATTGGTCGATCGTATCCACTTATCAAAAAGGCGCATAATATAAACCAATTTGAAAACCTTAATTGTCAGACCTGGCTTTCAAAAAAGCAAAGAAATTTGTGAAAAAAAAGATATTAGTTTCCCAATTTTGGTTGAACCTATCACCGGCCAGGTGGTCTGATCAGCATCGAGACCACCCAGCCAGTGCCAACCAACCACCATCGAAATCAACGGCGGAGGAAGAAACAAACTCCCCCGCATTTATTTAACCACCCGCACCCCAACACTTCCCCTCAACGCGCAATCACCGCTCTTTCTCTCTCTCTTTTTTCCCCTACTCGAATTTATAATTCGAAATACTTTCCCCCTTTTCAACCTTATCATCCCTGTCCTCCCTCTTTCTCTCGCCTTCGTTATTGTTCTTCCCCCCAATCCTTCTCTCTTCCACCGAAACAAACCCCAAACCGCCAAAGCAGAAGCAGCGATGGCTCCTCGATTCTTGCTGTTCGTTGCTCTCTGCGTCCTCCCTGCTCTCGTCGCCGCCACTCGCCCTGCTCGCAACCCTTTCCTCGTCCGCGGCAAGGTCTACTGCGACACTTGCAACTTCGGCTTCGAGACCCCTAAATCCACTTCCATCGCCGGTACTCCCATCATCTCCTCCCTTCCCACCACCATGTCTAGATCTGAGAATTAGCACAGCAACTTCCAGATCTGGTCGAAGTAAGTAGGAACTTGGAAGTGTGGTGTCTGATTTCCTCCACGTTCAAAATTTTTTGCAGGTGCGACGGTGAGGATCGTGTGCAAGGACAGGAAATCGAACAAGGTAGTATACCAGAGAGAAGGCAAGACGAACTCGGAAGGAAACTACCAGATCCAGGTCGACGAGGACCACCAGGACCAAGTGTGCGATGCTAAAGTTGTTCGGAGCCCGCAGCTGGACTGCTTCAAGACTTCCTCGGGCCGGGATCAGGCTCGCGTGATCTTGACGGAGAACAACGGGATTGCGTCCAGGGAAAGGTACGCGAACGCCATGGGCTTCTCCAAGGAAGGAACCGTTGCTGGTTGTTCCCAGCTTCTTAGCCTTTACCAGGATAATGATGATTAGAGGGAAGTAAGTAACATGGCCGCTTGCCTCCGTTGAGTTTTATCATATTATTATATTTGTTGGGGGTGTGAGTTCTTCTATTTTGTTGCTCGAAAGGGTGTTCTTTTTTTTTGTTGCTGAAATTGACTCATGTTCTAGTACTGATTGTCTGTTGATTTAATTATCCTCTTATGAAATGGACTGGATCCTGTCTGTTATGGTGTATTAGCCACCTGAAGTTCATATTAATATTAGTATATATATATACACGATTACGCTTCCACTATATGTTAATCACATTAAACTGTTGTGTTTCTGTAACAATGATTACACTAGAAACATTGGTGGTCTATCTAACTAAACTTAGCTCTCTGCTATTCCATCGGGTTCTACTATGAGTCATGATATGATATGTGTCGCATTATTTCCACTCCACCCCATTTCACATGATACAAACTCTCGCTGCTCCCTTCTCTCCTTGGGCTAGATATGGTTTGAAATTACTGCAGATGGTGCATATTTCAGTATCAATTAGGGCTGGAAATTTGGTATAGGACTGTTTGGTTTTACCCGAAACCGGACCGTATAACCCGGACTGGGACCAGATTGGGACTGGATAGCAAACAATCCAATCTCATATTCGGGCTTAGATTTGAGGTAAAAAACCCGGATAAAGACCGGATAAGAGACCCCAATACTCAAAACCTCACAAGCTCAATCTAAAATCAAATTGGGACCGGACCGGGTCAAAGACCGGACTGGATCAAGACCGGAGTGTATCCAATCCAATCTTTGGTCCTTATATTCCCGAAAAGACCGAACTGGGACCAAATCAATTTGGTCCAATTTAGCAGGACCGGACCGTATAGCCATCCCTAGTATGAATCCTCGGTGCATCCTATTACTTGTTTACTAAAGGGAAGAGCTCTCGAGAAACAGAGCAACTTGACAATCCACTTCCAAAATCTGATGTTGGACTTGAAGATTAACAGCTAGTTGTACTCCAAACTCGACTCTCAAGTGGTCGTTTGCTTGAGTCATTTGTACGAGTTATTTAGTATCAAATGACTCAAATAAGTCATTTATTGAGTCGTTTGATGACAAATAACTCGTTTGCTAAACAAAATGCATGAGTCATTTCGTCCGTACGAAAGTCTTATCGAGTCGTTTCGTCCATACGAAAGTCTCATCGAGTCATTTTCAAATGACTCATTATTTAGTCCAAATATTCTAAATATGTCCTTACTAATTTTATGTATACTTCTATCATTCTCTTTCGATTATTTGTTTTCTATGTCATTGCTTCGTCCTCTCAGAATTATTTGTTTCGTTCTCCCAAATTACACAAGCAACAAAGAGGATCATCTACGTAGCGGTTTATCTTTTTTGTCACAAAGATCATCATTTGTAATTAGCTTAAAATTCAAGAGTGATGGAGACGTTACATTCATTTTATAAAAAAATTAAAATAGATTTATAATTTAAAATTAGGAAGTAGTACTATACTACTATACATGACAAACACCCAAATAATATGTTTTGTTGATTTTAAATTAATTTTGTTTATGTGGTGGGTTTTATTAGAATAGGAAACAAGATATTGGAACATATATGAATTAAAAGTAATGGAACATATATGAATTAAAAGTAAGGTCAAAATGGTAAATTTATACAAATGACTTATTTAAAAATGACTCATCTACAAAAAATTTAGGGTAAATACAATATATTAGCCACAACTATTATGAAGCGGGGAATTATAGCCACAACTATGGAAATTCAAATTATTAGCCATAACTATTGTTGCGAGTCAGGATATGGCTAACTGTCCGTTACTTTTATTGAATTTTTTATGGAGAAGGCCACTTCATCAGCCACGACAGCAGCCACATCGGAATGCTTTTAATTTATAACTTTAAAACATAAAAGTTTAGTCAGTATGACTAACGAAATTGTTAACAGATAGTTAACGTTTGGCTAATAATTTGAATTTCCATAGTTGTGGTTATAATTCCCCGCTTCATAATAGTTGTGGCTAATATATTATATTTACCCAAAAAATTAAACAAACAATGCATTTGTAATGTCTACCTTCCCAAATGTCTACATTTCTCAAATGCTTACATTTGGACAAATGACTCGTTTTGCAAATGAATCATGCAAACGACCCCTTTTAGAGCCTCTGGCATCTCTAGGTGATAATTTCCACGCATGTTCTTTGTCGCGGCCGCTATAAACAAACCATTTGGTCCTCTTATTATAGCCCCTGACCCGATTCCTACTTTTAATAGCATCCCCGCGTTCATGTTAACTTTTGTTTTCCTCGCCGGTGGTGCACGCCATAGCATGGTTGTTGGTTTGGCACCGGTGGTTGACCCGATTCTTGCTGTTGTTGCTAACTTTAACCGCAGGAGGTTTGCTCGAGGGACGAGCTCTCCCTCAACCATCTTCTTCCCGTTAAACAAATGGGCATTTCGCTCATTCCACAAGATCCACATGAGCATCGACCAGCCCTTCAAAACTTCTTTCGGAACTCCGTCCACAACCTTCGCCACCCAATCCAAGCAATCGTTCATACCTCACATCTCAATACAATGCACGATTAGAGACTTTCACCAAATTCAACAGCTCCGCTGGCACTCGACAATCAAACGCACCTTTTTGTGTTTCCTTCGGGTTGCAAAATGAACATGCATCTCTCCATTTGGAGCTCTTCGTGCTCACCTTAACACCAGTCGGAAGGGACATTCTTGCGAAGGGCCACATAAGAGGGCGCACTTTAGGTGGGGTGTTCATTTTCCAAATGGACCGCCACAACTTCTCTTCTCCCCTGACCACAATTCCTTCGTCCACTTTAAAGCCCTTTAAGCAGTCTCGGTAAGCGTCATTTACGCTAAATAGCCTTGATCTATTACTATTACAAATCAGCCTATCAAATCTGCTGCAATCCCTCAATGACTCTCTCTCTTCCGTTTACCTCTCTACCTTTACTCTCTCTGTTTTCAAAATCCAGATCTGGATTCCTTCATGTATCCTTAGCAGAAGGAGCCTCATCAGCCTCCTTAGTTACTCTAATGGAGAAGAAGAAGATTATAGATAGCTTGTCGATCCTTGTTTCACCATCTGAAGAAGCCAAGTCAGGTCTAATCAGGAGTAAAGGCCTTCAATGCAAAGAACAGGAAGCTACTTCGCTGGTTTTTTCTTCCATCAATAATAGCAATCCTTTCGGCGATTCAAGACCCCAAACGATCTTCTCTGCCATACTAAAAATCCCCAACTACTCACTTTCACCAAACATCCTCTACCCTTTATTGCTATATACCTCGGACTATTTCACTAGTTTCCCTCTCTCAGCAGCAGAGACAGATAACATTAATCCCAGCCTGTTCAAACCTCCAATCCTTTAAAGAGAAATATACCTTCTCTGTGTAAACATCGAGCCACTCAAAACCCCGAAATCAGAAGGCAGAGCCATTATGATCCTCCTATCCCATCAATCTCAAATCTCACCTAAATGTATTATCTCTTTAATGCGGGAGAAATCTGGAGTTTGGCTTTACCATAAAGCCCCACTTCTTTCAGATCTAATCGTCATACCCTCTCAAAAGACCAAACACCCACCCAAAATGGAGAACCAAGGCAACAACTGTCTGCTCAACCTTGATCCGACTTTGGAGGAGGAGGACTATGATGCGGTCTTCATAGATGAGGTTCCCCTGCTCCAACAAGGCATCCGTCTATGCCTTGTTGGGAAGATCTTCTCCGAGAGGGATATCAACAAGCGATCTATGTCTGGAATGATCAACGGAGCCTGGTCTCACTTTTGCGAGCCGGTGGTTCAAGAGGTACCAAGAACCAAGAATACTTTCATGTTCACCTTTGACAACAAAGAGGAGATGAATAGAGCTTGGGCTGGAAGACCTTGGTCAGTTTCTGGGAATATGCTCCAGCTCAAGCTTTGGGATGACTCAATGAAGCCTCAAGATATCAATTTTGATATGGTGGACTTCTAGGTTCAGGTGCATGGCATCCCAGATCATAGAAGAACTGTTTCCAATGTTGAATCTGTAGTGGCGATGTTCAAGGGGTTCCACGAGATTGATATGAGGGGGCTGAATCCTGAGCGGTATATGGAGTTCATTCGAGTTTTTGTGCAGGCTGATAGTACTCGGCCGCTTCCTCCTGGATCTTACTTCCACACTAATGGGAAACGAGAGTGGCTAGGATTTCGCTACGAAAATCTCTATGTTCTATGCTATTATTGTGGTCGACTGGGTCATGGCAAGCAGGAATGTCCATGGAGGAAGGCTAATGAAGAAGCTCGTGTAGCTGGTCCTCCGGAAGGTAGATTCACTCCTTGGATGAAAGCGGGTACGAATGCTCCAATGCCCCCTCCTCCTAGGGGAAGAATCATCCAACAAAGTCCAGGAGATGCAGGGTCAAGCACTAACTCCCCAGGCTTCACTCAAAATCAGATTTGGGTAGCCGGTGGTGGCTCACCGGCGACGGGTAGCATCAATCCGGGAATCTCATCGACACCGTCGTCCCAGAGATCCGATGGAGTTTTGGAGCTCGCCGTTCAAGGTCCCCCGAGATTCACTCCCCATCCTTTCCCAACGGATACTTCCTCACCAAATCCGAGATCGGTGTCAGGGCCCTCTTGCCAACAGCTCCAACATCCACATTCAGAAGCCAACTACATGCTCTATGGGGCCCTACCATCAAGGTCACCTCAATTTGACAAAGGTTGCCACTTCCCCAACAATATTGCAAGAAACCTCTCGGCTGAAATGGAGGCTGAAGCTTGGGCCCATGCTTATGCCCAACAGCCCAATCCAGCTTATTAGGCCAATTACTCCCAGGCCCACAATCAGCATTTCCAAGCCCACATCTCAAATGCAGCATGTTCAACTAATCATCTTCAGCCCAACCTGGCTCAAGTTATGCTTGAATTAAACAGGAAGATGGACCTTAATAAGAAGCCACTTGAGTATTATCCTAACCAGCAGCCTCATAATCTGGAAGAAGGACAAGCCGAATGGAAGAAGAGGAAACATGGTAATGCACTTGATTTCGAGGGCCCCTATTTTGCCTTGGGGGAAGGTTCTATAAAGCCTAAGAATGAAAGAATCAAAGTGAAGCCAAGGAAAAATCAAAACCAACCCAGGGGCTATGGGAGTGGCAGAAGAGTCTCACGAGACAGTGCAGGAACTGGGGAAAAAAAGAGCAGCAAGCAGACTTTCTATCTGAAGCGCAGGTGGCTAGCAATAAGCCACCAAGTGGAAAATGAGTTGCATTAGTTGGAACTGTCGAGGAATTGGGCAACCTCGGACAAAAAATAATTTTAAAAGAATGATTAAGAAATTTCGCCCATCCATTGTCTTCTTGATGGAAACCAAGAATGAGGAGAAGACTTTGGAAGACTTGCGCATCCAAAACAATTTTCAAGAACGGGTGTATGTGAACCCAGAAGGGACAGCCGGAGGCCTAGCTCTTTGGTGGATTGCTGGTTTTTCTCTTCAAGTTTTAGATAGCTGTCGGAATTTTATCGATGTTTTTTTATCAATTATGGTAGCGGGTTTTTTTATGACTTTTACCCACGCACCCTGAGTAGCTTATGAGAGGAGGGCGTTTTGGGAGTCTTTGTCTAGGGTTAGGAGTGATGTCAATGTTCCTTGGGTTGTTATTGGTGATCTTAATGCAATGTTGTTTGACTATGAGAAGCTTGGAGGTGGTTCTCTTCAAAGGGAGTCGGTGGATCATTTCAAGACCTTCATTTTTGAGAATGGGCTCATCGGTATGGGTTTCAAAGGACCGCACTTTACATGGAACAACAAGTGAAGGGGTGACCGCAACATCAAGGGACGCTTGGATAGGTGCCTATGTACCCCTTCGTGGAGAGAGTTTTTCGAAGAAAGTACAATCTTCCATGAAAGTGATATCGTGTCCGACCATCGGGCATTACGATTGGAATTCCATTCTCCGGGAAATTCGAACAAACCACCTTTCCGGTTTGACAATCGTTGGGCCGGAAAGGAAGAATGTGATTCTATTGTGATGAATGCTTGGGCATCGGAAGGCTCTCATGAGCAACGAGTTAATAGATGTAAAGATGATCTCATGGAGTGGGCAAAAGGAATGATCCAAGCGCAACATCAAAGAGAAAAGGACATTCGTTTCCGACTAGAGTCACTCTCCAATCTGTTTCGATAAGAGGAAGTACTAATTGAGGAGAAAGGGTTGCTTGAGGAATTGGATCTCTTATGGAGAGATGAAGAGAGAGTGTGGCGACAACGATCCCGCATTCAGTGGTTGGCGGAAGGAGACCGTAACACTAAGTTCTTTCACAACTCTACGTTTTTAGATGCCATTCCAACCGAATTACGGGATTGAAGGACCAAAATGGAGCATGGATTAAACAGCCCTCACTTCTCTCTCACCATATTAAAGATTTCTTTCAAGACCTCTTCACGACGAAGGATACGGGGTTCAACAACAACCTCCTTCATGACTTTCCTAGTCTGGTCTCTCATGGAATGAATGATACTTTGAGCGCCCCAGTTACGAGAGAGGAAATAAGGAAGGCTGTTTTTCTTTGGGGGCGCACAAATCGCCGGGGCCCGATGGCTTCAATGGATTTTTCTTCAGAAGATATTGGGATCTTGTTGGAGAAGAGCTTTGTAGGGAGATTCTCTCTTTCTTCAGTACATCATCTCTTCCGTCTGGGTGGAATGACACTCATATTGCTCTTATACCAAAAATTCCATCCCCGGAGAGGATTTCTCAGTTTCGCCCTATTAGTTGCTGCAATTTCAAGTACAAGGTGATTTCAAAAATCATGTCAAGTAGGCTCAAGGACATGATGCCTGACCTTGTTTCTGAGATGCAAGCGGCGTTCACAGGAGGACGCATGATCCAAGACAACATCATCATCGTCCATGAAGTCATTCATCAGTTCAAGAAAAGGAAGAAAGGACCTAGGTTCGACATGATGCTCAAGATGGATATGAAGAAGGCTTATGATCTTGTGGACTGGGACTGCTTGGACGCTCTTCTCGATGCCTATGGTTTCAATTCTACCTGGTGCAGTTGGGTAAAGGAGTGTGTTCGAACAGTTCGCTTCTCGATTATGCTTAATGGGGGTCCAACTGAGTTCTTCACCCCTTCTAGAGGCATCCGTCAAGGCGACCCTCTTTCCCCTTTCCTCTTTATCTTGTTATCTAATGCCCTTTCTTTCCTGATAGATCGAGGTATTTCACAGGGAAACATTAAAGGTCTCAAGCTCAAGACTGGTTGTCCTCTTCTATCCCATTGCCTCTTTGCTGACGATACAGTCATCTTTGGACGAGCATCTTTAGAAGAGGCAGGAGCTATCATGAATATCATCAATGGATATGGATACATTACGGGGCAAGAAGTCAGCATGGAAAAATCTTCTGTCTTCTTCAGTAAAAACACCCCGGATTCCTTACGACAACAGATCACCTCCACTTTCGGATTCCCAATGTCCATCAACCATGATTACTGATAAGTACTTGGGAGTTCCCACTGAATGGGGTCGTTCAAAGAAGGAGACTTTTGCCTTTCTAATTGAAAGAATGGAAAAGAAAGGAGATTTATGGAAACATATCATGCTTTCTCATGGTGGAAAAGAAACACTGCTTAAAGCTGTTATTCAAGCGATTCCAACCTTCATTATGAGTGTTTTTCTCCTTCCGGCATCTTTAACAAAGAAGATGGACTCCCTTCTCCGAAATTTCTTTTGTCCGGGTCAATGAAGAAACGCTCCATTCCATGGAGAAAAGGGGAAGTGCTCAATAGCTCTAAATTTGAAGGCGCGCTTGGTTTCCGAAATTTTCACTTGTTTAACCTCGCTTTGATTGCTAAACAAGGATGGAGGTTAATGAATGAACCAGTAGCGTTATGGGCGCGACTTCTTCGTGGAATCTACTTTCCAGGAGGGGACTTTCGGATGGCACGTAAAGGGAGCTCTCCATCATGGATATGGGTGGGCCTATGTGAATCTCGACGAGCTCTGGACATCGGGAAAATTCGAGTTATCGGTTCTGGAAAGGATACATGGTTTCATTGTGACCCTTGGCTCCCTTCCCTTGAGGGTCACAGGATTGGAACCCCATCTATTCCACGGTCAAAGGTTTGTGATTGGATGAATGATGACACAAGAGAATGGAATTGGAATATTGTCCGTAACCACTGTTCTCTTGCTGAAACGAATGCGGTTTCATGCATCAAGATTGGACCAGCTGATTCTTGTGATAAATGGGTATGGAAGTTCACATCTAATGGTGCTTTCTCGGTCAAGTCCGCATACCATGGACTTAGAGAACAGCATAGGCAGAACTCATCCCCAATTATCCAAGACCTTAACTTTCCATCGATGGACGATTGTTGGAAATGGTTGTGGGCTTTGAAGCTTCCTCCAAAGATACACTTTTTCTTTTGGAGATGTCTCCAAAATGCAATTGCTACAAAAGTCAATCTTCATCACCGTCATTGTGCCCCTAACCCCAAATGCCAGCCACTTGGTCAAAAGTGTGGCCTTCTTTCATCCCTCCGATCAATTTCAGCCACTGGTTCTTTTCATTAAGGGACACCCCGAATGTTGACTCTCTTCGTCAAAAGGCTTTTTGCCTTTGGAATATCTGGAAAGCTCGTAACAACTTCATCTTTCGAGGCATCGCTTTGTACCCCACGATGACCTCAATCCTAGCATATCGCGATGCTACTGAACCTGTTTATGGAGGATCCACCTCACCACCTACTAATAGCCTAGGGACAATCTTTTGCAATCTTCTCCACCGCCGAGTAATCCCATCAAGAGGGTTCACTGTGATGGATCATTTGATAATGATTCACATGAGGCGGCTATTGGGATAATTATTACTAATGCTCATGGACAAATTTGAGATGGACGGGTAGGTAGGGTCATTTGTTCATCCCCGATTGAGGCTAAGGCTCATGCTCTCTTGTAAGCATGCTCTTTGGCAAAGCTTGACAGCTCCTCGACGATTATCTTTTCAGACTGTAAATCTCTTGTCGATGCCCTGAGTGGTGAGCCTTCATCATGGCCATGGCGATGTTTTGCTCATCTTTCATCCATCGTTCATATCCTTAGAGAGGCTAATTGGATCAGTATCAAGTTTGTCAATCGCCAACACAACAAGAACGCGAATTGGGTTGCCTGTAATGCTCGTCTTAATACTCTCCCACCCAATTGGACCACGGTCCTTAGCATTGTATCTCCCTTGTTGTAACCTCTCACCCTTTCGGGCTTGAATTAATGAAATTGCTATTAAAAAAAAAATACAAATCAGCCTATCCCTCTCCCCATCACCTCCCAATGGTATCTGCATAATGGTTTGGGCGATAGAGGTCGAGAAACAACTTTTGATTAGTAGGGTGTCCCACTGTTCTGTGTCTAGGTCAATCAACTCCCAAACCATACATCAACTAGGAGCCCCCACGGAGCCTAATCCACATTGCACAAAACTAGTTGGCGACGTCGGCAACCACCTGTCACCCTAAATCTGGACCTGAGACCCATCACCAATATACTAAGGTAGCCCTCGACATAGGAAATCATGTGCCCCCATATAGCTTCGCCATATAAAACTTGGTATGTTCCCCACTATCTGATAGAAACCCAATTTCCGGGTTTATTCATAATTATCATAATTACTATAATTAGAATATTATTATATATAGTTAGTAGTATTTGAGTCATAATAGGATAGTCTATTAGGTTTTTCCAGTCTTTCGTTATAAATATGTACTTTGTGTTTTATTCAGAATCAATCAAGAAAGTTAATACGAAATTATCCCAACCCTAGTCTATCTTTCTCCCTCAATCTCTTCCCTCTCTATCTCTCTTCAAAGGCTTCGGCTGTTCTTCCTCAACCCCTAAATTCTTCTTCTAATTCCCAATTCTATTCTAAATCCCTAAATCTCAATCAATTCCAAAATTCCCAATCCAATCGATAGAACCCTAGAAATAGGTTTCTATCACTATCGCATCCTGAACCGAAGATCTTTTACTTGGCTTTAAGGAGATTGGCTATTAACGAGTTTGACCGTTGGTAAAGTGACCAAAGTTGTTTCACCAATAGGACTTCAATAAAACCTTTCAGAACCCTAAAGGTTATTCCTCCTTCCTTCTTTAAAGTCACCAGCTCCTTCCGACGAATCCAGTGCGCCCAACGTTCGTCCCTCTTTTGTCCCCCCCAGAAGTTAATGATGATGTTGTGGATTTCATCAATAATCCCCTCTGGGATTTTAAACAAAGACATAGTGAAGTTCAGTTGTGCTTGGAGATGGTGATGTCGATTGCGGTTGACGGCGACACGAGGGGGAGGAAGACGAGCCCGGCGGCGGGTCGCGTCGGACAGGAGGAGGAGTCGGAGAGGAAGAGGGCGCTGACATCGGAAGTTGAGGAGAATTGGGCGAGGGAGGTGTGCTGCGTGATGTCCCCAAACCCTAAGCCGTCTCGGGTTGGGCCGGAATTACCAAGTCGATTGGACCAGCGGCTTGGGTCGGATGAGATGGTGGCTACAACCACAGATTGGACAAAAGATAGGCTGGCCTGGGAGGGGTCAAATTGGGCCAAGCAACCTCCACGGGACGGTTCAAAGATGGGGTTGAGCAGTCCGAATGTTAGAGGGAAGTCTGGGCTGCCCTCGGGTCTTCCGGTCCAACGGAGCAAAATGAAGATGGGCCAACAATGTGGGTCTGTATCAAGCTGGACCTGGGTTGAAGAATAGTTGTCTTGTTAAATCTCTTCTATATGGGAATGGGCTGGAGTCAGTGGGCCTCGTGGGCCAACAGGATGGGCTATCTTGGAATAGGGCTCATGACTTAGAAGAATGGTTTATTTGTTTAACAGGTGGGCTCTCTAGGAATCGTGGGCTGGGAGCAATTGTGGGGACAATTAGACAGACGAAGAGGCTAAGTGGCAGGAAGATGAACTCAAATCTAGAGTCTCGACCTCCTTGCAGAACCGAATCTGTATGGGTCGTCGACATGGAGTTTGAAGTTTTTGATGGGTTGATGCTCAAGGACAGATTCTTGCACAAGAAGGAAGCAAATAGTGGGCCCATTAAAGTGAATTCAACAATTTGGATTGGCACAAGAGGTCAATGCAAGAAACCCAAGTCGAATTGGAGCATGATTGGAAGAAAAGGAAGCGCAAGAAGTGGAGGAGACAATGCGCGATCTACACGGGAGATAGGTTGAAGAAATGGGTCGAGTCGGTCAACCTTGAGGACAAGGTTGGGTTGAAGGGGGAGGGGATGATAGAAACCCAATTTCCGGGTTTATTCATAATTATCATAATTACTATAATTAGAATATTATTATATATAGTTAGTAGTATTTGATTCATAATAGGATAGTCTATTAGGTTTTTCTAGTCTTTCGTTATAAATATGTACTTTGCGTTTTATTCAGAATCAATCAAGAAAGTTAATACGAAATTATCCCAACCCTAGTCTATCTTTCTCCCTCAATCTCTCTTCAAAGGCTTCGGTTGTTCTTCCTCAACCCCTAAATTCTTCTTCTAATTCCCAATTCTATTCTAAATCCCTAAATCTCAATCAATTCCAAAATTCCCAATCCAATCGATAGAACCCTAGAAATAGGTTTCTATCACTATCGCATCCTGAACCGAAGATCTTTTACTTGGCTTTAAGGAGATTGGCTATTAACGAGTTTGACCGTTGGTAAAGTGACCAAAGTTGTTTCACCAATATGACTTCAATAAAACCTTTCAGAACCCTAAAGGTTATTCCTCCTTCCTTCTTTAAAGTCACCAGCTCCTTCCGACGAATCCAGTGCGCCCAACGTTCGTCCCTCTTTTGTCCCCACCAGAAGTTAATGATGATGTTGTGGATTTCATCAATAATCCCCTCTGGGATTTTAAACACAGACATAGTGAAGTTCAGTTGTGCTTGAGCAACCGACTTTATGAGCACCTCCCTTGCTGCTACACTCATTACCTTCTCCTTCCACCCTTTCAGTTTTTGTCTAACTCGTTCCTTCAACCCGACAAATAGCTCTTTTTTGGACCTACCCACCTTTGTCTCCAGGCCCAAGTATTTATTACGCTTCTCCACCGTCTTCATTCCCAAAGTTTAACTGATAAGCAATCCGTGAAGATGCTTCATGTTCACTACAAAGGAAACTCGAGACTTTTCGAATCTCGCCATATGTCCCGACTCCCTCTCATAGTCTAGTAGGATGCGTTTAAGTTCCGGCTTCGCACTCTCCTATTGTGTCGCCCTGGCAGAAGAAAAAAAAACAGTCGTCAACGAAAAAACATGGGTAATCATCGGGGCTCCCTGCACCACCTGTATCTTGTGAAGACGGTTATTGATAGTCGCTTTAGAGGTATAGGAGGACAATCATTACACAAAAAGCAGGGAAAGATACCGTGAGAGCAGGTTGCCATGTCGTAGCTCTCTACTTGGAACAAGCACTGGAGATCGGTTTCCAGTCACGAGTACATAGTCGAAACTGTTCGGACACACATCATAGTGAGCTCCACCCAACGTTATACAAACCTCAACCTCCTTAAAATCTCTTCCAAAAAGTGCCACTTAATCCAATCATAGGATTACGTCATATCAATTTTTGTTGCAAAGAAGCCATGTTTTCTTGCCCTCTTCCGCTTCATGGAATGGAAGCACTCAAAAGCAGCCATCACATATCAGATATATAACGTTTAGGTACAACCCGCTCTGGCAAGACGAAATAACACTCTCCAAGATCAGCTTCAGTTTGTTCGCCAGAACCTTTGAGACAAGTTTGTACAAAACATTACATAGACTTATCGGTCGATACTCCTTTGAACTGGTTGCTTCGTCTTTGGAATCGTGGCTATCAAAGTATAGTTCAAACCTTCTGGCATGATCCCTGTTTCAAGGATTTAAAACACTTCCACCACTACATCATCCCCAAGATGTTCCAATACTTTCGAAAGAAAAGGTCGAGAACCCGTCCTCTCCCGACGCCTTTCTCTTTATGGTATGCTTTAGCGCCGAGTACACTTATTATCGCGTAAATAGCCTTAGTAGTTCTGCATTTTTGGCCTCACTCACTCTCGCCCCAACTAGGGGTGGACAACGGGAAATGGGTATTTGGGTATATCCATACCCGTCCCATTTTTTGAGGGTTACGGGTATCCAAATACCCGTAATTTATTTTATGGGATAATATTTTGGATGAATAAGTTCTACAACGGGTACCCATGGGTTAACCATCAATACCCATTTGGATATTAAGGGTACCCGTACTACCCGCTCAACTAGAGACTAGAGTGATCCACATGAAAACAGACAGTTGAAGATTGATGATACTGCGCCCAATAGAAGCAAGAGCGAGGTCAAGAGAAGTAGGATAGACGTCCACCCCCTTGTCTGGTTCAAGTACTTGGAGCAAATGGTCATTGTATCGTTTAACTCCTTTTGGGTTTAATAAAATTAGGCTGGTTATAAAAAAAAATAATGGGGTTCTGCTAGTAAGAAAGAAGATGAAGGTAGGGGTGTTCAAACGGATTGGTTACCGTGGTAACCATATTAACCGGTAGTATTTGATTAATTTGGTTTGGTTAATTTGGATAATTGGTTTGGTTTGGTTAAATAATTTAACATATTTGGTTTCAACTTTGCTAACCAATGAAACCAATTAACCAAATAAATAATTAATGATAATCTGATAATCTCCATTTTCCAGTTTCCACTACCATCAAGTCGGCCTCTCTCAACACCAAACAAAACCAAACGTTTGGTTTCCCTCTGTCATCAATCCCCATTTCCAATTCCCACTCCCCAAAACATTGAACCCTAGATTGAGAGGGAGAGAGACAATCAAATACAAATATTTCCATTCATAACTCTTCGAGAATGGTATCTGAATCAAAATCCACATGAATACATGATGCCTTCTTGATTTTATTTGAGTGGTATTTGTTAATCTTATTCTTGTTTCTGTCAAGTGCTATATGTAATGATAACTAATTATGTTTATTTTGTTGATTTTCCAAGCAGGTGGGAACTAACTAACGTAGGCATGGCATTGCATATTGGCAGTAGCTCTTTTTGTACAGGTTTTTTAACAACTACTAGATTTTCTTTTGGATCACGTATTAATACCATGACAGACAGCTCATCTCAAACTATGTATAGTTTAAGTATTTTGTAGGAAGAGATTTTAACTTCCTGATGAGTTAACTATATTAGGTGCAGATATGATGAATGATATATTAACTCGAATGATGATGATATGTTTTCATGTAATGTTATGTTATTTGGTTAATCCGATTATCCGATTAACCAAACCAATTAAACTTTGGTTTGGTTAATTTGGTTTTCGTGTTAATTTGGACGATTTGGTTAAGACATTTTATTCCATGGTTAATGAAGTTTAGGCTTAATTGGTTTGGTTATAACCACGATAACCATTTGAACACCTCTAGATGAAGGACCTTCAACAGAGTTTAATTGGAAAGTTAAATGATTTTCCTGCCCCGCGCTATTTGTGCATTTTTTGTATCCCGCTCAAATCCCCCAAAAGTGAGAGAAGCTCGATATCCACGGCAGCGGGTCTTGAATCAGCTTTCTACAAATTAGATATGGGTACCTGCGGGTACCCGTTATCCATCCCGTACGAGTAATGGGTACCCGTTAACCCGTACGGGTTTGAGAATGAGATTGAGTTTTCTCTTCAAGTGAGATTGGGTACCCGTTTACGGGTACCCAATCCCGTCCTGCTGCCCACCCCTAGCCCCAACCGAATCCAAGACAAGTGTATTAATAAGGACCTCTCCAGTCGTGAATAAGCTCTTAAAGTATGCCACCATGCACGTAGTCACCTCCTCTTTCCCCACAAACCACCTATCCAACTCATCTTTGAGTTTTTTTTTTTTTACAGAATTTCTCTTCCTTCATGCAGTGGCCTTAAAATGGAAATAATTAGTGTTCTTGTCAACTCTCTTCAACCAATCCGCACGCGGCCATTGTTGCCAATAATGTTACTAAGTCCTCCATTTCTCTCACAAATGGGCAGGTCCGGGGCGGGTGTCATGATACCCATACTCGCTCTATGGCAGGTCGGATATTTATCATGGATCGCGGGCCAGGGCAGGTCGACCCAATGGGTATGCAATTTATATGAAAAATATTAAATTTTTTTGTTAGTTTCATTATAAGACCAAGAAAACAAACTATATTATGATAAATGTAGTTAAATTATTGGAGAAATTGAGATTTTCACTAATTTACATTTTTGTTATAGCTAAAATATGATGCAATAAAAGGAAAATTCTAAGTAACTTGACTAAGATTACATGTAATTTAGGCAAGAATGAGTCGAGAATGGGGCGAGTCAGTGTAGGTTGGGTCGATGAGAGTACCCGTGCCCGCCCTGCCCCGCCTTCGGGGCGTTTAGACCCGCACCAAAATAGGCTTAACAGGTCGGATAAAACAGGTCAGATCGAAATTGTCACCCCTATCTCCAAGCTTCGTCGTTGTTCTCAATAACACGATTTTTGCACATGTTTTTACCTTCACTTTTGGACCATTTGGGGTAGGTTTGTTACAACTAAAAGCCAATTTTAGGCTAGATTGTGCTTATTTGTGATATTCAAGAGCTTAGTTCGTGGAAGAAGTCTTTGGGGGCAACTTGTGGACCAAATGGAGCAGAGACTCAGCCAACCCACTATCAGTTTTGTAAGACAATTATTTTTTTTTAAATAATTAATCCCATTTTATTTATGTAATATGTCCTCCAGAATTTATTGAACCAATCTTCAATTTGGAGTTCGCAAATTCGAATCCATTAAATAATATCAATAAAAAAGAAACATGTATAATAATATCACTGCGGGAAGGCTATGAAGGTATCTCATAAATTTTGTTTTATAAATAGTTTGATTGCGGGAGGGCTATGGAGGTATCTCATAAAATTTTGTTGATTGTTATTAAATAAGAGGAAGAACCAAGGTTGTCAAACCGATTTATATCATTGTGTCGGTTTAGCAAATAAAATGGTTCGACTAGTGATATAATCAGTATGTGCCGGTTAATATCGGTTTAACAAAATATGTAGAAGTATTAAAACAGATTAACAGTAAATAAATATAATTATATATAAAATATATTTTAAGATAATTTACTTACAATTCATATTGATATTTAAATAAAATGAGACATTCCTAATAAAATAAAAATACTCATATTTAAATATAAAATCAACAAATAACATCAACATTTAACTTTTAAACTCATAAAATAAATTATAAATTTATTTTTTTGTTAATTAAATTTACTAAAATGACGTCATTTTACTTAGAGCACCCACATCGGTATTGCATTTCTAATTGAAAAATGACATGACATAGATTTTTGCAATTGCAAAACCAATTACACTGATGTGGTCACCCATTGCATATTTGCAAGCTTGCAACAAATGCAATTGCAGATGAAAGCCAAACTGTCCTTAAGAAGTGAGATTCTTTATTTTTCTTTTTCCTTATTTTATCATAATTTAAAAATAATATTTAAGTACATATGAAATTGCAAATGGATCGCATTGGTGTAAGCACAATGATATTAATATGAGTTGGATTGCAAATACATTGAGGTGGCAATTAAAACATCATACGCAATTGATTTTGCAATTACATTGATGTAAGTGCTCTTAAAAATCGTAAATCGATAAGGTTGTCAACCTGCGGGTCGACCCATTTTGACCGTGACCCGATTAGAAAAACGGCCGCACGCACCCGTCGGGTCGACCGCTACAAGGTACCGGGTTGGTGGTCAAATTGCGTCATTTTTTTTCTTTGGTTTGCGAAATGCGCCTATTTTCCGATTTTTCTTTTCGCCTAATTCAATCTTTGAAATACTAAGTTGAGCATTTGAATATTGATATTATATAAGTGTGTGAATTTTCACTTTATGCTGGATTTAAATACGACATGTTATTTTAGTGTAATATTATATGTTATAACTCATATGTTAGATAAGATTTGATATAATTTATGAAGATAAGTACAATATAATGACTCTTTCCATATTTCCGAGCCAAACCGGATTAAAACGGTTGACCCATTAACTCTTGACCCACTTGCTCGACCGGGTCCGGGTCAACCTGCGGGTTAACAACCTTGTAAATCGATCATATTGATCATATCGATGGTGTTTATGCTGATTTCATAACTTAATACCAATTGAACCAGGTTCAACCAATGACATGTCGTCTAGCGCGAGAGAAGAACGGAAGAAGAGGAAGAGAAAAGCAAGGGAACGGCTACGGTGCTAATTGTACAATAGTTAGCACCGTCCTAACCAAGGGAAAAACTACTCCTAGTTTGAATTAGTAGTGATTTAGCTTAGATGTTGTATTGATTTTATAATAATCCGTAGTGATTTCGTTATTTTTAGTAGCGTTTTTTGCTAGTTATTACGATGCTAACCCCTATAAGGATTAGCACCTAATCCCATCCCGAAAAGCAAAAGTCAGTAAATCGAATTATTAAGGAAGACATGGGCTGGAATCAATCAAAATCCACCCAAAGGCGAGTCCGAGTCCGAGTCCATGAATCCCACCATTGTTCCTCTCTCTGTCTCGCTCTCATCATTTGCATGTGATGCTCACCGACACCGCCAGCTGCATTAACTAAATAACAACCCAGCAGAGTGAGATGCAGGACTCGGGAGGCAGTTTGTTCCCCTACGCCCACCCATATTCCTCCTCTTGCAATGCTCCCCATTCTGTCGCCACGTCTTCTTTACAAACCCACCCCAATGGTTATGATGGCTAAATCTCTCCGGTTCATGGTCCATGGTCTACAAACAGCAGCGAATCCAAAATTGAGTAGAGCACTGGACCACATTGGAAAAAAGGCAGAGAGGATTGAGCTGTAACATGACGAACACCGAAATGAGCACCAAAAAGTCAAAAATTTACAAGTGCTATACTAGCTCCGGATCGAGGTAGGGCTGGGTCGTGGCCCGGGAGCGGCCCCCCAGATCCGCCGCTGTCTACAAATAATTTGGTTCATTAGTCTTGATTCAGATGGATGAATTTTTCCTTTCTGAGACTTGCTTTGATTACTTAACAATGAAGCCATAACAATTTTTTTGCTGAATTCGAAGATATGATATCAGTAGATTAAGTACAGAGTTACCGGAAATTCTTCAAAATTTGAAGATAAAATTGTACGTAACAAATTATGATAAAATTCAGGACGTAAAATAAACGAATTATTTCATTTCTATGTCATTGCATCAAATTGGTTCATTCGAATGATCACTTATGTGTAGTTTGAAAGTTGAGATTACAGATTATATATTTAGATAATACATGTAATTAGCAGGATTTATTGTCCTTTTTGTGTTAAGATGAAACACAATACTTGTATTTGAGCAGAAGACGTGATCACCAAAGTCACCCATTTGTCAATATCTATTTGTTTCTCTTTTATGTTTTAGGGGCCCTAAAAAAAATCATTCAACTCGCAAACAATAATATTTTTTTTTCAAATTCATACGTTCAAACAATACATCTCATCAAACTACATGAATCAATTGAATTCATCAATTTCGGCCTTAGTTTCCAATTCCTGGTTATACCAGTGACCGGCCAGCACGGCATGGTTTGACCACTGCCAAGCCAACTCAACCACCATCGAAATCAACGGCGGAGGAAGAAACAAACTCCCCCGCATTTATTTAACCACCCGCACCCCAACACTTACCCTCAACGCGCCCTTATCATCCCTGTCCTCCCTCTTTCGCCTTCGTTGCTCAACTTCATCCCCCATCTTCTTCTCTCCATTGAAGCAACACAAACCACCAAGCAGCAGCAGCAGCAGCAATGGCTCCTAGATTCTTGTTGTTCGTTGCTCTCTGCGTTCTCCCTGCTCTCGTCGCCGCCACTCGCCCTGCTCGCAACCCTTTCCTCGTCCGCGGCAAGGTCTACTGCGACACTTGCAACTTCGGCTTCGAAACCCCTAAATCCACTTCCATCGCTGGTATTTCCATCTCCCCTCCTTCCCACGATCTGAGAATTAGCAAAGTCCCAGTCAGTTGTTTGACGATTAATTACTTCACATTTGCCCAGATCTGGTGGGAGCAAGTAAGTGGGAACCTGGAATGTGGTGTCTGATTTCTTCCCCTTTCAAATTTTTTGCAGGTGCGACGGTGAGGATTGTGTGCAAGGACAGGAAATCCAACAAGGTAGTGTACCAGAGAGAAGGCAAGACGAACTCCGAAGGAAACTACGAGATCCAGGTCGATGAAGACCACGAAGACCAAGTGTGCGATGCTAAAGTTGTTCGTAGCCCGCAGCTGGACTGCTTCAAGACTTCCTCCGGCCGGGATCAGGCTCGCGTGATCTTGACGGAGAACAACGGGATTGCGTCCAGGGAAAGGTACGCGAACGCCATGGGCTTCTCCAAGGAAGGAACCGTTGCTGGTTGTTCCCAGCTTCTGAGCCTTTACCAGGACAATGAAAATTAGAGGCTCTGATGGTGTGGTGTTAGAGGGAAGTAATATGGGCGCTTGCCTCCATTGATTTTCTATTTTGTTATATCGTTGCTCGAAAGGATGTTTTTTTTTTGTTGTTGTTGTTGAAGATGACTCGTGTTCTACTGATGGTCTGTTGATTTAGTTATCCACTTATGAATGGACTGGATCCCGCCGGTGTCTTGGCCACCTGAAGTTCATATTAATTATGTATACAATTACGCTTCCACAATATGTTAATGACATTTTCCTGTTCTCTTTGGAACGTGATTAGTTGCTAACCTCTTTGAGGTCAGCACTATGCTAACTAAGCTAATAGTTATAAAATAGAAAACAATCCTATAGTGTCCATTTATAGTGTCGGAAATTAAATGGAGGATAATTTAGTCAATAATTTCTCAAACTTTAATATATATTAATTTTCCTCTCTTGTGCGACGACGAGTGTCGAAATTAGCGTAGTGGCCCTCACCTCACCTACTCTTAGGGAAGTCAATGGGTAGGGTCGGGTGCGGGTACACCCTATACCATATCCTAACCCGCCGGGTATGACCGGCTAAAATACCCGATAAAATAACCATCGGGTATTGAAATGATATAACCATACCCTAACCACGGATATTCGGGTAACCACGGGTATGAATTTATCATCAAGCTGTAAATAATTATATTCTAAAATAATACTACCATATGAACTTATATAAGTACATCAACCATTAGATCCACCTAATTGACATAAGCATTGATGAATTTCACATCGATGACAATTGTTGGTTCATTTCTAACAGCTAGACACACATACTAATGAAAATTCATCTCGCACTCTTCCGACAATGTTGATAGTATGTGCTCACAATAAAGCCAACAATTCTGAATATAAAACATGAGAAAAAAGCTCAACAAATTGGAATGGGAAACAATTACACGTACATTTTGTCCATTAAAGCAACAATTCACAACACACAAGATGCAGATGCGAAGCCAACAAAAGTTTTGGGGTATGGAAATTGAAAGAATGAAATTGGAAATATTTATATGAATGGTGCTAGCTTACAACCATACATAATTATGGGCGGGTACAACCGAGGCGGGTATGGGTGATAATCGTGCCCGTACCCTACCTGTTATTTTGAAACAGGGTATTATCAGTACCCGCCCCTTAACCCGTCAAAGCGGGTAATTACCCTCGTTGACCGGTTAGGGTCGGGTAGGATATCCATGGTTACAGGTTGGATTGACATCCCTACCTGTTATACTATCAATTTTGCCAATGTCGTCACCATCTTCGCCTCTCCCAGCAGTTGATGGTGTTGCGGCCTTGAGTTTGTTTCCGGATCTCCTGAATCATATGTTGTGGCCTCGAGTTTGTTTCCAGATCTCCTGAATCATATGTTGCGGCCTTGAGTTTGTTTCCAGATCTCCTGAATCATAGATCTCTAACTTCGCCTCTCCCAGCAGTTGATGGTGTTGCGATCTTGAGTTCGTTTCCATATCTCCTGAATCATATGTTGCCGCCTCGAGTTTATTTTTAGATGTCTTGAATCATAGGTCTCTAACTTCGCCTCTCCCAACACCTGATGGTATGCATGATCAAAATGGTCGGTTGGTGGGTGAATCTCGCGTTTATTTGGCATCGATCTTGAGTTGTTACATCTAATCGAGTGCATCCTATTATGATGACTGAGAGTGCATTAGGGTTGTGTAAAAGCTTAGTTCTCATGTGTGCTTGAATGAATGGAGGTTACTTATTGATTACAACTGTCATGCATTGAAGTTTTTGAAATTGGAATAGATGATTGGGCGCCTAGGTAGTCATGTGAGTTTTGTGTCGATCGTCTTTTTTCATGTGTGATAGATCCCTCTTGCCATAGTGCGTAACATTCACCGTTGTCACTAATGAGTATGATGGAGGCATAGGATTAGTCCACGCCCAAAAGTTGATTGTCCCGAAACATTTTATCTCCTAATAAACCCCTTTGAGTCGTGTGACTTTGGGGTCGTTCTAATGCTAGGAGCTTCGTGTTTGTTGAGCTTAATGGTGATTGAAAGAACGATCCCCACCCATCCTTTCTTCGTGTCGAAGTGTGAGTCATCTTTGTGTCTCGGAGTTCTCACTTTTGAGATCCATCGAGGTTCTACATAGGTGGTTTTGCACGGTTCTTGCTAGAAATGAGAAGGTAGTGTGGGAGGAAAGTTCTTAAATGGAGAACATTGTTCGGTAAATGAAAGAAGTGGCATGTGTTTAGCTCTCTATACCCCCCTCAGGGGAAGAAAAAGAGAAAAAGAAAGAAAAGAAACGAAAAAGAGGTAGTAAAACGAGGTAAATAAAAGTAGAGAGTGGCCACAAAAGTCTAAGTGTATACTCTAGAAAGGATTTCTTGGCACTCAAGCCATTGAAACACCTAAATTGTTTGATGACCTTCTTCACTACTAGGTTCGGAATGTGGATAGCAAGATAGCCCGAAGGTGTGTGCTTGAATGTGGTTCGTTATTGGTGGTAGTTTGGAAGAAGGTATGTGTGCTTTTTGGCCGATGCTAGTGGCCTTTGTTTGTAGGAAAGGTTCTTAGCTGAGACCTTAGAACCTTGGGTTTTAGGTTGAAGATGTAGGACCTCATGCCATGTTTCCCACCCCCCAAAAAGCTTTTTTCCCCATGTCCAAGACAATTGCCAGCCATTTGAACCTGTGTCTAAGACCTCTAGACAAACTAGTGATGACAATTGTCCCGTGAACTCTAGCATTTAGAGGTTGCCACCGTGGTGGAGCGACGATAGGGTTGAGCGTTAACGATTGTGCACATCTTTTGCACCAAAAAGGTCCCGACCCTACTGGTCGAGAGTGAGTGATTCATTCTTGTTTTGCATGTCATATTTTACCCCAGTGAGGACCTATGTTGCCCCGTTGTCTATTCCTTGGACTTTAGTTCTATGCATTGTTAGTTGTGATTGGTGAGTAGTCCAATCGAGACTTGCATTGATTTGTGAACAGGGTGAGAACTTTTCATTTGCCCATTTTTAATGCAATCGAATGTCGTTTGTGGTGGATGTCGGTATTGTTGAGGTGGTTCTATGTGTTGATGCCCAAATAGTCATTGAGATTCACCGCTTTGTGCCTTTTGATTTGTCCCAAGTTATCTTGTCAGGTTGAGATATCACCAAGGTTTAAAATGGTTTGCTTGGGGACAAGCAAACGTCTAAGTGTGGGGGAGTGATTCGGACTCATTTGTACACTTTTTACCCCCCAGTTTGCTCAGTCGTTTGAAGCGTTTTCACTTTGGGAGGTTTGGTTTTACGCAGGATTGTGCCTTGTTTTGGTATTTTCAAGCTTTGGTAGGTGGAACCAACCCCGGAGTTGAAATTTGGACGAAAGGGCGAAAGTACCAAGTCAAACAGTGAAAACAACAGCAGTTCACCGTTTGGGCTGTGAGTTCACGGTCACTCAGACCGTGAACTGGAGGCGCTCCCCGCAAACTGCCAAGCTACCAGAGCACAGAAGGTTTTCACTGGACATGAGCCAGTTCCCTATCGTAAGACTGTGAACTCCGACTAGTGATGGCAGAATGGACCCGCCCCGACGGGTTTTCCCCGACCCGACCCGTGTTGGGGCGGGTAGAACCTGACCCGTCCTAGAACGGGGCGGGTCTCGACCCGACCCGCAATCAGAACAGGGCAGCAATGGGTAAGCCTCCTCGCCGCCCCACCCCGCCATCTCTCTATGCATACGAGCTGTGACCGTACAATCCCTAAAATTCAATCCTCCCCAAAATCCGATCGTTTCCATACCTACGCTTTCTTTCCACCTTTGTCCGCCGAAACAACCGAGGCCATCAATGCAAACGACTCCTCGTATCCCTGAAATTTCGAGTTTTATGTCGATTCCGTATCCTCTTCCCAATCAATACCCTCTTCCCAGTCTGCCATCACAAATCATAGACGCCGACGCGTACGACGATCGATATAGTCTTCTCATCTTTCTCTTTTTCCTATCATCTTCTTCCTCTAGAGCATTTAGATCTAAAGCCTCAACCCTCTGTGATTCCTACTTGTTGGCTATCGCTGAACTGCCGGCTTCCGCAGTCCCATATCCAGCTCTTTCCTGTCAAGGTTCGACCTATCACTTATCAGGTATATTCAAAAGCTCTTTCTCCTGGTATCTAATTGTGTGCTTGCGTAATTGTGTAGTGTTATTGGTTCGTGCTGGTATTTTACTATATTACTTGGTGGAATGGTTTAATGGCTTTCGTGAAAGCAATTGCTTAATCAATTGAGTTAAACATATTTTCCTCTAACATGCAGTGATTGATAGCAACCTGTATTATTTTTAATTATAAAAAGAACATGAGGTAGCATAGTTTGGATCATTCCAGGGATGTCTTTCCAACGATGGTTTCTTCTGTGAAGTAGCTAAGCAGTTCAATTGAAGTAGACAAGTGCCAGAGCATGAACTAATGATTATTTAAACCCACCATCATGATTGCTTAACTTTAATTGTTTAAATCCATTAGCATCGTGTTCTATAAGCACATAGCCTGAAAAATTGGATTTCAAACTTAAGATCATTTTGTGATTTGTTTATTGGCTACAGAATATGAATGAGGGGCAAGTCGAACAAACTAAAGCTGATGCTCCAAATATGGATCCAAATATCCCTCAACCGTCACCCACTATTAATCAGGTTATCGCTGAGGTTCAAGCTGAACCTGCTCTTCCTCAACCAACCGGCCAGAAGCGCATAGGAGGAACGGCTGGAAAAGTTTACTCAAAGTGGTGGGCTCACTACGACAAAATAACAGTTGATGGTGAGTTAAAAGCCGAGTGCAAGTATTGCAAGAAGAGGCTTATCGGAGACCCAAAGCAAGGAACTAACCATCTGAAGAATCACTATGGAAGATGTCCTAAAGTGCAGCGACCTATGGATATAAGACAACAAGTCTTACATGGCAATGCAAGCAAAGAAAAGTTCCAGCTGACGCCATTCAACTTCAATCAAGATGCTTCTCGAAAAGAATTGGCTAAAGCAATAATCAGGCATGAATATCCTCTAAGGATTGTTGATCATGAAGGTTTCAGGAGTTTTTGCATGAGTTTGAACCCCTGTTTCAAGATGGTGACAAGAAACACCATTAGGAAGGATTGCCTTCTCATATATGATGTTGAAAAGCAAGCAGTAAAGAAATTTTTTGAGAGGAATGAAGGTCGTATTGCAGTTACTACCGACATGTGGACGTCTTCCCAGAAGAAGGGCTTCATGGCTATCACAGCACATTACATTGACAATAACTGGAATTTGGAAAGTCGAATTATCAGGTATTTCCCTAATGACCTAAACTCTGTTCGTGCTTGGAAGTTTATCTACTTTTTTTTGGAAAGGTATGCATATAAGTTCAGCCAAGATACTTTCTAATATAACATTATGAATTTCAGCAAACAGACAGTAGAATTAAGTAAAATTAGTACCCCAAACCGTTTGATTGCTAATGCATAATTTAGTCTTCTTTTCCCTTATTCTTTTGATATTATAGGCTGCAAATTTGTCTGTTACTTAATTGGCTGCAACTTTTGAGATAATTGGTTAATTTATGTTTTCAAGTAAGAACAAGTTGTTTGCTTTCTACTCATTACCTTTACTTAAACATGGCAGGTTTATTTATGTACCTGCCCCTCATACAAGTGAAGTTCTTGCTGAAGCATTGATGAAATGCTTGCTGGATTGGAACATCGACCGCAAGCTATCAGCCATCACCGTTGATAACTGCTCAACAAATGATTCAATGTTGAATCGAATGATGGAGAAGCTTCCAACGGAGTCTCTTCTACATAATGGGAGTATGATTCATATGCGTTGCTGCGCGCATATTCTGAATCTAATAGTGAAAGAAGGGCTGAAAATCATTGGGGAAGGCATAGAGAAGATACGAGATAGTGTTCAGTTTTGGACACACTCGCAAAGGAGATGGGAAACGTTTGAGGAAACAGCTCACCAACTAAAAAAGCCCACTGGTAAGAAACTCCAACTTGACTGTGAAACACGTTGGAATTCAACCTTTCTTATGTTGAACACTGCTTTGAAGTATAAGGAAGTTTTTGGTCGCTTAAAGAGTCGCGAGCGCAAATACAAATGCTCGCCTAGTGACCTTGATTGGCGTATGACAGAGGAGATCGGTACTAGACTAGAGTCCTTTTACGAGACTACTAAACTTTTTTCTGGTACCAACTATCCTACTGTAAATTTGTGTTTTGCTGAGATTTGTGAGATTAAGGTGGCCATAAATAAGTGGGTTACTTGCGGGATTGAGAAGATAGAGCATATGGCCACTGAAATGTTGGAAAAATATGAGAAATATTGGTCAGATGTGCATGTTTTGATGGCGGTGGCAGCCATACTTGATCCTCGGTACAAGATGGATGTTCTTGATTGTTATTTCCCTGACATATATGGCACGGATAGTGAATTTGAGATGGAGAGGATTCATGGAATATGTCGTAATTTGGTGGAAGAATATGAAGAAAAGGAAAGGGAGAAAGAAGAAGAGAATGATGGTCGTGGTCAATTGAGCAGTCAGCAGAAGGGTGCAAGTGTTGTGGGGTCATTAGCCAGCAAATTTGACTTGTATGCTTCCCGAAAGAAAAGAAAACCTGTGAGGTCAGATCTGGACAGTTATTTAGATGATGAAGTTGTGCCCAAGTCTCTCGACTTTGATGTTTTATGCTGGTGGAAGTCAAACAAGGGTAAGTATCCTATATTGCACAAGCTTGCAAGAGATATTCTGGCTATTCCTGTCTCTACGGCGGCCTCTGAGTCTGCCTTTAGCACTAGTGGACGCGTCATTTCTCCTCATCGAAGTAGGCTTAAACCAAATACCATAGAAGCTTTGATGTGCGCCCAAAGTTGGTTGCGTGCTAATTCAAAAGGTAAACTAACTTACTCTATTTGCATATGTTCTTATTTATGTAAACAAAGTTAGTAGCATTTCTATTTTTTTTTTTTATTGTTTTCAATGTTATGTTATTAGTGGAGAGCGAGCATGATACAGTCCTTCATGATTCTGATGAAGACACAGATGATGAAACAAAGGTACTGCTGGTTTTTGTTTTGTTATATAGCTGTTGTTTCTGTTTTGTTCTTTTGTTGGTGCGGCCACAAGTTGTCTTTTGTTATCGAAGTATTTCTCATTTATTTAGTTGTCTTTTGTTGTTGCTGCCTCAGGATGTTGATAATGGAAATAAAGATTAGATGAAGAGGTATGCATGCTGTTTGAGGGATGATTGCAGGCTGAGGAGATGTAATCTGTCCAGGAGATAGTGGAAGAACAAATCTATGGAAGAGGGTGTTTTCATTTCATTAAGTTTGAAACTTAGTTAATCAAATTTGAACGATTGAGATTGTGTTGGCAGATTTTTATTTCTTTTTGTTGGGATTACTCATGTGAAACTTTGGTTATAACTTCATTTGGAGAATGTTTATGTTATGAATTTTAGTTGATTACTTCTTGCATCAGGTGTCATTCATGGGTTTGTGTGGGTGTTAATCTTGGTCTAGAACATAATTTGCAGATATGGGTCAGGGCGGGTTTTACCCGCCCCGCGCGGGGCACAGCATGGGTCAGATTGTGCCGACCCGTCGCGGGGCACGGGGCAGGGCGGGGCATTGTTCCAGGTGACGGGGCAGGGCGTGGGATTAGTGGTACCCGCCCCAATCTGACCCGTTGCCATCACTAACTCCGACCTCCGTCCGTGAACAGAGTTAAGTGATGCGGCAAGTTTCATTGATGGTTCACGGTCTGGGCTTTCAGTTCACAGCTGTAAACTACGTCCGTGAACTGAGCCCGATCTGGGTATATAAAGAAGGTTGAGCCAAAAGAGAAAAGGGAGAGACCTAGTGGGAGAAACTTCTTCTTCAGATTTCTAGAGTGAGAAAGTGACGAACCAAAGAAGAGGAGAAGCTAGGGTTTCATCTTCAATCAAGGAATTGGGAATTCCTCCCCCAAAGGAGGATTTCTTCAACACAAGGAGCAAGACTAGCATCTCTTTATTGGTTTTCCTTCTTCTCTCTTGTGTTTTCCCTTCTACTAGCATGGATTAGTCCCTTCTTTCACTTGGATGTTTGTAAACCCTAACTACAATTATGTGAATGCTTGTATGGATTGAATGATTTGTGTATGGTTGTGTTTAATGTGAATGTGGAGGTATTATCAATGAATGATTGTGTTGTGTGAAAGCCTATCAATCTAATTGTCATTCTAACCTAGGTAGAGAGAAAACCCCCTTCCTTTTATTGAAAGAGGCTTGAATGTTGGGTTTTCTTAGGCAATTCATTGTCTCCTAGTTCGGTTAATGTAGGGCAAACCTCTTATTTCGTATTAGCACCTAGGGTTTGGTTGTGGGTGGTCGTCCGAACTCCGATTCGAGGATGAAGTCTAACCAATCTTTAGTCAATAGGTCGAGAGAGTCACGTTGGTGGCTTGGATCGTATCCCCTTTCCTCAACCTAGAGACTAAAAGGGTGGCTTTGGCTACTTGTTAGACTTTCCTACGGTTTACAACCCCCTAAACCACACACAGCTATTCGTTCGACAAGTCGTAATTGCTGGCTAGGGGGAGCAACACCCGGGTGAAGCCTTCTCAATTAGTGTCAAATTCATTTATCTTTGCAAGCACTTTAACTTTAGATTGTTGTTTTCACCAAAAACCAACCGCTAGATAATGTTACAAACAATCGAAGTAGAGGTACATGACCAGCCCAGGTCGATATTTAAACATACTTGCCCTGTACTGAACTGGCTCGGGTCGATATTTAAACATTCGAGTTGAGTCACTGTTACTTCTTCCTTTGGACCTCCTTGGTTCCTATTTCACCTCTAAAACCCCTCGAAACTCGTTCCTAATCCTTAACTACTTGAAAATGCCTGAAATATGTCGAAGGAACACAACCTAGCTTAAAATTGGCTAACGAAAGACTTTTTCCAATGCAAATGGTCAAGAATCATGGGTCAAAATATCTATAAATGACCACTTATAATTAGGTTTAGGTTGGTTGAATGTTGCTTGAATCTATGCTTCCCACAATCAAAGTCAAAATCGACAATCGCTATTGATCTCTATAATCGCAAATTTGAGAACGGGAAGAGGGAGGGCGTAGACGGATTTGATTCAGGAATTTGCCTTAAGGGGCATGTCTCTCTGTAATCAAAATCACTGCTCTGATTATTCAAAAATTCATACTCTTTATAATCAAAATCACTACTGTTGATGTGACTTGAATCTGACTATCAGCCGCGCACGGTGTACGGGCTCAATGTTATTTGGATTCGAGTTCTGGGTCTGGTCTATAACTGTTTCCTTTAACATATTGAATTAGGTTTATACCAACATGAAGAAGTATAAATACTTCCCATCTCCTCTGTAATCTGTAATCTCCTCGATATAGTGAAACTGTCCATGAACTAGCTAACAAACATTGTGTTAGTGAACCACGTAAATCGTATGTCGTGTGCTTTCTGTTTTATTATTCTTGCTTTCTCGATTCTGACACAAATGAATTAAAAAAGGTCTAATAATGTCCCTTCCAACCCGGGTTAATCTGGAGGTTTGTTTGGACTATCTGGTCAATGCATAGGATTGTAAAATCATATTAGAGGCTGTAGCTAAAAGCAAAGAGGTCATTACATGAACTGTGAGGTGGGCCTTGGTTCGATGCATAAGCAAAGCATTTATTAGATGGTTGACACCTAGAAATACCCAAAAACACACAAACATTGGGTGCGTTATGTAGCAAGCAATGGTAGGGTGGAAATTTGGTTTTGTTTATGCTTTTTTATGTATCGGGGGAGTGAGAGGGACTGCCATATGGGGACTATGGGTAGGGCTGGGAATTCAGACCAAACCGTATGGGAAACCGTGGTCTGGACCATATCGTATGGTTTGGTCTGGACCCTGAGACCAGAACTATGGTCTGGTCTGGTTTGGTTTGTGGTCTCCTCCTTTAGTGTGTGGTCTGAAGTGGTCTGGACCGCGGTCTACCGCAGTAAACCGTAACAGACCGCGACACACTACCTACTGCCTTGGACAAAAATAACACTAAATTGAACCTTCATATGTGTATTTGAAGAACAAAGTTAGTTGATTCTTCATCTAGTTGAGAGCCAATAAATTGCAAAATGATCGCTTATATGTTATCTCCTTATCAAAGTACCACACAAAAATTAGAAAGACTCATAAATAATATTCACAGATAATGTCTAGACTATGGAGTCGATAAAAATTAAACACTACAAAAAAATTTGTTCACCTTGATGAGATAAGGAAAATTATTGAGAGATATGCGACCATCTTAGTGGTTCAAAATTACATCGACGTCATCAAAAAGGTTATCAACTGGGAGAACCTTCGGATCACTCGAGAGAGGAGAGAAGCGGTAGCACAAAGAAGAATAGGGAAATAAGGCTATTTGAAAATTGAAAAAACCCACTTCTATTCTCATATTTCTTCTCATTTAATACGATCACAATTTTTTTGTTTCACTAGCATATTGGTCACTAGATTTTTTTTATAGATACCGGTGAAGGGTTGGAGGGCGAACAAGAGTTACGTTTTTTTTTAACATGGTCTGTCTGGTCCAGACCATACCGGACCGCACCGCACAGGTGTGGTCTGGTCTGGACCGTATAGTATATGGTCTGGTCCTGGTCTGTGTTCCAACTTCTCGGTCTGGACCACAGACCGTATCTATGGTCTGGTTTGGACCGGACCGCACCGTTTCCCACCCCTAACTATGGGAGGGACACTTTTTGTTTGTGGGTGCCAATTATTAATGCAATATGCTGAGAGAGGGAGATGGCCAGATGGGGAAGAAATGAATTTTGGGGAAGAAAGGGTTGCATTTAGGGGTGTGCAACGCTTTCTTCCCCGAAATTCATTTCTTCCCCCATCTGGCTATCTCCCTCTCTGGTCAACCGAGTTTACCGTTAGTCAAAGTCCACCTCACTTGCCACGTCAGCTAGCAGGAAATATAAAATATTTTTTTGGATTTTGTTTAATTTCTAAAATTAATTAAAAATAATTTGGAGAACTCTTTTAATTATTTTTTTTCGTTTATTATTTTTATTGTTAGAAAATAAACAAAATTCAAAAAATTCAAAAATTAATTTTTTATTCCCTGATAGCTGACGTGGCAAGTGAGGTGGACCTTGAGTAACGGTCTAATTTAACGGTCAAACCCGTCTCCGGGCCAAACAAGAAAGTATGCTACATAGTTTAGGCCAGAATAGCAATTTCCGATACCACGGGCCAAAGTAAAAAGTTTGTCTATAGCATCATAGGGTTGATGGCCTTTCTCTTCCTTCTTTGTCAGAGGTTGTTTGTTTGATGGGTTTATTTCGTTGTTTGCTTTGTGTATTTGAAAATAACAAAAATGTGAGATTCGCGAATTTTGAGGTTTGAAATTCCATCTCAATAGGGGAGAATTGATTACAGATTTTGAAATTCATCATTTGTGACCAACTATCTCTCCTATTTTCTTTCTTTTCTCATACCAATAAGGACAATAAAAGGTAATTTCAAATATCAAGTGTTAATAAAATCTTCATTTTTCAAATTCACGTAGCAAACGACCCTTCTTTTTCGTCTGAATCTCTAATTCTATTCTCTAGTCCTTTTAAACTATGTCTCCAATTGTATCAAAATCTATCTTTTATCTTAGAAATTTATGTGCATTGTCAAACAACTTATTGATTGTAAAAATCATGACATATATCCTTGTCTGATTAGCTATCGATGTGGAGATGCGAAAACCATAGCTCTATACAAAGAGCCGAACCTGTATTGAATTTTGACGGGGTTCAAATGAAGCGGCATCATTCTGAAGAGCTTCTTTGGCCCTTGCTTTGTGCAAAATGCAAAGACAGATTCAATATGTTTGTTTTTGGTTAACCTCTTCTTTTGTGCCGTGTTTGTGTTCTTTAGGGGGAGCGGTTCTCTTGCGGCAGCTTTTGCATCGCTTGTTGAGCGAAACAGCTTCTTTCTACCTTTTCTTTGGCCATCTCTTTTCTCCTCTCTAATTTATGTGATGCGTGTTGTTATCAGAACAGCCTTGTATTGTGTGGTGGCCAATATGCAAAGTAAACCAAAATGCTCTCTCATTCTTTCTAGCTACGGACGAGACGAGAGAGAGCTATCGAATCAGCCTTATACAATATGCATACAGCTTTTCCCCGCCGTAAATGCCAATTTTCTATTCTCTTCCACCCCCTTCAATGCCGTATCAGTATCAAGTTTATCATACACTACTTATTCCTTTTTCCAAAATAGACATATAGTGATCGCCATTTTACCGTGCTTGCTAGCTAGTGCACGACTTTCAATTAGCCAAGAAACCATGTTTTGAGATCAACTAAGTATTTCAAGGGCCAGTAACCACATTTTGGTTATTGAATGCGAATTTTTTTTCTCTATTAAATTTAATCAGTTTATCCTTTTCTTTTCCATTCAAAATTTAAAATTTTCAAGGAAAAAATAGATTAATCGTGTTGCTGGAAATGACATTGACTTTGATATATTTTGAAATAAAAAAAATTAAAATATGTATTAACGGTATATATTATGGTGGTAATGTCCTATAGTGCATAAGAACATGCCATGATGGTATGAAAGTATATTATGGTTGAAGGATGCAAAGTTTATTGTTATGTCATATTGCTATGTCTATTCCCACGTATCAGATTCTAGATTGGAAATCAAAAGTACAGTCCTATTCCATCAAGAAAGATTCTATGATAGGGTATCCTAGTAACTAAAGAATTAGTACCATGGCTAATGACATGGAGAAGGAAAGAAGACAAGAGGAAAAAGACAAGGCTGGGATACAAGAGACAAGGCCAGGCACCTGACATCAGCAAGGACAAGGGGCAGGGGGACACCCTCTGTCAAAAAGGACTATGAACAGTGTCAGAAGGTCTGAGGCGCCCGACCAGAGCATTTATGGCTTGGCAGGCGCCCAGACCACTACCTAACCCTCAAATGTGTATAAATAGGAGTTCTCTCCTCATAAATGGCAATCTATCTACTCTTACTCTAACTTCTCTCTACTTTCTCTCTCTATATACTTCTTCTCTTTTCTCACTTCTGCTGAGGTGGGGCGCCTACCCCCTCAAAGTCATGGCTGACGCCCCAAACCCCTTGGATCCGAGTGACTCCCAGTCGCCCGGGCTCAAACAATTGGCGCCCACCGTGGGGCCAAGCATGACTTTGAAAGACGCTTCCAACTCAAAGAAGGGGGAAGAAAGGAGTCTGGCACCAACGAAGACCCCTATCAAGCAAGTCGTTGGTCGAGAAGCGATCAACCCTCAACCACTCACCATCCAAAGTTTGGAAGCATCCGACGACGACGATCCATCAGGAGAGGGAGAAGACACGGAGCGCCTGGAGGGCCAACTAGCGAAGCTTCGGGAAATGCAAGCACTTCAAATGGCCAGCATGCAAGGCCAACTGGATCAAGTCATGACCGCGTTGTCAGCACTAACAAAGGCAAACGATCACGCGCCTCCCAATCCCCAAGAAGCCACAGAGGAGAGGAGGCGCCTCCGAGGAAAGATGCAAGAGGTTGAGGTGCTACCCATGAACTCCCCACGGGAGGGTATGGGCGCCTCACTCAACGAGGACGCAATTGAAGCTGACGACGATGTCTACCTGGAGAAGTACGCCCGACTCAACTACGGTGCCTCGGAAGAAAGAAGCGCCCTGGAATTTTTGTAGGGGGAGGGGCGCCCTTTAAGTAGGCGTAACCCAAAGACACCCTAAGAGAGGCAAAAGCGTGCTAGGAGGAGTCCTTTTATTCAATTTAGGTTGGTAATGTTAGGAATTTTCGGGGAAAGGGACACGCCCTGGCGATACCCCATGTAATTCCCTATTTTGCTCAAGGAACGGATATTCACTACTCGGCAATGCAAAGCTATCCCTATTTTAACAGATGGAGTCACCCCAGACTCGCTTCCTCCGTCGAGGAGAAGCCTAAGCGTGTTACCACCTTCTCAGGGGTACACGTAAGAAAAATCAAGTTTTGCTTAAGGTAGTCATCTTAACAAAACCGGGTGGTGTCATATTGCTCAAGTCAGTGCCTAAGCGTTTCACTAACCTTGTTATGTCATATTGCTATGTCTATTCCCACGTATCAGATTCTAGATTGGAAATCAAAAGTACAGTCCTATTCCATCAAGAAAGATTCTAGATTGGAAATCAAAAGTTCAGTCCTATTCCATAAAGAAATTCATTGTACGAACATCAATATTCTATGAGATAGTTTTCGATGATCTGCTAAGGAAACAACCAGGATTACAGTTACAGATCCTTTCTTATTATTTTTAAATCGATCGTTTTCCAACTTGGATGATATCATTCACCAACACAAGGAAAAAAAAGTCGCCGGCCTTATTTGCTAGAAGAAACCTTTGCTTCCAGCTAAATGGAACTGAAATGACGTGTGAACAGTATTATATCAATGCAAATCTTGAAATAGCTAAGACCTGTTCACTTCCATTTTCGTTTCCTGTTTTCTGTTTTCATGTGATAAATTTGGCAACCGAAATGAGAAAACTTGTTTACTTTTCATTCTGTTTTCTATTCGTTTCCAACTATGAAAACAGAAAGTGGCAACTTCCTACTGTTTTCGGAAACGACAAAATATTGTTTTCACCTGTTTTCAACATCTGTTTTCTCAAAAACACGAAAAACACGAAACAGAAATGAAAGTAAACAGGCCCTAAGCTTTTATTGAACTACAATCGAACTCCACTTTAAAAGGTTTCCAAGATCAGCAACTTGATAGAAACCATCGACAAACACAGATTCCAAGCTAGAAAAACTTTCGCAACTAAGCCAAATCGGATCACAGATTCCGGGACTTTAAGATCTTTGTTCAACATAAGATCCAGCAAGTCCAGAAGTACCAATCAGGGTCACCTGCAAAAACAGGACCAAGTGATTTAGGCTTGCTTTCAAAATATGCATAAAAGTACAGCCAAGTACAGTTCAAGAGGCACAACTGAAAAGATAAAAGCTAGTAAGCCATGGGATTCAAAACAGTTACCATCATTAAAATGTTAAAAGCCATGACGAGCTAATCTCGCTAAAAAGAAGATGATACCAATATGCAAATGCATGAAGCATTTTGAGGCAAAACAGATGGAAAGAAAACATCCCTAGAAACCCATAAAAGCAAAAGGTGCTAGATTGAGGGAGCAATAATCTAAATCATAAATTTCAGTTAATTAGCATTCAGTAAAATTGAGCAAGTCATAATACCTTGCCCCACTCTGATCCGAGGCCAGCACATCTCATCTTCAAAAATATCATCTTTGAACCCAATTCCATCTCTACTTTCTTTCTCAGATAGGCCTCATCAGGTCCAAATGACTCCAAATACGCAGAGTATCGTTCAAAAAACATGCGGATTGCCTTTGCATAATCATCTGTTAGCGGTTTTACATCCTGTGCCACACATTTTTACAAACTATTATTAACCTTCAAGAACCATTTGACGAATACAAAATATAGAACTCAGAATTTCAAATGAAAAACCATGAGCATACCTCGCCGCTCATCCCAATGTTGTCATCTAGCTCCATCTTTAGAGACATGACCATCCCACTGAATTCTTTGACAGCTTCAGATTACCGGAAAATATTCTTCAATATCTCTTGACCAGATTTGTCATCAGTGTTCTTCGACAGAGCATTCTTCACATCATGGATGACTGTCGCATCAAGCTCATCCCAACTTGCAGCCATCAAGTCCTTGAAAGCACATAAGACATCAGGGTCCTTAATCTCGGGCAAGTGTGCCACATCCTCACTATAAGATCTTTTGCTACCAATATTGATTGCCAAAGGAGACCGAGAACCTAACAACAAGCATGACCAAGAAAAGACCGCGTTAATAGAGGCATGAACTATCATTACCAAGGTAGCATCAACTTCACACAAACAGTCGTTTGTGGATAAAATCAATCATTGGATCCATCTAATTCACATAAGCCTTGATGAATTTCACATCGATAACAATTGCTGGTACAATTCTACAGCTAGACAATTTATAAAAAAAAATTATACAGCTAGAGTGCTAGACACAGGAACCAAAGAAAAATCCTCTCACACATACCCGGCAATGTTCAGATAAAGGCTACAGCTTCATTTTTCTATTACCTCGGATTCATTCAACCCAGTTCACCAAATTCGCTCCCAAATCGACCCAGAATTTCAAAAGACCCCAAACCAGGTTTTAGATAATAACTCCAAGCGTGATGATGAAATTGATAACCAAATAACTACTCAGAGCGGCCAATCCCATAACCGGAAGTATGGTTCAAAAAGAGGCATTACCGGAAGCGATGCGATCCGCAGAAGCGGTGGCGGAAGAGAGAGTGAACAGGGATCGAGGAGCTGACTGATGGTGAAGGAGCTGGTTGCCGGCAACAGCTGCGAAGCCTATCGAAGATCTACGAGAAGCTGCACGATATAGAGACCTGAGAGCCACCATCTTCCCCATCTTCGAAACTTTTCCCTTTTCTGTTCTTGAAAGCAGCAGTTCGGGTCAACTGGGTATGTCTGTATTCCAGCCCTGGACCCCTCCACGAAAACGGGCGCCAGCAACCCAGTTTAGCATCCTCCCGGATCCGGTCAACCCGGTCAAACCCGGTAAAGCCCGCCAAACCCGGACGGTTGGACCAAGGGTGCGGGCCAGCGGGCTTTCTGTTGTCGTTTGGGATTTTGCCTCTCCTTCCGTCCTCTTCGCTGCGAAATCGATCTCCTTATCTTCTCTCCGCCAGTTCGCCGGTGGATCTTGGCTGCACGCTTTGGAATTCGCCGGTGGTTCGAATGATAGAAGATCGAAGCTAACGTCAGCGACGTCTGCCGATTCCAAAAGCCCATGAAACAAAAGCCCCTACATCCACCGTTTCCTCTCGACATGCACCATCTCCGCTTGAAATGCCCCTTCCCTGGTTATTTTCGGAAATCATAACAAACCAAAGCAAATGATTTTTTGATGTGAAACAGAGAGAAGAAGATTGATAGATTGCATGTCTCTGCTATTGCTACAAGAGAGAGAACTAGAGAAGTGATGGGAGACTGCAGAGCCACAATGAGAAGTGGCGGAGAGCGGAGAGTCTGATGAGTGATGGGAAGTTGGTGGGATTTGACTTTTGAGAAAGAAGGAATTACTAGGGTTTTAGTTAGATTTGAGCTTTCTTTGATTTTTTTAATTAACATAAAATTAGTTTATTTCCCACTGCATCACAATATAACAATTGATATTTAATATATGTATTAAAATATTATGTTTTTTATATATCCGGGTTATACCAGGCTAAAGCGGTTAACCCATTAACCCTTGACCCACTATCTCGACCGGATCAACGGGCTAAATCGGGTTGACAATCTTGGTCCCTTCATTCTAGTGAGCAAGACAAATGCTCATTTGTCTTCCATTTCCTTCCACCAATCACCACTCGACTCTTCCTCTTTGCCACCCACATCCCCTTCACCCTAGTACTATTAGGGGTGTACATGGGTCGGGTGGTCTGGGTTTAGCCATTTTAATCACCCGACCCATACACTACCGTTTGGGAAATATTAAACCAAAACCCACCCAAAAAACTTAAACCATACGGTTTATTTCTAATTGGGTTGGGTCGGGTTGACAATATTTATAAGTAACAACCCAACCCAACACAAAATATGTAATTATTCTACACCATAAAAATATTTTATAACTAATTAAAATTTCAAACAAATAAACCGAGGTGAAATGTATCAAAATTCACAAATGTTCTTTGAATTTTAATAAAATGTGATTTACTTAAAAATATGTCTAGTTTTTTTCACGACATTTGTTGAAATAGACTAAAAAGGTTATAAATGAATGCATCCATAATATGTTATTCTATTAAAATTGTACACAAGAAAAGGATGGGTCGGTTTACGGGTGTGTTTGTTCACCCCTAAGTACTACACGCGGATAAGGAGACGAGAAAGGTAAGTGGATTTCTTTTCTTTCATCAATAATTTGTTACTTTATCTTTGCTTCGTATATTTTATTTCTACTTGGTAGCTAGGAAAGCCCTCTCTTTGTATCCGACTATGAGTCGCTTCTTTGATTTCCATACCTGGCTGGTTTCCAGGGTGTAACTATCTTCTGTTTTGATCAATATATGATATCTTTTGAAAAAAAAAAGTATATTTTATTTCTACTAACCAACCAGCTATTGCACTCAATGGCTTGGTTGTAAGAAAAAGTATTTTTATATTATTCTTTATTTATAACACATCATCTATGTCAGGAGCAGGAGACGCTTATAAATAGGCTATTCATTTTTGTTTCCTAGGCGGCTGGTCTAACCTCTGAGAATTCACTTTCACATAATGAGATCTCTCTCTAGAGCCAGCTCAATACGTCGCTCCCGGTTACTCTCCTCTCAAATACTAGTTTGAGCTTCGGAGCAGGTCCCGCCGACCACCGTCGGCGAATCCTTTTTTGCAGGTGTCAATCTCGGAGGCTGGTGGTGACGGACGTTGGCCATGAAGTCGGCACTTACCGGATCTCAAACACATTGAAGCAAACTCCTCCAAACTTGGCATCAACAACTAAGATACCTACCCGACCTGCCCATTCAAATTCCTAGTACTCTAATTAAATCTAGACACGACTATAGAAGTCGGCCTTTAATCACGAAGAGATCCCACACTTCTTCGAGGTCATTAATGGCTAGCAAGATATATTTTTTTTTTTTTTTTTGTAGAAAGACGGACGCAACAACGTCCTAATTCATATATCTAATAGAACGAAGTTGGGCAATGCCCATTACATTATAAATGATCCATCGATTCAAACCCGAATCACTCACATCGAATAGATGTGTACCAAAATCAAAATAATTGCCTTTACACGTTAGAAAATTCATTTCTCTATGACCATGGGGGATACTAACTCTCTAGTTTCTATTGAGAAGCTTACGAACTTGATGAGCAAGGTAACCATGTTGATGGTTTCCCTCCTTGCAATTCTTCATGATGGATATTGCAGTCATTGAGTCGAGCTGTAGTTGAACCTTGCAATTCTTCATGATGGATATTGCAGTCATTGAGTCGAGCTGTAGTTGAACTTTCCTATGCCCTTTGTCCCAAGCAATCTTAAGACCCTCAACTGCCCCTTTCAGTTTTGTCGCAATAATCGAGCAGATCCCAAAATTGCAAACATGGCTTCAGAGCATCTCCCATTACAGTCGCTAATCAGCCTGCCTGACGCTGCACTTCCTGAGGGAGAGAGGACAAATCCGTCTGACTAAATTTGTACTCATCCCTCAAGCGGCGGCATCCAAGCAAGGTGAACTTTTGTGATGCATTATAAGTTCTCGGCGACCAATAAAACTCTAAACTAACCATGTTCTCTGGGAGTTGAGTTAGGAGGAGTTAGGCAACAGCATCATGAGAAATTTGCAATCCACGGGTATTGTTTATTTCTCACCATTACATCAACATGATCCAAATATGATTAACACACCCATGCTTTAGAGGGAAAATACCCTGAAACAAACAGCTGAAACTCTTGATTGAATCCCACACACTAGTAGAACTACACAAATTTGCCAAACTTTGGTTCACAAGCACGGATACCAGCCTTCTAAAATTTTCTTTCCTATTACAAGTATCGGGACTACGTTGCAAGATCGAAAGCCTGCAAAACCAAAAACCATGCATCGCATGAAGAAAAGGAAGAAATACAAGTGGAAAGGATACAAGGTAAACGATTCCATTGGCTGAGATGAGATTTCAGCTTACAATGAGATTCTAATTCAACATGTCATCTAGTTTCTGTCTGTACTGAGCTAAAGTCTGCAGACAAACAATGAAGCAGCAGTAACAGAATCAATACCAACAACAATTGGAAGGCTTCGAAGATAAATCAATCAATCATATGATTATCATATAAGTTAAGCTGCTAGTGGTATCTTAAGAAATTTCCAAGCTTTGGCATACATCTCAACTTATTCACTGCTTCACATGTGACGAATAATAGAACGTGGTAAGAAACATGCAAGTTTACACACACAAATGAAGGATATGGATGAAATATAGTAAAGGTTAATGTCTGGAACTACATACCCTAGTATAAGCATATACCCCAGCTTCAGATGGTGCCACAGGGCTTCCCCTCCTAACGAACCTCCCCTCTTTGAATATGTACAGCATTGGTATTCCTGTTGAGAGTTCCAGGCTAACAACCTGCAAAGAATGAAAGAGTTCATTAAGGGGGGAAAAAAGAGAAGTGGGAACTGCCAATACTCCAATGCCCTAACTGACGTCTTACCTCCTGGGAAGTTAATTCATCAAGATACATGATAATAGATCTCAAAGAGTTCCCATGGGCAGCAATCATCACATTCCTACCAGATTGAAGTTGAGGTTCAATCTGCAAATTACCACATGCTATTTAGTGACATTCATGGAATAAGAACTTATGTGAACAGGGCCATAGGAAAGGACTATTCCAAGAATGGCTACGAGTACTGACATAATCTCTGAAGTAAGCAACAGCTCTTTCAGCACACATTTCCAAACTCTCCCCATTAGGTGGTGGGATATCATAACTTCGCCGCCACTCATGAACCTTGTCGTTCCCATATCTTTCTGCTGTCTCTTGCTTATTGAGACCCTGTAATTCCCCGTACCTGCAGAAATTTAGCAGCTTATAAATTTGTTGATATGTTTCAGTCAGTAGGTATAATAACATTAGGCCATCATCAGATAACAACACTTCAGGCATCATTACATTCTTTCGTTCAGTTGCCAAGCAGTTATAACTGGGATGGATTGCTTCATTGTGTCATCACTGAAAACCTGACTCCATGATCTTGCTTGTTCATTCTCATTGTGCATAATAATTGGAACCTGAAACATAGTTAATCACTTTCCTCTTAGATAGCCAACCAAGAAGGAGACAAAGGTTTCCATTAAAAAGAATAAAAAAATATTAAGGCACAAATATCGCTCTAGCCCAAGTTTCAGATCAATATGTGTCGAGAACCAGGTTGTCCCAATAACACGAGTTGCTAAAAGAGACCCAAGTCTGAATCTTATATTATTCCCTTGCAAAATGCACATGCCGATCGTGAGGAAACTATGTTTACACCACAATCAAGGAGGTAAAACTTGACCCTTTTGATACGAGTGGTCATTACTTATTACCTTTTTCCGGCGATGCTGAGTCATTGCAAGCATGGCAGTCATCTGTGCACGGATCAAGGCAGAAGTATATATCATGTCGACAGGTATATTGCTGATTCTCTTCCCAGCTTCAATCGCCTCTTCAACACCTTTCTTCGTTAAGGGTACATCAACACATCCAGTGAACAAGTTCTTCTCGTTCCATAATGACTCACCATGCCTAATCAGAATCAAAGCTGCTTCACCTGAAAACAAGATCACCCAAATTCTGTGTCAGCAGATTTACAAAGAGAAACCTTCATCTGAAAACGAACGAAGACAATCCAAATTGCTAGTCAGCATATAGATGATTCAAAGTGCATGGAAGAAGTAGCTCACTTGATTTCTTTCGCAGATCATTAGTGCCCTCATTCGATTGGGAAGAAACAGGATCAACAACTGATGTCTGAGAAGATGAAGCTTTAATTCCTCTTAAACTTCTCTCACTACCTGTGTAGGCTCCCCTTCTTGACAGCCCAATTTCGAGTTTAGACACCTTGAGAGGAAATTTCATCGATACATTTCCACACTCAATATTGATCCCCGAGCTAGAGACTTGCCGCAGCTGGTGATGGTATTGGAGTGTCCCAGTATTTTGATGAAATGCAGAACAAGCCATTCTGAAATGCATGAAGAACATAGCAACTAACAAGTTAACTTCTATGAGTTATTCAAATTTTTGCGGGCAACCCCTATTATGGCATTTTGATGGCTTCGTCGGCATTTGTCACTAACATGCCCCAACTCAAAGACCAGATTTTGGCATATTCCCAATTACCCACCCTACTCAACCAAACGTAAAAGCACGAAAACAAAATAGAAAACGAGGGTCAAAAGAATCATCAGGAGTAATCCTTAAGACGCATTTATAAGCAAACCTAAATCAATGCAACATTCGCAAGTTGGTGGAGGGGCATTTCAAGGAGCAGCGACCAAATAACATAGCGAAAAAGAATTGGGGACAATTGTTGAATAGAGATCTATTCGATGCGGTTGCAATCATATAGGAAACAAAACAAACAAAAAAACCCAGTTGCAGTTGCAATCAGAATCTAAAGAGAAAGTGCTGTTATTATCACAATTTTCCCGTTGTGTCCCAAGTACAGGAAGCAAAAGGGAGAAACAGAACAAAACCCTCACCTGATTGAGCGAAGAGAGGATTATTATGAACCGAGAAGGCAGCAACGGAGAGGGCAGCAAGAAAGAATGCAGCTGAAGGAAAATTAAGTTCTTCCGTCGACAGAAAGGGGAAATGGGTTAAATTGTACAGCAGCGGAGAGGAAAATGGGTAGGTGGGTTGGTACGACAATGACCTGGTTAAATAGAGAGCGGAAGCGGAGAAAACGAGGCGTAGCGTGGGAGACGATGGGAAATAACAATTAGATTATCTCGAGGGTATGGAAAATTTTCGACGGAGAAGAAGAAGGGAATCAATGATGACAGGAAGGAAGACAGAGAAAGGACAAACCAGACTTGGAAAGGCTTTCAGGATTTTCTGGCCGCTTCTTTGAACGGGGCCTGGGCGACGAAGGTGGAGAACGGTAAGGGGTTGTTTGGCGCTTCAGAAGATGTTAGAAAACAACCGAGGGTGGAGAAGGAGACAGAGGGAAATTAAATATAAATATATTATTACGAGGTGGAAGCAGCCATTAACGAGGTTGAGAGGGTGGTGGTGGTTGTCTGTCTCGTCAAAAAAACGACGATTCTCTGTTGGGCAGGAAGGAATACAATTGCGAATGCGTTGACAAGTCTCACTTTCCTCTCTTGATCTTGCAACAGTTGGCCAAGAGTTTGGATGTGGAATATAATATGGTATATACTATATACCACTGGTAGAGGAGGGGTGCAAGCACCCTCCTTGGGTTTGGAGATTTTTTTTTCGAGTAGGGGTATATACAAATTCGAATCAATGAGCATTCAGTTGCAGGAAGAATTTCTTATCATTTTGATTGAGTGAGTTTTGTTATGAAATGCACTTTTGTCTTTATTTATAGTAATGAATTGTTGTCTTTTGTTTAAACTCGCTCATTTTTTTTTTGTAGCTCTACAACAGAGAAATTTCTTGTCTTTTGTTTAAACAAAGTTGAAAGTGAAGAAGTACCAATTGAAGTTCACTTGTTTGTTTCACAAAATCAATTCCAAGGTGCTTCTGAGTTCTAATTTGTAATATTTGATGAATGGAAGTCTTGATTTGTATGTACTGAACTTATTTGTTTGACGTTGTAACCGGTGTACGTGAAACTATTTTAATGTAATTGTATGAATTTAGAGTATTGCGTTGTTGACTTTTTGTTTAATTTAAAGTTGACTTTTCTATTGTATAGGTAATCTTTTATGATATGATAAAGACACCCCCTTGGCCAATTTTCTGGCTCCGCCACTGCTATATACCACCGGGCCTGTGGGCAAATCACATAGATCGGTTAGCCAAATCCATACAGGTCCGATCAATGTACTCAAGGTTGTTAAACCCTTATGGCCTTATCGGTCTCGGATCCCGGTTGGACCCCGGTCCGACGACGTAATTTGGACTTCAAAATGCTCTCTAAATAGCCCCTGGTCTGACCTCTAAAGAGTGAGAAAAATAGAGGGGGAAGAGATGAAGAGGAACTAAGGAAGGGAGGAGATGGTGGATGAGTTATAGAGGTTAGGTAGATTTATTTTTTGGAAAATAAGTTTTTAATAGATAAATTTAAGTTTTATTTTATTTTATTTCACTCATTAAATCTTTAAATACTACCTTATTTGTATATATATATATAGCATCTCCATCGGTCACTTTTTGGCTTTTGCAATTGCAAAGTGACGTGGAATGCTTGCAACTGTAATTGCATTGTTGTAGGCCTCAATTGCAATTTTGCAATCTTGCATATAATGCAAATGAAAGTGAAAGCCAATATGGCTATTTTTATGGGAATGACCAGTTGTTTTCTTCTTTTAAAATTTTTTTTCCTTTTGTTTTTGCTTTATATGTGGAATTAAAGCACATATGCAATTGCAAATGAATTGCATTGATGTAGGTATAATAAAAGTAAAATGAGATGGATTGCAAAAAAATTTAGTTGGCAACAAAAATAACAAATGCAATTGAGTTTACAATTGCATTGATGTAGATGCTCTTAGAAAACATCTAAAACGGCTCAAACCGGTCGGATCTCTATCAAACTATTAGACCTCAAACTCCTTACTTGACCTGCACAATAACTTAAACCGGTTTGACAACCTTGATGCTACTCAATAGTTAAATGCACGAAATGACGAAGGTGGGGGATCAAAGACACAGTCTATGACGTGCAGAACCAAGCACAATTGGGCTAGCCTCTTTCACAATTGTATATTACCAGCGTGGGCCCCGGCCAGTTGGCCGGAGGAAGATGAGAAATGAAATTTGATAATGTAATGGGGTGTATAGCTTATTGTTGTATATTTATTTTGGAAACACGTGATAAAGATAGTGAATTTTAGCAGGAAAGAGACATAAATGATGCACCGAATCAAAAACCAGCCTTATGAAAATCAAGTACATGTTACCATGTGAAACAATATTGTTTCTCGTAATATGATGAGGTGGAGTAAGTTTTATAGAAATCGAATTCCAGAAAATCGAATAAAAAATCGCCTATCCCGCCGGTTTTCGGGAAATGAGCATTTCACAATCGTTGCTAGTTTTTACTCGGCCCGTTGGCCGATTAATTTGCTTTATAAAACTTTCATCTTGTCGTCATTATGCTTTCTTGTTTTTGCCAGGCCATGATAAAATCTAAAGAAATCATGAACGAACAACACGATTTGGGATAGGAACCGTTGTTCTTGTATCCCTAGAAAATGGTGGTAAACACGAACTCACCTGCCAAACTCGTCTGGATTGAGATTTTTATTGGGTAACAAGGAACCATGTGATTATAAATTAGACTTGATCAAAACACGACAAAACTTGAAATTCAGCCTATTTGACCGACCCATGCCAAACTCTAATTATTCTTTACTTTTAAACTTTCTATTTGAAAATAAAAAATAGTGAAAGAAAAGAAATGACAACAATTTTCCATTTGTACATCCCTGATTCGGGAATAAAATCATAGAATTCGAAAGGAAACTGAAAATGTTTAGGATCTTTTTAATGTTAAAAATAATCAAATAGATCTTTCTGTTTAGTTTTTTACTAACAGATACCAAACGATTCCCTATAAAATACGCTATAATTTAATCATTATGATATCAAATAATTACATCATATATATTTGAAATAATAAAAATTAGACTAATTGGGTTGGTCGAGGTTGAACCTTTGAATAACTTTAAAATACGTTATATTTTAGCCACTAAGATATAAAATAATAGCATAATATATATTATGCTACAGAAGATAGCTTGTTTTGGAATGACAAACCCATGATGCTCATTTGTTTTACTTGATGGTCAAATCTCGTGTAGGTCAAGCTCATTCAACTCTTTTATTTTATGGTTAGCGGTTAGTCCATTAGAATCTATGCATTAGTTTATTGTTAAATGTTTTCTTTTTAGCAATAAAAAGGAGTATTGTTTTTGCCTTTTCATATATATTTTACCACCACCGAGAAATAAAAGGGCTTAAAAAAATTGACACTCCTGGACCCGTTTAAATTCGCATGTGTACGCTAAGTTGGCCGGTTCCACAGAGGAAAGAGAAAAAATTGACACTCTCTATTCTACCCTTCCTACAAATTCCCTGGAGAGCAGGGAATTTGAAATGGGGAAATGATTTTTTCCTCCCTACTATTATATGTTTTTAATTTAAAAAGATATGACAAATGTACTTAAGTGTGATTGGTTATGATTCTTGCTCTTTAAAATGGTCATGGTTCGAATCCTAGTACGTGTCTTTTTTAATGAATAAAAAAAGTAATTATGAAGACCAAAATATCCTTCCTACTTTTACTCTCGTTGCAGGAAATTTGAAATGGAGCAACAGTTTTCCCCTTCATGCTATTATATATTGTATTAGAGATGTGTGACATGAAGTTAGATGTGAAAAATAGGGGTAGCCATCAATATGACATTATATACGAGTGTTATTACAAAATTTTGAAAGAGGCTATCGAAGGCAAGCGAGTTAAAAAACCGAGGAGAATTTATACATTTCGGGTCCTCCTTAACTGAGAATGTTAACATAAGGGCTTATTTGTTATCTACACATAGTACAGGGGCTTCTTTCGATAGGAGTATAGCACAAGGTCTCATTTGTTATCTTTGCATAGTTGAGGGGCTTGTATGCCTATTAATTCTAATTCTTTCCAAAAAAACAAAAAACAAAAATTCTAGTCAATAAGAACATTTTGTTTTGATAAATTTTTTATTTCGAAGGATTGACCATAATGAATGCGAATTTATAAAGAGAGGGGTACACTTGTCATTATTAAAAATTGGAGGGCACAACGTGTGTGTTGTTCATTAATTGCGTCTTACTACAAGTATCATAAAACATACCACAAAACACATATCAGAAACACAACAAACTACCCCACAAATACTAACCAACATATCAAAAAGTTTATAAAGCATATGAGTAACTCACCAGACTATAATTTGTCTATGAAACCAAAAGGGGAATGAGCAATGTTGTCAGAACCAAACCGGAGCATGACCCGGTAATGCGAACGACTCGCACTTTAGTGGTCCAACTGGCATTGGACCGTTTAAAAACCGTTAAAAAAACGGTACCTAATAAACGTGATCAGTGTAAATAGTGGGCATTTCTTAATAAGAGCTCGTCTCTTTCCTTCGAAATTGTGAAATGGAAATAAGGATTCAGTTTGGCCTGACATTTTTCATTTATTTCAATTTTCTGCAATTTTTTAATTAAATTTAACGGCTGGATGGCAAAAATCGGACGAACGGCTCGATCGATTAACCGCCTCGGCCGCTCGTCAACTGCTACATAAAACCGGAGCGACTTTTAGACTGTTCCGAGCCAATTTTGTGACCGGATGGCGATTTTACTGGTCGGTCCGCGGCTCTGCTTTAATAACACTGGAAATGAGAGTCCGAGTTGCTAAGGTCTATTAGTGAGTAATTACCATAATATATTTAATAAATATGTTAATATGTTGCTACCACTTATTGGTAGCACCCTGTGCGATGCTAGTGGTAACAATCCACAAAGCAAATATGTTATCCTTGAGTAATTAAATGCGCATCAAACAATAAGACTTGTTTGTCAAAAGATTATAGGTATAATATGCCCCTCTACTATGTCCTTTTATCAAACATATCTCTCTACTACTTTTTACATCAAACATGCTCCTATACTTTGGAAAAATTATCAAACATGCCTTTCTGTTAAAATTTTCATCCAAAAACCATCAACCACGGTTGAATCTTAGTTTGGGCTGCACAAATGTTTAAAATATTCTTGATAATTTCACTTTAGAATTTTTTGGGTTCAATTGTAGAACCAAATACCTCTAATAATTTCACTTTAATGAGAACTAGAGAAATAAATCGGGGGACAAAACTGACATTTTCCCTCCCATTTACCGACATCGGGTCGTCTAAATCTTGGTTCAATGATGGTTGACGATTTTTAATGGAATTTTAATAGAAGGGCATGTTTGATCATTTTTCCAAATTACATGGACATGTATGAGGTAAAAAATAGTAAAGGGACATGTTTGATAAAAACCGCATTATACCTATAGGCTATAACCTTTTCAAATTGATAGGACTAGAATTAAAACAGAAGTAAAACGACAAGAAAATATAAGAGATTTACTTGAAAACAAGAAAGTAGGGCAACGGTCTGGTAATGCTAACCAACAAATTCAACGGGGATACAAGAGAAGTGATGAGAATATCTCACATAGCAGAAAAAGCTTCCATAACCATGAAGTGCAGCAACTTTATCAGAACTCTGCACTTTGCAGTAGTCTCTCAATACAAACAAGTCAGTAGGGCGGGAACCGAGTACCTTTCGCCTTTCTCGTATTGACATGCTACCACATAATCAGGCATGCTCTTCTTTATCAGCAGTTAAGACTTCATTTTGATTTACTACATCTTCCGGTAATACTTTCGTTACACTACAATCGTCGTTGTCATTTATGGAGACCGTCTGAGAATCGAGTGCAATGTCATGGTTAGAAGCATCAGTGGTGGCTTCTAGTGAGAGAGTATCCAAAGATGCTGCAGATTCCACGGCAGGTTCTGAAACTGAAGATGGACAACCTTCTTTCGTCCAGAAGGAAGGTATCATCTTGTCATCTTCCTTCATTCTCTCAGCATATTTGCCAATGTCAAAACCTGCTTCTGAATCTTTCCCACCAAATGCTGCCTCAAGATGGTCCACATCGAAATATGCCTCCATAATCTTCATGGTATCAGGAACATCAGAGTAGACAAACTTGACTTTGTTGTGGGTTTTAGGCTCTAGAAAGACTTTTGCTGCCTGTAGATACAAAGATTTACATAATAGTTCAAGTTAACACATTGCGTACCAGTGAAAGAAGTATACAATAGCATCTAGAAGCTGCAAACGACAGAGATTCAACTTTTCAGGTACCAAATGTAAAAGAAGTTTACACGAGTAACAAGTTTATAGATGAAATCCTCTTTCAGCAAACAGCCATACTCTTGAAAGGATTTTGATGTATGTGAGTATAACCATCATGCCAGTAACGTAACGATTCAAACAAAATCCAATCATTTCTCAAATATTCATACTGATGGTAAAGATATCTTAAAATGTAGTGGAAAGACAAGTAAGAAATTGATGGGGTTACCATCCAGAAAGGTTCGAAGAACTTTGGAGGATTGTATAGTATTGCTAGACCCAAGCGCTCTGGATAGTGGTTCTGTAAGACAATGGCCGTTTCTCTTGTGACCTTCAATGATAGATGTGACAGATTGTATCCATCAAAGTCAATCAGCCAAACCATCTGCTCCTGGTCCGGCGGTAAATTCATGATGGCATTCTCCATGCAATACACCAAGTACCTAATCTGCCCTTTGGTTGACTTTGTGTTCTGCCATCAAAATTGATCTTGTCAACTTATTAAATCTGAAAAATCGCGAAGGATGAAATGGGAGCATCCGAATCTGGAGAATTTCTCTGGCTCCAGGTTGCCGACTCATCAAACAACTGCATTGCAAATATCAAATAATGGATATGCTTGTGATCTTAATGAATAGATATATTCGTCAATTATATATTTTTTGAGCGGGAAAAGGATTATCCAACACATCTGTGTTAGTCTGTTAGATCATAAACTATGTGGGTTAAAGATATTTACCATGCATTGGCAAACTTTTCAAGACCATTCCACAATATACTCTCAAGTAAAACATGTGCAACATGTATACAAAAACTGTCAGCATCCGACTATTGGTAACTGCCGAGTATAATAAGTAAAATAGGTGAGGATATAATCAGAATGAACCTGACGACTAGGTCTCATGACTAGAACTGGCCTTCCATGCTTATCAGTGCAGCTTGATCTGTAGATTTTTCCTGTCTCTGCCTCCTTAGCAATCTCATCCTAAATAAAGGTGGCAATAATGCATAAAATCCCATCAGAAAGCAAGATGGCACATTGTAAGCACAACAACCAAGGACCTACAAAGGTCAGAATTTTCTCCGGAAGACAACTTAAAAGTTTTGGTAAGCTTGCCGCTGGCATATATTCATGTTGTGCCTTTAGGGAAGAACCTTTTGCATGACTTATAAACATTAAAAGGAGATATTGGTTCTTATGGACTGTGGTACCAAATTATTAAGCCTGTGTGAACCTATGCACAGGCAGCAAGCACCGTAACACCATCTGACAATAAAAACACTAAACATCTTTGCAAACAGCATCCAACTAGCTTTATCCAATGCCAATGACAGACCAACTAGTTGATCAAGTCTGGTGCAGAAGAAAAGTAGCATACACACCCAGCGGATATCTTCTGGCTTGTACTCTGCTCTCCATTTTATAGTATCTTTCAGCATTTTAGTAGCCTTCTTGACATTCCAATTTCTTGCCCTTAGATATCTGGAGATTGATGCATCCGAGCAGTAAATGGAAAGCTTCTCTGACAATGTACCCACTAGTCTCCTGACTTCATTAATCTGTATGGCGAAAACTTCCCTTCAGCTCAATGCTTTACTCCCAAATTGGGTTGAGAGGTATGTACACTAAACAACTAGAGAATCGACAGTACAAACCGTGCAATAATGAGACTATAGCAAATACCTTCTCCAATTGCTCTTCCGATGCCAAATGCTTCTCAAAGCCATTTGAAGAGGATTTCTGTACGCCCTGAGTCATCACCTACCTGCAAAACAAATAGAGGCATAAGAAAGCCTGAACCTTTATCACTTCAAAAGTCTTATCTTCACCTTAAATAGCAACCGATTGCATTAACGGTTGAACATCACTACCATCTTTAATAGAAAGAAGATTGCCTAGGCTATCAACCAGGAAGCTATGCAGATTAAGGAAATCCATTTCTGTTGCAAAGACAGACTGAGCCGCACAGTCAACTCATAAATACCAAGAACCAAAATTTAACCAAATTTAACTAATCATCTCTTCCCAGTGGGATTTCAAGAAGATTAATCAGGGATATGAATCAACCTGAAAAGGCAAATCGCCTAACAGCTCGGATCAACAAAGTTTCCCTTTCTTCCGGGCAACCCACACACCAGAAACCAATTAGAGATTCAAGTCAATGATACCCTTTTCATAGCAAATCAAAGAAAGCGCAATTTGACTAACGCAAAACCCCCCAGTTTAACAATCATGCAGAAGAAGAAAAGCCTTTTGTGACTATGAAAATCATATTCATACGCCAAGGTACACGATATACTATTTATCTCATGAAGCCCAACAAGACTGAAGGGAAAAGGGAAGGGAACCAAATATGACGAGCTCACCCGGCAGTAAGAGAGCTTAGGACGGCGTAGAGAAGAATGGCGATTGCTGGTGGTTACTGAGCTACCAAGCTGAAATACTGAAAACCCAGTAAAGGAGGTCAACCATGAAAAGAGTAGCGACTGCTGGCGAGTAGTTTGATTCAGACAAATAAGAACGAATATCGTCCGGCGCCAGTCCACACAGAACACTGCTCTGCAGCTGGGACCCTAGAGATATTTGTTTTAAAAAACTAACCTGGAAAACTGTGTTTGTTTTATCGCCATTTTCTCTTGCACTGGGCTGGAAGAGGACAAAACGTTACAGAGGGAAACTTGTTTCAAAGTTACATTTTTGGTGTACAAGACATCGTGTGCGTGTGGTCCACCAAAAGAGTGGTTGTAAAGCCAAACCACCAATAGGCTAAAATGAAATATGGCTCATGGTAGTTAGGTTTTGAAAAATACACTCAGTATAGTCACAAATCACAATTATGACGTTTGGAAAATTTCTAGTCAGATTTGAAAAAAACACGCTTGGGTATCCAAATTTGAAATTTCATTTGACATATTTAGCCATTCCGTTAGTGATGCTGACTGGACTAACGATTTATGCTGACATGGCATTCTTTTTTCTTAACTTTGTCACCTGTCGACCACATGATAATTGTCAATATATTCACAAATATAGCCATTTTTCAAAATTAAAAACTCCACCACAAGAAATTTCTCCTTCCCCTACTGAATCTCATATACGTCTTAACCTAATTCATAAGCATTGTTTCCCATCTATGTACTCCCCTTATTACTTTTGAAGCTTCGATGTCTTTATAACCTTGATATTGTTTTTAATAGACTCCACCAAGCCTTTGATTGATTGTGTTGTTCACGAATTTCCCATCGACAAAGCATGAGAAAAATCATGATTTATAAGTAATAAACTGATCTTAACTAACAATACGCCTTTTAGGGTTAAATGAAGTTAAACGTGTTTAGTGAATAGTGATCTTATGGGAAGTAATATACTAATATGTCATCTTGACATATACTCCAAGATAAAATTCATTAGAATCTAGCTTCAAAGCGGAGAATATCTTGGGGAAAATTTTCGGAATGTGCACCTAATTCCTAGTTCCTACATAGGCGTTCCTCACTCGTATCCATGTTGGGTGAGAATATCGCTCATACGTTCTTATATCTGTGGTGGCTGACAAAGAGTAGTCTTGGTTTGTTCATGATAGTTTATTTTTGGTGTCTTCCTTACCAATCAGAAGAGGAAGGAGGTTTCCTTGGTGTGAAGCTCATTCATCTAATTTTAGTGAATCGATAAAAGTTGTCAAATCGATTTAAATTATTGAGTTGGTCAAGTAAGGGGTTTGAGATTTAATGGTCTGAACGGGGTCGAGTTAGTTTGAGTCGTTTTCTAAATACATATACAAATAATGTAGTAATTAAAGATTTAATGACTGAAATGATATTTATCTTACATGTATCTATTAGAAATTTATTTTCCACAAAATAAATCTACCTAACCTCCATGACCCATCCACTTTGTTTTCAGAACCGGGCCGGAGACTGAACCGGAAAAATTAGTAGTTTAGGGTTCAGTGATTAACCGTTACAAAACCATTGATTAGCCGTTGTAGAACCGTTCACGATATATAACATACAAGACTTGTGTATTACATTAATTTAAGAATAAAGTTATCATTTATCATAAACAATTTCAATTCCATATCATCACTCAAATATCTAATAAATTATCCAAACTGTCTCACAAAAGAAATTATAATTTTTTCAATTCAAATTAAAAATTACGATGCCAGTCGGTAGTGAACCACAAAAGCCGACAACAAAGTTAGAAAATGAGAAAAATTATAAAATTAATAATGACGGTTTGACTATCTTAGTTTATATTAAAGTATTTTCTAAAAAACATTGTGGTTAAAATAGTGAACCAGTTAAACTGTGGTGGTTCATCTAGTTTTATGTTGAGTCGTGAAAAATCGTTTGATCCACCAATAGCCATCCAAGCAATGAACCGAACCGCTATTGTAACTAGTTTGGCGGTTCTACTTGTTAGAATGTGGTATAAGATCCAGCAGAACCTTCTCCCAACAACTCGAGTTATTGGGATCAACTGGTTCTTGACATGATATAAGAGCCTCGAACCAAAAGGTCATGTGTTCGAATCTTCACGACCCCCAATATTAACCGTTGTCTTTCAAGCACATGGTATGATGGGCCTGTGCAAACTTCAAGCCCATGGGTTGACTTTCGTTTGAGGGGGGCGTGTTAGAATGTGGTATAAGATCCAGCAGAACCTTCTCCCAACAACTCGAGTTATTGGGATCAACTGGTTCTTGACACTACTGGCCCAGTCGTTGATCCGATTCGGTTCTTATAACAAGGCGCATCCACCATCTCTCTTCCTTTGTTCTTCTTCCTCTCTTCCCCCTAACTTCTTCTCCCTCTTTAGGGGTCAGACCGGGAGGCTTTCTGGAGGTCATTTTGAAGCCCGACTTAGGTCGGATCGAGTCCAACCGAAGGTTCGATAAGAGTTGAACAATCTTTCTATTGATCATTTGTTTTGGAAGAAATTCTGTTTCAAGCACAAGTTTTACGTGGACAAATAAAAGGAATCCGATCCAAGTAGTGCACGAGAGACTTGATTGTGCAGTGCTTTAGTCTTTGATGAGTGGTTCTAACTTCTAAGGGCTCCAGAGTATCTGGTAAACATGATTTGAACTTTATGGTCATTAATCACCTTCTTTATAACAAAAGTGGATAATGAAATTTAACTTCAAGACGCAAAATATGACATGAAATCATTTTATAACAAGTAATTACAACCAAAAATCATTATAACCATATATGCAAAACTTGGAGAAATGGAGAGGAGAATTTGGAGTCCCCTAGAACCAAGGGTAGATCGGTTCAATCATTTATTTGACTTAGACAGGTGTCTTACCGATTCATGTCGGATTTTGTTAATTTGATTTGATCGTTAGAACACCAACATCAACAATTCAAAATTTAAATAGAAAAGAGCTAAATTATCCCTTCTCCTCTCCGATGTGGTGGCAACCGCTCCCACTAATATAATAATTGTACAAGTTACCTACTAATCTAAAATCACAATCTCCTAAGTCCTAACCATAATATTCCCATCAACTTCCAATATAATGTACTCCATCAATGACTTCTAATACTAAATGGCTCCTAGTTGAGCATCGCTGATCATGTGGGAAATTCAGTTTTTTATGATGTTTTAAGAAGAAGAAAAATTAAATAACACCATAGCCAGTAGGGTGGAATTGGTACGGTATCGGTATCCCAAGGAATGAATGGTAATGTGTCTGTTTCGTTTTCTGTTAATCACGTACATGGCAAGAAATGAAACAGCTTGACAATAATACAAATACAGAAGTTTTAAACGGATAAAATACGTACAGATACATATACGTGTATTAAACAAAGTATTTACTAACTATGACGATTAGTAGATCCAATTATCCACTCCTAAAACGGGTACAAATATCCATTCTAAGCGGTGCCGCTGATTGTAACCATGCTGATTGACACCTCTACTTTTGGCTTCTGAAAAAAGTTACATGAGGCGAGTTTTGATACACACTGCCCAAATGTGAAGTTCAGAAATGGATCAGGGTCGGAGCTAGATTACAAGGAGTTCGTGATTAAGAAAACCGTCGAGAGAATTGAGTAATATATGTTAAGTGAAGCAGATGGGAATAATACAACAGACGATTGAATAAGTTCAACTATGACGTTTTCCAAAGCACTTATTATGTCGGGCGTCAGCAGGATAGGCTGATAGCATATCTAATTACATATAAATCATCACTTGGAAAAATCAATCAACCCACGCGACATAGGAATTACCTCACCGCAGCAAGAACCAGTTTGAATTGCTGCAACTCCAGGTTTTGCCCAATGCTTTGGCCTTCATCTTCATGTTAGCTTTGTCCTTCACCGAAATCCTTTGGAACCCAACTTTTCTCATACAATCAAATATCATATGCTCAACCACTACACATTCAGGAGCTAAACTTTAATGCATCCCAGTAACACAGAGATGTTGCCGTAGAGATCTACATCACATGTGGGTAAGGGCAATTTCCAAAGTTTTACCTGTCACATACAGTCCTGTAGCAAACTCCAATACATATATTCGAGATTATTAGTGAAACTCCTGAAGCTGCAAATTTTGAGAAAGGGCCACATAACAGAATATATGGTATATATGCAGACTCAAACACAGCCTATCAACTACAAATATGAGGCAGGCCGGCTGAAGCAGCCACCCAACGGCCAGCAACCCTGCCAGGTCATTGTTATTTCACTACAATAAACCAGGATTGTAAGGCTGTAGAGCAGTAAATAAAATGTCTATAAAGAATATAAATTTCAAGCTTGCTAGAAATAACATCTTTGCTATCACCTAAAAAAAAAAACACTTTACAAACATAAACGATGTACCTGGCTCTCTTTCCTGCTGTAGCTACTTCCTGCAGGAAAACAGCTTTGGCAAGAACATGATCCAATGGGCAAACTAACTCTGTTAAAACCATTTTTGCAGTATGTAAATTAGATGATGAATGACGTATATTAAAAAGAATCATCAAATTGCACCCTGAAAGTATATACAAGTCAGTTGAACTAACATAATAGCACCATGCCTTCAGTTTCAGTGGGATGCTGTTTACATCATTTCTGTACTTTCCCTCTGTTTCTCTGTACACAACTTTCCAAGTCCCCTACAAGTTTTTTCTCCCTCCTTTCACCTCTAATCAACAAATGCAGTGATGTTAAGAAAGAAAGAATGATGATAGCTTAAACCCATCCAGCTTTCAGATGTCAGCCTATGTACTGATACATCTCTCATTCTCAGCACAGAGTCCACAGATTTTGGGTCTTTTAAACATTTTGTGCTGGCATGGTGGCAGCACCTTCAGGACAAGAGAGCTACAGGGGCTAAAACAAAAGGTAAATACACTACCAGTTCACTCCCCTGCCTCCCGCAATCGATCAGCATATCACCAAGCACAAAAATGTAGACTCGGGTTGTGTTCCAACTGCTGCCTCCTCCAACTCACATGCCACTGGCACGTGATAGATTTCCACCTTCCCTACTACCACTAAGTTGGATTAATTAGAGGGACGTCTGGAGGACTACCCCCATAGAACCGCACATGGAAAGGGAAACTTAATCAAACTGGCAGCACAAAATTTTGCTTGCTCCTTGGATCATCCATCCCCAAACATTTTGGAACAGTGTAAAGCTGTATCCAGATCCCCGCCGAGGCTCTTGTTCCGATTAATAATGCCCCGAGCAATAATGAGACGCCTTGTTTGGGCCTCAGATATTGCTGGCTGCATGGAGTCCCAACAGTCAGAGGTTGAACTGAAGAGATGGCAAACTATGTTGTTAAATTATGAGTCTCTTTTTCCAAAAGGCCTTTTACCCCCATACTGCCAGGATTCCCTCGACCTTTCACCTGATTGTTGACCATAATCCTCCAGAGGATTATTCTCCATTGGGGGCTTACTAAAATGCCGGTAATTCCCATTTCTAGAGATTGTACTTGTGTTGTTCTCATCACCTTCAGATGGTGCTCCTGCCCTGGACTCCATATGAACATCAAACGATCTGTTGTATCTTGGACCACCACCAGATCTCAAACTCCTCATGTTCAATAATGGGCCTTTGTTGCCTTGCATCATTCCCTTGGAACCAAGAAAATCTTTGGGCAAAGAATCCATTTCCATAAAACAACTCCTCGCTTTGGCATCAGTTATCAATGCCGCCCAATCATCAGACTGCATCAGCGAACTTGCATTCCCCATCACCTGTTCATAGGAAAGTACAAAGATGAATTAATAGAGAAAATTAACCAGGCCCTAAGTAGGGTCACGCTTTTGAGCAAATATAAAATAGACAACTACATCGAAAAAGGATCATACCCATAGAGCTCTTCTTGCACGTGTAAGAGCAACATTCATCCGGCGGATATCAGCAACAAAGCCAACACCATGACTGGAGGCACGAACACAGGACATGATTATGACATCACGCTCCTGTCCTTGAAAAGCATCTACAGTATTGATATAAATATCTTTCCCCTCCTCCGACTTCAGAATCTCTGAAAACTCATGCTGAAGACATTTAAGTTGCAACTTGTATGGAGTGATGATGCCAACTGTGATTCTCCCGATTCCCAATGACCTTAAACTTTTCATGAGATGTTCGTACAACTGAACACATAATTGTGCTTCATGTATATTCTGATAAGATACAGATCCACCTCTGTGAGATTCTCGCCCATGAGTAACATCATAGAACAGATAAGGCCTGAGCAAAGGATCCTTGTAATACACCTCATCAGGTAGCTTGATAACACTTTCACTGTCGGTAAGACGCCCTTGATAAAAGTATCTTGAAGGAAAATCGCGGATTTGAGGATGCATTCGATATTGCACAGAGAGCAACATAGTTGGGCACCCTGCTTGCTGAAACCTTTCAAACAGGCTTCTACTGTATAACAATGTTCCAGCAGCCTTGCTAATGACAGTTGCAGGAAGTTGCTGAGGGTCACCAACAAGGACGCAACGAGCAGCACCAAGCGCAAGTGGAGGAAGAACACCAACTTCACTAGCCTGGGCTGCCTCGTCAATAACCACCATATCAAAGCCATGAGAAAGACGAGAGAACAGCTTTCGACCACTACTAGAGACTGTTGTGAAAACAATCTCGGCTTCATTGGCGAAACTCGCCTCAAGACTAGCTCGGGCTTCTTCAAGATTGAAGTTACCACTGTTTCGGAACCTACCTTCCAGAATAAGAAGGCGAGAGATCTCAACAAGGACTTTGTCCCTGTTCTCAACAGCTGCTGCTAGGTTTTGCAGCAATGCATCTCGGTTCTGGTCACGTGCCATGAGAACATCAGGGTCAACACCAACAGATCCTTGGAAACGACCATCAGCAGCTGCAAAACTGAGTTTATTCTGTAGATCAGCAATATGTGCCGAGAAATAAGCTTCTTGACCTCTTAAATCTTGCATCCATTTCGAAACCTCTTCACGGCTCTTGACTAGAAGCTGTTCAGTCCGCCGTTCAACTGAGACTGCCTGTGCAGCACGCGATTGTGAATCGACACCAACCCTAGCAACATCTGGTCTGTAAACTTTCATCTCACCGTCAATAAATCCACGATCGAGAACTCGTGAGAGAAGTTCATCTGTTGCGGCATTAGAAGGAGCACAAACCAACATTCTGGGCTTTGGGCATAGTTTTGAAAGCGTGCGAAATAGATTCTGGTCCATGTTATAAAGAACTTCATCAATTGAACCCACGACAATATTCTCGGTACTGCTCTCATTGGCTGCCTTATAGCTCTGTGGTGCTAATTTCTTAAGTAATGATGTATAGTAATGCTGATACTGCACCAGATGGATGACATTGAGCATCCCCCATACAGTGTGCGTCTTACCTGTCCCAGGAGGGCCCTGAACAAGAGTAAAAGGCCATGGATCTTGTCTCTTTGTCGTACCACTACTTGTGCCAGCAGCTGTGTGTGTCGCAGCCCATTGGATTGCTCCCAGTTGGGGCTCATTGAAGGTTCTGTGCAGATGGTCAACAAAATTAGGAGTGAAGCACTCAGGCATGACTGGTGTCTGGTGCTCATATTTTGGGAAATGCTCAGGACTGGGCTTTAAGATTGCATTTTGCATCTACAAGAGGAAGTAAGAAAGTTCCAAGTTTAATCGATTAGAATGAAAAAGGCTGTAATATTATAGAGAAAGCCCAGTGAAGTGCAGAAATTGATTCTGCCTGTACCTGTGAGTTGAGGCGGCAAAACGCATGCAAAGCAACATATTCTCGCTGAGTGGTTGCAAGAGAACCAAGCGCAGTCAGATACCAAATGCTCCTCGGTTGAAGCTTCCTGAGGATATGATCATCATCAGCCTTGCCGCTGAAACCAACAGAAAGGTGAGGATTGCATAAGCCAGTGCTGAAAAAAGAAAACAGACTGCCAGCCTAAAAACACAGGGAAAACAAAGCTAAGAAGAACCAACCTGTATGTGTCATATGAACCCCCCACATAAAAATGAAGGATTGCACCAGGAGGATCACGATTATCCAAAGGAATATGGCGTCTAACAGTGCCAGCCACACGTCCATTCGTCTCAAGTTCGTCACCTTCTTCACTGGATGAGCCAATGTTCCTCTTTGATCTCACTGTATAAGATAGTGAGATTTAATAATCGAACTTTACTAACCCAACAGCTTGCCCAAAGAATATACAAGTCTAGAACAGCACAACAAAGGGAACAGACCTGTCCCAGGCCTTGGATTTGAAAGAACACCAACATCACCCTCCTTAAATGTCCATCTGCAATCACTCACTGGGAGGACAATCACATCGTACCAACCTAAGAGAAAGGAGGTTCCGAGAGTCAGTGAATTGAACCAGAATAAGACATAAATATAAAATGAAGTGTCAGGTCATCAAACCTCTTTCTCGCCTTTCGACTGTTTTAACCCGGACCATTATGTGAGAATTCGTTTCAGAAGACTCCTCCCATGTGCTATAAAGTTGAGCTCGACACTCCTCAAAAAGCAAAGGTTCAAACACTCTGACATATTCGTCCACTGACTCAAACCTGCCCGGAACACACTGAAGCTCAGAATCCTCTGAGACATAAAATCCCACTGTATCAGTTTTCAATGATGATTTATGGAAACAAGTGGAATAGAAAAGATAGTTCAAATAAAACCAAACAGCAAGAAACAGCAGATAAGAAATTCATATATGTCTAGCCTTAGCTGTAGATAACATCAAACTTTTCTTTCATTATAATGCCATACTTTCTCCTGGGAGCACATTATATGCATCTCTTCTCTCCTCCACGGATATGGCCTTAGCTACAAAAGCATCTCTACTCTTTTGAAAGACAGACTGTACACATGGCCACTATATATCAATGACTCCATACCAATGATTTTCTCATCATACAAGGTAGGGAAAACAAATGTCAAGTAGTGTCCAAATTAATAGAAGCAAATTGAAAAAAAAATACACATGTTGTGGCACAGGCAGATAACAAGACTCGCACTATGCAAGTTAGTGTCTTTAGTTTAATACCTGGATGGTGCCAAAACTTTTCATTTGTCACCTCCCGAATAAGACGTTCTACTGAGGAATCCTGATATGAAGAACCCATCAGAGCTGGCTTCTTCGCGGGAACATTCTTTTTGCTTCCAGGTTTTAAATCCGTGATATTTTGGCTGATAGAAGGTGGTTTCCGATTAAACAAGTTTATATTTTTCTGAAGTCTCGTATCAGTTGGTTGCTTCCATGAACTCTGTCTTGGTATAGGAGGTAGTTGTGCCTCTGATGATGAATCTGCGTCGCCATTAAGCTTCCTAGGCTTAGAAACTTCTGATGAATTTACATCACCATTGCTTACAGGTTTGGGTTGGGAGGACTCCAGACTAGTACCAACCTCATTGGTTGAAAAATCGGCCTGTTTCTGATCCTTGGCAAAAGCAATGTTGTACTTTTCTCCACCTGACGAAGGAACCGCTCTACTTTCTTTTACAGTTCGGACGGCTGTCACCTGTCTCTTTGGGGTCAAAGATTTCATAGGTCCAGCTTGCTTGACTTCATCAATATTGATCAACATGGTTTGTCTATTACGCTTCTTTCCTAGCATTGCTTCTTTTTGGTGGTCTATTTTCCTCTTCACTGGCTGATTAGCAAGCCTAAGTGCATGACTCGCTTCAGGACCCTTTGCTTCTCTTTGTTTTGGAACTGTCCCTCTATCTTCTAGACCATTTGTTGAATCAAGATATTTGGTGGTGTCTAAATTTTGAGCACTCCCACCTTCCTGATCAGACACATCTTGATTCAGCTCTTGCGATGAATGATGAACACTGCTCTCTGACTTGATTTTATCAATAGCTGTATCAGTAATGGAATTTTTACCATTGTCAGAAGCACTACATGCTGCCAGTTTGGATTTCACCAGATCCTGGGAAGTTTTACCCTGAATATGGCTGCTACTTCTGGTATGTTCATCAGCAGAACCCTCAGCATCAGACCACTCACCTTCTTCTCTTTCTGCTGGTTTAACAACTGTACAACAAGAAGTTAACTGAGGATCTGTTTTATCGAAATCACCATTACTTGAATCCATTGCATGCTCGAACTTAGAACTATGATCCTGTCCTATGTTCTGTACAAGACCCAGCTCAGAGCCATGGGTAACCTTTGAGCGGGTAAATGGCTGAAAACCAGAGAGATATGATGCATGTGAGAAAGTAGGGTTATTCTTTATTGCTTGTGCACCTGTTGATGAATCTAAGAAATCAGAAGTCTGTTGAGTTGAAGAGAGAAGGGCCTTCTGTGGCTGCAAGGGGACGCTGCTAGTCCCCTCATCATCCTCGGTAGGGGGTTCATTAAGATCAAATGTTAACATCCCTTTAGAACCCATTTCATGTGTGAATGCTTACACAAAAAATTGTAAACTGAAGAAGGTCTAACTGGCTTATTTTGTATTTCCCTTCAAAGTAAAGACTGGGATAGACATAAAAGAGAACCCAGACAGACCGGTCAACAGATTTCTACAGGCATTGCTGATCTGCACAAAAGTTTAGAAAACTGAATTTCAATGAAGAAACGATACAAAACAGTCTGATAAGAATTAAAACTCAAGAGAGCTATGGCACAGGACGAAAGCATATTCCGAACACAGTGAGATAGATACAGCCAAGCTTCTGATAGTCACAAGTAAACAGACATAAGGGAAACAAATTTGAAACCTGAAAAAAAACTATATGCTCACATACAACAAAAGAAAAAAATTAGGTAGAAAATCTGAGGTTTTAATGGATACCTCTGTCTAAGGTAAGTAAAATCTGCAAAAAAAAAAAACAATACTTTTTGAGTCTATGAGTTGCAAGACAGTTATTAGTTTGAAACCCAGAACATCATATTGGGGATAAGTGTGACCAAGAAACCCATTATCGAATAAAACAACTCAAATTGTCATGAGAAGTTGCTGAAGTAACCACATATCATAGCTATAAAAACAACAAAACAGAAGTCATTCGAACACCAAGCCCCCTCGAGAAGCAACAGTGCTGTTCCAGACTGCAAGAGAAAGATCTGACATTTGCCATTTTTCCCACATGATAATTCAAATTTTCTCCAGATATGGAGAAACTGGGAGGGCTTTCCATGAAAGCAAACCCTAACAGAACCGCACAGCATTCCCCCAAATCGACAAAGCAAACCACCGCCCAAAGCTCTAAACACTTGCATTGGCTGATGGCAACTTCCGTATTCCTATTGAATACAAAATGAATGAACAACGAACTCCATCAGACCACTAACATCACGAGGCAGCAATCAATCCAGATCAGAAAAATTTTCCCACCCAATTAAATCAATTGCCGCAATCAAATCAGTTGATTTCCTAATCCAACTCCCAACCAGACATCACAATCCCGCCTCCTCTCTCTCTCTCTCTCTCTCTCTCTCTCTCTCTCGCGGGCAATCAAAATCGAGGATAGTTCCAACCGATTCAAAGGCTTCCCTAATTTTCACATAACCTCGGTTCAAATTCGTAAATTTCCTCCCCAATAACTCGAAACAGTCGAACAGCGTCCCCAGGAATTTTCAAGCGACACAAATTGAATTAATTAAGAACTTGAAAAATTCAATAATTGATTGCGAGGAAAAGAAAATAGGAGAGAGAGAGAGACAAGTTAAAAATGAAAAATGAAAAAATAAAATAAAAATGAAAGACAAAAAGGGGGATTAATTTAATTACCTATTATGTATTGCAAGGTCCGATTGATTCTCTAGAGAGCGGAACAGTAGAGAGAGATGGAAAGAAGAAGAAGAAGAGAGAGTTGGAAGCAAGTATGCGAAGGAAGGAGGGGGTGTGGCTGTGAGTTTATATAGAGGAAAAGGAGGAGGGATCTCCGTCACCGGCCGTTTAATGTTGTCCCTCTCCACCGTTAAATTATTCCCGGCCCAACTCGTAAATCCAAATCCCGTTTTCTTTATTTAAATATTTGATTTTGATGACCATTGTATTCATTCCTTTAAAATAAAAAATAAAATTGGCTGAAGTTTATTAATTTTTAATGGATAATAATTTAATATTTATCCTCCCTATGCAAACTTAATTTACAATTAGCCAGCGTGTCTTTGGAGACTTGAGGCTGTACTGGGCATTGGGCTACACCGTTAGCCCGTATGCCACGACGATTAGAGCACGACATGAGTCTACATGGGCGCTGGATCGTGTTTGGGCCGGCATAGCATGAGCACGCTTCGAGCTCATTTATTTTGTGTCGTGTCATGCAAGTCCATTTGTTAATTTTGCTAGGCTCGGCCCGGTCCAGACTCGGGCACGGTTTGAATCGTGTCGTGCCTATTTGTACTCGTGTCATGCTCGTATTCGTGTTTAATGAAAAGGACGAAAACAAAAGAGAGAATGAAAAAGAAGGTGAAAATTGGACGTGAGAAGATAGTATTAACCCATAATGTTTGAGAAAAGTAACAAATAAGGAGGACTGGGTGGGGATTTGGAAGTATAACGAGTGTGATTTTACTTTGTTTAATTCTTTGTCCATTTTACTTATGTTAGTAATAACGTATATATCTTTATGGCACTTCTAACAACAACAAATAATTATTTTTCTACTTTTGTTTTGTAATATTTGAGCTTATAATTCTTTTATATTTATTTTCTATCAAATAAATATTATTTTCGTGCCATGTTCATTCTTATACTCAATAAAGACTCGAAAATATTAGGTCCGACACAGCCACTTATATACCGTGCTCGTGCCCATGAAGTTTAGGCCCGGCGTGGCCCATAAATTATTCGTGATCGTGCCGGGCTGGCCTATTTATTTCGTGCCCGTGCTCGTGTCGTGCTCTAATCGTGTCGTGTCGTGCCGTGCTAGCCCGGGGGCGGCACGGCCCGGTGCCCACGTACATGCATGAGTATGGGCACGAAATATATGGATTTGTTTGGCACGAGTGCGAATAACTTATGGATCTTGTCGAGCCTAAATTTTATTGGCATCGACACGAGTACGGACACGACAAGGTGTATAAGTGGGTCGTGTCGGACTTAATGTTTTTGAGACACTATTGAGTATAAGGACGAGATGACATGAAAAAATATTTCTTTGGTAGAAAATAAATATAAAAATAATTATTTATTGTTGCTAGAAGTGATCATGAAGATATATATGTAATAACCATAAAAAGATATATGTAATTACTACCATAAGTAAAAATGGTAGAATAATTACAAAGTCAAATCACACCCGTTATACTTCGAATTTTCTTCTTTCCCCTTATTTGTTACTTTTCTCAAACATTCTCAATTAATACTTTCATTCACCGTCCAATTTTATCCCTCTCTTCATTCTTTCTTTTATTTTCTTCCTTTTCATTAAGAACGAATATGAGCATGACACAACATGAGTAGGCACGACAAGATTAAAATCATGCCCGAACCCAAGTCGGACCTAACAAATTTGAAAAATAGGCTAATACGACACAACACGAAAATTGACTGCAGTGCCAAGCACAACACGAGATAAACAAGCCGGAAACGTGCATGTACCGTGTCGGCCAAGTACAACCTAGGTACAACTGAGGCAAGAGGAGTGATTTCATTTTGTCATTTAACCTAATTTCATTTAATAAAAGGCCCAATTTGTTATCATTACGATTATAGCATGTTATATTATTCATATGGGAGGAAACGCTGCCTAAACTAGAACCGACCAATGAATTCTAGAGGCCTTGTTTCCAAGGGGAAAATGAGGCCCAGTTTTTTATTTCATAAAATGAAAATCATTGCATTATCCAAAAAAAAATCATAACATTAGTTAAAAAATAGAAATTACAACGACTTTAAATCAATATCTTTCTTGCCTTCTTTGAAATAAAAGTATCTATAAGTTCTTTGATTTTCATATTCTTTAGGAGATTATTCTCAATCGCCATAATTGCTAATACATTAAATGTTTATTGTGTCATTGTAGAAAACAAATGTGACTTTAGCAACTTCAACTTAGAAAACTTCTCTTCTTAGGCAATAGTCATGAAGATAGTTAACATGAATTTTAAATATTGTGGTGATGTTAGGAAAACAATTTGATTATGAGACCTCAATTGAGTAAACGATGAGACCCATTTTAGAATAGTAAAGAGGAGAGGGATTGATAAAAGTGTTTTAAGTTTCACATCAAATCCATTAATTTTCTTTGGATTGTGCCAAATATCTCTTCACATATTGTTGGGATGTGCCCAATTTATTTGTACATCAAAAAAATTTATTGTGCCTGAAAGCCTTCTATCTCAACTGAATGTTTTGTATGGGTGTAACTATTAGAATATCTTACGTGTTTTTTTAAGTGATAAATGTTTCGGTCCAGATAACTGATTGCACGCACAATGTGATGCAAATTTACCTTGTCTAACGACCAATATCGTATTCCATACTCTCACAACCACTTACTCATGAGGTGAGGGACGGGTTCTATTAGATTTTAAAAGCTAATGTGGAGGTTGAGGTGCCTTCAGGATTGAAGTTCCCCTTGGTCTTACAAAACAAAAGAGAAAAGAAATGCGAAAAAAGTAAATCTAAACTACTAGTTGTGCGAGGAAGCAAGAGGGAGAGGTGTTGCATAGGCTAGCTCCTCCTAGAGTTCCTTCAGACCTGCCGCTACTTTGATTACACATATTCATGATTCATAGACTTCATGATGGATGTCTCATCTCACTATGCTCCTATTTGGCTTCCTTCCCCTCAATATAGTTATTGTGGGTTCCACACTTAGTGAGGCACGTGGGAGAGTCAACATTTTGGTTGCACATGTCACGATATGCAATATGGCTTATTCCATATTTATATTGCATAGGATGCAAAGCTATATTAAGGGTTTCATTCCTTTCGCATCCACCCAAATATAGACACTTAAATGAGATAAACATAGTAAGGCGAATTCAGAGACACACATCTTTGTATAACCAAGAATCAACGTTTGATCCATACTACATATGAGCTTATTGACTCTTGATGGTTTTATTCCTACCAAATTTCATGTCATTTACCAGATCTAGTAGGCAACGATGGTGACCCTAAGAATTTCTCCCCTGAGAAAGTCGACACAGTTCGATCCTGAGGGACTATTGACACGCTATGATACAGCACCTAACAATGGCCAAGTGTAACCAATGAAAGGGACTGCAGTATAGTGGTACAAGTAATAAATATCGAATCCTCGGGTCTCTAGATGTACTATTACTCAGCTTCAGTTCGTTATCTAGCAAATCAGATTAAGGATTGATTAACTAAACTTAGTAAAACTACTAATTACAGTTTGGGAACTCACTTAGGTATGATTCCCCCTAGCTCCTCAATCAGGTCCAAGTTGTAATTCCTTTTGGTTGTTTTACTGTTGATTAAACTGCGGAAGATCCTAAATTAGCTTGGAATCTCTTAAGCTGACCAAGCCCTCTTAGACAGAATACCCGGCAGGCGACTAGCCTTCACCGGGATAGACTGCTAAGGCGATTCACACAGATATCCACTACTGGAATGAATTCCAGTACAAAGCAGTGAATTGACTGACTCTCGCACAACCAATTCACTACTATCAATCAAGGAAGCTCTCTTAACCTAATCAGATTATATTTATCAAAAATTAAAGCAGAAATCAAGAGAATTTGATCAGGATTCAATTGACTCAATAAATCATGCCTCAATTTATTATAATCACACAATATAGCATCCTTAACTTCATACAAGAAAGATCCTAACATATGGAACTAGGATTCCTCAAAACCTAAGTGAAGGGAAGTTACTCCATAGAGAAGAGAGAGACTGCAGAAATCTGATCTAGATCTTCAATCTCCATCTCCCAGCTTGATTCTCGAGCTCCAATGGTGAAGAAATCCTCCAAAATAGCTCCAAGAATGGCTCTAGATCACCCTCTCTCTCTTTAGTTCGTCCCTTGGGTGTTTGGGATCCAAAACCCAGCTCCCCCTCTCCAAAAATCGCAAAACAGCTTTTATACCCGCTGAAACTCGCACCCCCTACTTGCACGGCCGTGAAAATTGAGGTTTTGGCCGTGCAAACCCCCTGGGAAACCCACACGGCCGTGCACAATTTCCAGCATGCACTCCTAAGCTTCGTTGATCTCGTTTGACCTCCGATTTAGGTGTCGTTTGATCCCCGATGCTCGTAGTCTTGTTCTCTTTCTTTTAATAACAAGATTTCATGATTCTTTGTCAATAAAATGAGGTAGAAATCCATTATTGCTCAAGTCATTCCCGAGTTTCTCACCCCGAGTCGCCAATTGATCTCCGATTGACTTGAAACTTGCGCCTAGGCTTCACTTTACATGCTAGGACATGAAATGTGACAAAGGAACACAACCTAGCATAAAATAGGCCAAAGTAGGATAAACACCAAGCTAAACAATCAATGAATGAGGGGTAAAACATGTGTAAATATGTAGTCATAAACTATCGTGTCCAGTCTCATCCACCCACAAAATCGGGTATGAGGATATATTCTTTGAAGAAGTCCTCTTTATACATGCGAAATCGAATTGACAATAAATAAAGCATAGAAATTAAATATAACAAAGAGATGAATAAAAGCTCATATATAAACCAAGAATAAAAAGTGATAAGTCAAAAGAACATTCAGGGTTTGAAAACCTACGCAACTAAGGAACTAGACGTTCATGGGTTAGGTATATGGGGGGCATCAATCGAAACAAGATCCAATTAATAACCTAGATATCGGCGGCTTGATTACAGTATTGGAAGTTAGGATGTTGTTTCTCGCACCACTATTCCCCTCGAGTTTGGCTTTGCTCCAAAACAAGCA